CAAGAGGCACAGGGGTGCCAAGCAAGCAGGATAGCAAGGAGGAGGAGCAGTGTGTCATGGGCCTGGATGCTCAAGAAGCAGGAGGGTCACTGGTTCATATGGAAGGAGCACAGGTATCGAAGACCTAGTCGATACCAGTAGAGAGCATGGTCGTAGTGCAGTCTCCATGGAGACCATGGACTCCTATGGACTCACATGCAAAGGAGAACCGAGCCACATGCGAGGAGGGCCAGGCACAGCCATGAGGAGGACCAAGCTCAAGGAGCAGGCACAGCCACGAAGAGGACCAAGCTCAGATGGTTACCACTCAGGGGCTCGAGAGACAAGAGTCATAGGACACTGGCAAGCAGGTCCTGAGGAAGAGGAGCAGTGTCGAAGGAGTTGACACCACTCAAGAGGCACAGGGGTGCCAAGCAGGAGAGGCCCCTGAGCAGTACTCGATGAAGAAGGTACTCTCTGGAGAGAGAGCAGGAGCAGCATCGCTGGTGAAGCTGTGAAGAGGTATATAACCATGCTTTCTCATCATCATAGGCTGAGTGGATCCTCATCCACTCTACTCACCATATAACTAGTTATCACTTCAGCATAAGTATACATTAGTTTCAGTCAGCATAGCAGCAATCTATCAAGGTTGCTCCTCATCGTAGTGTGTGTGTTGTATCACCACTACCTGACATCCGAAGGCGCCCATAGCAGGTTAGCAGTCTGGATATAGATAGAACCGAAGGCAGTAGTCCACTGCGGTCCAGGGATCACTTCAAGCATCAAGTCAACACACTGGACACTCATGTTGATGCCACCAACCTTATCACCAACACCATCAACCTCATTATCATCGACACCACCAAGCTCATCACCAACACCATCAACCTCATCATCATCAACACTCGCACCAGACCTTGGTGTCATCACAACCTATGCCTTGCTATTGATCGTGCCGAGCTACCCCTGAACGGAGTGTCCACAGAGGTCAGCCGAAACCTACGATAGTATATACAACGAATGCCACCTGCTGTCACTGTGCAACTTGATAGTCACTGATACCGAGACAATAGCTGTCGCACAGTTTGATAGTCACCGAGTATCTCAACAGACCAACCTGGGTTTCAGGCGCAAGACCCCTGACATTAGAGTGGATCGTTCAAGCAGCTCCTCACGATCACCAAGACGGACCCAGACCTCAACAATAAGCTTGATAGACTACTCACTCTATTGGAAGCTCAGCTAGAGCTTACTAGGCAGGGTCATCGAGAGGAACGACTACAACAAGCTCAGCTGGGTAGGGAGGAGACGATGGACCTCTCTCACTCAGAAGACCAAGCAGGAGGAGGAGATGAGTCTATGATAGGAGACCCACATACTCCTACTCCAGCTCCACAACCAAGATGATCAGTCTCATTCAACCTGGATGAGCAGGAGGACGTCAACTATGAGAAGTATGCTTCACCCACGGGGCCAAGATATGTCAAGTCCAGGGTGGATCCATATAACAAGAGCAGGACAGATCACTATGCTCTTGATCAGGAGGAGGACTCTAGCATCATGGCAGAGCTTAACCGGTCAAAGCCCATCGCCACCCCCTTTCCAAAGTTCAATCCCCAAGACATGGAGATCTTCATTCTAGAAGCCAAAGCATGGTTTAAGTTCAACCAGGTGTATGAGCAGACTAGGATGATCAACCACATGGGTGCTCAACTAGAAGGGACAGCAAGAGAGTGGTGGACCTCCAAGCTCCATATTGATAGAGCTAGAGAAGGAAGGTTGTTCAATGATTGGCACTACTTCACAGAGCGACTGTCAGAGCAGTTCAACCCATGCAATGCTAGGATGGAGGCATACAACAAGCTGTTGGCTCTCAGACTCACAAGTGATGCTCCTGGTGCTGCCACACATCATGTAGAGCGGTTCAGAGACTTGGAAGGACAGGTCAACTTAGATGACAACGAGCTAGTGATTGATCTCTTCAGAGGAAGTCTCACTCGCAGCATACAGGAGAAGTTCGAGAGGAATCCACCTGGGAAGAGATGGGAGTGGTATCGAGAGTTTGAGGGGATCGATCAACAGAGGATGCTACTACAGCAGTCCTCGGCTAGACACTTACTCCCAAATGCCATGTCACCTCCACTAAGAACTGGGTCTCGGCCAAATCAAAGTTCAATCCCCATCTGTCAACCCACTCAACCTTATCCAGCTCGATCACCAGCACAAGCAACTACACAAGCAACTACACAAAACCTAAACCGACCCCTTCCTCATCAACCCACCCAAACCTCGAAGCAAGGAAGCCCTGCTCCATCAGGTATCAACACCTGTCATGTATGCAAGGGTATCGGCCATTGGGCCAGAGACTGCCCCAGCAAGAGGATAGACCCTCTTAGCTCTCGACCCATGGGACCAAAGGTCATGGTCACCACAGCAGACCCCTTCGAGGAGGCCACCGACTCAGGAGATGGCCACACAGGCAGCACTGAGACTGACCCCGAGGCCATGGACCTCAGCTCATACCAGCAACCCATGGACCTCGACCATGAGGAGGAGGAGCACGATGATGATGACAACGAGGGAAACGTCAGTGGGGTGATGCACTGATGGCATGCATTGCTCTACAAACCTCCTCACCATCACTCTGTATATATCAAGATTGTCAAGTATGTTTCTCTACCAGTGGAGGCAAAGCAGTACTGGAGCTCTCTGGAATGGTTCAAGACCATCCTGCTCAGATACTAGCTGATACCAGTGCTGGTTTGTCCATAGTCTCAGATTCTTTCATTAGTAAGTACCAAATACCCACAAAACCCATAAAAACAAGATCGATCCATGGTGTCACTGGACACCAACTCTCCATCAATAGTTCTGCAAGCATGCAGGTATCTATTGGTACACACAATCTGGGTGTGGTTGAAGCTTCAGTGGCCGACACTGCCAACTATGACCTCATCCTGGGGTTCACTGAGCTACGGAGACTCAAACCCACCATACAATGGGATACGGGCCAGCTGGAGTTCAAGACTCAGGAGCAGGACTGACCCCCAAGGAGACCCCCTGAAGCAGCAAGAGCAGGGGACCTAACCATGAGGAGACCAACCCTCCATGGTAACGAGTTTGTCTCGGCAGAGCACATACTACAAGCAGCTCTGGAAGATGGACCCATAGGGTTCATGCTGTTAGAGGAGCCACCATCATCACTCCTGGCCTTTGGTTTTGTACCTACAGGTGCAGACAAAGGAGTCTAGATGGAGGTGGAGGTAGACAAGGTGGTGATGGCTGCAGGCATACCAAAGCCATACCAACACCTGCGAGATGTGTTCGATGAGGTGGAAGCAGACAAGCTGCCCCATCATACCGAGCATGATCTCCACCTCGAGTTGATAGAAGGAGGTAAGCCACCTCAAGGACCCCTATACCTTAAGGGACCCAAGGAGATGTCCGAGTTGAGGAGGTACTTGGATGAGAACCTTGAGAAGGGGTTCATAAGACCATCGAAGAGCCTGGCACAATCACCAGTGCTCTTCGTACCAAAGAAGGATGGAGGTCTCAGACTCTGTGTGGACTACTGAGGTCTCAACAAGATCACTGTCAAGAACAGGGCACCATTGCCCCTCATCAAGGAGCAGCTGTTCTTACTCAGGAAGGCAAGGATCTATACCAAGCTAGACCTTAGGGCAGCATACAACCTCATCCAGATTGCTAAAGGAGATGAATGGAAGACAGCTTTTGGCACTCAGTTAGGACTCTATGAGTACCTAGTGATGCCCTTTGGCCTAGCCAATGCTCTGGCTCACTTCCAGTCATTCATCAATGACATCTTCCGAGACATCATTGGAGTATATGTGGTAGTATACCTAGATGACTTCCTGATCTTCAGTGACACTGAAGAAGCACATGTGAAGCATGTCACCGAGGTCCTCACTCGCTTAAGGAGCAACAGGCTCTTTGCTAAGCTGTCGAAGTGTGAGTTTCACACCAAGATAGTCGAGTTCTTGGGATACATCATCAAGCCAACAGGTATAGAGATGGACCCAGAAAAGGTGCGCACTGTCAAGGAGTGGCCAATGCCAGAGTCTATCCATGACATCCAGAGGTTCCTGGGTTTTGCCAACTTCTATCAAAGGTTCATAGCCCAGTTTGCTTGAATAGCCAAGCCCTTGACATCACTGGTAAAGCCTACAGAATGGTTCAAGAAGTTCGAGCTACCAGAGGAGGCCCAGCAGGCCTTCCACCAGCTCATCCAGGCATTCACATCAGCAGGAGTGCTTCAGCACTTCGACTACCACCTTCCAACCAGGTTGGAGACTGATGCAAGTGACTTTGCTATAGCAGGAGTACTCAAGCAGGAGCATGAGGGACGATGGCATCCAGTGGCCTTCTACTCTAGGAAGATGTCTTCTGCTGAGAAGAACTATGAGATCCATGACAAGGAGCTCCTAGCTGTGGTCGCCTGCCTCACTCAGTGGCGACACATGCTAGCTGGACTACCGAGCCAACTGGTCATCCTCACCGACCATGAAGCCCTCAAGTACTTCAAGTCACAGAGATGCATCACAGGTCGACAGGCTCGATGGGCAATACTACTAGCAGACTTCGACTTCATATTGCAGTATCGACCAGGAGACAAAGGTGGTGAACCCGATGCTCTCACCAGAAGGACAGACATGCAACCAGCTGGTGAAGAGCAGGATCACAATGTGAGGCAACTACTGCCTCCTCGAGTGTTCAAGGAGACAGCAGACCATGACTCGACCCTAGTGGCCCCTATGCTCTCGATGGAGTCCATAGCATCAAAAGGTCTCAAAGACCTGGTCAAGATCTTCCAGCCCTTAGACCAAGAGCTACAGGAGATACATGTGAAGAAGCCCTTCAAGGTCAAGGATGACCTATGGTACAGTGGAGGAAGGTTGGTTATCCCCAAAGTGATCATGCCAGGGAGGACCAACAACTGACACTCAAGGAGTGCCAAAGAGGTAGATGGACAGTCCCTCTCTGTAGAGCATCTGTGATTCATGGTGATGACCCAATGCCATGATGGTATCACTGCTGGACATGTAGGAAGAGATGCTACCATCAAGGCAGCTCAACGACATTACTGGTGGCCAAACATGACAGCTTGGATTGCAGACTATGTAGCAAGTTGTCCTGTATGTGCTAGGTACAAAGCTCCTCATCATTGTCCATATGGTTTGCTACAGCCACTAGCAACACCAGACAGGCCCTGGGGCTCCATATCCCTCGACTTCATCGAAGGACTACCACCATCGAAGAAGTATGACTCCAAGACCTATGAATCTATCTTAGTCATTGTCGACAGGTTGACCAAGTTTGCCATACTAGCTCCAACCCATAAGACAGTCACGGCCAAACAGACTGCAGTGTTGCTATATGGACACATGGTTAGACTCTTTGGATACCCAGATCACATGGTCTCGGACCGAGGCAGGCAGTTCATATCAGGAGCATGGAAGGCATTTGCAGAACAAATGGGTGTGAAGCACTCACTTAGCACAGCCTACCATCCTCAAACTGATGGTCAGACAGAGAGGGTCAATCAGGTCATCGAGCAGTACCTAAGGATGTACTGCAACTATGAGCAGGATGACTGGGCCGACCTGCTGGACACTGCAGCATTTGTATACAACAACATGGTCCACAACAGCATTGGTGTCTCACCATTCTTTGCATGCTATGGATGGAACCCCAAAGCTCATCCTGATATCCCTCAACGACTAGGAGTCAATGATCCAGGTCGCTTCAAGTACCTCATGGATGGAAAGGAGCGTTGCAAGTACCTCCAGGAGCGGATCAGAGAGGCACAATGTAGATCAGTAGACCAGTATAACAGGAAGCACAAGGACATTGAGTTTAAGGTGGGTGATATGGTCTATATCAACCGCCGAAACTGGAAGACACGGAGACCCACACCCAAGTTGGATACCCGGTTTGCAGGACCCTACCCAGTTCAGGAACAGGTAGGACGCTGAGCTTATCGAATCACATTGCCAGCAAACCTTAGGGTGCATGATGTGTTCCATGTCTCCATGCTTGAGCCAGCAAGAACAAGTTCTCTTCCTCAACGTGCTGAACAGCCCACCATACCATCACTTCCAGATGAGGACCTCGACTTCGAAGTCGAAGCACTCATCGACAAACGTTCACACAATGGGACTACAGAGTACAAAGTGTTGTGGAGAGGGTACTCAGAAGAAGCTGCTTCATGGGAACCAGTAGAGAACCTCAACTGCCCCGACCTCATCCAGGAGTATGAGGTGTCGGAGGGGGGACGAGCGAGTAGACAAAGTAGAGAAAGGAGGAGAGAACAGGAGGAGTAGAGAGAGGAAGAGGAAGGAGGATGACATTGAGAGAAGGAGGAAGGATGATGTTGGCGATGTTGTCGAGGAGGAGGAGGAGGAGGAGTCAGCATGAACCAGACCAGAGCATGCCTCAACGGAGCTCGGCTCTTAAGAGGGGGGTAGTGTCATGGGCCTGGATGCTCAAGAAGCAGGAGGGTCACGGGTTCATATGGAAGGAGCACAGGTATCGAAGATCTAGTCGATACCAGTAGAGAGCATGGTCGTAGTGCAGTCTCCATGGAGACCATGGACTCCTATGGACTCACATGCAAAGGAGGACCAAGCTCAAGGAGCAGGCACAGCCACGAAGAGGACCAAGCTCAGATGGTTACCACTCAGGGGCTCGAGATACAAGAGTCAAAAGAACTGTCACTGGTCAAAGGAGAAGGAGCAGTGTCGAAGGAGTCGACACCAGGTCATGAGGAGGAGGAGCAGTGTTGAAGGAGTCGACACCATTCAAGAGGCACAGGGGTGCCAAGCAGGAGAGGCCCCTGAGCAGTACTCGATGAAGAAGGTACTCTCTGGAGAGAGAGCAGGAGCAGCATCGCTGGCGATACTGTGAAGAGGTATATAACCATGCTTTCTCATCATCATAGGTCGAGTGGATCCTCATCCACTCTACTCACCATACAACTAGTCAATACTTTAGAAACACAAGTACTCATTAGTTACAGTCAGCATAGCAGCAATCTATCAAGGTTGCTCCTCATCATAGTGTGTGTGTTGTATCACCACTACCTGACGTCCATAGGCGCCCCATAGCAGGTTAGCGGTCCAGATATAGATAGAACCGAAGGCAGTAGTCCACTGCAGTCCGGGGATCACTTCAAGCGTCAAAGTCAACACACTGGACACTCGTGTTGACGCCACCAACCTTATCACCAACACCATCAACCTCATTATCATCAACACTCACCAACCTTATCACCAACATCATCAACCTCATCATCATCAACACTCACACCAGACCTTGGTGTCATCATAACCGAAGCATTGATATTGATCGTGCCAAGCTACCCCTGAATGGAGTGTCCACAGAGGTCAGCCGAAACCTACGATAGTATATACAACGAATGCCACCTGCTGTCACTGTGCAACTTGATAGTCACCGATACCGAGACAATAGCTGTCGCACAGTTTGATAGTCACCGAGTATCTCGACAGACTGACCTGGGTTTCAGGCACGAGACCCCTGACACTACACACATGTTTGAGATGTCATTGCAAAAGCTCCTTGCTATTGCAATGGTATGTAACTAAGTAAAGGTAACTAAAGTAAAGAGTAGAGTGGATGAGGATCCACTTGTTTGTTATGGTGAAGTAGTAGTATTTATGTGTTTGGAGGGTGTTGTCCACAGCACTGCTCCTGCTCCTCTTGGCAGGGTGTCCTTGTCCTCCTCCTACTCCTCATGTGCCATTCCCCTCAACATTGCCTGTCCTCCTCATGTTACCCATGTTGGTCCTTTCAGTCCATCCCCATTTTCTCTAATCCATGGCCATTCCTTTGGCCCCTATCTGACAGCTCTCCTTGACCTTGTGACCATCTGTATTGTTCCACTCCCATCCATGCAGTCTACCTCATGACTGGGTTATGTACTCAAGAGCATGCCCCCCCTGTGGTAACCTGCTGCTTGCTCTTGAGCTTGGTCCTTCTCTTGGCTGAGCTCGGACCTACTCCTCTCATGTGAAACCTTTCTCGCCATCCTGACCTCCCCCTTGACCAAAGGGATCTTCCCTACCAAATCTCCCATCATCTCCCTGTAATCCAGCAGTTTGTTCCATGTTGGTGGCCACTTCTTGTGGTGTGATTGGTGAAATCAACTGGATAGTCATATTCCAATTGATTTCAGCAGAATCAACCAGACAGATGTGATGTGGTCATTGTCAGGTGAAAACAACTGGAAACCCATGATCCAGTTGGTTTCCCAATTTTGTGTGCAAAAGGCTCCTCATATCTCATTTCGGATCTTCCTGCACAGCCTCTATGACACATGCATATACCGACATCACTTTTCAGCAAGATAATGACCTGAAACACACATCGAAGAAGACAACAACATGGTTGGAAAGCAATAGTATTAAGGTTATGCAATGGCTGGCACAGTCACCAGACTTAAACCTGATTGAACACCTCTGGCACCTTCTCAAAATGCAACTTTCATGGTATAGTACAATTGCAAAGTCCAGGGATGAACTGCTCAAGAGATGTGAAGCTGAATGGACAGCAATCCAGATGATATGAGACAGTGTGGCAATACAACTTATAGCTATTGAGCATTAGAGTGATGTATGGTGACATGTAAAATTGTGGGACAGTTTACATGTGAGCTGTATATAGTCATGTATCTACACATCCACAAAGTAATAAGACAAGCATTGTTGTCATCATTCACCTGTGTGAAAGGAGCTAGAACGTAGCCCGGACGAAGCGGTGTATTGCACTTCAAACTTCAACTCATCTGCACATCATTTTGGAGAGACTAAAAAGGGGAGATCATTTTACCTGGTCCAGAGGTGTGTTTTCAGAAACACGTGTTTTTTCAATTTTGGGTGAGCTTATGTAAGATTTTTGTGTGAAATAAAAACACGTCCAAATCGAGAAAAACGTGTTTGTAAAAACACTCAAAGTTTGATACACCCTTATGGATATTCCAGTGTATCTTCAACTGTTTGATACCCCCTAAAAGCGAAACAGAGCAACAGAACGCGGGTCCTCCGACTTCCGCACTTCTTCCTTTCGCAACAGCAGCGCACGGAACAGCCGGCCGGTTCTCCTCTTCTTGGAATGCGAGGTTGACAATCACGCGAGCGGAGAGCAACACTTTCCGCTCGGCTTAGCCTTTTGAGCTTCTTTCCATTCAACGACCACATTGCAGGCCTTTTCAACATATCATACATTATCGCTGCCGTCGTCTTGACTCTGATAAGTCGCTGCATCCCACAACTTGCCGCCGCTTCGTTTCCAATCTCGAATTAGGTTTCGGTAAGCCTCCATCTCGACACTTGGCTCGATCTTTGGTAGCTGGGTAGCTGCGACTCGATGAAGCACAACTACCCTTATGCTGGGCAAGGTGTTCAGCAGCAGCAGCAGGCATATGGACAGCCTCCACCGCCTGCTGGTCCAGCACCTCCATTGCCTTCGTCTGGACCACCACCACCACCACCAGCCTATGCCAATTACGGATATGGCTCGCTTGCTCCTGGACGCCATGCCCCAGCTCATATGAACAGTGCTGGTGCTGGCAGCCCTCAACAATCTCAATGGAATCAGCAGCAGCCTCACTATCTGCAGCAGTCTGGCCCTGGTGCTCCTACTACTGGTCACTATGCTCCTCTGCCTCCGACTCAATCCGGTCCCTATCGTGGTCCACATGCAGGACAAGCGGCAGCATACAGCCCTCATGTCCCGCAACAACAACAACAAGCCGCTCAGTATCCGTACCAAGCTCCAACTCTCAACATGCATTCTCCGTCTCCTGCGCCTCCCGCTTATGCTTATAGTCCCTCTGCTCCTCAGCATCAGAATCTCGCTCCGAACAATGGTAACGCTCAGAACTGGCCCGGAGCATATGCTTCAGGCAATCAGGTAGGTCCGCCAAGCAAGAAAGCGCGCTATCAGGCTCCTGCCGTGCCTTCACCTGTACCTCTATACCGTGCCCCTGGCGTTGCACCCATGGCAGCGCCAATGGGAGGCAACCTGGCCGGCCCTGCAGCGGGTCCGTATGGTCCAGCTGCCGCCAATCCACCATTGCAGCAGCCGTATGCTTGGCAAGGACCCAACACAGCTCCTCCTCCTCATAGGAGTCCGCAACCGGGTCAGCAAGGAAACTTTGGACGTGTTCCTTCGGGCAATACAGGCAGAGGTGGCATGTCTGCTCAACCGAGCAGAGGAGGGAAGAATGCACGAGCAAGTAGTGCTGGAAATGGCCTGGGTCGTGGCATGAATCGAAATGGAACCCAGACTCGAAATGCTGCTCTACCCGCCAACCCAAATGCTTCTATGAATGCTGCACGTACACAGAACGGTCCGGCCCCGGCTTGGGGTCCACATGCTAATGCCACGTCTCCAGGGCCCGCAGGTCGAGCTGGACCTGCTGGGTCGAGTTCCGGTCCTTCTGCACAGCTTGGTGCAGGGCGTCGTGCTTCCACTGCCAGCTCCGTCTATAGCGAAAAGAACAGTCGACGTCAAGGCGCGCCCGCTGTTCCTGGTGCTGGCTCTTTGAGCAAACCAGGCTTTAGCTCACAGAACATGATCCCAATCGATGCTCCGCGCGGTCCGAACGGTGCTCGGAACAAAGCTGTGAAGGGTGGCAATGATGCTCCTTCAACTTCAGAAAAAGGCAACAACGCGGCTGCTCAGATCGCCAGCGGATCCGAGGCTGGTTCTAAGAACGCCAACGGCTCGCGCTCTGGCACAGTTGACGCTATTGCTTCGGTCAAGGACAGCAATCTCGGCGCAAGCTCGAAACGAGCTCATATTGATTTCCGCATCCTCGGTCTGGAGATCAAGGAGCTCGACTGGTCGTGGTTTGCTCCAGAAGCTCTTGGAAAGAATGTTCCAGGCGGTGTGGAGGTTGACATTCAGCAGGATGCGGACCAAGTGAACGCCGAGGCGAACGATGCTCCGGCCGTTACAGCCTCACAGGCAGCCGACGATGATGACATCAAGCGAGACGTGACTATTCCGGCTGATGGCAATCAGGTAGCTAACGCAAATGAGGCTCAATCGACTCGCGGTGACGAAGCTAAAGATGAGGAGAACGACGAACAGAACGCAGATCCGAAGGACGAGGCTGAACCGAACTCCAATGAGATCAACGACCACCATGATGAGCATGCAGATTACGACGAACACCCGCTCGACGCTCAAGGCGAAGCGGAAGACGACGCAGGCGGCGAAGCGGATGCTCAGGCTGACGCTGACGCTGAAACTGGTATTGGCGATGATGCTGATGACGATGCTGAGGCTGACGCAAACGCCGATGGTGATGCAGAAGCTGATCCGGATACTGAAGATGATCTTCAGGCAAACGGCGACGGAGACGTCTCGATGTCTCAAGTCGAGTCAGACTCCCGGCACTCCGTTCCGCCCACTCCCGAGCCCAACGGTGAGCCGCCCAATGGAAAGCAGGCCGCACAAGCCAGCAATGGCTCCAAGACATTGGCCAATCTTCGCGAGTCCACCAAAGTTCGCTTTTGCTTTGCTGCAATGTCCAACGCTGGGCCCGAAGGGGCTCCCACAGGTCCAAAGGCCGAGCAGATCCCCGAAGCTGCTGCGGACACAAGCACTGAGGTCAAGGTGAAAACTGAAGATGGCGTCGAGGCGGAGGCGGACAACGTTTCTGCCGAGGGACAAGAGAAGGCAATGGATGCTCCTGCCGCTGAAGCAGAGCAAGAGAAGCCTGCGAAAGAGGATGCAGGAGCAAGGCAAGAGGTCAAAGTTGAGACTGTGGCAGATGTGAAGCAAGATGAGACTGCTGCAGGTGGACCAGATGCCGACACGGTTGAGGAGAAGTCCTCAGAAGAGCAGTCTGCACAGCTAACAGAGGATGAGGCTGCAGATGCTACTAGGGAAGGAGTGGGAGAGAAAGAGGAGGACAAGAAACAAGAGAGCAAAGCAAAACCTGGCAACGAAACGGAGCAGCAAGACGAAGAATCCGCGACAGCCTCATCTACAGGCAAGAAAGCCAAGCCTCCAGCTGACTTGGCGCCACAAGCAAAAGGTCCGCCTCAGCTTTCACTCAACCGCATCTTCCTATCATTCGCCGCCAACAGAAAGCGCCTCGCCATCGACGCAGAGGCGGTCAAATCGGTCAGGATCCACCGTTCCGAACACTGGATCGAAATCATCATCAACACAGCTCGTCAAAATGCTGCAGCAGGACGCAAAAAAGGGGAAGAGTACCTCGTGTGCAACAAAACTTTGGTAAGTCGATTCATAGCGACACCCTTCATTCTCACCTCTCACATTGCCCATGCTTACTAACTCGTCACACTTCCCCCTCCTACCTGCAGCTGGAGAAACGCGCAAAAGGACAAGAAAACTACACAGCAGTCACTCTTAACGGAATTGCTTCTTTCTGGACCTCCTCCTCCTCCTCTTCCGCCTCCTTCGCCGAGAGTAACGAAGCTGAGCATCTCGAACTTCCCCCATTCTTCCGACTCCCCCATCCATCCCCGCAACTTACAATCCTAGTGAAGTTGGACCCATCAGCACCACTCCCCGAACCAACCTGGCTGCGGAAGAACGACGTTGCCTCTCTTCTCGCAAATCTTCAACGCAGTTCTGGTCGATCCGAGACGGCAGTTTCCGTAGGAGCAGCACAACATGTTTGGGCGGGTAAGATCGAAGTTGTTGATCCCGACCCACCTCCGTCCATGGGGACTGTGCTTTATGAATGGGTGAAAGAATCGGTTGTTGGGAGTCAGAGGGAGAGGAAGAGATTTGTTGATCAACTGCTTTGCAAAGCTAAGGGTCATGGGGTGAAGGAGGCAAAGAAGGAGGAAGAAGGGGAGAAAGAGAGGGAGAGGGATGTTCGAGTGACAAGAAGTTTCATCGAAATTATTTTGAGGTTGATCAAGGGCGAAAGAGTTGCAATCCCCCCCTCCAACCTTAATGACATGGGGGGATCTAGTTCAGCCCCAACCGAATCTTCCAGCTTCAGCCGAGCAGCATCAAAGGCGATGCTGACAACAACAACGACTTATCCAGGATGGATCATGATCAGTCTGCTTAATCTTCTTCTGGACAATCCTGCGACCGATTCAGCAGAGGTAAGGAGGCAAGTGGATAGAATGTGTATGGATATTCCTAAGTCGAGCTTGTTTAAGGGTTTGGATTTGACGCTTAAGGATGGTGTGGGAGATGGTCGCGAATCGACAGCAGGTCAAGGTGGGGTTGGTGGTAGTGGAGGGAGTAAGGTAGGGGCGGGGAGAATTGGCGGAGGAGGAATGGGGGGTGGGGGAAAGGTTGCTGGTGTGAAACGTCAATATGGAGGAGGAGGAGGACAAGGTGGGGCTGGAAGACAAGTTGGTGGTGGTGGTGGCGGTAGGTTTGGGAAACGGAAACGTAACTAGAGCTCGTCCCTGTCGACGTTTGGAACATTGCTCTGCACCAACACTGCAGCTGTCTCAGATGCTGTACTCTATCAAAACATTGCAAGTTCAATCTAAACAGCGCTCGATCTCTGATTGTTGGCGATGAGGGCTAGATCGATATCGTCGCGTTGAACCATTTCAGAGTTCGAGGTCAAGGTGTGAGGGATACTCCTTTTGGAAGCGACATGGTCGACTCCTTTGCGAGAGACATCACAGATGGCTGTGACGAGGTATTGATGGGAAAGCAACTTGAGGGTAGTGTTCCAGACGGCCTGCCTGAGCACGTGTCGGAAGCCCCTACGGACCCTTTGATTCTCTCACACGAATCCTCACTACCTTTTGTTTGTTATCACCCTTTGATCACCATCGCCTCCCTTTGATTACTACCACTTCCCTTTGTATTTAGGAGCGCCCCTCGGGCGCTCAGCAGAACACAGTCAGAACATAGCCAGACATGTAAGGTATATATAGAGGGGATTTGCACCCCCCCCCCCCCCCCTTCACGTCTTAATTCAAGCTTCCCTCCTAACGTACTTGAAGGCCCTAGGAAACAGTAGGGAGATGGACTACTTGGCTCACTTCGCCTGCACCTACTACGCCGATTTTCAACCTGGAGTCCGACATTTCCGTTTCGAGGAGATTGTGGAATCAAACAGGATGTTGCTAAAGATCGCTTTTCGTGCTGTGAGTATGAAGCGGAAAGTCCTGGTAATGGTGATGAATCAGTCAGCACGCATTTGGCTACATGTGAATGAATTCTGATGCTCCGAAAGGCATTGGAAAACGGAGATGAGTATCACACATGGCTAGCATTGCTATGTATCGTGTCCCTCTGAACTTGACTCCTTCAGATGTCCTGTCTGGCTATATGCTCCTCGCTTCCAGAGAGATTGCGTCGGAAAGTGTTATGGATGGTAACGGACACAAAGCAAACCCAACAGACGTGATCAAGATGTTTGAACTTGGTCTAGACCAGCAACATCAAGCGTGAGCACAAGGTCGTTAGCGTGGAATTTCTGCGAGTGAGTGCAAGTACTGGACAGCCAAAGTTGTAAACTGTTAGATGGTGGCAGACTTGGGTGGTAGGACGCGGCTTTTGATTGCGTACGACAACGATGAGCAGTAAGTACAGATGGATAATATACGATGCTTGTTTTGGATCTCCTGCGCAGGGTCTTCTGCGCAGACCCTGTGACATCTACTTACTATTTCACTTACTCTTTACTTAGTTTCTGTATCATTGCAATAGCAGTGCTTTGCAAAGACCTTCCAAGCACGTGTGTTGTATCATTGTTGGACGTCAACTGTAGGCGGTGCTCAACACTGTGGTCCAGTCAACAACTGTAGGCGGTGCTTATCACTGCAGTCCAGTCATTCCTTGTAGGTGGTGTTCTACACTGTGGTCCAGTCTCTCTCTCCATCTGTAGGCAATACTCTATTGTGGTCCAGATATCTTCCACCTTCATCGAGCGACTGTCAGCATGACGAACACTCGTGCTGCCACAGGTGTCAATCTGTTATACTTAGGTATAGCCTTAGCAAGACAAACCCATTCTACGATCATGCTGCATAGCCTCTGGACGGAGTGTTCAAGGCGGTCAGTCGAAACCTATTTGAAGCAGACCTTCTGGTTCCTTTCACCAAAACAGTTCGGAAGGAGCTTACTCAGTTGATCTCACTGATATCAACCAGGACCACCAAACTCAGGTTTCAGGCGTGCGACCGCTTACAGGTCTGTATACGCGTCACCCAGCGGGAGCGCAACTATAGCGCGCGCTCGCCCAAACGTCTCCCTTTCTTCACTTCCATCATCTCCCTTCGCGCTGGCCCAGTTGAAGATGCGTCGGCATTCCAACGGGATTCACGGGGTCCAATCGAATGTCGATGAAGCGAGGTTGTGCATAAGCGATATGCATGTGGGATACATGAGCGTTGCCATAGCAACGACCCAGGAGTGATGCAGAAAGCGACGACTCAGGAGCAACACAGGAGGCGACTCATCTCAGTCTAGCGTGCTCAGAGATGGTGATAAGGTATATATACGCTTGTATGGTCACACTCCAGCATAGTAATCTCAAGCATTCAAGAAGTCATACGCCTGTGAACAGGAGCTTGCTAGTAGCTCAGGACAGCATATTGTACTTATAATCTTCAATTAGCCCCTTTTTTGTTAATTGAAGATAACAATTAATACACGGCGTTATCGGGGTCACGATCAGACTCCCTTTACAACAGCCGTATGTTCTATGTAATGCTTGGTTTTCATAGTGTGAACCTAAATGACAAACACATATATATACTCCATTCGCCACTCTAGTCCTATCCGAGACAGGACGTGTCACTTCATTCGTACTCCTGTGTTGCTATGATACTGAGTGCCACTGAGCTGTCGCCATGACAACAATCATGTACCTCATTGTGCTTCTCGCTTAAGTAAGCCTCCTGTGCCTCGGTGTCTCGGCCGTGACACGTGCATCTTGCTTGAGTTTCCGACGCATCTTCAACTTTGTTACATAGGTCTCACGCGACTCACGCGACTCACCCGAGTTAGGCAATCAACTTTTTTTTCTCATGATCTCTTCACGACCTCCATTTCTCCTTGTATATCGGCCAAGTGACCAGCGAGGACGTTGATAGTATACAGAGAAGAAACCAGAGCATGAGAACCACGATCAAAAAGTATATATACAAAACAAAACAAAAAAGAGTTCGTTAAAGAAACCGAAAATAACCCCCTCCTCCTCATCCTTACTCCGCCCCTCTTTAGGCGTAGAACTTTTTGTTGATCAAATAAACCAACATATTTATCCCAACCTCTACCTTCCCCTCTAGAACCTCCATTGTTGGTTGACCATTAAACTGTGCCTCCAGAAGATCTTCGATCCTTAAATCAGTACTATAGCCTGCACTGCCTCCGTTAAGAACTTCGATTCTGAATACTCCTGGTTGGTCTGATGAGATTGTCAGGTTCACCTCGCCTCCTGTAGCCGGTTCGCCATTTCTTCCTACGGTTGCACTGTGCAACTTGTTCCCCGACCCTGATGTGGGTAGTGAAGGTTCGAGGTCAACTCTAGTCAAAACTCCCTTCTCGAGAAGTTTAGAGGAGCTGTATTTATAAGATCCAAACTTGGGCACTTTACCACCGTTTTGTTTGAGACTGCGCAAATGGAAATACTGTTGGCTAAACGGCAAAACAAATCTTTTCTTCCCCTTCCTACCTCCCTGCATAGTTTGCATACTCGCATCGATGTATGAATGGTAAGAATTGATCTGTTCCTCAAGATAACTCTTCTTTTCTGCCAATTGCTGAAGTGTAGCATGCATCGCTTGTTTCTCGTTCGCACGTTGAATACGCTTGCGGTGTTTGTTCCGGATATCGATAGCGATTGCGTTTAACATGTCTTGATATTTGTTCGAACGGGAAACTTTACCGAGCTTTTCGAGTGAGAGCATGTTCTCGAGCGTACGGGCTTTGAGTTCGGAGAATGTGAGTCGTCGGACGTCTTCAAGTCGACCAGTGGCGGAGGAGGTGGGGGTGGAGTAGAGGGGGATTCCAGGTGGACGAGATCCACGTTGACGTTGACGTTCAGCGGCGATTTCGAGTGAAACAATCTCTTCCCATTGTAATTCTTCTTTCTCTGTCACTGGGGCGACAAAGACATCCACTAGGCTTTTGCCGGATTGCACCTTTAGCAGGCTCAAGACTAGTCGCTTTGTTTCGACGAATAACGCCTTTGATTCCGCCTCTGGATCTTGCAGGGTTGCCATCCGAGAAACGAGCTCGAAAGTGATTTCGCTATCCCTAGCCGAATTGAGTTCCTGCGTATTCGAAACTGGTGGTGCGCCGAGTTCGCCCAGAATCACCCGCAGCGGATCCTCTTGATGCGGTGCAAGATGTTCGACCTGTTGAGCCAGGAGGAGATGCATTGAGTAGATCTCGTTGGGAGAGATATAGATCACTGGCTTCTGCTGAACGGTGTGATCGAGGAATTCATCCGCACTGAACTGAAGTTCGGCATCCGGGCAGTCCATGATAGTGCGTAGCCACTTGAAGAATCTCTCCGACGCATGCGAAACATACTCGTTCAGCGGTTGCAGATAAGGATTATCATCCGAAAATAATTTGCCCACTGCAATCTGAGTTAACATCTTCGACACCTCGGCCAAATTTTTCCTCTGAACTGGGCCCACCAGCGTCTCTACCACATCAAACCCTTCCGGCGCAACAATAGCAGGGTTTAGATAGCGATAGTACACCAAATGACCCACTACTTTGATCAATGCTTCTTCTGGTTCAGAGGGGAACTTGGACTGCAAGGCTCGGAAGAGTTCTCGTGCGATGTAGCGCACACCATAGGGCATCTTTCGGGTGGAGCCGAGGATTGCGGTGAGGAAAGCCTCGGTGGTTGCACGAAGAGATTGGAGGTGACGGATGAAGATGGTACGTGCCATCGGATCGGCAAGGGCGTCGTTGAAGGGAACTTCCAGGGGTCGACGTGAAGGTTGGCCTGTTTCCATTTCTTCTTGGTTGATGGTGGAGCGATAGATTGCGCATGGGTCCGTTTCGAGATCGAGACCTTCTTGGTTCATGATATCGGAAACGAGGGGTGAGAGAAGGTCTTTGAGATACTTGCGTTCTTTTACATCGCGGTTGTATTGCGCGACCAGCTTGATGAATTGTGCGTTGCCTCGGATGAATTCTTGAACGGTGGAGACGAAGGTTAACTCTTCCTGGACGCAGCGTTGGAAGAGTTTGAGGAGCAAGAACTCTTCTCTGGCTTTCTGGGCATAACCGAAGAGAGTGAGGACGATCTTCTCGACTTGACGCTTGTCGCGATCGGCCATATCGAGTTTACCAACCCGAGCAAAGAGACGGGCCAGATACTCCGGTCGAGTCTGAAGTGCGTAAAACAACTCCTGGTACAACTCAAACTTCCTCCTCGAAGCCCTATCCAGCGTATGATCAGCAAAAGGATCATTTGCAGCTACCAAGACCGAGTTACGCTTCTGCACCGCCGCCGCAGCCTCCCTCTGCCCCAACAACCCGCGCTCGTTCTTCGCCTTGATCAACTCTTCAATACCAATCTTGTTCTTTACCAGCAATGCGATCTTCGTATCAAGTTCACTTACGTCGTTCTCGAGCGTCTGCGATTCTCTAATCGCTCGGACGACAAGCTTTCGCAATCGCTCGACTTCAATCTCGTCCTCGAAATCCGCATCCGAGTCGTTCAGCAGATGACCGAAGTTCTTGATGGTAGCCACCGGAACGTTTTTACCCATGGTGAGACTGCGGTATTGTTCACCCTGCTGTCTACTACGGAAGAGACTCTGGATCTTGACGACCTTATCCATGTGTTCGTGATAGTGTCGAAGACGGGAAAAGAACTTGCGTCTGCTGAGCACACCACGGATGAGACATTGGAGATGAACAGCAACGGGCTCGCTTGAGAGGAGATGGTTCCTCCACCACTGATATTCGGTGCGAACGAGCGTGCCTCGGATTGCAGCCTGGATACCGACGACGTCTGGGGTGACGAAATCGAGTTGCTTCTTCTGTTCCTGATGCTTGCGACGGGCAAGAGCAGCACGTGCGAAGGATTGCAAGCCTCCAACAGCTGCTTTCACTTCGACTTTTTGCAGTGCAGATCGCATTCTAACGTGATCCTTGCGAGCTAATACACCTCGGATCTGAGCCTGAACTGCAGTGATAGCATCACTCGAACTACGCAGCCCCCTGATGGTGTTCAGCAACTTCTGCTTGGCAAGTACGGATCGACAGGCGGCCTGCAATTTGATGACATTCTCGGTCGAGTCGGCGAGACGGTAGATGAGTTTCTCGTAAGCAGTGCGTGCAAGACGACCACGGATCTGTGCTTGCAATCCAACAACACCGGACTCGTGCTTGTCGAGCGCCTTGATGTTTTGGAAGAATCGACGACGAAAGAGGGCACCGCGGGCACGAGCCTGGAAGTGTTGGATAGCACGAGCGTTGCCTGCATCGTGAACGCGCTTGACGTGCTCGATGTGGGTCTGACGAGCGAGCTTGGCACGGACGGCAGCCTGAAGTCCAACGAAAGTGCGTGTGCTGGTGTGAATGGCGGCTTGCTTGCGGTGGAAGTTGCGACGAGCAAGCACTCCACGAATTTGGGCCTGCATGAGTGGAGCCCATCTCGACACAATGCGATCCTCTTCAGCACGACGCTGACGTTCTTGCTCCTCGAGACGACGAACGCGTTCTGCCTCGGCCGCTGCAGCTCGTCTGGCCTCTTGCTCGCTTCGACGCTGAATCTCGGCCTGAAGACGATCAGCAAACCTCGTCCTCGCCACAAACGCCCTCGCAGCAGTCTGCAGCGCCATCACAGCATCAATGTTCTGCATAAGCTCGCGATCGATCCTTTCCTGTTCCGTCTCCGGTTCCGGCTCTGGCTCGATGTTCATCTCCTTCGCCAACGCCTTCCCAACAGCGCCGAACGACGGCATAGCAACACCGCTCGCATCCAACCCCTTCTGTGTCTTCTGCAACTGATCATCTGTAAACTCGAGCTTACCGATCAAGTTGCCCACCTTTAACGCTCTACCCTGACGAGCAAGTACGTGACTGAGCGCGTGAATGCAGTAAACGACCTTGGGGAAGTTCTTCTTCTCGTACAGATCGGTCAATTCAAACTGGAAGAAAATGGGCAGTCCAGCCCTGTTGATAAAGCTGAAGAAGTAGTTGATGTTGTCCGTGTGTCGATACTGGAGTTTAGGATGGACAAAGATCCTGGGTACGCAGTCGGGTTCGAATTTCTTTGCGAGTTTGGCGAGGAAGATACCATCTCGCATCTCGTTTTCCATCTCGACGACGTGACCGAGTTGCTCTCCGACGTGGAGCTCCATCCATTCCTTGGCTTCACCACAGTGGCAGAGATACTCGTAGGCTTGGAGAAGATGACGTTGAGTGTCCATCCATTTGCTCGAACTTGTGAAGGGAAGGTTGGAACTAGCTGCGGAGGGACGGCCTAGTGCCATAGTACCCGGGCCATCTGCGCGTGCCAGACGAATACGTCCGTGAAGACCAGCAACATCCTCGGCACCAGTAGTGATACCGGGAAGCACGATTTCGCCTTCTTGATCTTCGCTCTCCATTCGACCTGGACGAGCGGGTTTCTGCCAGCCTTCCTCGATGGTGGGTTCGAGGTTGAGACCGTTGAGGCTGTTAGCGAGAGGTGAAGCGGTAGCATCGATGCTCTGAGTGCGCTGACCACGTGATCGGCCGACCGTCATTCGTGTATGGCCGTGCTGATCGCCGTATGCACCGAGATCGTCAGTTTTCTTGGTAAAGTCTTTGATCATTTTGAGCGCACCAACACTGGAACGCTTGAGATCTTTGACACCGCCAAGATGAAGCTGAGATGGACCGCTCGACGATCCTACATTGGCACCGTTTGCTCCATTGCTCCAGAAGCTGCCCTGGGTAGGGGTGGAAGGAGATTGGATGCAGGAAGAGTCGTCCTTCTTGGGCGAAGAGAGAGGCGAATCGTAGCTGCGTTCCTTTGTGGGCGAGACAGGGCGGTCGTAAGGATGCTTGGTGGGGGAATAAGCGCGAGCTCGACCCACAGTCGACGAGTTGAACAGGTTGTCTCGCGGCGCTGGAGGCATCGAGATGGGTCTGCCATTCGCACCACGAGAAGCAGCTGGGAAAGTAGCTTTGCTGAAGGTGGCTGGCACTGGTGAGGTGGTTGCGCTGACCGAACCGTTGGATGCAGAACTGGAGAGACTACCGTTGGAGCCAAAGTGACCAGCAGAGGGTCCGTGGGGTGAAGCAGTGGGGCTGTGAGCAGAAGGTGAAGCAGCAACAGCAGCAGCAGCAGAACGCAGTTCAGCAGCTCGTTGAGGGTCGAGCGAGGCAGTGTGACGATGAGGAGCAGGGAAGCGTCGAGCTGAACTAGAATGGTGAAGACCGTTTGCTGCTGCTGCTGCCGAAGCGCGTGTTGGAGCGGAATCGAGTGTAGAAGAAGCAAGAGAGAAGGTGCTACTGCGAGAAGAGGATCGCTCGAGGTATTTGGACTGGTATGCGAACGGACTGCTGCGTGCGTTAGGACTAGCAGCCGGCAGCGTTGGTTTTGCCTGCTGATCCATTAATGTGGCCAGGCAGCAATACTACTGGAGGAACGCGAAGGTGAAAGTGCCACGGCAAGTGGTTTGTATGCTGGTGTTACTGCTCGAAAAGGGATGGTGCTCGGGGTGCAGTCCAATATGCAACGTCGGAAGTGGTGTACGCGTCCACTGTGTCTATGAAGGTGGCCAGTTGTTGTCCGGCTAGTGCTAGCGATACAAGCTTCTATAGTCTGTCGTAGAAGTTGAACGGCAATGATGGTGGTGGTGCGTAAAAAGGAGGTCGCCTTGATGCGTAAAGGCGGAGTCGTAAGCGGGCGTTAGTGATGACCAAGAGTGTGTTGAGGAAGAGAGTGGGAGCGTATTGACGGCGTCGTTGATGTTGTTGGGTGGTGATGGTGAGGGGGAGGCTAAGTTGAGTCTCGCGTGTCGATAGGGTGGAGGATAGTTAGCCAACTGCCACCTTCTCACGCCAACTCTTGCACACACAGCGCTCAGTTCTCACTTCTGGCTCTCTCTTAGACTTGTCTTAGGGGCCCTCAAGCCAAACTCGAAAGAGGCCTAACTCTGCACAAGGGCTGCGCGCGCACATTCAATTTCCACTTGCACTTGCCAGAACGAGGAGGAAGAGGGCGTACACAATAGTGCTTGCACCCTGCAGTAACTGGCAGCCCACAATCGACGATTTTCTGTTCTTTCAAGTTGGCGATGACTGAAAGCACACCACAATGCATCTTTCTAGCAGCATCCAAGTATCATTCAAGCGACGGTGAAGAGGGTTATGAGGGCTGGGGAACGAGGAGGCAACGCAAACTGCCAAAAGAAAAGCTCGTTGGAAAGGGGCCAAAGCAAGCGAAATTTGTAATGGTGTTGTTCTCGCTTCTGAATACAACTTTCTCTTGGATTGTATTCGTGGCGCGTCGATTAGGGGTCAACTCCCCTTTCGCTATTTCAAATCACTACTCACCAGGCCAACTTCTATCCAACTGCCTCGTCCACTCAACCACTTCACCGCCCTCGTGCCAGCGGGAGCGACCTGTGTTGGTCTCCAGAGTCGCGTGTTCTTTATCACGTGATTTCATCAATTTGCCCTTTCGAACCTCTTCAACGGCGCAATAGAGTTGGCCCTTGCCTTTTTTCACGTTCGACACCGCGCTCGCTGTCAACAGCCCAGACTGATACGCTACACCTCGAATGATATCGCCACATAGCACAAAGCACACTCTGAAACTTCATAAATCAAGAATCCCTTTTGTCATGGTGCTGAACTGGTAGTGTACTACATGATCGTACACTCCTCGCCCGCATTGCCGCTACCCCCAAAGCCAGGCAAACCGTCCAACTCAGTAGGCATATCCCCAACAATCTCCTTCGGAGGACTACCACAGTCTTGCATCTGGTTCATCAACTCCTGTATCCTTCCACCCTGTTCCTTGTTCTTTGCATCATACCCTGGTTGTTCAAAGATCCTTACAATCTCATCAATGTATTTACTCTGCAATTCGTATCTCTTCCTATCTTCCTCCGAGATTCCTTTGCTCTCCTCCCCAGCTAGATATGCAGGGTATTTGTCTCTCAGTTCTTTAAGTGGCTCATAGAGGATGTCGCGGGACATAAGCTCGTCCATCATCCCCTCCAACATCTTTGTCAACTCGGGATTATCCATTGCGCCTTCTAAGCCCGAGAGATCACCGGATCCACCGAGAGCGGCGACGAGTTTGGCCATTTCTTCGCCCTCCGGACCGGACAGCCCCGCGAAGGGGTTAGAGGAGGCAGAGGAGGAGGAGGTTGCGGTTGCGGTTGCGGTTGCGGTTGCATCGGATTCTTTGAGTTTAGCCAAGGTCGCGGAGATCGCATCGTTGAAGTTGCCCGGCTTGTTGCCTGCAGCAGTGGTAGCAGCTTCGCGGGAGGTGGAAGAAGAGGGACCAGCAGCAGCAGAGGATGCAATGTTGGAGCAAGTAGAGGCGGAGGGAGCAGAGGGTGCGCTGCCAAAGCCAGCCATCATAGCTTCGAATTGCTTCATCAGTTCTCCCTCGTTAAACTCTCCGTTTGAACCGGGTGCGCCAGCCATCAATCCTTCAGCATCAACATTCGCTTGTCCGCCCAGCTCTTTCATCAGTTGCTGCATTCCTTGTGCTAGCTCTTTGGCGAAATCTTCCGAGAGAACGTCGTCTAAAGCTGGGTCATCGGCAGCGCGTTCACCAGCAGATGCGTTCTCCTGGTTTGCGGTGGTTGTTTCCGAGCTCGACGCTGCTGGTGGCTTCGATTCTGTTGCAGCAGCGGAAGCAGCAGGCTTTGAGCTTGAAGGCTGATTGAATTCCTCCAATACATCTTCAGATTCAAGGCGAAGCAAAGGTGTCAGTTTCGGATCACTTTCCAAGAAGCAAACTTGTGTTTAGGCAAAGTGTTGCTTACCATCAAGGTCATCCAAATCATCCACGTCTTCCACGTGCGCTGAGGCTGGTGGGGACTTTGTTGCCGCCGTAGAGGCAGAAGGTGTACTGGTGTTGCTCGACATTGCTTGCGTTGAACCCTCGAGAGTGGTTGTTGGAAGGAAGGAAGGAAATCGGGATCGAAACAAGATAGTGATCATGGGTTGCGTTGAGCCGCGCCCTCTTTTGGAGATGTGGGCAACCGGTCACTTTCAACAGCCGGAACAAGAACGGGCACCAGCACAAGCCAACACAGTCCTGCGCTTCCAATCAGCTGCGCCTATTTTCAGTTTCCCTTTTTTTTTCTTTTTTTTTCTTTTTTTTTTTTCTTCTAACCCATTTCAATGATGTTAGATTTTTTCGCCTTTTTGTGTAAATGTTGGTGTACAGGATCAAACATCTTTGTTTTTTTGGGCTCCCAGGCCGGCGACTAAAATCAGCGACAACGACCGACGTCATCAACATCCCCCGCAGTTGAAGTTGAAAGGTAGAAACACCACTTTGTCAGGGCCACGATCAGGCTCCCTTCGCATAGGTGTATAGCAACTGCAATGCTTACTTGTATTCGAGTGGACCCAAGCTACGAACATGAGTATATATATCTTCACATCGTCTCTGAGAACATCGAGCAGCCCTGAGTCGTTGCCATGTCAACCTTGATGCATTTCATGTGTCTGGGCGAAGCTCGTGAATAAGCGGTGTTTGCTTGCACCACCTTGGCCCTGTCGGCATTCTGGATAAACCCTGGAAATTTTCCGACGTATCTTCAACTCCCGCTCTTGCCACCGACGAACAGCGGCTATGCATGTCTCTGCCTGCGGTAACAATCATCCTTCACCAACCGACGTGAAGCTGTTCCTGCCGTTCAGCTCAGATCTGGCATGGTTCGTTCGCCAGACCTGCCCCTTCTTGTTCCTCGGCCCATATCTATCTTGATCCCCTCCCACCTCTCCCACCTCTCTCAGTCATCACCACCATCTCTCTTCATCACACCACACACAAACCAACCCGACTGGCCCAACCATGTCTACTACACCGTACGAACTCAAATGGGGAATCCTAGCAACAGGAGGAATCGCTGATAAATTCGCTCGAGATCTCCTCATCGATCCTTCCACTCGAGACGTCTCGGATGTTAAACACAAAGTGGTTGCTGCTGCCTCCTCTACCTCTGCCAAACGCGCTGCTGATTTCATCTCTTCAATCGGTGCTGAAGGGGCTCAAGGATATGGTTCTTACCAAGAACTCGTCAAGGACCCCGAGGTTCAGATCATCTATGTTGCCACTCCGCATTCGCATCACTACGAAAACACGTTACTCGCCCTTAATGCGGGGAAGCATGTATGTTGTGAAAAGCCATTCACCATAAACGCTGCTCAGACTAAACATCTTATCAAGGTTGCTAGGGAGAAGAAGCTATTCTTGATGGAAGCGGTATGGATTAGATTCTTCCCGATCACGCTTGAAATTCAGCGTCTGATCCATCAAGAGCGTTGGCTTGGCCCTATTCGCCGAGTATTCTCCGACTTTGGGATGCAGTTTAAACCAGACCCAAAACACCGCCTATTCAACCCCGAGCTGGGCGGTGGTGCGCTGCTAGACCTTGGAATCTATGCTCTCACTTGGCAGATGCTCACTCTGTTTGCTGATCCAGACAACCACAAAACCGCACCCGAGGTGACGGGTTCGATCGTAAAGTCAAAGTTAACTGGAGTAGACGCATCCACTACGATGGTATTCAACTTCCCCACCATCAGCGCACAGGGAATCGCAACAACAAATATGACCATTCGATCAAGCGAAAAATACGTAGTCCTCATTCAAGGCGAGAAGGCCGATATGACTATTCCTTGGGCTCCTTACCGCCCAGAATCCTTCACAATCCACCAAAAAGACTCCGAAGGAGTATATACAGGTAAAAAGGAGGACAACAAGTTTGATATTCCAGGTCATGGAATGTTTTGGGAAGCCGACGCTTGCGCCCGTGCTATCCGTGACGCAAAGATGGAAGAGGAAAAGTGTAGTTGGGCGGAAAGCACCTTGACGATGGAGATTATGGACAAGGTTAGGTATGGTGGTGGTGTGCGGTACCCTGATCACATCGAAGCTGTTCATCCGGATGCCTAATCACATCTTGTAACTGTAACGCACACCTTGTGGAGAATGAAGAGTTGCAACAAGAACCTAATTACAGAATGCCAAGCGAGTGTTAGGCGTGGTTAAGCACGACCGAAAAACCTCCTAACTCTCTCCCCTAAGCTTGGACTAACACTTTGCCCCTTTACTGCACGATCGATGCTCCTGATTAACCTATCGTAATACTCTGGCTGAGATTTTGGTTTGAGCATGGACTCTGGCAATGGATACTCCATTGAGACTTTGTTCTCCTTCAACTCCTGCAGCAACCTAAGGCTCTTCCTTGCGTAATCGAGTTCTGCTTTGGTGAGTGTCTTTGTTCCTGGCAGCGGGTCAGGTAGGGGGTTGCCAGGGGGCTTCGCATGGACTTGTTCCGGATGTAACGAAGATTGGCTTTGAATAGAGAGGAGTGAAGTTTGGGCTGCGGCGATGATGCTGTTCCCAAAGTCAATCTCAGGACGCAAGGGATCCTTAGGCCAGGACTGAGCGAGGGAGATAAACTCTTTGTAGAGTGACTGGATCTCTTCGGATGTGGCGACGTCTTTGGTAGGTGCAGGACCACAAGTTCGAGAGGTGGTGGAGAATGCTCGTGCTTGTTGACCGATTGATTTAGAGGCGGAGAGGTGGGATGCGGAGGTAGAGGTGGAACGAGAGAGCTCGTCACAAACGACGAGCAGACAAGATTCGATAATGTCGACTGCTTTATCCACTTGTTCCCTGGTGACGGTCAAACTTGGGAGGATACGAATTGTATCGGATCCAGCGGTGAGGATGAGTAGTCCACGCTGACGTGCCAAAGCAACAACCTTGCCAGCATGAGCCGGATCCTTTGTGCTAACACCGACAATGAGCCCCTTTCCACGAGGACTGGGTTTACCTGCTTCTGGATCATTCAACAAGAGATCGGGGAACATAGCAACCAGGTTGTTGAGTCGGCTGAAAAGCGCCTGGGAAGACTCCATCATGCTCTCACCCAACTCGTTGCTTGCCAATCGACCCAAGACGTGGTGTGCGATACGGGAAGTCAAAGGACCACCACCGAACGTCGTACCATGATCACCAACCGCAATCAGGTTCGCAACCGAATCGCGCATCAGCACCGCACCAATCGGGAAGCCGTTCGCAAGCGGCTTAGCCATAGTCACCATATCCGGGTGAGCATTGGTGGGGTACTCGCTATGACACCAAAGCGTGCCTGCTCGGAAGAGCCCACATTGAATCTCGTCAAAGATCAACATTGCTCCAGCCTCGTCACACCTCTTTCGCAAAGCCTGAAGGAACTCGAGTGAGGCGGGGAAGATTCCACCCTCACCCTGCACCGGCTCGACAATAACACCGGCAGTAGTCTCGTCAATCAAACTCTCCACTCCAGCGACATCGTTGTAGGTGCCTACCTTGACATCTCCAATCAAGGGTGCGAACGGAGCCTGGTATTTAGGGTTAGGTGTCATGGCAAGCGCCCCCATAGTTCGACCGTGGAAAGCGTTCTTAAAGCTAACCAAACCCGTCTTCTTATCGCTACCCTTGGTAGGATGGGACTTTGCAGCCTTACGAGCGAACTTGAGCGCTGCTTCATTTGCCTCTGTCCCCGAGTTGGCAAGGAAGACCTTCAAGCCAGCACTATCAGGAGTAGAAGGTTTGGTTCCCTTCTCGAATCCCATCCCACCATGCTTGTGCGTCAGGGTGACCATTCGATCCGCCAACTCACCGGACCATTGGTTGTGGTACAAGTTGCTGGCGTGGACGAGCTTTGCACTTTGATCAGCGGCGATTTCGGCGATTTCTGGGTCTGCATGACCGAGCGAATTGACAGCGATACCGGAGGAGAAGTCGAGGTACTTGCGTTCGGTGTGGCCTGCGTTGGTGTTGGGATCAGCAGCTGCGTACAAATGGAGGCCGTTACCGCGGGTGAAGATGAGTTGGGGTCGGGAGTATGTGGCGAGGACAGAGCGAGAGAATCGGTCGAGTGTGTCGGCGATCTTGGAGCCACGTGATGCATCGCCGTCCGGATGAGAGAGGGAGATGTAGTCTGCGCATGGCTTCTTTGTGCTGCTGGAGGCGGTAGCAGGTTTGTTGGCGGCGTGTGTAGCGAGAAGACGGATGTGCGGACGTGCAAGAGAGAGAGATGCTTGCGATCGCCTCATTGAAGAGGTGAGAGCAACGCGGGTGGCTGCCATCGTAGACACGGAAGCTAGCGTATGCTTGCTAGCTAGAAGCGTGATGAGGGAGGTTGTTGAAGTGATCGCCTATCGAAATCCGGCAAGTGAATTTGGATGATGATGTTGGTCGATCCTTATCCGTGCATCTCAGTCTGTGTGTGAGTCGAGAAGGAAGATGTGAGTCGGGAAGGAAGATGTGAGTGAGCAGCTAAGAAATGCGCACACTTATCAGCCACAGCCAAGAAGAATGTGGAGAGTCGCACGAAAAAGAAAGAAACAAGAGACCGCAGAAGGGCAGAAGAAGAGTCACATCAGAGTCATCTTCCTTAGCTTTTCGAGCGGCGACCTTTTTTTTTTCTTTTTTTTTTTTTTTTTTTTTTTTTTTTTTTTTTTTAATCGTTTCGATTTGATTTTTGATTTTTGATTTTTCGTATTTTCGTATTTTCGTGAAATTCTTTTTCTTCCGATTTTCTCACCGAGCGTTCAGATTTGTGCGCTGTCTGACTCGCTCGCCCTCAACCCCCTCATGTCCTCGGCACTCGCCTGACGTTGCGTACAACGATCAAGTTGTTACCCTTCCGATCGACCAAGGGTTCAGAAAACAGAGTCGTTCCCTTATCGACCTTGACACGTAATTCGAGACTTCTAGAGACTTGCAATTTGGTCCTCTTATCGGTTGATTTGGAGTTATGGATGCGTCCTCGGAGACGGCCGATGAAGGACAATCGAGTGTCTTTGGAATAGGACGGGTGTCCATCTTTGACACTCTTTGGCGCTGTAAGTCCATCGCTCGTGACGTCTGTTCCGGTAAGCTGACATTGCCCTGTCGAGACACGGTAAAGTGAGGCGGTGGACAAAAGACTCAAGATCCCGTCAGAGACGAGGTATATCTAGACACTTTGAACCGGATAACAGAATCCTTTCTCCAAGTAGGGACATGACTGAGCCTGTTTCCATCCGTGCCTTCTATCTTCAGAGGGATGGCTAAGTCGAAGTTGTGACCGTCAAGAAGCAGTCGGCACATCCAAATCCGACAGTAGAAAGCGTGCCAGTCGTTCAATTCTGATCAGAGCAATTTGCTCGGCACACTTGTATACGCTCTCGGAAGTGTTCGATTGATTCAATGCAAGGGACTTGAGATTCAAAGTGAACAAGTGGGCGTGGCGGCAAGTCCGCATCAACGCGTACAGCAAAGAATCAACGAAACAGAGATGAAACCTTTCAAGAGTGGCCTGGAAACGGGATACAACGAAAGAAAACCCCAACATTACCGCTCTACCGAGCAGCACCGACGCCAACACTGCTACCTGCGCTCGACAAACGAGCGCCAAAACTCATCCCATTGCCACCAAAGCTTGCAGCACGCGGACTGGCGCATAGCTTCGACATGGCGTCTTTGCGCAGACGACTGTTCATGCGAGCTTGGAAGTTGACTTTCTGGAAGTCGTTGGGTTGACCTTTGGGCTGACGACGAGGTTGGATGGGCGGGAGTGTGAGACCGGCGTTGTTGATGGGAGTGTTGCTGTCCGAGGCACTGCCGTTGGTCTTGAAAGCGCGGTGGGTGGGAGCAGCTGAGAGATGAATGGCACGAGAGATGGCCTTGGGTGCTGGGATGGGTGGTGTCGAGCAAGTCGAAGTGGGCGCGCAGGCTACGGCTCCTCGACCAAGCGATCCGTAGAGACTGTTGGCGAGCTGCTTCGGTGCCTGCATCTGGTGAGGTGTGGGCGTGGTGGATTGAGCTTTGGCCAGAGGCGTGTTGACTTCGAGGTCTTCTTCGCTCGTCTCGGGCGTCTGGTCGCCTTCGACCTGATCATCAGACTGAGCGCGAGAGTCTTCGGAGGCGCTGTCGTCGATAACGATCGAAGGGGTCACAGTGCGGGAGCGCATCGACATGATACTGTCAGTGGTGCCGGACGAGGGGCGCATGCCTTTGCGAGATTGAACGCTCGAAGCAGGCGAGCCACCGCGCTGACCAGGAGGTGTAGGCAGTCTGTCCTCGCCAGGCACAGCTCCACCTCGCCAGCTTCGCTGATTCAAGGGAGTGCGGGCAGGCGAGGGTCCTTCGCTGCTAACCTTGCGCGTGTGTCGGTTGAGGATGTTTTGCAGGTGAAGCTGCTGCTGCTGTTGCTGCTGCATCGACTGCTGAGAAAGCTCGTTGTATGTAGCACCACCGTGCACATCATTCTCGAGACCCATGGTCTGGTAGAGCTGCTGGACCTGACGCTGACGCAGGCTAGCTTGGATGCTGGCTTGAGCAGCCTGCCTCTGCTCCTGTGCAGACGCAGCTGCAGTCTGGGCCTGGTTCATGAGGTCGGCATGGTGCGATGAGCCATTCTCAAAACCATCATTGCCACTTTGAAGTTGGGAGAGAAGGAACCGCTGTTGGGCGGCAAGCTGTTGTTGATTGTACTGCTGCTGTCCGTATTGCTGCTGCTTCTGAAGAGCTTGAAGTCGGAGCAGCTCAGCCTTCTGCTGCTGCACTGCGGCCTGCTGCCGAGCAAACTGTTGCTGCAACTGCATCTGCATATACTGCTGCTGCTGCTGCTGTTGGTGGTTGTTGCTGTTGCCATATTGCTCGGCGTACTGTTGCTGCTGCTGCTGCTGCTGTTGCTGGCCATATCCATTCTGGTAGTGGGAGTTCCCAAGCTGAGCACCCGACTGAAGACGCATGGCAGCAAGCTGATCTTCGAGACTAGCTTGCAAGGCGGAAATGTCACGCAGCGACTCGGCAGTGCGGTATGAGTGGTTGTTCTGTTGTGCCTGGTGTTGAGGATAGAACTGCTGCGAGGCACCCTGAGAAGGGAAGACGGAGCCGAGACCGAGTCCCTCGGTGCGAAGACCGGAGAGGAGGTCAGAGCGAGTCTGGTAGGCGTTGCCGCCGTAATACTGCTGGTTGGAGGTGTTCATCTTAATGGAGCTGGGAAACTGAGAAAGAGTGTCGAGATTGTGGGGGTGGTGCGGGTGGTGCGGGTGGTGGTATCAGATAGTACGGCTCCTGGCCTAAGAGTGAGTGTTGTTATACAAGCCTTGGAGAGAGATTGCTTGTGCTACACGAGTGCTTGCTGAAAGCAGATGGGGAATCTTGAATGTGCTTGTTGGTAGCAGGTATATGGTCCGTGCGTTTGTAGCGGACGAAGATTGATTGTAGAGCCGGGGGAGGAGATGATGCTTGAGAGTGAGTCTTTTGAGAAGACTGGCTGCGATCAACGCTGATTGAAGGGGGAGTCGAAGAGGCGGTAAGAGAAACCTTTACGAATGCGGTGGACTTGTGAGGAAGTCAGACCGGGAGGTGACGGTGCTGAAGTGTCGCCGCTTTGTGAGTGGGTGGGGACAAGGAGGAGGAGCAAGTGATGTGCTCGTCGAGGTTGAATACGTGTGTATATGCGGATCGCGGCTGCGAAAGCGTGTGTCGGACTGAGGTGGGGAAGAGTGTTGGTGGAAGTGCAAGGCGCGAATTCAACGAAATTGCTCAGTTTGAGCGATTCAGGATGATACGGTGGGGTTGATTAGAACAAAGCTAACAGAGTGGGTGGGATGAGATTACGTTGCAGCGACCAGTGTTGGTTGATAAGCACACGGAATAGGGCTGATGAGGTGGGTGGGGCTAATGAAGTCGACGACAGGGACGAAGGGTGGCAGTGCTAGCTGCGAGAGGTGGAGTTGGAGTATGACTGAGCAATTTAAGCTCTGAATTATGGCTAAAAGATACACTGAGCCGACGGAGGTTAGGAGTCTGGATATCAGTTGAAGATGGGAAGTGCGAGAGCCGAACGAGGTTGTGTCGAGGAGCTAATCGTAAAGATGAGACTGAATATGTTTTTCCTTTTTTTTTTTTTCTCTTCTTTTTATTTTTTTTCGATTCTGTGACGGTAAAACTTGACTGAGGCAAGTGTATTGCTAAAGGGAAGAAGATCAAGACGAGATATGATGATCTGAGCTGAAGGGACGCTTTGAGCTGTCGGAATGGAAGTTGAAAACCGAAAACCCAAGAAGAGGAAACGAGAGCTGGAGAGTGGGGGGCGGTATTGGAAGAATGGAGATGAGAATCGAAGGTCGAGACGAAGATATCGGGAACGGAAGCAAAAGAATCGAGATGGGGACGAGGGGAAAGAAGGGGGGGGGGATCGAGACAGGAAAAGTGATGGTGGCAAAAAGGATGGCGATGAAGCGTTTGACAGACGACGATGAAGAAAGAGGCTGAGCTGTGATGGCCGCCAAGGCAGAGCGGAAAAATTCAAGCTTGCAGAGCGCAGAGTGGCGACGGAAAAGCGCAGCCAAAGCCAAAAGCCAAAAGCCAAAGCCAAAAATTCGACTCAGCAGCAGCTCTGTCTCTTTTCGACATTCGGAATGGTCCCGACACTTGTGACTGGCTCTCTCTCATTTGTCACACTCTTGAGCGCCACAAAAATTGAACCAAATCAGAGATGGGAAGGGATGAATGCCAGTGAAGCAATGACAAACGAGGTCTGGGCTGCCATTCGTGCTGCGTCGCTGTATGCTATGCGATGGGGTGCGTGCGTGATTGAATGCATGCATGCAGGCCAATTGATGGTGTATGCTGCTGTTGTTGGGCAGCAAATGCTGGAACCGTTGGTTGGGATTGCATTACATAGGCAGCAGCAGCCCCAGCATAAGCAGCAGTATCAACAGACGTAACAATTCGAAAGAACACAGCGCACAGCACGAGTCTCGAAACAAATAAATGAGAACTAGCAAAAAAGAAAGAAAGAAAAAGAAAAAGGAAAAGGAAAAGAAAAAGAAAAAGAAAAAGAAAAAAACACCACCACCATTTTTACACCGAAACAAGCTTTGTTTGAAGGGTGAATCAGCTGTATCGGACCCCAACCGAAGCGTCAAACAGTCGAGTGCAATCGAGTCCCTCGTCCATTTCGCTTTCCCTTCCGTTTTCCTGCATGCAGCCGTGGGAAATTTTCTGTCCCAGCACCACAACAGCCAGCATCAACGCCAACACATCAGTCCACTTTCTCTCCTTCTTGCTCAACCACGCGCGCCAAGACTACTTCGGCGCTGCTTAAACTCAGACTCAACCTCGCAATCCGAACCATCCGAACCATCAATTCATACCATGGCAGGGACAATAGGAGAGCATAAAGGAGGTTAGGATTGCGGGATGAGCGTGAGTGTGCTCACAGGCTCGAGAGGCTGCCGGATGAGCGCAGGAGAGCGTGAAGACAAGGCAATACAGGGTGGGAAAACACTTGAAGAGACGGCGGGATTCTGCTAGGCGAGCAGCTGCGAGATTGGTGGTGATTGGAGAGAAGCATTCTGTAGCTGCGCGATGACTTGGCAGAATCTTTGACCACGGATCACATCACCTGACTTTTTTGTCACGTGATTACCATTCTCGACTAGAAAATATCTCACCTTGTGCGCGCGCGCGCGTGTCCCTCTCTCTTGCTCTGCCCTTCTGCTTTCTACTGTCGACCCTTTCCTCTCGACGCGAAAAGTCGTGGTCGTGTAAAGTGAGGATGAGCCGAATGAACCCTGCTTTTTCGCTTGGATTCTGTGATTCGCCAACGCACACGGAGACACTTGCATGAGCGCAGGCAGGATCCTTCACTCGTCCGTATCTGCTTGCTTGGTGACGCCTGAAAACAGTTTCTACAGGAAGCAAGCTTCGACGCTATTGGACAGCAGTTGCCATCAGAAGGCCAGCATATGATGCTGCTCTCAACAACCTGCTGTTCCGGCATGGCTGACAACGGACAGAAGCAAAGTCTGCTGAAAATAACGATCCAGTGGAGAGCCAAAGTGACGAAGAATCGGGCCAGATCGATCTAGAGTATAATCGGGAAAGGAGATCTGATCATGAATCAAACGGGGCCGATACGACGAGAGATCAGATACAACACAGTCCCAAACTCGTTGTCAGGCTAGGTCATGAAACAGCATACTCCCACAATAGGTATCAGCCTCATAAATGTATATACAGTACATGTGTAAACTGTCCCAAGATTTTACATGTCACCATACATCACTCTAATGCTCAATAGCTATAAGTTGTATTGCCACACTGTCTGATATCATCTGAAAGCACTGCTTCTTCTCTCCAAGACTGTGGAATTGATATTGACATTGACTAAAAAAATTGTGCTATGAAGAAGAGCTGAATTTTTTTTTTATTGTGGGACAGTTTATGGAGCATGCTCCCAAATAGTGACACCACTCCATTTCTGACCTTGTGGGCTTTTGACTACAATGAAACTTGTAATGTAACTTGGTGGGCACCTTCATACACATTGAAAGTAGTGATGTGGAAAGTTTCAGCTCAATCAGATGACTGTGAGCAATCTGGCAGCACTTCCAGTCTGACACCATCATATCTATACCATCATGACAAAAACCACCCCTGAGAAGCACTGATCAGCACTCTTTCACCTCCAAAATGGAGAATCTACCTGTTCAGTTGCCAAGAAACTCGGTCTGAGCAAGTCTATGGTGTCTCACATCAGCAAAAGTGCCTCTGCTGATGCTCCAAAGTCAAAGGGGGGCCAGCCAAGAAAACTCCAGCCTTGTCATGTTCACTTCCTGGACCACTATTTTGAGCTCAATTCAATGTCCATGGTCAGGAAAGCATGTCATGCACTGCAGGAGATGTTTCACATCAAAGCATGCCCAATGACAGTAAGAAAAGCACTTCATTACTGTTGTTACAAAGCATGAAGGTTAGTGAATAAACTGAAGCTACTCAAGAGGCATTACAAAGTGCATCTCAAATTTGTGAATGAGCACAAGGACATGACTGTTGAGGATTGGAAGAAGGTGGTATGGTCCAAAGAGACAAAGATCAACTTCTTTGGACCAGATGGGAAGCAGTTCTGTTGGATTAAGATTTGTGGCTTCAGCATGCATACACCAATGTCATGTTTCAGCAAGACAATAACCCAAAACACATGTTGAAGAAGACAAAAACATGGTTGGAAGGCAATAGCATTAAGGTTATGCAATGGCTGGGGCAGTCACCAGACTTGAACCCAATTGAACACCTCTGGCACCATCTCAAAATGCAACTTTCACAGTATAGTATGATTGCAAAGTCCAGGGATGAACTGCTCAAGAGATGTGAAGCTGAATGGACAGTGATCACTCCAGAGACATGTAGGATACTAATAGAGAGCATGCCAGACTGCATCAAGGCAGTTCTGAAGGCCAAAGGAGGGAATACAAAGTACTAAGGTGTTCTCAAGGAGCACTCCATAAACTGTCCCACAATAAAAAAAAAAAAAATTTGGCTCTTCTTCATAGCACAATTTTTTTTTAGTCAATGTCAATATCAATTCCACAGTCTTGGAGAGAAGAAGCAGCACTTTCAGATGATATCAGACAGTGTGGCAATACAACTTATAGCTATTGAGCATTAGAGTGATGTATGGTGACATGTAAAATCTTGGGACAGTTTATGCACATACTGTATATATCTCACAGAGAGCACTAGGCTCTTGCCACATTCCTTCAGTCAATTGAGTAAATGTTTCTGCCTTAAAGAAGTAGTGACAACGTACTTAGACTATCCCCGATCGCTAGTTATCGGGACCCAAACGTCTTCAAACTTCAACAAAGTCGACTTGCTTGCTGGCAACAAAACTTTTTCGCGTGACAAGCAATGTGCGATCGTCACAAATCAACATTTCCTCAAAATTCGGCAGGTGATGAAGAGAGACCGTCAAGACCGAAGGTGCTTTTGGTGGAAAGGGTCAAGCAGGTCATTCGGCTTTACAGGGGAGCACCGACCAACCTTTGCTTCACCCCACACACAGCAACTTGATGCAAAGACACATGACGGCTAACTTTACTACTGTACATACAGAAGCAAGCACGCAATGCGACCCCGCCTCGCCTTGTCATACTCTCCGCGCTGTGATCAACTCTGTTCATCTTGATTGCCACTTGCATTTTCGTCTTTGATCTGACAACTTGATCTTCGTTTACTAGGTCAACAGGCTCTGGTGTCGATCCTCTTTCATCGCTACTACTCCTAACGCGACACCTCTCAACAATATGGCTGCTTCCACAGCGATGTCCGCCGGCCGCATGCGCCTGGTGCAGCAGCTTTGCGTTCCAGCCCGCACAACTTTCACTCGAACGTCAAGCTCCTTCGTACGATCCTTCGCCTCCACCTCTCTCCTTGGCAAAGACGGCGACGAACCACAAGGTCATCTTCCCGGCCACCCTTCCTCCGTCTTCCTCACCTCTCTCAACGACAGCTTCTTCGACCGAGTCAAACCCAAAACTCTCTCCGGCAACGCCAACGCTCAAGGCGGCATCCCAACCTACCGTCTCATGGACGGTGTCGGCCGCCTCCTCCCTGGTGTCACCGATGAAATGGTCAACATCACCCAAGCCGAAGCCGTCAAGATGTACCGCACCATGCTCCTCCTTCCCCAAATCGACGTCATTCTGTACAATGCTCAACGACAAGGTCGTATCTCGTTCATGATGACTTCCTATGGCGAAGAGGGCGCTGTGATTGGTAGTGCAGCAGGGCTGGCGTTGCAAGATGAAGTGTTTGCCCAGTACAGAGAATCAGGGGTGTTGCTTTGGAGGGATTTCTCGATTGATCATTTCATGTCGCAGGTGTTTGGTGCTGAAGATGATTTGTGTGGTGGCAGACAAATGCCGATTCATTTTGGTAGTACTAAGCATCACTTCCATACCATCAGTAGTCCCTTGGCTACACAGATTCCTCAAGCCGCAGGGGCCGGATATGCGCTCAAGAGGACAAAGGGAAGAGAAGGGAATGTGGTCATTTGTTACTTTGGTGAAGGTGCAGCGAGTGAAGGTGATTTCCATGCTGGTATGAACCTCGCTAGCACTACTAAGAGCCCGGTTATGTGAGTATGCCCTTTTCACGAGGAAAAGTACAAGCCTTAATCTCGTTACTGACCCTCCTCCTTCTTGCTCCTCCTTGCTCCTCTTCTGTGTCGCAACCGGCAGCTTCTTCGTCCGAAACAACGGCTACGCCATCTCCACCCCCGCCTCGGAGCAGTTCCGAGGAGACGGCATTGCCTCTCGTGGTCCAGGCTACGGAATGCTCACCATCCGTGTGGACGGTAACGACGCTCTCGCCGTCCGATCCGCTGTTCAATCCGCAAAAGCCAAAGCCCTCTCTGAGCAACGACCCGTTCTGATCGAAGCGATGACCTACCGTGTCGGCCACCACTCGACCTCGGACGACTCTTCCGCCTACCGATCCAAGCAGGCCGTTGAGAGCTGGAAGCAGATGGATAACCCCTTGCACCGCATGCGCAACTTTTTGACCGATCGAGGATGGTGGAATGACAAGCTCGAAGAGGAGACCAAGGTGCAGCACCGTAAGTTAGTCATTGAGGCGATGGGTAGGGCTGAGAAGAAGAAGAGACCGCAACTGAGCAGTCTCTTTGAAGGAACTTACAGGGGCGAGATGCCTGGCAACTTGAAGGAACAGCGGAAGGAGCTGGCGCTGTTGATTGAAAAGTATGGTGCTCTGCCAGTATGGTCGAAGGAGCTGGCGAAACATGCTAATGCTGGGAAGGATATGGAGCAGTATCGTGAAGACAAGGCTTAGTAAGTTGTTGTCCATAGAGCAGTGTAGAAGAAGTGCAATTACATTCATTCAACAGTCATATGCCTTGCCTGTTCATGCTGTGTGTGAGAGCAAGTGTGTGCGAAAGGGTCAAGTGTTGGTCTCGACCAAGTTGCATTGCGCAGAAAAAATTAAAAAAGGAAGAAAGACGCCAGGAAAGAGGATGGAAAGCTTGTCTCTTTCTCACTGTCAAGCTTTCCATCCTCCATCACCATCAACCGTTCACCCCCACCCCCCCTCCTCTCACTATTCTATACGGCAAAAGCGAACGATGTCATACGTAGTACAAGCAAGCCTCTTCGCAGGCGGCCTAGTCGTCGGAGCAGGAACAGCCATCGCTCTCACCTCTTCCAACCGCCAGCAGCAATCTCCCATTGCCGCTACCCCTTCCGACGCATCCACCACCACCACCACCACCACCATAACCACACCCCCTCCTCCTTCCTCCAACCTCGCCTTCATCGACTCTGGCCTCACCTCATCCTCCGACGCACTCGGACCCTCAGGTTATCCCGGTCCCATCTCCGACTTCCTCCGTCACGTAGCCTACGTTTCCTCCTACGACCGTCGCCTGCGCCATCCATCATGGACCGCCGAACATCTCACCGCCGCCTCCCTCACCCGCCCACCCGGCACACCCAAAGGTGACCGTTCGAACTCAGCCTTCAAAGAAGACCCTCGCATTCCGGAAACCTTCCGTGCTAAAATGGCCGACTATTTCCGCTCAGGTTACGACCGCGGTCACATGGTCCCTGCTGCAGATGCAAAAATCTCCCAACTTGCAATGGACGAAACCTTCTACCTCTCCAACATCGCCCCCCAAGTCGGTGTGGGGATGAACAGAGACTACTGGGCTCATACGGAAGATTTCGTTCGTCGTCTCACCGGCAGGTTTGCCGATTTGTACGTTTTCACCATCCCGCTGTACTTGCCCAGACAGGGGTTGGATGGCAAAAACAGGGTGAGCTATGAGGTGATTGGGAACCCGCCTAATATTAGCGTTCCGACTCATTTTGCCAAGGTGATTCTAGGTGTGGGGCAAGCGAGCGACGGGAATGGTGCACCGGGGCCAAAGGTTGAGATGAAGGGACTGACCAAGGTAGGATTGGGTGCGAGTCCGGGGATGGTGCTGGGTGCTTTTGTTATGCCGAATAGTGTGATTCCGAATGAGGCTCCGTTGGAGAGCTTTGCGGTGCCAGTCGAGTCGGTGGAGAGAGCTGCTGGGTTGACGTTGTTCCCCGAGGCGATTAAGAATAGTGCTAAGAAGCTGTGCGATACGGTTAGGTGCGATTTGGTGATAAGGGACTTCAGTGACAAGAGTAAGACGCTGACTGCTGCTAAGCCCCAGGCGCTACCAGCTCCAGTGCCCCGGATGTAGATTCCACCAAAGCAATCAATACCAACAGTATGATGGGCTAGTTTCCTCGTGTTGACAAGAAGCTCGTCTAGTATATGCTAAGCCGAAAAGTGTGAGGAAAATGCGGACGCGAAATCCGACTGCAACACTCGACGCTATGACCACCGTTGAATCGTGTCTCGTCCCTCCTTGTTTTCTTCCACCACACCTCCATCTCCTCACGACCGCCACAATGAGCATCTCAACCATCGCCTCCCTCGGAATGGCAATAGGTGCTCCTCTCCTCTACGCCGATCAAGCATATTCCATTTATCGCAAACAAGATGCTCGAGGGTTCTCCCACGACGTATGCGCCGTTTTACTCATTGCCAACATTACACGATGCTTTTTTTGGCTTGGAGAACGGTTCGAGTTTGCACTCTTGCTTCAATCCCTCCTTATGATTGCTGCACAGCTGGGGCTCTTGAACCTTTGTATTCGATTTAGGCCAGTGGGTAGATGGAGTAAGAGTATAAGTAGTGATGGAGCTAGAGTTGTGTTTAACGCTGACGGTGATGAAGAAGGAGATAGAGCTGGTGGTAGTGCGAATGCCAGGGAGCCGGAGAGAGATCTAATGAGCCTCAACGTAGGCAGTGAACAGCATGGAGAGGAGGAGGAGGAAGGCTATGCGGATAAACAACCTCTTCTAGTCACACTTGGAGCTATGTTCCGCGGCAATAACTCCAACAGCTCTTACGGACAAGTCTCCTCCACAGACCCCCACTCCTCAGTCTTGCCCCAGCCGTCTACCACCCCTGCCACCAACACCGCATCAACTTCAAAGTTCCGCAGCGTCCTCTCCCATCTCAACCCCGCCAACGGCCGACCTCTCAACTTGTGGCAATGGTCAGATTACAACTCATACCTAATCTTCCTCTCTCTTTTCATCCTCCTTCTATCCCTTCTCTACCTTCCTTTCTCTTCCTCTTCCACCTTCATCTCTCTTCTTGGATACCTCGCTCTGGGTCTCGAGTCTACTTTACCTATTCCACAACTAATCTCGAACTACCGCAGGAAGAGTCTAGCCGGTTTCAGGGCGAGTGTTCTAGTGGGCTGGTTAGGAGGAGACAGCTTCAAATTGCTTTACTTCGTATTCAAAGGGAGCCCAGCACAGTTTACTAGTTGTGCAATCTTCCAGCTGAGTATTGATCTTGCGATTTTGGCGCAGAGTAGATTGTATAAGGAAAAAACCGAGAGAGAGGAGGAGGAGATGCGCAAGAACGCTGAAGCTAAGCAAGCCCGACGGGCTAATGGGAGGGCTGGAAGTGGGGAGGGTGACATTGAGAGAGATATAACGGACGAGCTGCCTCCTCGAACGACAACTAGCAGCAGTGGAAAGAAGCAGAATAAGGGCAAGGGCAGAGGGAAGAACAACAGTCCAACAGCAAGAGAGGATGACGGGCTGCTACAAGATTCGCACCACGTCATTAGCATTGAAGCTGATGAGAATGATGATGAAGGAGATATTTCGAACAGTCGTCGGAAGTAAACTTACACCTGTTACACTCTTCAAGGATACAATTCAATATATCATGTTACGGTGGAATGAGTGTTCTAGCCTGAGACAAGTTTCGAGATGCAACTCTTTCTCCGCTCACCTTGAATCTTTGCGTTGTACAGCCTTACCTGCCACCTCGAGTTCGAATTCGGGACGGCTATCTTCCCAACTCTCTGCATCTTGCACACCGAGCGCTTTTTCCATTCGTCGTAAAGCAAGCTTTAGAGTCTTGGGTTGAACACTAAATGTGAAACGGAACCAACCAGGTCGGTTGACGTGGTACAGTCCCCCTGGTGCTACGAACACTCCTGCGTCTAAGAGCTTTTCTACGAGCCTGTCTTCTCCTTTGCTATCCACCGCCTCTCCTCCTTCTGCATCCGGCACACCATCTGCAGCGCCTGCAACCTTTGCGAGTGCCGACAAGTCTATCAACATAAAGAACCCCGAGTTGCTTGGATAATACGGTATTTGGTAGTGCTGAAAGAACTTCGCTGCGTGATTATATGCCCTCCCTAATCGTCGCCTGTTCTCTTTCAAATACCAACCCAAAAACTTCTCATCCTTCAACCAAGTCGCCCATAAACTTGCAGCCGGGCTAGCACTTTGGCTCAACAAGCCCACACTGGCCATCGCCTTCTGCAGTGCCGGGTTATGTTGCGACACCAAAACTCCCAGCCTAAACCCGTTCACCGCAAAGTCCTTACTAGCTGACGTAACCACATGGACATATTTCGGGTCCAATCCACATTCCTTCTCTGTATCGATGGAAAGTATACTGTGAAACAGTTCCGGATTGACGTGGTCTTGAGTGGAGAAACGGGATCGAGCATAGATCTCGTCTGATACGAAATGAAGCTTGTATTTCGCAGCGAAACGGGCGAGTTCGATCACTGTGGTGCGTGGGTAGATGGTTCCCGTGGGATTATGGGGGTTGCATAGAAGCAAAGCTTTGATAGGGGTTCCAGAGGCAAGAGCGTTATCGTATGCGGTTTGGTAGGCTGAGATGGTGGAGGAAGAGAACATTGTATGTTCGAGCGACTTTCCGGGTGAAGGGTAGGGTAGGTCTACGGGAATGATTTTAGCTTTGGCTCTATTGCTTAGATCGTTATCAAAGGCGTTGTAGTAAGGGGTGGAGAGTAGGACTCCATCACCTTGGTCGCAGATATTCCAAAACAACTCGTCTAGGATACCTGTTGCTCCGGAAGCAATTGCTATGTGATCCGGTGTAACTTTCTTCAACGGCAAAGGAGAAGCATTGCCCTCCGGCCAGTCTGGTGTGTAGTGGTTGAAGAGGCAGGAAATCGATTCGAGTAGGCGAGTGGAGGAGGTGAATCGATCAGCATAGGTGAGGTCGGCGGGAGAAAGTTGAAGACGACCATGGGAGAGGAAATAGCTGAGAAGTTCATTGCGACAGAGAGAGTTGTCTGCGATTCCGGCATTGATGATTCCATGGGGGTTTGTGTCAGGGTCATATTGGTTAGAGAGCATGCGTTTGAGGCCGGCGGGAAGGTTGAATGATGAGGAGCCGGCTGCGCCTCGGTGGGAGAGGGTGGGGGTTGTGTCAGGTTGGGAAGAGAGGGTGGTCGAGGAGAGTGTGGTCGAGGAGAGTGTGGTGGAGAGGTCGGTTGCTGCTGCTGCTGCTGCAGCGCTGGGGGCTGCGGTGGAGTCGGACATGATGACTAGGATCCATCTATAGGTGGTGATGGAGTAGGAGTGGACGGTGGTGGTGGGGAAGCGAGAGGAAGAAGGAAGGACAAAAGATGTCAGTCTGGGGCGGTTCAAGCAAGGTCAGCAGCTGCGAGTTTGACTATCGGCCGTGTGCGTATTGCCGCTGATATCGCCGCAGAGAGGTGACCGTCATCTCCTCGCCGGTGGCCGTTCATCCATCTTGCCTCCTCCTTCATACCATCCATCGAAGGTGGACCTATTGCCAACGATGCCATCCAAACGCATCTACCATCAATACCTATCGACGCTGCCCAAGCGACCCACTCTCAACCCTCGAGTGCTCACCGCTGCGCCCACCTCTTCGTCACTACCCACACGAAGCATCTCGACAACCCTCGTGACCAGGCAAAAGGCACAACATGCTTCGCAACCGCCCGCGCCCAGGTCCACAGGTCAGCCTAAACCTTCCTCCTCCGACCCCCCCTCCTCATCCACTCAAGATGCTCGCACAGATCTCCTCTCCCGTCCCCGCCGTAGCATGCTCTACGTCCCCGGTTCGTCCGAAAAAATGATCAAAAAATCTCAATCCTCTTCCTCCGACACCATCATCTTCGATCTCGAAGATTCCGTAGCCGCCCATAAAAAAGGTTCTGCTCGGGAGACCGTTTTTCTAGCCCTCGAAGCTGCCGCTCGTCCTGGCCCTGAACTCGCCGTCCGAATCAATCCTCCTTCCTCGAACTGCGATCTGGCCGAAGACGATCTCGATATGATCCTTCCCAGCTCGCAACTCCAGACGATCGTTGTACCTAAAGTTGAGAGCGAAGATGATGTTCGATTGATAATTGAAAAAGCTAGAGCTCTTCGAGGGCAAGATAAGGCGCCTCTGGGGTTGGTACTCTCGGTGGAATCCGCAGGGAGCTTGCTGCGTATGCCAAAGATCATCGAACGGGTCCGAAACCAGCTCGGTCAAAACCCGTATTCAGGCAAGCCAGGAGCGAATGGGAAAAGTGGAATGGTAGAGATCGTTGCCCTGCTCTTTGCCTCCGAAGACTACTGTGCAAGCACCGGAATCCTCCGCACCCGAGATCGAAAATCTCTATTGTTCCCAAGAGCACATATGGCTACGATTGCAAAAGGCTACAACTTGGCAGCGATAGATATGGTTTGTATCGACTACAAGGATCAAGCGTACCTAATCGAGGAAGCGGAAGAAGCGAAAGAGTTGGGATATGATGGGAAGCAAGCAATTCATCCTGTACAAGTGGATCCGATTCAGAATACCTTCAATCCCACAGAAGAGGCGGTGGAGAGAGCAGCGAGAATTTTGAGTTTGTATGAAAAGGCGGAAAAGGGTGATAGAGGTGCATATGGGTTGGAAGAGGAGCGTGGAGGGATGACGATGATTGATAGGCCGATGTTACTGCAGGCGAATGCGGTCGTGGGGTTGGCCAAGAGGGCTGGGATGAAGGTGCCGAGTGGGCAAGATTTAGAGGCGAGGAAGGATCAGTAATGCACAGTCGGGGTTTGCCAATTCACCTTCTATACTATTGTGTATCAAGCCCTCTGTGCATGTCTCTGATGGGAGTGATTGATGATTGACAAGTTGTGGACCATGATCCTGTATGTGGGTGTGCTTTCAAACCGTCAACCATGCGTGAACCTCTAACTTTACCGGCATCCAACGGCAAAGACCGAGGCCGGAGCCCGAAATCGCCTTTCAGTTTTGCGGGGTAAATATTCCTGTCCCGCCTCGCACTCATACCTTGTCCTCCCACCATGACGACCACCATTCTTCCATCCACTACATCCACTACATCGACCACACAAGACGAAAACTTGCAGCAAGATGTCAGCTCGCAACAAAGTCTGGTTCTACTTTGACGTCGTCTCACCTTGGTCCTATGTTGGATTTCAAGTTCTGAGACGGTATCAGGAGCTATGGAACCTGGACATCGTACCTATCATCAAACCCCCTGTCCCTCTTTCCAACCTTGCTATGCATCGATAGACTTGCTGATACGATCTTATGTCATCTTTCCTCTCACCCTGTTGCGTGTATTGCAGATGTATAAACCAGTCAATCTGGGCTACATTATGAAGGTAAGCTCTCCTCTTCTCCCCCTATCCATCCCCCCCCCCCCCCCCCCGCTCACTTGTGCTAACGCTTCTCCGATCTTCGTTCGTGTAATGTGGCAGTTCTCGGGCAACAAACCCCCGATCACAGTCGCAAACAAAGGTATTTGGATGTGGGGCGAACGAGACCGTGCACGTAAATTCTTTGGTGTCATCCTAAACCCCACCAAAGAATTCCCTATCAACACTATGCATCTTCAAACCTTCCTCTCTGCTCTCTCCACCCACCCTTCCTCCACTCGTTGCATTTACGAAAGTGCTATCGAGACTTGTTTCGCTGCTATCTGGCACCACGACTATCCCTGTGCCACCCGCGAGGACTTGGAATCGATTTTCGCTAAAGCGGATTGGTTCGGGTTGGGCAAGGAAAAGGTAGCACAGGTGTTGAATAAAAGTATGAGTAAGGAAGCGAGAACAATTTTGCAAGAAGAAGCGAAAGAGCTGGTGGAGAAGAAAGGGCTGTTTGGCATGCCAAGTATGGAAATGGAGAGAGGGAGTGATGGGGAAAAGGTGGTCTGGTTTGGTAGTGATCGATTCGAACAGATTGCCGCTTGGTTGGAGGTGCCGTATAAGGGACCTTTTGCTGACGGAACTGTGGCAAAGCTCTAATCTCACTTGCCAAATGCAGTGCTAGATCTAAGAGTATAAATCAAGACAGTTTTCCATGTTCATGTGTGTAACTAGAAATACAGGTCTTACTTCTTCGCCTCTCCAACCAAGAGCCCAGCTTCAGTAGCCAAACGAGCAACAATCTCATACACGGCCTCGAACTGATCTATGGTCTGTACCATCCTTGCTCTGTACCTTCTTAAATGTTCCACGATTCTAAGCGGTAGATCCCATAGTTCCACTTCCGTGTCCCTTTGGTATACCGTTTTGCTTGCTTCCTCCCCCCATTCACCCTGGTCTGATGCCTGTTTTGCTACTCCTATCGCCGCCTGGGCTATATATGCTGCAGCCAGGGTCCCAGATCTACCCACTCCGGCTGAACAGTGGATCCAGGTGGGAGGCGGAGGATAAATCTTCGGCATCGCTACCATTTGGGTCTCCCTCATCAACTCTAATAGGGTTGTGGTCGGAAACACGCCGTGATCAGGCCATGATGTGAGATGGAATTGGGTCACCCCCCACCGGGTCCTGCCTAGGAAATTGGGAGGCGGTGAGGGGGAAAAGTCGATACTAATCACCCGTCGGATTAGGGTTGATTGTCCGCCTTCGAGGTCTATCTTTGTTTCGTCGGTCGAGGTGATGCGCCATCCGTTATCTAACACTATCTCTCCGCCTCCGTCTGAAGCTGTGCTGGACCAGTATTGATTGGCTTTAATGCGACCTTTCTCTGTGAGGGGAGTGAGATTGACTAGTACTCGTACGCGTTGTTGCACGAGATGGGTATAGAACGCTGTGTAGGTATCCGGTAGCGGGGCTTGGGAAGTGATGAAGCTGAGACTTGTAGGGTGAAATGGAGGAATGTAAGCAGCGTTAAGATAGGGTCCGCCGCCGGGGATAAGGGCATGGTCGTAGGCTAGAATGTCGCGGTAGCGGTTGACTTGGGGATTGGAGCTTGAGGCGGTGGTTGTGTAGCCTAGATCGGGTTCGTTGAGACGGAGATGGTCGGTGTAGTCGAGAACGGAGTAGAGGGACGAGAGGGCTTTTCGAGTTGGCCGGATGCCTAGTGACATCGTAGCTGCGGAGAAGGGGAGCACGGATGTATGCGGAAGGGAGGACGGTTGGTGGGATGACGGTTGGTGGGATGATGAAGAGGATAAGATATGAGCGAGAAGGACAGCAATGAAAATGTGGAGGAAATTCCCAGGCACAAACAACACACACAGCGAGAAAGAGCGATCCGCCTTCGGCAGAGAACACAGGCTCCAGAGCAGTCTCTCTCTTCAACCCGGCGCTTCTTCTGTTCTCGTCACCATCATCACTCGTTACCATCATCACTCGTCATCATACACGGCCATTTGATAGAACACACAAACCCTTCGATGTACGCACCTTAGCCCCGCCTATAATACGCTGCCTATCATACGCCGCCGATAATGAAGCGTGCAACACTTCTCCCTCTGGCGCTGTTGGTGCAGGCATCGCTGTCCCTCGCAGGCACCAATCGAGGTCATCGCCAGATCCCCTTCTCTTTTCCGTATGAACCTTCGTCTTCCGCAACAACACAGTCAACACCCATCGATGACAAAGTGTACGAATCCAGATTAGGCGCACGACTAGTCGAAGATGACGATCCTAGCCCGGTCCCTTCAGTCCGACTGTCCCATGCGGGCCTGTATATCAATCAAGCCCACGCACCATCTCTCATCCACCGTCCAGATCACTCTAACGACACCGATCCATTTCAGCCTCAGCCACTGATCGTACACTTCGATTCGACACTATACAGCCCTTCTACCGCCACCGCTTCCCTCGGGCCAGTACGGTTGAGGACGCGAGACCAAGTAATGCTGCATTGTGGGAAGGACACCGGTGGCATTGAGGCGTGCGAGCGGGATGATCTCAAACTGACCCCTCCCAGCGACCCCAAAAAGAAGACGAAATCCCACAAAGAAAAGGCAAGTGCGAAATGGATTCACGAATCGGCAGGATCACTCGACTGCGAAGCGAGCTCTCAGTCGCTCAGTCCGGACGGACGATTCTATCTCGACGAACGCTCTTGTCCTGGTTGGTCAAAGTACTGGTCTTCCATCGAGACCGCACGCAAGGAGTCCACCCAGGAAGTGCTACAGAGCTTCGTCGTCTCCGTACAACTCTCGCCTCTCGAAGGGAAGGAGGAAGAAGGGAAGCAGTTCTGGATCGGACACCTGCATCTGGACCAATCTCGTGCATCGTGGCCACTCGCAGGAAACGCAAGAGATCGTAGACCTGGTCAAAAAGATCGCACCTGGCATCCACAAGATGTGAATCGAATTGCAGGGTTGATGGAGAACCCAATGATCCCTAAGTCATCAAGATTCGTGAATGATAGGAACTACGGAGTGTTCGTCGATCAATCAGCTTGGACGTTGGGGGTGCAGATTAAGGTGCCGCAATCGATCACTAATCCGCGGGACGATGACGATGATGACGACCCAGAAGATATGCATCGGAAGGGAAAAGAGGGCAAGGTGGGGACAGAGATGATCTTGCCACCGGAACAAGTCTTTGCTCCGGTTAGTGGGCAGGTTGTTTGGGCGCGAGAATACAAGTTCCGCAGGCCACCGCTCTTCGGTCCTGCAGCAGGCGAGAATGATGAGGTGAACTTTTGTGTTATGATCCGCGATGAATGGTCGATTGTTTATCAGATCTTCGGGATTGATGCATCTACAGTAGGGCTGAAGGAAGGAGACACAGTGTTGAGGGGTGACGTTTTGGGGCATGCACTACGAGAAGGACTTTCGTTAGAACCGCCAAGCACAGAACCTCCTGCGGACCACCCAGCGTCTAAACCAGACAAAGGTGTCTCTTACTACCGCCACCGATACCGCAACTTGCAGGTCCGGGTTTCTCGACCGGACCCAACTTGGACCGAGTGGAAGGATGCAGACACTCGCGGCTGGCAATACTTCCACCCTCTCCACGTGTTCACTGAGGGTAACAAGGGATATCGATCCAGCATCCCACCATATGGCTCCCCGACAGTGGTATACTTTGCAAAGCCGAGTAGGGATCCGTTGAATACACCACCGAACGCGTATGCGACAAGCAATGATTTCTGGACTCCCACACTGCAAGGTCCCACCGAGATAATCGTGGGGTTCGAATCCTTCCAGCAAACGCCTGGAGATCCAGCCGACGGGATGGAAAATCTAGCGGTGTATGCGTTGGACGTTGCTTTCAAGAAAAAGATCGCGGGACAGAGAGAGCCGATCGGGGGTATGGAGTGCGATTTAGGAGGAGAGACAGATCCGAGCGGGGTGGGTGAACAAGGCAAAAAGTACTGGAGAAACGTTTTTGAGCATTCGAAACTTCCTAATAACTGGTCTGGCTCTTCTGACTCCTTTCATGCTACCAACGCTTCATCCCTAGCCGAGGATGAGGATGGAAGGGAGGCTGAGGTAGGAGGATATGGATGGAGAAGCAAGCTCTTCGCGCATTACATGCCTGCGTTTTCGCACGGGAGATTCTTCCCGGAGAAGATCACGAGTCAGTTTGACGAGAAGGAGAAGAGGCTATATTACTCTGCGACGAGGACGACGAGGGGAGAGCCGAAAGTGGGAGGTGCGTTCAATGTGCAGGGTATCATTGATCAGGAGGGGGAAGAGGAGGGAGGGAGAGGCAAGTATAGGTTGGTGGTTAGGGCGAGGGATTATTGGGGTAATGTTGGATGCGTTGCTTCTGATGTCTGGCTTGCATGATAGCAAAAGAGATACGGATACGATTAATCACTGCAATGGACTCTTGTTAGGAAACCTTGACGATGTACATGTTGTGGCAGAAGATGGTGTTTCGGAAGAGGAGGGAATTTGAGTCAGAGTGTTAGGCCCTAACCCTTCACAATTTCACGCTTCCGAGAAGTGACAGGCCAAGCGGCGCAGAGGCCAAGAATAGAAGGTTCATTCAATCTTTGCTCTTTGTACGACTTTTGTTCGACAGCATTCATCATCAACCCATCATCTTGCCAACTTCCCCTTGCAACTCGAGATCAACCACATTCATTTCCGCCTGGACATTAACACTGGCTGCGACTCTGCACGAGCAATTCTAGCAAGCACGCTCCTTCAAAAGGCATACAGCGAGTGGCATCCCCGGCGGGCTTTCATCTCCCATCTCCTATCTCCCACCGCACCCTGCATCCGCCATCAGTCCAAACACGAGCCGCTGTTCCTGGCGTCAATCCTTCAAGTAGGCTCGACCGTGCAGCCGAGAAGATCACCGCAGTAACTCACTTCAGCTTTAGCACTCTCGGCAGCTACGGGCGCTTGGACCCACGCTCGGACCCCTGTGATCAATCGTCTCACTTCCACAGATCGCATCAAGAGGTCCCATCGCTATTGCCTTATCTCTCCACTTGCCACCATTACTCCGACTTCATCGAAAGCGGATCTCAGAGCCTACTCGACGGCTTAAGCATTCACATCCATGCCAGCTACTTTCGCTTCCCTCAGCTCATAGCGCATTCCCTCTTCTCTCTCTCTGAGCCAGTCTGGCCATTGGCTGCCGCGCCCTTACGACGACGCTTGCACCTCTTCACATCTCTCTCATTCGGGCTCGGCAGCCTGACTCCAACCCAATATGCCATTCACGCACTCCTATTCCGCATCCAGCATCTCTGCTTCCGCCGCTGCTGCCATCAGTGCCCCCAGCAACAGCCCCCGTCGACACGGTCGCCCTCTCCCCAGCAGTAGCTCCTCCAACACTAGTATCGGCAGCAGTACCGCAACCCACAGCGTCGACACTTCCTCTTACCGTCACGCAGGTTCCTCCTCTCGTTCTGCCACCACTGCTGCCAATTCCCCTTCACCATCCGAAGAATCTTCCTCCCGCTCTCGCCTCTTCTCATCCGGTCGCAAATCACCCGACCCATTCCGTCGTTTCCGTCGTCTTTCCTCTTCTAACTCACTCAACCTCGCCACTGCTCCGGCGAACCTTGATGCAGGTCAATCATTCGATTTGCAGCAACGTAGCTCCAGCACTTCCATCCCTGCTTACCCACGTCTTGCTTCGTCTACGCCGACACTAGACACTCCTCGCTCAGCTCCACCACCGCTGCCTAGTCAAGCGTCGAAGCCGACGTTTCAGAGACCGAAGCGGACCAAGTCGACCAGTATCTCCATCCTCTCCAGCGGGCTTGGGTTAAGGAGTGGTCCTAGGGATACCTTGAATTCAGGTGGGGAAGGGGAGGGAAGCAGAAGGTATAGGAAAAGTGCATCTTTCTCGCGTTCGGATGTTGATTTTTCATCTTCGACCATCCATTCCTCCGCCTCTTGTAATAGAGCGGTGACTCCACAGCCTATGGTAAGGGCTAGTTCTCCTTCGCCTTCTTTTTCAGACACCAGATCGCCGCCGAGTACGGGTGCGCATCAGTCTAGACAGCATAAACAAGCGTGGTATCAAGCTCAACAAAAGACAATCGAGTTGGAGAACCCGCATAATAGAGGAGGAAAAGATTCAGAGGCGAAATTGTTCCCGCTCAATGTTAGCACTGCCTCTGAGGGGGATGCTAAGAGTCCAAGACCGGTAGTAGAAACTTTTTTGAGCGAAGAGGAGATGCTGGCTGCTGGCATACATGTCATTCGCCGTAGAGACGATTCTGCTGATACAAAGACAAGAGCGGAGGAGGAGAAGGGAGGAGCAACACCAAAAATACAACAGCAACAGGAAGAGGCGACGCCGAGGATACCAGCGAGTTTGTACGGAGCAGATCATCCTGATTTCTTAGAGTTTATCAATTCTCCGGTGGATAGTAAGCAGCCTAGCCTCTTACTGGAGCAGTTGCCGATTGCAGGGTCCTTATCGCATTCTCATGCAAAGAGGAGTAGTGGTAGCATCTCTAATTCTTCGTGTGGATCGACGGATTATCTACCGCACTCGGCGCAAATGCAGGACGATACTTCATCGCTGCATAACGGCAGTACAGGAAGTTTCAGTAGTGGTAGCAAGCATAGTTTTTCCTTCGCTAAGCTGAGACGTGCTGGTGCAGGTACAAAGCAGCAGTCGAGTAGACCGTCTACAGCTAATTCGAGTAATGAAGATGTTACTGGTGGCAATCGCACTTTCCTCTCTCCTAGGGCGACTCAGCAGCAACAGCAATACTCGCAGAATAGTGTAGGCTCAAACGGCGCCCCACCGGGCTACTTGACTCCGGGACCCGGCTCGTCAGCCTCGCCCTTCTTGAACAAGCATTCAGCGACCGTTGGACGTGCAAGTGGCAACGCGGGTAGTGCAAGAAACGGTCTCGCTCAAGTCTACAACGGAAGCGCCGCCATCGGTCCCGCATCCTCCGCAGCAACGGGTAGTGGTGGTATTCCACCGCCGAAACCTCCCGAACCCAAACCAAGCCTTCTCGCTGCATTCCCCCGCGCTGATGCCAACACCCGTCCTATCGATCGAGATTGGAGTCACATTAACCATCTCCTCCCTCCTGGCAGCGGCGATGGCGGTGGTGGACCGGGGAATGGGGTGTACAGAAACATCTCGCATTCGAGGTCACAAGAGGCAATTGTAGAGTCTAGGTTGGATGCGGAAGCACTGCGGGCGAGTGCGAGTACGCCTATGCCTCCTCCTCCGCCGAGAAGGGTTAATGTTTCTTTGACGCAGAATGGGTATGGTGGGAGAGGCTATGGGGGGAGTGCAGCTATGGGGAGGACTACGAGCGGTGGTGGTGGTGGTGTAGTGGGTGCATTGGGACATGTGGGACAGATTGGGGCTGCGATGGGGAGGAGAGGTTGGGATTTTATGAAGACTCTTCAGTCTACGAGTTCCAACACGAGCAGTGGTGGTGGGATGTCACCCCGTACACGGACGTATAGATCTGGAGCAGTGGTGGCGGAGAATGAGGCTACTCGAGAGTGGCTCCTTCTTCTCGAATCCCCCGATCCTCCTCGATCGCTGAATAGAGGTGGAGTATTCGGTGCGCCACTCCAAGACGCTGTTTTACGATCCCGCCTATCTTCACTCTCCAGCACCACCACCCCCACTACCAACAGAAGTCCTTCACACGAAGATCAAGATCATCTTGGAGTACCAGACCTCGGTAAGGCCTTCACCTCGAACCTCTTTGATTCACCGCGCAACACCCCTCGAGCTTCCGTCGCTGGTGGTTTCGAAGCCCTCTCCCTCATCGAGGCACGACATCTATACCTCCCCCGCCTAGTCGTCCGCTGTATCGAATCGCTTGAAAAGTGGGGACCTTCCGAAGAAGGGATTTACCGTATCAGCGGCAGAAGCAGTCATACGAGTAAGCTGCGACAATTCTTTTCTGATCCGAGAAACGATTTGTTGTTGGATCAGATCCATCCGGCCGATCTGGATATTAATTCGGTTTGTAGTTTGTTAAAGAGCTATCTAAGGGAGTTGCCGGAGACGTTGATTCCGGTTGATTTGACAGAGAAACTTGATGCAGCTGTGTCTAAGCTTCTTTCTGAACTCCCGGAGGAGGTAGGAGCAAGAGCAGGGAAAGGGGTGGAGGCAGGAGGGAAGAATGCAGACTCAAAAGCAGCCCAACTCTGCTCGGACAAAGTGAGAGATTACTTAGAGCCACTAGTGAAACAGTTGCCTGTTTACAATTGGTACTTGCTTCGAGAGCTGACTCACCATCTGGGGTTGCTGGCAGAAGAGGAGGTTGTAGCGAGAACGAAGATGCCGATTAGCAACTTGACGTTAGTCTTGGCTCCAACGGTTAGTATAAGTCTGCCGCTGTTACAAGTGTTGGTGAGGCATAGGGAAGGAGTTTTCAGTGGAGCTGCTCCCGGAACTGGGGTTGAGGAGGATGTTGTTGCTGCTGCTGCCAGTGCTCTTACCTCTACCCCAATCTCCACGGAAGGGAAAGAGAAAGTGGAAAAGAAGAAAAAGGTGGCACCACCCAAACCGGCCAAACCAGCACTACTTTCTTCACCCTCGAAACTACCCGTAATGGTACGAAAACGTACTTCCTCAATGGGTCTCGCAGCTTTGCTTTCTAGCCCGACCAAAACTTCTCCCCCTGCGAGGGTGGCGGTGCATAGATGGACACCATCGCTAGAGTTGGCGGCTGATATTGGAACTCCGTTCTCTTCCTCCACCCGACCCTTTCCCACTAGTGGGAGGGGGGAACTGTACGAGCGCCCATCGACATCGTTGGGACACTTTTCAGATCGACCTTCTCCCCCGACGAAACCAGTTGGATCGCGCCAAATGGATGCTCTAGCCCTAGACACTAGGAAGAGAGAAGGAGAGACTCCCATAGCGAGATATTACGCTCGGATTCGGGAAGAAGCTCAAACACCCCTTTCCCCTCCACCTCCTTCTACCGTAGAGGAGAGAGATGGAGCGAAGACTCCACTGGCAGGAGGTGGGAGAACAGGGGAGATGCATAAGTACTGGGCCGAGAAATCACTGCTAAACTCCCCCACTGGTGAAGGGAGAAGTGGTAGAAGAAGCGCATTGGATCGACCAAGACCTCCTACGAGTAGTGGTGCTAGTTTCTTCGCTGGTAGGAGTAGAAGGAGTGATAGTGTGAATGGTTTGGCGCAGTTTAAAACGCTTAGTGGCATTCCGACGCTGGTGAGGAGCAAAATTGATGAGCGCGAGGGGAAGGAGGTGGGGACGAAACCGTTGAAGATTGTTAAGAAGGTTCAGGGAAGTTCGAGTAGTGGAAGTGTGAGTAGTGTTGCTAGTGCTGGATCTAATGGTGTTCGGAGGAGGGGGGAGGAGGAGGAGCGGAAGCGGACTGGGGGAGCGGAAGCGGAGGAGGATGTCAGGGATCAGATTAGGAGGTATTTGGAAGATGGTCCTGGTCATGCTCGACGACGCTAGATCTCTCCCTTGGAATCGTACTGCTTGATTGTTCACCACACCATGGCACGCTTCGCGGACGCTCAATCAAGATAAAAATTTGCGTCTTTGCTACGCTTCCACACACCTGAATTGCGCCTGTGTAAATGACAACGATGATCTCGAGACAGTCCGAGTGTCGACTCATACTTGACACAGCATAGCCCTCAGACATGAGCACAGCGCCACATCGAAATGAGCAAGAGTCTAGATTGATTGCAACAACAGTTTGAGAAGAGCGGTGACCAATCCTAGAACTTCCTAACGACAGGAGTAATAACAGCACCAGGCTTCTTCATAACCCTAGGCATATTCAATCTCTGCGTCTCTATTCTCGTATTCCACTCCTTACCCAGCGGTTGGCTCATCGCAGCCTTATACTGAGCCACACTTGTATACGGATATGGCAGATCCTTTACCCTGAACTTGTCCTGTTTCTTATCTCTCCTTTCACTAATAATCACTCGATCCATTCCGGCATCTTTTCGCTTTTCTGCATCTATACCTTGGATCTTCTTGAGGAACTTCGGATTGGCTGGCTTGTTGTTATGCCTGATTCCTTTTCCTGTCCAACTTCCCCAGCCTGGTAGACGAGTGTCGACAATCTTGGATTCGTCCGCGGCAACGGTTGCTGTCTTTTCAGCTTCGAATTCCGCAACGACGTCGTCTCCGGCGAAGGCGGATGAGACTAGATCTCTTTGTTGGATGGCTGTGATTGCGTGTTTTGGGTTCGATTTCTTTTGCTTCTTCGTCAAGTTCTGGATCACGTGAGCGGGTTGGACGGAGTCTCCGTCAGAATCAACGTCGGAATCGGACTGGTGACCGAGGTTGGTGGAAAGGTCGACTGCGATGGATTCATCTTCTCGACGCTGAGCGAGAGCGGAGGATGATTTGGCGGCGTTTTTGGATGCGCGAAGGGCTGATTTGGCAACTGAGGCGGCGGAAGTGCTGGTAGCGGCGGAAAGAGTGGAGTCGTTCTTCTTGCGAGAGAGTTTCGAGGTTGAGTGTCCGTTCGAGTCGATCACTAGCCATGGGTTGGAGGCGTCGTCGTCCACGTCCGCAACAGTACTGGTGGAGAGAGCGGGTTTCTTCGATTTGGGCTTGGTTGAGGTAGGCTCACCACCAATCTCCACTCCTGCATTTGCTTTAGCGGGGGCAGGCTTCGGTGCAGACTCCTTCTTAGCGGGTGAAGCGGCAGCAGGAGTAGCAGTAGCGGTGCTGGTGGAAGAAGGATTGCCACCGTACAGCGCACGACCTTTGTTTCCCTGAACATAGGTCGAGCTGCCTCCCTCTGCATCTTTACGTGGGATCACCATCTCACCCTGATCCTCACTCTCGCTTCCACTCCCACCTTCAGCCTGGAATTGTTGCATCTCCATCACAAAATCATCCACCTCGCCTCGTACAGCAGCATACTGCCTCTCCCTTGCATCCTTCATGAACTTCATGTTGTATACACCTTTCTTTCCACCGACTTTCTCGAATTCTTCCTCGTCCTTTCTCCTCTTCGCCTCTTCCTTTGCCTCAAGCGCGGCGAGTTCGTCGAATGCATCTCCTATCACACCCTCTTCCCCATCTTCCCCATCTTCCCCCTCGGAGTAGTCGGAGGAATACTGATCGGAGTCCTCCCCAATCACCCTACCTTGAATCTTTGACCTCAATTCAGCGCCCTTTCGCAACTGCGCATCGAGTTCGTTCCTCGCTTCCTGGTTATGCTCTCCATGACGAGCAGAGAGAATGTTCTTGGCCCACTTGCTCGTGTTCTTATGCTTGAGCGTCGCACGTTCTCTAGCTCGATCACGCTCAGCTTTGAGTCGCTCTTTCATTTCTTCCTCCTCGTCCACTTCTCCAATAACACCTTCGTCGTCAGACCCGCCGCCAAGTTCTTTCATTTGAGCCTTCAACCTTTCCTTCTCCTTCCTGTGAATCTTGCGGTAGGCTTTAGACTTGATCTTGCTAACCCGCTTCGCCTTTTGCTCTGCACGGAACATCAACATCCTCATTCTCCTCAACTCGTCCCTACGAGCCCTAGCTTCTTCAGGATCAAGTTTGTTCATCGCCAAATCTTCCTGCTGAGCCAGCTGCTTCTCTGTCAGCCCGCCCTCGGTCAGCATGGCTGCGATGGAAGACTCCATGTCGCCATCAGGGTTGAATGTCGCTACGAGCCCAGAAGTAGATTGCTTTGTGACAGCAGGCTTTTGAAGAGGAAACGAGAGGTGTTCTGCATCGCGCAAACGGTTGATGGTGGGTTGCCAGCCTTGAACCTCATCGCGAGTGATAGAGTATGCTCCAGACCGATCGAGTCGGTCTTGTACAACGGAAGGGAGGGGTGCGGAGAGTGCTCCTCCACCCTTCTTGGATGCGGCGGAAGCAGAGGTGAAAGAGGAAGACTTAGGGTTGGAGAGGAGTTTGGTGCTCTTTCGCACATCAGCGAAATCAATGTTGGAAGAGAGGGGAGACATGAAATCTTCGAGACGGAGAGTGGAACCGGATTGAGCGGCGGCAAACTCGGTTTCGGGAATTGCTTCTGTGCGTTCGGAGAGAACGTAACGACGGGTGCGTTTGGCGGATGGTTCACCATCCGAGTTCTCCCGGTCATCATCGGAGCTGGTGGTGGGACGCTTTGAGCCGGCGGAAGCGTAAGACTGGATGTGCTGAGCAAGTTTGGTGCTGCTGTGATCGTTGTCGTCGTTGTCATCCGAGGCATCGGCTTCGGATTCGTCTTCAGAGTCGGAAGGAGCATCAAGCATTCGAGAAAGATCCATCATTCCTTCATCTTCGCCCTCATCCGCATCCTGATCTTCATCTTGCTCCTCGTCATCAGAATGGCCACCCTTGCGCTTATTGTTGCTCTTACTACCTCGGCCAAAAGTCCAACCATCGAACTTCTCCTCATCGCTCTCGCCAAATGCCTCATCCGAGTCGAGCTCTTCATCGCTTCCCTCGATACTAGCGTTCAGCTCGTCATCGGAATCGAATACTTTGGGACCAATGGGTCCGGCATCACTGTTGTCATCGCTATCCTCTTGATCTACGAGCTCCTCATCGTCATCGTTGCGCCGACGCTTCGGCTGCTTGCCTTTGGCTTTGGAAGGAAGGTCAGAGTAGTCGTCTGCCTTCATGCCTGCAAGAGCACGACGAGTACCTCGATCTTGCTTTGAGGAAGCGGAGGTGGATGCTTGAGCGTAGTCGTAGACGTCGTGGAGGCCGCGTGGGCCGTCATTGCTGGGGCGGGGTCGGCGGGGTGCTGGTTTGCCGCCTTTGTTGGAGTATGATGAGGATGAGAAGGGGGTTGAGGAGTCGTTGCTGCGCCCTCGACGGCCGCCACCAAGGGATGAGGCACCACCGTTGTTGTTGTTGTTGCCACGAGATCCACGAGGCATGGCAAAGGTCGAAGTAGGGTGGTGGATGTGGCGTCTGATTTCTGGATAGCTTTCCTCGATGTCTTCTTAACACGATGTTAGCGTTGGGCTTCGCTCCGCGGGTTCGGCCTAGGCTGCGGCTGAGATGTCCTTACGGATGCGGTTCGTCGTTCGGGGCAAGGGGGCAGCTTCCAGATCGTTTGTGGTGAAGAAGAAGGATGGAAGGACGGTGAGGAGAAGTGAATGCTGATCAGTTCACCTGAAATCCATTGGCTCCACAGGGAGAAAGAAATTTTGTCGGACAGAAGAGCGAGACTTGTATCCAAGCCAAAAAGTTGAGACTACAAAATTGTATTCCCAGGGTCTTCCCAAAAGGGCACTTTGTAATGATTTTTTTGGTGTGGAGTGGAAATGCTGAACTTTTTCTTTTTTTTTTTTTTTTTTTTTTTTTTTTTTTTTTTTTTCTTTTTTTTTTTTTTTTTTTTTCTTTTTTTTTTTTTTTTTTTTTTTTCTTTTTTTTTTTTTTTTTTTTTTTTTTCTTTTTTTTCTTTTTTTCTTTTTTTCTTTTTTTCTTTTTTTCTTTTTTTCTTTTTTTTCTTTTTTTCTTTTTTTCTTTTTTTTCTTTTTTTCTTTTTTTCTTTTTTTCTTTTTTTCTTTTTTTCTTTTCTTCCTGACCAAAGACCGAAGTTTAACTTTTTTAGACACTTGGCACCGCACTGTCAACTTTCAGAAGATCTTTCTTCTCATCATCACTCGTCGACACCATCATCAACCTCATCGACGCTATCCTCAAACCCTGCGATCTCCCCTCAGCAGCTTCCGCATCCTTCCTTCCTTCATACGGCACTAAACGTTCAGCTGCATCAGCTCAGCCTTCGATATCGTCCTGGCTCGACTCCCGCCTGCTTAACGCAGTGTCTCTATTCCGCATCACCTCGCAGGACCGACTGGCACAGCACAGCTACACCACACTTGAAAGTCCCCGTACCCCATCGCAATAGCTTCCGGCTCTAACGCTCAATGCGTCCCCTCACAGAAGAAGAGACAAAAACTCTCTTCGAAAAACTCGCCAACTACATCGGCAAAAACCTGGTCAGCCTCATCGACCGTCCCGACGACCCCCACGTCTTCCGTCTTCATCGCGATCGTGTCTACTATGCCTCTGAATCTTCCATGCGCCTAGCCATCTCCATTGCACGACCGAACCTAATGTCTTTGGGAACGTGTTTTGGCAAATTCAGCAAGACCGGCAAATTCCGACTCCACGTTACAGCCCTAGACTACTTGGCACAGCACGCAAAGTACAAGGTTTGGATTAAGCCAAATGGTGAACTGCCGTTTTTGTACGGCAATCACGTGGTGAAGGCTCATTTGGGTAGGATTACGGATGATACGCCGGAGCATGCCGGAGTGGTGGTGTTGAGTATGAGTAACACTCCGCTTGGGTTTGGTGTAACTGCAAGAAGTACAGTGGATACGAGGAAACAGGATCCGACTAGCATTATCGTTTTTCATCAGGCTGATGTTGGCGAGTATTTGAGGGACGAAGATACGCTTTTCTAAGAGATATTGGTCATAGAGCGATGGTGCTAAGCTTCGGTCGTGGTTGGCTTCGTCTTTCTTTGGATGCACGCATCGGCTCTGCACAAAGTCTTACACTGTCAAAATCTCTCTCTCTCTCACACTCACACTCACGCACTCAACGCCTGCTTCCAATCGATCCAACGCATGTTCATATTGTACTTCTAGCTTCTCTCTTCACTCACGTTCAACCAAAAGCAGCATTCTTTCATGGTTATTCCTAGTCGGCCCTCTATGCCCGCTCCTGTCCGCTCTCGCTATGGTTGGCTGGTCAGCGGCTATTGCAGTCCAAGCTCGTCTTGTTGTAGCTCAGCTATGAGAGCGTTGAAGCGTTCAAGCCATTCAAAGTACTCAGCTTCAAGGGTCCAGAAGAAGAAGAAGGCTCCAAGTCTGACGTGCTGAGGAGCAAGGCTTCGAACTTCATCAACTTCGCTTGCAAACACCGTCATCAGATTTCGCAATTGCCGTGCCTCGCGCGCTTACTACTTCACACCTATCCCAGCCTCCCTCCCTCTGTCACTTACACCTTTGTCCTCCCATCATCTCCCCATCACCATCGCCTACCCTTCTCCTAGATTCGATACCTGCAGAACTCTGTCCTTTTCGAAGATGGGTGTAATCATCCCCACCCTAGCTCCGGCATCAGATCAAAAATCACTCTTCCTCACATCCCTATCCCGCCTACTTGGGTGGATCTACACATTTGCTTGGTCTCTTTCATTCTACCCTCAGGTCATCCACAATTATACCCACTCCTCTACTGTTGGGCTCAGCACCGATTTTGTGCTGCTTAATGCAGCTGGGCATTCTTCATATCTCCTATACAACTCTCTATTGCTCTTCTATGAGCCTGTTCGACGGGCGTATCGCAAGACGCACGAGGGGAGGGACAACGTAGTTCAACTGAACGATTGGGTCTTTTCTCTCCATGCTACCCTCCTCGCACTTCTTACTCTCGGGCAGTATTTAAGGTATAAGAAACCAGAACAAGAGGTTTCTCGAACAGTCCGTCTTTCTCTCGCTTTTGCACTCACTATCGCAGTCTTCCTCGCCGGTGCCCGCAGACTGAAACTCGCGGGGTGGCTGGACATTGTCGCTGCAGCCTCAACACTCAAGTTGGCGATAACAATGACCAAATACCTGCCACAGATCAAACTCAATAGAGACAGAAAAAGTACAAAAGGTTTCAGCATAGAGAACATTCTCCTAGATCTCATAGGAGGAGTGTTGAGTCTGTTGCAATTGGTGGTTGATGCCGTTTGGATTCAGGGTAGTTGGAGTGGTGTTAGTGGAGATTGGGGGAAATTGGGATTGGGGCTGTTGAGTGTGGCGTTTGATGGAGTGCTCATTTGCCAACATTACCTGCTCTATGGGCCGGTAGATGTGGACCAAGAGGAGGAGAGCGAGGAGGAGGAAGTGCAAGGAGGGAGGGAAGAGAGGAGGAGTGGATATGGAAGTACCGCCTCTGGTTGTGCGTCCAGAAGAGGTGGAAGGCCGAGTGAGGGTGAGGATGAATCTTCGGCGTTGCTCAGATAGTGTCACATGCTGTATCGTTATGTGCTCTTTTCTAAGAGGAATAGATTTCCAGATGCATGATAAAGGATGTGCAGTGATGTGTGAGTGAGAGAGAGGATCTATTGCTCAGCCATACGTTTGAGACCGGAGCTGAAGGCGAGACGGAAAGGTCCCCCCGTACCCGAGGTCGATGCTTCCTGCGCTGGAGCAGGCGAAGCAGAAGCAGAAACAGTAACACTTGTCATTCCGCTACCACTTCCAACCGGTTTGAAACCAGAACCTGCGCTCGTCACCGCCCCCGCAGCATTGGTTGGGGGAGCAGGAGTAGCACTTCCTATCCTAGCCCATCCACCACCTGTCTTTACCGTCGTCGCCGTTCCACTCCCTTCCCCAGTCGCATCCCCATTCACTGTCGTGGTCCCACCAGTCGGTATAGGACTCAACAACATTTCCTCACCACCGCCCTGTTTCTTACTCTTCGCCGCCTTAGGCTGCGTCTTCTTAAGCTCGATCCCGTCTCCTTTCCTCTTCCCATCCAAAAGATCATTCTCCTGAGGCGCACTCCCTCTACTACCCACACTCAAAACCATGTGAGCCTTCCCTGTCCTCTCACTCCTACTCATAAATGCACCCATCATCCCCATAGGCGTGTCCCCCGCAGCCATCCTCTCTCTCTTCTTCTCGTCTTCAATCTTCTTCAATCTCTTCTCCATCTTCTTCGTTCCCGGCTTCTTTCCATGGAACACGTGCGAAAGATGTTTCCAAGCTTCTTTCTGATCCAGATCTCGCCCGAACTCATCGTGATACTTGATCTCGACATCGGGCTTGTAGTCTCGGAACCGATCTTGGGCGAGTCGGGCTTCTTCTAGCTCGCGGTTGCGATTGGCAGCTTCGCGCGAAGATTGGTCGATGGAAGAACCGGAGGCTTTGGATGCTAAACGGGCTTGTTCGCGAGACTGTTCTTCGAGACGACGGGCGGCGAGCCAGGCGTCGTATTGACGTTGTTGTTCTTCGCGAGATTTGAGTTCGGGGTTGGTTTGAGGTAGCATGCCTTGTTGTCGGAGGAAAGAGAGGGTGGAAGCCATGCCTCGACCGATGACTGGCTCGCTTTCGTCTGGTACAGGAAGGTCGTCCTTAGGCTCCGACTTGACGATGGTGTCGAGTGTCTCGCCTTCCTCTGGCTCGTCTCTGAGCGCACTGTTGGTCGAGGTGAGAGCTACGTGAGCATCGTCGTCTTCTTCCGTCTTGACTTGAGCTGTGTCTAGTTCGCGCATCGGCACACCGGCGACGGAATCCGCAGAGGCTTCCCGCTTGATCTGAGCTTCGTTGCCAAGCGAAGGTGAGGGAGACTCCCGCTTGACAGAACGAGCTCTCGTCCTTGTCTTGCTTTCCAACGGACGCTCTCGGATTGCGCGAACAAACTCGCTAGTCTCGTCAAAAGTCAAGCCGCCTTCCCCACCTTGCCCCTCTGCACTGCCATTCGCTGCTGTGCCACCTCCATTAGTCCCAAAAGGTATCGCAGTCCCGCTCGTCGCACCAGCAGCCGATCGCTCTGCTTCTTCAGCTGCACGTTGCGCTGCAAGATTCTTCGCAATCATCTCTGGCGTCATCTTGTTGAACGTCTTCTTCGCCTTCAAGCGTCTCGACTTGGCTAGCGAAGCTTGCAGCTCGTCGTCATCGACAAAGTTGTCGGTCTGCTGTCGACGGACCGGCTTTGTGGCGGTCTTCGTGTCCTCCATCTCGACGTCTGCGATGACATCAGCACTGGTCGTAGCAGTAGCAGAGGTGCTAGCTTCTGGCTGTGCATCCTGTGCATCATCATCATCGAAGCTGATCTTGGCTTTGGCTGCCTTCTTCCGCTTTTTTGTCTTTGGCTTCTTAAATCCTACATCTCCTTCTTGCAGGTAGTCGGAGAGCTCTTGGTTCTTGACATAGTCCAGCGAAAGAAGCTGCTTGTTGGCACGTCGAGCTTCCTCTTCAGCTTCTTCTCGGAGCTTTGCTCGACGATCGGCTGCAGAGACGCTAGCGCCCAGTCTGAAACCGGATTCTTCAGCGGAGGCAAGGCTGCCTTCGGGAAGGTCGGCATCGTACTTTGCCAGTACGCCGCGTTTGCGCCCTGTCGCCGCCTCTTCGTCATCCAATCCAGTGTACTCCTTTGCTCCTTTCTTGCGTTCGATATCCTTGGCATCTCGTTCGGCCTGGTCGAGCACTGCATCCATGAGCTCGTCGTCTGCATCATCGAGAACGCCTGCATCTCTGAGGGTAAGAATACGCTCCTCACCCTCCCCGAACTCGTCAGCATCATGGCCAACACGAAGACCAGCAAGATCTGACTCGCGGTACTGTGTTTGTTCTCGAGCCTCTTGTTCTTCAAGCTCCCTTGCTCTGCGAGCAGCATGTTCCTTGGCTCGCTTCTTGGATTCTTTGATCCATTGGAGCGTATCCTTGGACGACAAAGTGGACCCCGATGCAGAGGTAGAAGCTTGGTTGCTCACATCCGGATCCGCAAGCGTCGGACCTTTGAGCCGCCTCGCAGCATCACGTTTGGCCTGCGCTTTTGCTAAGCGTTCCTTGAGCTCTGCATCTTGGCGTTCCTTCCGTTCGCGGTCCTGCTTGTCCTGGAAGTTCTTTGCTGCAAGCGCATCACCTTCTAGCTTGAGTGGTGCAGCATCATCAGGAGCCGTCGCCTTCTTGGAAGAAGAGGAAGAAGGAGCATCGTCGGCGGCAAGAGGTTTGAGACCGAGAGAGATACGAAGCTTGTTGGTCTCTTCAAGGGAGAGCTCTTCCTTTTGGAACTCTGACATGGTTGAGGTTTGAGGTTGTGAGCTCGAGACTAGACTCTGAGGATGTATGGATGGTGCAACAAAGGTCAGAGAGATTTTTGTGCTCACCCTTTGTATTCCAGCAGCGTCGATGTTGTCGTTATGTCGAGTTTAAGGAGTTGACATGAATCGAATGTTCTTAGTCCTCCCTCTCCGGTGTGTCGATATTTACCCTTGGATCGTCGCTTGCTGTATTCACTTTTGTGTTCGAGCAGGACACCTTTGGACGAGTGCAATGAAGCGAGCCTTGAGAAGAAGGATTGCTATGGGTGTGAGTGGTTGTACAAGGTCAGGACGGAGAAAGAATGGATGACTGAGCTTTGGAAATGCGAGCCGAAATCTCGAAATCGAGATGCTTCTCATCCAGGGTCCAATCGGTGCGATCTCCTTGGCGCAACCCCGATCGATTCGCAAAAGCCAACTTTGGCTGCGCTGTCTAAAACTGAGCAACGCCCGCATTCCGCTCAAAAGGCGTCAAATGACGCACTGGTGCTTTCGCTGTTCTCAAGTCACAGTCACCTCAATCTTGAGCACGAGAGATGGTTCGTGCCCGTGGCTTGTGGAGGGATTCCGTGCAACAGAAAACACACACACAAACTCACACACAAACTCACACACAAACTCACAGCCTTTCCATACTCTCTCTGACCTTCTGCTGCCGTCCGTTCGCTTCCAGACCAACCCGACCCTTGATTGCCCAAAATCTGTCTCTGTGTCTCTGATATCATCACAACCCTGGCTTCCTATTCGCTTATCTATTCCTTCTCCCCTCTATTGACACTTCATACATCTTCTCTTATACCACACACCCTTCCACCCAACTTGCCCACAATTACCTAACAAACCACACCCCTCGACACCACACAAAGTACTCGCACACAATGTCGTCCTACGCCGATATCGCAGCCGAAAATGCTCCTCCCAAGTCGCAGCAACCCAAGCCAGACCAGGGCTACCTCGAAGATCAATCCGGTTCTGACGACGTCAATCGTTCCGCTCTCGACGTCAACTCGGGCAAGGTAAACGTAGTCCCCTCCGATTCCGACCTTGAACATCTCAAGACCCAATCGCAAGAAGTTTACGACGAAGCCGCCTCCAAAGCTCGTGCTCAGCGTAGCCAGCTCGAGTCCGACGCTAAGAAGGCTAGCGACTCTGCCAAGAAGACCACTAACAATGCTGCTCAGGCTGGTAAGGATGCTGCTGACGACGCAGCCAAGACTGGTCAGGATCTAGCTGATGATGCTAAGAAGGCTGGTAAGGATGCTGCCAGTGACGCTAAGAAAGCTGGTCAAGACTTTGCCAATGATGCCAGCAAGAAGGGTCGACAGGTTGCCGATGAGGCCGAGAAGAAGGGCAAGCAGTTTGCTGACCAGGCTGAGAAATTTGGAAAGGATGCAAAGACTGAAGCTGAAAAGTTCGGAAAGAATGCTCGTGCTGAGGCTGAAAAGGCCGGCCAAAAGGCAAGCGAGTATTTGGACAAGGGAAAGAAGGAGTTCTCCAAAGACGCAGAAGTGTTGAGGAAGAAAGGTGAAGAAGGAGCCAAAAAGTTGCGCAACAAGGCAGGTGAAGCGGAGAAGGAACTTGAAAGCTTCTGGGGCTCGTTCTCGCGTGATCCTAAGCAGTGGGGTCCTGCACTTGCCGCTGTTAATGTTGCATTGCTCGGTGGTTTGGGTATCTACGCTTACACCCACAAGGAGGAGGTCAGACGCACTGATCGTCGCTCGATTAGCGCTATCACCGTTGGTGTTTTGAGCTTGTTGGGTGTTCAGGGTTACTGGGCTAACGAGACCGCTAAGAAGCAGAACAGCAGCTTCCTCTAAGAAGCGCAAGGGAGATGACGTGCGAAGATCGCTTGATGGTTGATTCTCTTCCAGCTATGTAAAAAGTACACCTTTCCGCCACTTGTGCCGTTGTATCTTTGTTGAAGCTGGACGATTTTAAGGTCCTGTCTTTTGTTTGTTTTAGTTGAATACATACCAGATCACCACTCGAATGTTTGCTGTGCGAGTGAAAGCTGCTGCATCTGAGCTCAATACAGGTTAGTCATGGAGGATGTTTTGAGCTTAGACGTCCTTTCTCACGTCTGTCGAATCAGAACAAAAGCTCCAACAACTTGCTACCGAACTGTAACCGCCCTCCCCAGAAGCAGCACACACAGGACTCACACCAGATTCTTTTGAAGTCGCATAGCAATGTCAGATCAAGTGAGGTTCTGTATCGTGGTTGAAATGAGGGCAGACTGTACAAGATGATCGCTCGCCAAGAGTGGTTTGCAGAGCTGTCTTCCGAGCAGGGTGTGCTTAATCCTCCATTGGCGCCTCTCCGCCAGGTACCGCCGCGTTACCCTCACCGCCCTCCGTTGCACCTGTACCCTCACCCGCCGCCGCCGCCGCCGCGGCGGTCGCCCTAGCCCCCGGCAGACCCCTAGGCTGCAACTTATCCATATACGGTCTCAACTCTTCGCCTTCCACAATTCTAAACTTCTCCCCCTTCCTCGCCTCTGCACTGTTCACATCTGCATCCGCTCCTGGCCCCACAACAGCCACTGACACCTGTTCCAACTCCAAATCCTTATTCTGCGGCAGTGTATCCCTCAATGCATAAAGCCCGTGCGTTACCAGTTCTTCCAAACTAGCACTGCTGAACTCTTCAAACTTCCTCTCCAAGTACGTCTTCGCTGACTGGCTGCGCGCGCCAATACTCATAGCGTAATACTCGAAGCAGTTAGCAGTTGGGCTAAACTCGTACAGATGCGGACCAGTGTCGTCTACACCGATAATGAGGAAGCCTACACCGTAAGGGCGTTTGCCGTAGTCCATGGTGTTGTATTGGGCTCGGTCTGCGAGGGAGTCGACAACGCGGGAGATAGGGAGGGGGCGGTCGTAGACGAGACGAGAAGAGAGGGCTAGTTGACGCATGTAAGTGGAAAGGACACGGGCGTCGGAGGTGAGACCGGCGAAGCCGATACCGAGGTGATTGTCGATTCGAAGCATCTTCTTTTGGTAGGAGGCGAGTTCGGAGGGAGCTCGTTTGAGTGCGACTAGGATGGCATGGGTGGAGGAACGAAGACCGACAACTGCGGATCCTTGCTTTACGGCTTCAAGGGCATATTCGACCTGGTGGAGTCGACCTTGGGGTGAGAAGACGGTGTTGTCGCTGTCGTACGTGTTGCGGAACATCGTGGGCGATTTCCTTTAAGGAGGTGAAGGGGTTGAGGTGTTGGTTGGAGGAGCGCTGAGGCTGATTGTTGGAAGGCTGGTGTTCAGCCAGTGCGACTACGAGCAAGAGCAGCCGATATAATATCGTGGTGATGTTGTGGCTGCAAAGAGAAATAGTGAGCCTCGTAGGTGTCGAAAGATGACGACGTTGAGGTCGAGATGAGAAGAAGCAGCAAATGAGGATTGATGATGCCTCCTGGACAGGTGGAGCAAAGGCAGTCCGTGCTCAAAACTAACACAGCTGAAAGAAACGCGTCCCACTTGGCCAATTCGCAAGCGCAGCCCAGTCAAGGGCTTATAGGTGATCGACTACCAATTTCTATTCCACATTATTCTCCCAATTCTCCCTCTCACCTCTTCTGACTGGAAGCTGACTGGTGATGACAAATACTACCCCGACTTCCGAACATCTCTTCGTCTTGAATCATGTTGGACTCAGACCACCTCTCCACTTGCCACACATCTTCTCGTTCCATATACCTCAACATCAAGCCCGACCCTCTTTTCAGGACGATACTCGGTACCAGGATGGCTTTTGTCGCACCAGCAGTCCGCTGGCCAGACGCAGTAGCATCACACCTCCCTCAACCACTCAAAGACTCGGGCATTCCTCCTCAATACTTTGTCATCGTCCCTGCAACTCTTCTCGCCGTTCTACTCACCTACACTCTCACCAAGACTTCTTCTGCTGTTCAGAGTGCTCCTCACCTCGCATCCTCTCTCAACCACACGGAGTATATCACAAAACGATCGAAGGGGAGATCATCAACTGTAGTGCTGGTGGGATTGAGCGACACGGGTAAAACTTCTCTCTTCTCTTCATTGGTTTATCAGACTACGCCTGCGACACTTTCTTCGCAGAAGCCCTCACAAGGTCTGATCACTCCTTCTGCACTCGACAAGGATGGTGGGAGTCTGAAGCCGGTTACGATAGTCGACCTTCCCGGTCACCCTCGTTTGAGGCCACTGGCGGAGGAGCAGCTGCACCAAGCAGACGGACTAGTTATCTGCATTGACGCTGTGATGGCATCCAAAGCCTCCACCAACTCCACCAGCACTCGACTCGGAGAAGGGGAGAGTATCACCGACGTAGCCGACCTTCTCCACTCCACGCTCACTTGCCTTGCAAAGCAACGCGCTCGATCCACCTCTTCGCTCGCCCCACCCTCCGTGCTTGTCCTATTCACACGCGCCGACCTCTCCCCTCTCCTCGGAGGATCAGCAGCCGGCACTGACCCCACAAAAGACGAGAAACGTCGCGCACAACTCCTCTCACGCTGCCAAACCACTCTTGAATCCGAATTGGGCCAACGTAGGGCTAATATGGGTCTCAACCGTCGTCGTACAGGAAACGTAAAGATTGCTGGCTTGGGGAAAGTTGCAGATGCTGATCCAGGTTGCGCAGGTGCAAGTGCAAGGGGTGTCTTTGGCTGGATCAAGCGCGCATTGGGGCTGCAGAATGCGGGAGGGAGTGTCTCAGCGGAGACTGAAGGGGGCGATGAGGAGGAAGAGGAAGATGAGGTGGTGGATTATATTGATTGGGCTGCTTCTCAACGTGCATTAGAGGGTGAGAATGGAGGTGGGGGAGGATTCAGTCTGGAAAAGTTGGATGATCATGTAGTTTGGGGTGGAAAGATGGAGTTTGCGTTGGCCAGTGTGGGGAAGAGTAGGAGCTGGGATGGGAAAGACGGCGAAGAGAAGGTGGATCCCATTGGAGGTCTGGGTGCGTTCAAGGAATGGATTGTTGAGCTGCAAAGCTGAATACAAACGCAAACCAACTTCAGTTGTATCATTCAGTATCTTCGTATTGCCCAGTGTGCGAGGGAGAGCGAGGGGAGGGAATCAAAGATGCCAAGGAGTCCCCTCCGGAACATTCCATTTCTTCCAAGTACCCTCTATTCCCATATCGATCTTCAAATCCCTCTCCAATCCCTCACACCACGGCTCCTCCCCTTCTTTCGCTGGATTGCGGAACTTGACACTTTCGTACAGACCCAAGCTGAGGTGAATACCCGATGGACCCGGGGTGAAGGTTTGAAGTTCTAGCTTTCCCTCCTCCTTGCCTCTAGTTTCGGCTGCGATGAGGGAGAGGATGTTGGATTTGATAACGTCGATCTGTCCTGCTGCAGCGCGAACAGTTTTTGCTGCCCCGCTGTTGGCGATATCTCCCAGAGCAAAAACTCTTGCACCTAGTGCAGAGGGGGTAGATTTGATTTGAAGCGAAGAGTGAACGTCAATGAAACCATCGGCGGTGATGACTTCAGGTGCAAAAGACGATAGGAGGGAAGAACGGGGTGTTTGACCTGTACACATCAATACCAGATCCGCTTTGACTTTGCTACCATTTTGCAGTTCCACTTCGAACATCTCCCCCTCTTTGAACGCGGGGAAGCCCAAGGACGGGATAACAACACGGCTGCCGAGGTGTGTGTTAATGTTTCGCTCAGCGAATCGTTGCAAGACGAGCTTGTGTAGGTTCGGATGAAATTTGTACTATGCAACACCGTCACCGTTTTCGAGGGGGTGAGGGGATAGAGTTCAGCAATATCGCAAGCGACTTGAGCACCCACAGCACCACCGCCGACAATCACAATGTTTCGAGCTTGTTTCACTGCGTCCTGATACCGTCTCAGCGTCTCCACCGCTTGCTTCTTTGCGGTCACTCCCTCGTGTGATGTTGGAGGAAGCGACCAAGGTTCTCGGAGCTGATTACCCGTTGCGATGGCAAGGTAGTCAAATTCGAGCGTGTCACTTCCTTGGTTTGCTGCGCGATCCAGCTTGAGGTATCCTTTGGAAGAGGTTTCGGCTGAGGGGTGGATTGAGAGCGCTTTTGCGTGGATGATCGCGTTGCCAGCAGCTCCAGCTTCAAGTGCGTGGGAGTAAGGAATGAATGCTTTCTCCTCACCTCCACGATGAAGCACAGAGAAGCGTGGGAAGGTGAATAAATGGTGGAAATGCGAGTTGGCCTCCACCACCACGACCCGATGCGTTGGTGGAAGGACAGGTACGAGTGCTTGAGCGAGTCGCATGCCAACGTAGGATCCGCCCACGATGGCAATGGTTGAAGGCGTGGTTGCTGCGATGCTGCTCATCCTAGCTCGCTTGTAGAGTTGGGTGAGATAGATGAAGGTTAGAGGAAGAAGAAGAGCAACGAGGAAAAGGGCGCGGGTTATATGCATCACCTCCTCTCACCCGACGAACTGAGCAGAGCCTGCGCAGAACAAAGAGGAGAGCGTATTCAGGTTTGCGTATGATAGTACTTCCGCAGAGAAGGAACGAAAGAATGGATGAAAGAGCTGAGAGCGGCCGAAGTGGGGTTAAGAAGAAGCGTTCAACAACGGCGCCGAGGTGTGAGAGCAGTATGATCTCTAGAAGGGCCGAGGATATCCGGTTGCAAGTTTATCAGATAACTCAAAGATCCGAACTTCCGCAAAGATGAACCGCATGGTGCCAATGTGCCAGACCGACGATAGGGTTTCAATGTGTGTCATACGATGCCGCAACCTTTCCCCTACTCCGATCTTTTGCACAGGAGGGCTTGCAGTCGAGTCACGAGATCATGCGGTCTAATGCGCTTGAACGCATGGTTGCGAGTCCTCGGTCGATATGGCGATGTTGACGGACTGCCGCAGCTGCATCTTCTTGCGCAAAGTGTGGGAGGTGGGACAGAGCGAAGATCATTACAAAGTGATCTCCGTGGATCTGATAAGCTCAATGTCAGTCTGCCTTGAGAAGTTTGGCTGAATAGTGCTCAGAGGCAGTGACGAATGCAGCTAAAGGAGGGGCCGGAAGAATATTGATCCCTGCGTTTTGACACGTCGCGTGGTGCCTTCGTATGCTCAGAAGGCTGCTCCGTCGAAGCCTCCCCAGGTACGTCGATATCAGCTCGTTACCACATGTGCTTGTCCGTCACTCCTGCGCTGCAACGCCTACTCAGTGACACGCGGACAAAGCGAGTGTAAACAGAGCGGCAATGTGGTAAAAGAATGTGATAATTCATTGCTGAGAAAAAGAATGGGTAACAGTAGCAAATACATGCTAAATGGTATAAGTTATGATCAATAGATCGGGAAAGATAGCTCAGAACCTTGCATCTGGGCTAAAAACCCCGCCATTGCGCCTCTGCGAATCAGCCTCCCCAAGAAGACGTCTCAAGTCACGAGTTGGTCGTGGTGGTGATGAGGGTGGTGATGAGGGTGGTGAAGCAGGAGGTGAGCCTGCCAGGTCGGAGATCCAAGCACCTTCGCCCTCGCCCTCATGCTTCAACCCGAGGGAGTCGAGTTCACGACCGCGCCCACTTGCGGTGGTGGGAGTCTCTGGCAGTGGCGCATCAAAATATTGAGACCGAGCCCACTCTCTTGCGATCCTCGAAGCAGGTGTCTCGCTTCCGACACTATCGCTTAACCTTGATTGATGTTTGACTACTGGTGACGAAGGTGATTCTTCCGCCCGAGAAGGCTTTGTATCTCTTGAGCGTACTGCGGTGGTGTCGAGCGAAGCAGAAGCTTCTTGAGCGCCCTTAAGGATGCGTGGATCGAAAGGATACTCAGCCAGAGTCGAGTCGGTTGTCTTGAAGTGTCCTGACGGATCCTCCAACGCTTCGCGCTCCGATCCTTGGTTGGAGCGTCCGACCATCATCGGCACCGACGCAAGACCGAAAGATTCGGTGACATCCTGAGGGATCGACATCGTAGCTTCCCTTTCCCGACTAAGCCAAGCTCTGGCTTTCGGTGGAGGTCGAAGACTCTTGCCTTGTTTGCCACCAACTCTCGGCCCATCCTTTGTTTCCGGGGTGTTACCAGCAGTCGACAGCATCGAAGCTAGCTGATCATCTGGTCGAATCACAAATCCTCCGCCAGGGAGGGATTGTTCTGACATATTGAACTTCATCCCGGTGTTCATGGCGATATGAGGTTTTGACTGGATGACCGACAGCATGCTTGCTTCCAGATCGACGCTTTCGGGTACGGCAGGCAGTGTTCGAGACTTTCCCTGCATCACTGGGTTTCGAGCTGCTGCGTTCTGCTCTGCGCCTGTTGCAGCGGCAGAGTCGAGTGTGCGACGAGAAGCGTTACGGTGGAAGCGACGACGGAGACCACCTGCTCCGCCTCCTTCTGTATTGCTGTTTTGACATGTTTCGGGTTTAGGATTGTCAAAGTTGCGGAAGACAATGGAGCCGATAGTGAGAGCGCCGAAGACGGCAGAAGCCCATGCTGCTGTTGTGCCGGCTACTGCGATCGGGTAAGCGACTGCGGCAGGACCTTGTAGTGCGTGCTCGTACTCGACAGAAGCGAGGTAGATGGTAATGGCGCCGAAGCAGGTGGCTGCGGAGATGATGCCAAAGTAGAGAATGAGCAAGTTGACCAGACATCGGCGGAGGTATTTGTAGTGTGACATGGGTCCACCCGTAATGGAGATGCGTTTGCGCTTGGTTTTAGGCGAAAGCAAGTCGCCGCGCTGGCTGCTGGACCCCGTCTCCAGGCGCATCAGCTTCCTAAAGGCTGATGGTGGCCTAGGCGTGTTGGGAGTTATAGGCGTAAGAGGTGTCGAGCCCGTACCTGGACCATTGCTGGAGCCGACCTCTTCAGTCAAACTTGCGACATGACCGATGCGTGAGGTGATGCCAGGAGTCATGGCTCCATGCACTTGATGAGAAGCTGGAGGGTCGTGCCGCAATGCCGACTCGAGACCAAGGAAACCCTGACTACCCTTAAATGAGGCTGTTGTGCCGCTGGGGCCTGTACGATCGCTTCCATCGGATGCTCCTCTATTCTCATAGATGTCTTCAAGAGGCGCACCGAGGCGGGATGAAGGGTGGGCTCCGGATAAGTGCCCCGCTGCTTGACCTGCCTGCATACCAGCCTGTTCTCCGGTCAAGACACAAATTTGCATCCCCCTCTGCTCTTGCGCAAGCTGAATTTCAAGCTTGCGCTGGTAGCTGAGCAGGATAGCCCTTTGCTTACGCACTTGACGATGCAGAAGATAGACGAGCACACCACCAGCAGGCACGTAGAAGAAGAGGAAGAGGAGCGCCCAGAAACTCCAGAGAACATAGCCGATGTCGACGTAGTAGTACGACATGGTCCAGTCCTTGAAGATGGTATAGGCTCGTGATCTGAAATTGTCGAGAGCTACTTGGTTGACAAGACTGCCTGCTGCGGTTGCGTCGAGCAATCTTTCGAAGCTGTGATCCCATTCCTTATAGCTGTTGTACGCCTTGGCCATCTTGACGGATGAGAGACATGCTGGCGGGAGAAGCGAGATGATGAGTGCAACGGGCGTGCCGAGACAGCTAAGGTTGACGATCAGTGGCCATTGCAGATGACCTTTTGCGCTTGTTTTGTATCTGGAAGCAGTGGGCTTGTCGAGAGCACCAGGAGCGGTGTAGAAACTTCCCCATCCTGTCAGGAAGGCTCCGATGTAGAGCGGAATCCAGATGAGCGATCGGAAGGGCTGGAAAAGATACATCCATCCTTGTTTGTGGTTGTTGAAAAGCTCCCAAATGCAAAAGTTGAAGGCTACTGTCAAGATGCCATAGAGACCTTCGAGCAAAAGGAAGCAGTTGATAGCGTTGGGGATGATGTACGAGCCTTGCATTCGTCTTTCCAGGCGAAAGACATCGAGACGCCCATGGTAGAGGCGGTGAAACGCCACAGGGATACCGATAGCGATGAGCAACAAGACTACGCCTGCTGCGGCTATGCTGCTGACCATAAAGTAAGGGTGGAATTCGAGGAAGAAGAGTCGTCGAATGTAGGCACGCAGTTCAGCAATGGCCGACTGCTGTATACTGGAATGTGATGAAGAGAGACCCGACAGGATTGAGAGTGGAAAGTCGACTGGATTTGATGGACCTTTTATGAGGATATAAAGGCGATCTGCAATCCTGGAAGCCTCACCAGGTGCTGCAGCCACAGCTGCAGAGACTGGGAGGTGAGGCATTGCGAGTATGTGACTGCCGAGAATGAGTCGGAGCGATGATGAGAAAGTGTAGCGCGAAGCTTTGCCTCAGAGCTTGATTACGCAAACAGGGCCTCCGGCACCGTTGGTATGAGGGTAGCTGAATAGAGCTGCGAAGATCGTCGATCGGGTGGAGAAGGTGTTGGAGAATGAGACGATGCAGAGGTGTGAAGCAATGCGACGAGATGATGGTGGAATGTATCGGAGCTCTCTGCTCGAACCGAAACGACGGCGCTTCTGAGGACTCTAGGCGTGAAAGGTAGGGATGCAAGATGTAACTCGGTACCACAAGATAGCTCCGACAGGCGAGTGAGACAAGAGACTAGCTGGGCGTGCAAGCTGAACTGGAAGATAATGCGGAGGTGAACAAGAGGGGAAAAGAGCGGCAAGATGAAGAGACGAGAGGGACAAGAACGGGTCGGAGATGTCGAGATGTATCGCAATTGGTTGCGAGAAGGAGCAGTTGCTGATTTCGGGCGGTCCACTGGAAGCCGAATGCAGTAAGATTGACAGCGGTTCAGGCATAAAGATTAGAGAAGGCAAGACACAACCATGCCAAGGAAGCGTGGCACAGCGTCTAGAGGAGCGGCGGAAGGGAGGTGAAGATGTGACAGAGGTAGAGGGAAAGGGTGGAGCGAGACAGGAAGGTGGCGGAAGAGATGGAAGGTGGTATGGTGTGGGTAGAAGGGGAAGGCGAGGAAGGAATGTCAAGGTTGAGACTCGAGGCTTGCTAAATGCGGAATGGGAGCCATCAATAGCGTGTGGAGCAGGAGAACGGAAGATCGAAGCACAGAAGACGAGGCTGAGAGGCTTAATGAGCAGTCGTTGGAAGTTGTGAGACATGGAGTGCCGGTGAAGGATGCTCTCAAACTTATTGGTATGCTCTTGGCAGACAAAGCAACTCTCTGCTAACAAAAGCTTGGTTCGATGCATCAAGGGTCAAAGCATGTGCACACCCGCAAGCGGCCGCGGCGACAAGGCGGATGAAGGATACAAGAACGGCATCTTCGCCGAGATTCAGATCAGACACGCCAAACCTGTCTGCCCTGCGCTTAACCGCCAGAGGGGGGCAGGGCCCCATAATGATGCTATGCAATGCTACACCTGAGAAGATAGAGGAGTCCTACGGATCGCCTTGAAAAGGCTAATCCAACAGTTGTGCAAGGCTGTTGCTTGAGGTGGAACATACGAGGTGTTGATGAGATTCAAGTCTGCTGGAGGGATCAGCCTGCTGTCCTTATCCCCACTCGCCTCTGCTTCTGTTGCCCGTCTGTCTGTCTTACTCTGCAACAGTGTCATCGGTCACTCTTTCCAACCATGCTCGTACCGGAAGGGCTGCCAATTCGGGGCCCAACGCTTACCCTTTCTGGGACGTCGACTGGAACAACCTCTAGGTGTTGGGGGGTATGCGTTGCTTGCAAATGCCATCTATGTGTATAGACCTTCGAAGCTGGATAGGACTCAACCATGTTTCTGTCCATTCTGGCCCATGCACTGCCTTCTTGTGACCTTCTTGTGCTGTCTCAGGCGTTGTTCCCTGACTTATTTGCTTCAGAACAACCGAAGAGCTCAACATTCTCGTCAGCTCAGCACAGCATCAGATATCAAAATGACTCAGCCATTGACCGTCGTTGCAATGGGCTAAGTGGCTAGGGGTTATACCTTTGCAGCTGGGAGGGGGAACCGAGGAGCATCCGTTTGCAAGAGTGCCATGTCTCAGATTATGGTTGGTCGTTGTTACTGCACACCACGGTGCAGAGCAGCATCCTCTTGTGATGCGATTCGAGCCAAGCAACGAGCCGATACAGTGCTGTCAGAAAGAAACTTGCCTCTTCAGGAAAGGGCAGGATGGTGTCGGTGCTCTTCGCTCGGATCGCGTTTAGCGAGGCACGCACATTGAGGAAGACAGGCTTTTTGAGATAGACGTCGCCGGACATGGTCCTCTGCTCACCGGTCAATGTCCATTAGCATCGACCATCCTGAACAGCTCGTGAACGTTGCTGGGGCAGCAAAGTTCAGAAGGCTCGTCGCCGATCACCTTGCAAGATCAATGCTGAGTTGAGCACAGCGAGTAATGTCTCTGCGTTGTTCAACCTGCTGTCAGGATCACAGCCGATCTTTTTCGAACCAGGTGGGATTCAGGTGCCGTAAGCTTGGTGCTCAATGAGGGCCATGTCTCAGTTGTCTTTGCTTTGCCACTGTAACCGCCGATCTGACAGTAAAGTACTCGCTGGATCCGAGATGGTCGCCTTACAATCACTCGTTGCTCCCTGTCTTCCAGTGTCACTTCGGCAGAGGCGGCATTGGGAGCGTTTCTTTGTATGGTCACACCTCGGGCAGTCACAATCTCACAAGTCGTCGTCGGATGTGCGATATAGTACGAATGGTGACCGCTTGAGACGTCAATTCTGTCCCCGATCACATACACCGAGGTGCTGAGATTCTCGGTGCCTTTGCAAGGGGAAAGCTCAGCCTTCAAGATTGAACCACTGTCGTTGCCCAGCCACCTCCCTCTTGGTTTTCCACCATTTTCTACAAGACTGCCTCATCGGTCTGACCTGTTTGGTCGCTTATGGTCGTGGCCAAGCGCGCCGATAAAGCAGTCATCAACTGGCTCTCGGCAGAGCTTGGTTCGCTCTTCATCGCTAGTCGCTTCTATGATAGCATGTGCACTATGGGTAGCGCTCGGCTCTCCTCTCTTGGAGAATACGCCCGGGCGGCTCAAGCACACGCTCCTCCCTTGGCCGTACAGCACGGCTACATTTGCCGAACGATAGCAACATATGTACCAGCACGGCTCTTGCTGATGGTCAGGTCTTGGCCACAGCCAATCACAAATCGAGGTCGACTATGACAAGGAACCTTGTCCTTGCAACATGCTCGCTCTGTTCGCCTTCGTGTAGTTGCTGTTACATGGTCCCCGCTGACGCGCGCGACGACAGCCATCTTTTCCTGGAAGGACGCTTTAGCCATGGTTTGAGGGACCCGCATCTCATCCTCTCAGGGACCTCTCAGGACTGCTCAGCTGCAACACTTCTGTACAAATGCGGCTGCGGCCGGCACGGCTGGTTGCAGCTACGATAGAACTACTCTTCACCGTCACACAACAACTTACATCTACGCCACAGGAGCATCAACACGGAAGGGCCCTGGCGATCAGCCTTTCAGCCAGAAACTCAGCATGTACGCTGCTTTAAGGAAGCTAGGCACAATCAACACCAACGAGCGGATCCAACGCTTTGTATCCGATCAACGCCACCAGACCCTGCAACAGCTTGATCACGACTATAACTGTATCTGTCGCGATTGCGAAAGGCAGCAGCGTACGTACCTTTCTCCACTGCAAGCTCAAAGATTTCGTATGATTCTGGCCTCACACGCTTTGGCCTTCTCTTTGCATATTCTAGTGCTTGCACTGCGTCGATCTCGTCGATCTGTGCCCAAGACTCACAAGGACGCCTCGACGAAAGAGTTCATACCGCTTTTGAACTCAGAGGAGGGTTTGCACTCCGGACGTGCAGCATTGAGCAGCGAACAGCCCCGACAGACTACATTTCGACGCCGACCCACTAACGAGAACGCAAGACGAGGCGAGAGCAAGCTTGGAAGGGCTGCACATCTGAAGCCTGGTCGAATCACGCTTCCTCTACCTGAATCAATCTTTGCTACCAAGGCCAAGAGTGAAGCGGCAGATAAGAAAATGCAACCACTGCTCGTGCCCTCTGCAGCCTCCTCCTTGGCCGCCTCCCGCCCTGGGAAGAAACGCGAGAATGCAAGCAAGGTTGAAGTCGGATCGTGCCCAAACCCTTCCGAGCAACCGGAGGAGGCCGAAGATGGGAGCAGCTGGGACAGTGACGAGCATTCGCTTCACTCGAATCTGGTGCACCACGAGGCAAAGCAAATGAAGAAGACACAGGAGGCGATTCCTCCGTCGACGACAGCAAAAAGTCCGGTGAGATCGGAGAGCGGCCAGCGGGAAGAGAAGGACGAGGCTACATGTCCCTTGTTGGACGATTTCTTTCAACGCAACCCCGCTGCGGTAGCGAATGGCTGGTTAGCCATGCCTCATCATCGGGATGTGCCCGAATGGATGGTGGAACGAGATCGATCGAAAGCGATGCAAAGTGTAGCGCGTGATCTGATCCAAACCAATCAGCCGAGATTGTTGGGTCTTGTACCTCAGTTCAGATCCAGTAGAAGGTCTCGTCGCAAATGAATCCAAACACAAACCTGGACAATGCAGATGTTTTGCTTTCTAATGTGATCTTTCTATTATGTGTGCAGTGTTTGTGAATGGTGGTTGCCATTACACGAGCTTCGCCTCACTTTCTTCTACCTCGTCTGTGCTAGACCAACCAAAGAACCTATACAACCCATCCCAAACTTCCGCCTTACAACCCATTGCCAATAGCATCACTGCAGGTAAATGAATCAGGCTAACCCAAAAACACCATCTTGCAGACTTCACAGTTCCTTCTCTATAAAACTTCCATGCAGCATGAACCATCAGCCCGTTCAACGGTGTACTCAGTACCGCATAAGCCACGGGACTAACAATCCCGCTAAGCGGTATCATAACAGTGCATATGGGTAGGAGGGCTAGTGCATATCGTAAAGAGACTCGACGGTTTAGGGCTGGGTTGGTGACTGCCATCATTCGGTATCCTCCTCTAGCGTATTCTGCGCGAAGGGTGTGTGCGAGAGAGTTGAAATGGGGGAATTGCCACGCGAAGAGGAGGGCTGCGAGACTCCAGCCACCCAGGTCGTGGAAGTGGGAAAGGGTACCAGTGCAAGCAGCCCAACCCATTAGAGGAGGAAGTGCGCCAACGATTGCTCCGATCCATGTGTTTGCGATGCTTACCCTCTTCAACGGCGTATAGGTGAAGGAGTATAGCACTACGTTTGCTGCGCCCAACACTGCGGTGAGAGGGTTAACCATTGTAGCTAGCACTCCAACACCGGAGACAACGCAAGTGGAAGCAAATCCAAACGCATGCAGAGGTGTAACAACACGTGATGGTAGAGGTCGGTTCCGCGTACGAGACATCTGCGCATCATACGGTGCTTCGACTAGTTGGTTTAGGGTGTTGGCTGCTGCACTGCACAAAGCCATCCCTGCGGTAAGAGCGAGGAGTGTGGTGACAGGGGATGCTACAGCTACGGTGAGTGAGGCTGGACAGAGTGCGTACCCTGCCATTCCGGTGAGGACGACGAGGAAGGTTAGGCGAGATTTGGAGAGCTGTTTGTAGAGCTTTGGGATCGTAGCTGTTGAGATTGGTAGAACAGGGCGGTAGGAGGAGAAACTGGTGGAGGGATCACGAGAGCGTAGTCCGGAGACCGAACGAAGATCTACTACTGTCGGATCGTCGGATAGCGGTGCGAATGATGATGGATCCAGTGCTTCAACTGCGCTGCTGGGAGAGGCAGCGGTGATAGTTGCGGCGTTGTTGGTGGTGGTGCTGAACTCTCGCCTAGCCGACACTTGAGCATGCAAACCCCTGCTGCGAGTCAGTGGCTGCCGACCAATAACCTTCGTTCTCAACGTCCTATACGTACTCCAAATAGCATCGCCATCAACATAACACCCTTTCAACCACCTTTTCACCTCTCCCTTTTCACTCTGATCCCACTCAAAACCCTTCCTTGAATGCAAGACCCTCCTATTATCAAAGATAACACACTCCCCCTCTTCCATCTGCTTCTCATACCTAAACTCCTCCGCAAGCGTCAAATCTGAAAACTTTTTGAGCGCTCTATAAAACAACTCTCTCTTCTCTTTCGTCTCCAGCGCCTTTGTCGGATGCAGGGGCAGAGGAGACTGGAAAGGAGGGGAGTAATTCACCGCACTCAACCTCGGCATAGTTGTCCCTTCCAACGCCGGTCCAGCGTGTCCCTCGGTCTCATGTGCAAGTTCAAAAGTCGGATGCGTAAACCTATAATGTCTTCCATCATTAACATAATGAAATCCAACCGGAACTTTGGTGAGACCTTCCCATAGTTCGCGATCTTGCTCCCACATCCGTTCAGCGACTTTGAAACTGTCGACAAAGATACTTGCTCCTCCGCGAACTTTGTTCCTCAGCATATGCAAGAATTGGAAGCGGGGTGGGTTTTGGAAATAGAGTAAGTCCATGTGCAAGCCGAGATCGAGGTTGGTGTATGCGATGTTGCGAGCGTCGGCTTTGGATTGGACGTCCCAGAGGAGACCGTAGAAGGTGTTACGGAGTTCACCCATTGTTGAGGCTAGATCGCGAAGACGGGCTGATTCGGGGCCGGGCTCGGTGGAGGTAGTGTCGGTGGGGAGACGGGTGACGAATGCGAAGCCATCGCGGACGACGGCTTCGGTGAGCGAGTAGAGAGCTTGAGTGCGGTCGTTGGAAGTGGTTTCTGGTTTGATGGCGTCCCATGGAATACGAGCTGGTCGGGCCACAGCGCCCTTTAGCAGCACATGGGCGGGGAGCGGGGCGTCAGGTGTCCAAGGTTCCGTTTTGAAGTGGCTGAGATCTTTGGCAGCCCAGCACTCGGGGACGGCCATGATGTCCATATGTGTATCCGCGTACAACTCCGGGATGGCATGTCGGAGCAAGAACGAGGTGGGCAGATCCGAGACGTGCGGTGCATCTGCTGGCTTGACCGAGCCAAAAGTGGCAGTGAAAACGTTGACAACGGCGTGCTCCTTAGCGAAGGTCAATCGAAGTGCTGGCTCGTCTCCCGAGGTCACCAAGGATGGAGGGTGGTTGCGATCAAGCAGGTCAACGCCAAGTGGCACATCGCTGGTGTGGAAAAGTTTCTGGCGGTTGCTAGGATGAACCGATTGCGGTGCTTGGCAGGCATCACGAAGCCAGACGTGATCGAAGTGGAAGGGTTTGAGACCCAGTTGCTGCGACTCGATCGTGATTCCGTCCGAGAGCGGGCGAATCAGAATGTCCGATTCAGGAACGCGGAGCTCAGCGACGCTCTCCTTTCTGATACTTGCAGACAAGCTGGATGCCCGTGTAGCAAGCGATGGCGAAGCTGCGCCAATCTTTCGGCATCGCGTGCTGAACGGCTGCTTGGTAGCAGTGTACAGACCTGCTGTGGCCACTGCAGGTATATGACTCGAGAATTGACGATGCCACTGTCTGAAAGCCCGACGACTAGCTGCAGCCACACGTCCGTTCGGCCTGAGCAGCATAATTGGCAACACCGACAGAATGCGACCCTCTGTCGCCCATCCCAACGACGCCGGCGCAGCTGCATTAGCTGACGCTGGTGGATGACCGGCATTGATCGTCTCCTTGCTCGCTGCTGCCTTTGCCGCCTCATCGTCCCTGGTCAGGTAATCAGCGATAGCAAGATTGGCTGCAACGATAGCAGCGATACCAAACACGAGGAAGAGACTGCGTCTGGTTGCATCCCACTTGACATTCTGCTCAATCTCCGTCTTCAGATCGGAAAGACTGATGGTGAACCGGTTATTGAGATCCTGAATCTCTTGCTCCAGATTGTTCTGCTCTTCTTTCGACTCGGCTTTGCGGTTGTTCATATCGACCTGAATGTCGTGCTTGAGTCGTTCGACGTCTTCTTTCATCTTTTGCTCCAGAGCATCGACTTCACGTTGAAGAAGGGTTGTGATGCTTCGCAATCCAGCAGCGTCGTTGCGTCCACGCACTTGCACTTCGGTGCGAATCTCCGAAAGAGCTGCTTTGAAGAGATAGGTTTGATTCTCAACGTCACTTTTGTTGAGACAGGCATGTGCGAGTTGCCGACCGCGAGTGGTGATAAGATGGCGGACGCCTTCCATGATTGCTTCTGCCGGGTCGTGTCGCTGAGCGATTTGAAGACCTAGCTCCTGTGAACCGGACTCATTCTGAGCTTGCTTGCCCTTTCCTGGCTTGCTACTAGCTGCCAGTCGCTGTGCTTTGGCTGCATTCGAAATCCAGCCTCCAGACTCTAACCTCTTCACAAAACCATGAGTGTCGAAAGGCACCTGCAAGCTCTGCAGAGACTGGGAGGAGGCGGGTCGGTGCAAACGTTGATCGAACTCGATGTCCCTCTGCCCAGCGTTGGAAGTGCTTGCCGTTTGTGGTGTTGTTGCGCCATCAGCAGAAGCACCGGATGAGGTTGTCGAGTGCTGGGAGGACTCTGGCGGAGGTGATGTTGAACCTGACGCTGTGGAAGAGGACGAAGCGGATCCGTCAGAAGGAAAGATGGTCTGGTCGGACTGAGGGGTGGCAAAAGAAGGATAGAGGTTGGTTGCAGGATTGAGCGGAGGAGTTAGACCGGAGTAGACCCTCTTGTTCTGTTCTTGAGCATGGAAGAAGCGTTGCTTGAGAAGGTCTTCGCCACTGAGGGGGCCTGTACTGGCTTGTGTGGCATTTGGGGTCTGTTGCGCTTGCTGGTCTTGTTGCTGACCGTCGGATGAAGGTTCCGGCTGCTGCTGTTGCTGTTGTTGCTGTGATGGCGACTGACCAGAGCTCGCTGATGTGGAGGAGGAAAATGGAGAAGATGCTGCTTGCTTCTCTGCCTTGACCTCTGCGTCCACATTGAGCACATTTTCTGTCGGTGTGCTGCGCGAAGAGGTCTCGGCGTTGCTGGTGCTGCTGGATTGATTGCTCCTGTTATCAGTGACTCTGACAGAAGGAGCAGCCCTGGCGTCCGGTTCCGCAGCAGCTGCATATCGCGACGGCTTGCTCTTCGCATCTGAGCTAGCACTGAGTACTGAAGATGTAGAGAGGTTGAGACGTTGTGCGCTGCTGAAGGGCCTTGAACGGCGGGAATGGTGGAAAAGGTTCCTCGGTAGGGAATGTCGCTGCACCACGATTTGTTGACGGAGGAGATCAGGGGCGGCCTGCCGTGCAAGGCAAACTGAGGCCTTTGGTCCAACTGTGGTCCAGCTCATCATGTAGACGGAGCTATGCCGGTGCGTTCTGAGGCTACCAGCGAGAGCCAGATAGGTTACAGAAGTACTTGGCTACAATAAGCTTTGAATCGAGGTGTTGCGATCAAGTCGACATCGTGATGCTCGGGTTGTACTGCAAATGCCGTGAAGGCAGGTAGAGCGGCGGCTGTAGATGAGTCGCTGACACCGCTAGACGTCGTCGTGATCTAGACAGGGTGAAGAAGTAGGATGGGGTAGTGGTCATCAGATACCCTTACTTGAACGAACAACTTTGATCTTCCTTGTGATTTTGGTCCGATCCGAGCCCGGCCGCGGCAAGCCAAATGTTAATGATGAGAATCTGACAGAATGATATAAATATATAGATATATATATATTTGTCGGAGATGGCGCTGTTAGTCAGCATGACTCTCACAAACAACAACTCAATTTCGCCCTCGAAAAGGTGCATAGTAGTGTGCTTTGTGTTGGTCTCGACGCGCTTGCGCTGTGCGCCAAATCGAGTGCCTGCTATTCCAAAAGTCTTGCATTGAGCTTCGTTGATGCTTGCCAACTTGAGCTCAGGCTAAGTGTCTTTGAAGTTGAAGGGTGATGTTTATATGTGTGCAGAACAAAGGGGCTTGAGTCGCACAACTAGCCTGGAGCGTTGCTTTGTATGAGCGTGTGGCACGCATGCGCCGTTTAAAAATTCAGCTCGGCGCAACAGCCACGGCGAGAATGACAGCGCCACATAGCGCATCTGAGCAAGCCGCGTGTGTGTGTGTGTGTGTGGCGCATACTGTGGTACAGTAATGGATCTTCTTTGCGTGAAAGCTTAAGCGATTCCCTTCTCCTCATCATTCAACCCACACCGTAACCATCTCAGACCGATCACCCGCTGTCACTCGCGCACACACAACAATGTCGCACGCACAGGAACCAACTATCGCTGACGAGGAGCTCGCTACGACCAGTAAGGGGCACAATCATCGGTAGCTAGATGCACTTGTACAGTGACGCTGACATCTATACACGCTCTATCATCTTAAACATGCACCACCCTGGATCCTTACAGCCGCCGCCGGATATAAGGTCGGGGAGAAGAAGTCGCTGGCCGAATACTCGCAACTCGATGCTGAGGACGAGTCACTAGCAAGATGGAAAGCCAGTCTTGGTATTGGTGCTTCCACCGGTGCTGTCGATCCCAACGCTCCCAAGGTACGTCTACACGATTCGACTTCCGCTGAAAGCGATTCGCCACGCTGACGTGGTGCACATACGCTCTTTGTTACTACCTGCAGCTCTCATTGCATAACCTCTCGCTTGTATCGCCAACAGCACCTGGCGGAGTCGTCTCAATCAACCTTCAGCAGTCCAAAGAGCAGCTCGCACAGATCAAGCAGAACCCTATCAATGTCAAGGAAGGTGTCGAGTACAGCGTCAAGATCCGATTCAGCGTTGGCAGCGACATTCTTTCCGGTCTCAAATACGTTCAGGTCGTCAAGCGCGCCGGTATCAAGGGTAAGCAATCCAACGAACCGCCGATCGCCCGAGCAGAGAAAGTGCTTGCTGACTTTTCTTGTTGTGCTTGTGGATCCATGGCGGGACAGTCGACAAGATGGAGGAGATGATCGGATCTTACGGCCCTCGTGCTGAGCCATACGAGAAGACCTTCGCTTCTAGCGAAGCACCAAGCGGTATGATGGCTCGCGGAAACTACAGCGTTCGCAGCCGTGTCGTTGATGATGACAACAACGTCTTTGCTGACTGGGAGTGGGCCTTCAAGGTAAGTAATCTGATTGTGTACCCTTGTCCACGGTGCCAGCTGCTCTTCGCATGGCAGCACACATGGCTCACTTGGACAAAATCTCCTTTCCGCACCCTCTTGCGCCTACAGATCGCCAAGGACTGGTAGATCATTCCACAGATCGGATCCCGCGCTCGATCTCACCATCCCGTCTCATCCCTTCTCCAGCTTCCACCTCATCCATTCAATCGTAATCATCACAATGCAACTATGTCATTAATACCCTAGCTCCAAGCATGGTTGCGATCCGGCGTGTGAAATCATAGATTGCTCTCTGACTTGTCTAACCCAAAAAGTTGAATACAAAGAAATGAAGAATCACCGAGCCAAACAGAAAGTCTCCAAATGCTCTCTCCGGAGACACCTTTGGGAACGTCTTGCCGTTCTCAGGATTTGCCTGCATACGCAGTGATGCTGCAAGGACGAACTGGCCAACAGTTGACGCGAAGCTGCAGGTGCGGAAGCAGAAGGTACATTTCAAGAATCAGTGTGTAGTCCAGTCGTAGTTGTAAATCCGCTCAGGTGCTGTGTCGGATTGATGCTTACCCTGCGATGAAAGAGTTGAAAGGGAAATTGGTGATCAGGGCACAGTAGACGAACTGAATAATGCCTGAAAGCATCAAGAAGACCAGGAATGCATCGACCACTTTCAATCTCTTTGGTGAGTTCTCGACGTATGAGTTGTATAGTGTTGACAGTGGCGAGGACGGGGATGTGGATGTGGATGATGATGCAGAGGCGCGAGCTCTGGATGCTGCCGATGATGGCGCTTTGGATCCTTTGGGAGGCATGACTGTTGGTTCTGTGAGTATGCGATCTCAATCCGTGGGATGCAGGTTGTTCCGATGGAAAAAGACGGATGCTGAAGTGCGGAGCGTTTTGTGCCCGGCAGTGAGAGGGCCTAGGTAATGCTGTCAGCCGAAGCAAAAGGTGTTTGTCAGTCGAGCCCGTGGACAGAGATGATGATGCCAAGGTCGATGAAGTAGTTGAGAACAAGGTTGCCAACAGAGACATGGCCCAAACGTCGTTGCTGTGCCCTGCCGCCGTTCTTCCAGCGTGTCTCCCGAGCGATTTTCCGTTTTGTCTTGTTAGAGCCCATCATGTTTCGGCCGTGAGCTGGGAAGGTGCACTTTTCTTCTTGGAGAAATTCGAGAATTTTTTTGGAAAGCTTCTTGTGGTTAAGTGCTGCTGAGCTGCTACTTTTTTTTTTTTTTTTTTTTTTTTTTTTTTTTTTTTTTTTTTTTCCCTTTTTGGTCCGGTTTGTGCTCAGACGACGTTTGCCAAGCTCAGAGAGAGGCTCTGCTGTCACTTCTTTTTGCCTTCATTTGGAAGGTGAGAAAGAGAACAAAAAAAAAAAAAAAAAAAAAAAAAAAAAAAAAAAAAAAAAAAACGCTGCACATCATCGACGCACACAGCTTATTCTATAACAGCGATGCGATTCGTTGCGGAATCGATATTCTCATCTTGACGCTCTTATTCACCCTTTCCGCACCACTAACACCATATCCACAACCTTTACTCGAACTATAGCATCGTGCACAGACTTGAAGGTCGACGAGATAACTCACACACACCGACACGGAGCTTACCGCACTCCAAGACAGTCTAGTCCGAACGTCGTCTAAAACCGCATCACTTCCATTGATAGGCTCGAATTCCCACAAAGGACGATCTCTACCTCCCAACATGAACCCCAACGCTCCAAGCTTCGGTGGCTTCAACCCCAACGCATCGGGCTTCGTCCCCGGTGGTAAGGGGCAACAGCAGGGCCAGCAGCAGGGTGGTAACCCATACGGTCAGCAGGGTGGATACTACCAGCAGGGTTTCGGTGGTCAGCAGCAGCAGCAGCAGCAGCAGCAGGGATTCAACGGCGGCTACGCTAACCAGCAGTACCAGCAATATCAATCATACGGACAGCAGAGCGGTTATGCGCAGCAGGGCTTCAATCAGCAGGGTTTCAACCAGCAAGGCTTCTCCAACCAGTATTCTCAGCAGGGTTTCAGCGGTCTGCCACCTCGTCCAGCTGCATCAGGATCCAGCCAGCCTCCTGCACGGGCACCCGCTGCCGCTTCTTCCGCCGACGCTGCTCCTCGCAAGCCCGTCAGTATCTCCATTGGCGGCGGTGCCAAAGCTGCCGCCGATGCCGCCCCACGAAAGCCAGTAAGCATCTCGATCGGTGGTGGCGCTAAGCCTGCTGCATCTGCTGCACCTGCTGCCGCCGACAAGAGCGATGCTCCTCGCAAGTCTGTCAGCATCTCGATCGGTGGCGCTAGCGCTGCGAAGAAGCCTGAGGTCGAGAAGGCCGCCCCCGCCGGTGCATCTGCTGAGGCTCCAGCACAACCTGCCGCTGTTGCAGCTGTCAAGGCTTCTGAGCCCTCTTCCACCGCTGTTTCTGCACCCTCCTCCCGCGCTGAGTCGCCAGCCGCTGCCGCGGAGGCCAAGGTCGCTTCGCTCTCGGGCAAGGCTGTTGCTACTGAACGCGCCAGCACCAACGCCGACCAGATTCTCGCCGAAGCCTCCAAAGTCACTGACGAAGAGACACTTAAGGATCTCTTCGGTGACAAGAGCGAGGATCTCAAGTCGCACTTGAACATCGTTTTCATTGGACATGTCGATGCGGGCAAGTCCACGATGGGTGGTAACTTGCTCTACCTCACTGGCATGGTTGACAAGCGTACACTGGAAAAGTACGAGCGAGAAGCCAAGGAGGCTGGACGAGAGTCGTGGTACCTCTCGTGGGCGCTCGACTCGACAGCACAGGAGCGTGAGAAGGGTAAGACTGTCGAAGTTGGTCGTGCCTACTTCGAGACGGGCAAGCGTCGTTACACTATCCTCGACGCTCCAGGACACAAGTCGTTTGTTCCGAGCATGATCAGTGGTGCTGCTCAGGCTGATATCGCCGTGCTTGTCATCTCGGCACGAAAGGGAGAGTTTGAAACTGGTTTCGAGCGTGGAGGACAGACTCGAGAGCACGCGGTGCTTGTCAAGACTGCTGGTGTTCAGCGTCTGATCGTTGTGGTTAACAAGATGGACGAGTCGACAGTGCAGTGGCAGAAGGAGCGTTACGACGAGATCGAGGGCAAGCTTACACCATTCTTGCGATCGGCTGGTTTCAACCCCAAAACCGACATCACCTACATCCCCGTCTCGGCTTTCGCCGGTCAGAATCTCAAGGAACGTGTTCCCAAGAGCGTTTGCGACTGGTACGATGGACCCGCACTTCTCGAGTACCTCGACAACCTCAAGCTTGGTGATCGCAAGATCTCGGCACCGCTCAAGATGCCGATCTCGGAAAAGTACAACGATATGGGAACCATCGTGGTCGGTAAGCTGGAAGCGGGTAAGATCAAAAAGGGAGACACCTTGCTTCTCATGCCCAACAAGGTATCGGTGGAGGCTGTGGCCATCTTCAACGAGCAGGAAGAGGAAGTGCCAGCTGCTATCTCGGGTGACAACGTTCGTGTCAAGTTGAAGGGTGTCGACCACGAAGAGGTTAGTGTTGGTCACGTCCTTTCGGACCCACAGAACCCCGTTCACGTTGCCACGCACTTTGAGGCGCAGCTGGCTATCTTGGAACACCGCAACATTATCTGTGCTGGTTACAGCGCTGTTGTTCACTGCCACACTGTTTCGCAGGAGGCCAACTTGGCAGCCTTGTTGCACTACTACGACAAGAAGACGGGCAAGAAGAGTCGACGTGGACCTCAGTTCGCCAAGAAGGGTATGAAGATCATTGCGCTGGTCGAGTTGGCTGGACCGATCTGTGTCGAGAGGTTCAAGGATTATCCTCAGTTGGGTCGATTCACACTTCGTGATGAGGGACGTACAGTGGCTATCGGTAAAGTGACCAAGTTGATCACTTCAGCTGATAAGTTGCCAGATGTTGCTAAGCTCAGTGTGAGTGATGCTGCTTCTGCCGCTGCTGCCAACTAAGTCTAAGGTTCTGATAGATCGGTTCGAGCCCGATTGCAGCAATTTTTGTATGTAGACATCAAAAAAGAAAAGACGACGTGGGCCTGCAATGCACAATACCTTGCAGTTCAAACCACACTGTGTTTGATCGAGGTCCGCTCGCTTGGATGGTTTGGTGTTCAGGAGGAGGAACTCAAAATGTGAGCGATCCAGTGAGCAACGTTGACAAGCTCGGCTGCTGAGCAAAGAGAAACAGAGACAACAGGGAGCCGAAAATAGACCAAGTGTTTGCCCGGCAGTCGGCCATCTTGCAAGCAGTGTTGATCAGCGATCGAGAAGGGTAGCATTGACTGGGCCTCACTATCTGGCACGTTTTATCAGGAGAAGGCAAAGCACAGCTGGATCGAAACCATCCAAGGTGGTTGCCATTGTGGATAGCAAGCCGATATCATTGCTTCTTGCGACGATCGAGCGTAGGGTTTGGATAGAATCGAGATGGGATCTCAGAAGACCAAGTCGGAAACCGTGCGAGAGCCAAGCCAGGCAGCAAGGCAAGATCCGAACTGGCACAAGTCAAGAGCGAAGAACAATGGAGAGGACAGGAGGGCAAGAGGAATGCACAATTACTACTCACACGTTAAAATGCAATTCTCCTTCCAGATCGCAGAACAACGGCTTTAGTGCACTCCTCGACACGAGTCGGCTATTCCGATCTTGCATCATCATCATCATCACAGCTGCTGCCCCCTTTTTTCCCATGTCACATGTATTTCCCACGCCACGTCGAATCGTTTGGCTGTGCTGCTCAGCCAGAAACTTGGACGAAGCCCATACCAGCAATATGCACAGCACAGCACAGCACAGCACAGCACAGCACAGCAATGATACAGTAACAACCAATCAACCGAGCTTCTTTGAGGGCACATTTCTTTGAGAGCACATTTCTTTGAGGGCACATTTCCTTTCGGCCACTTTCTCGATCGGGAAATTCAAATGCCAATGTCAAGTTGGCTGTTCGTCAGCCAAATCGCTCACTCTTTTTTTTCTTTTTTTTTTTTTCTTTTTTTTCTTTTTTTTTCCCTACTCAGCAGCTTAATAGATAAACAACAATGCTGCCGCAAAGGAGAGAGATATGGCGCGGTCGAATCTTCTCTTCGCTATCAAGAAAGGAAGACAGTGACTACTGCTGGATAGAAGCGTCTTTGTGGTCTTCTGTCTCACTTGGCGAAGCGTTCTTTTGCCTGCCAACCGATCCCCCGCTCGCTTTCTTGATTCGTCTGCCTCTGCGGAAGCCATCATCATCATCATCGTTGATCCCAATCGGCTTCGCTCGCCTTCGCTGCTAGACTTCGATCGTCGTCCACTCTATCAATGCGCTCCCCTATGCCCTCCCATTGTCTCGTATCCAAAGCCCGCAGATCTGTGCTAAACTCGACACATGCTCTTGTCTTGGCTTAGCTTTCCTCCCGCTCAGTATTGTTGTATCCTCGTGGCTCCAAGAGACCTGCAAGCAATATATCATCTCCATCGAACTACCTTCCTTCCAACCCTCGCCCGCTTTTGACTTTTCACCATCACTGCCACCATCTTTTCCCACGCAACATAGTGCCAAGCTCGAACGCTCTCCAATACTCGTGGCCGCTTCCGTAGCAACGCTCTCCATCTCGCATCCATATCGCATCCATCTCGCATCCATCTCGCATCCATATCGCATCCATCTCCATCCTCGATCTCGTCGTCATCAGCTTTAATCCTCTGCCCAACATGGCTACAGTCACGACTCAGAACATGGCTTGGTCCAACATGCCTACCCTTGCCCCTGTCCAGCTGCACTACTCTTATGCCGCCCAGCCCTCTCATAACCACCAGCAACACTCCCACCCCAGCTCTCCACACCGCAGCCAACACCAGCCATACTACCATCCTGCCTCCTCCGCGTCCGCTGTGCCGTCTTATTGCATCGATGCTGCCCCAAGGATGTCCTTCGATGCCCTCCCTGCTTCTTCCGCCCGTGGTAGCTACGAGGCCTACGCATCTGGCCCCTACTATAGCACCGACGCTCACATGCGCACTCAAAGCCACAGCATGGAAGGACTCTACACATCTCAGCAGCTTCCTGTCAAGAAGCGCACCCGCTCCAAGATGTATCCCTCGGAAGAAGCTCGTCAGGCAGCCAAGATGGTTCAGGAGGCACGTCGACGCGAGCAGAATCGAAACGCTCAGCGAAGAATAAGGGATAGGAAGGAGCAACATATCTTCAAGGTAAGCCCCAAACCCACACCTGTCCAACGACCCCATCAATTCTCGATTCGAATACTGACTTCAGTGTATTCGTGCATTATGGTAGTTGCAAGGCGAAGTATCAGCACTCCGCAGACAAGGCGAGGAATTCCGGACAGAAGTTTCAGGACTCGAAGAAATGATCCGCCGCCTATTCGACCAGAAATCAGAACTGGTCCGCAAGCTTGGAGGCATGGGTGTCACCGTAGACCTAGAGATGGGTCGATTTCCACCTATACTCTCCGACCCTAACCGACTCTCACTCCGCAAACCCACGGAGTCGTTTGCTAGTAACAACGCGCTTGGACTCTCCTCCTTCTCTTCCTCTTCCTCGTGCGAACCTAGATAATCGGAGATGAAAGAAAGCAGCAATGGAGTTCTCTCTCCGCTCCAATCTTGCGCTTCGTCTTCAGCATCGTCCTCGGCTACTTCGCTTGCTATTCCTCGCTTGCTACTCCTCGCTCGCCTTCTTTCCTCAACCCCACAGGTGAAAGCAATCGATCGAGAGGGAGTGTGACTACGTATCATAGTCTGGCAATGCCTCCGCGCTCGCCTGCGGTGAGAGGATCTGATCCAGCAATTTATTCGACATGGGCCGATGTTTTGCCTTGGATCAAGGTCGATCCTCTGTAGTCAAATGCGATGGCTACCTCCAATTTCCCATCTCTTGCTTCGAGCGGTCAGTGGATGCACCAGCGAGCAGCCGAAGGCATATACCTCGTGACTCTTCCCTCCCCCAATTCCCCACCCAAACGTCTTAGTCCCACTTGTAATGGTCTCCATGTATTTTATCACCCCCCTGACAGCGAAGAAAACATACAGGGTTCAGACGTCTCCATTGGCGCAAGACGATCTCCCTCCACCACAAACCCAATCTTTCTTCTGCATGTGTCGTAAAATGGGTATGTGAGATTGCTGTGTGAGTTTAGAGGAACTTCTTCGCGGCAGCTCTAACTTTCGCATCGAAAGATGCATTCTCTATTGGTGAATTGGCATCTTGAAATGGATTCATCATCACCTGTTCCATCCGATTCGACCAAGGTAAGAGTGTTAGTGAGAGTTTTTTGAAGCAGCAACAGGGGGTTGAAGGGGAAGGGGGTTGAAGGGGAAGGGGGTTGAAGGGGAAGGGGGTTGAAGGGGAAGGGGGTTGAAGGGGAAGGGGGTTGAAGGGGAAGGGGGTTGAAGGGGAAGGGGGTTGAAGGGGAAGGGGGTTGAAGGGGAAGGGGGGCTTACTTTAAGATAACTCTCCCAAACATCGAGAAAAAAACTCTTGATTCCCTCTTCCAGTTTATGCTCGTGGAGGAGGACCATTTTGATATCTACCATCAACAACCAAGAGGTAAGGGCGGATGAGGTTAGTGTGATGGGGCGGGCCGGAAAGAGAGGGTGGGGATGGGACAGAGGGGTGAAAGGGGGGAACTCACTTCCAGGAACAACAAAACAACTTGTTGTATATTCTTGGATCCTGTCTATACTTTTCAGATACCTACCCCCGAGCGATCGAGCAGTAGCGAAATTCCAATATCGAAACTCCAAAGCTTCAGTAGCCGTGCGACGTATCCACGAAGTAAGAAGGAGTTGGACTTACAGATAAGGACTAGTAATCAACGCATCCTCAATAGTGTCTAGTGCGGAGTGCGCTATCATTTGCAATTCGTATCTCTTCTTTCTCGATCCCCCCGACCCTCCTACTCCGCCTGATGCTGCTCCACTCGCCCCTGCTGTACTTCCCGCACTATTGCTTGTGAGTGTAGTAGTGGGAATTCTCGCGAGGAGGCCACCAAACATACTCGATCCACCTCCTCCACTTTCCGCCGAAGAAGGAGTCGAGTTGGAGTTGGTGGGATAAGATGGAGATGTGCCGGAGGAGGAAAAAGAGGAGGCGAGTTTGGGAGTTATTTCGGTCTCATAGAGCGGGTTGTCTCTGGTTCCTATTAGAGTTAGGTAGTATGACATGCTTGCGTGTTATGCTTCCGAGCCAAGGGAAATATGCGGTCGTTCAAAGGCGGCAGAAAAGGTAATGGTGGAAGAAGAGACGATTGAGAGAAGAGTTGGAGGTGAAGTGGAAGGTGAGAATGTGTCCGTGCGCAATCTTTGACAGCTCTCCAAAATCACAAACAAAATTAGGGTCAGAAATTCGGGTCATAAAAAGGGGACATCCTTCTACTTTGCGAACAGCATCACTCGAGAACCTCATCACACGAAGCTGTACGCCTTCTTCTCGCACAAGACTCCAAACCGAAACAGCCCTTGGCTGAGACTTGACACACATCTCACCGATCCCATAGACACACTTGCACCGAACGAGAGAGAGACGAAAGATGATTGATTGCCAAAACTAACGAAAAGAAGAACCAACAAAACCAAAGCCCGAAATCGAAAACCGAAAACCGAAAACCGAAAAACCGAAAAACCGAAAACCGAAAAACCGAAAACCGAAAAACCGAAAACGAAAAATCGAAAAGCTGTTACTAAAATGTTTCTGTATACGCGAGCGAGTGAGACTGAAGATGAAAGAATCGAAGTAATGCTATGCTGAATCGTAACATCAAACATCCACATCCCTTGGTCGGGGGTTTAGTAATCATCATGTTTCAGCGTCACAGACGAAAAGCCACTGAAGGGGTTACTAACCACTACATCGCCTTCTTCATCCCCAACATTCTTCTGTCCTGCAACGGCCTTCATCTCGACTGTCTTTGCCGGCTTCTTATTATCCCCCTGATGGTCCAAATCCAAACTCCTTGACTCTCTTACATTCCTGAAGTTGACCGCATCAACACCGTTCGAAAAAGCAGGAACGATCGGTGGGGTGGAGTTTCTAAGGAGACCCCAAGAGATGTTGGAGAACCATTTGTGCTGTTTCACCTCTGACGCGCCGGATTGGCTTCCCATTCTCTTCAACTCATCCTTGATCAACAACTTGCGAATGAGAGACTTGCCAAAGGAAGAGATGGGGATGGAGTCGGGAAACGGTACTTCGTTGCGAAGAACGTTGGAGAAGGTCTCGTTTCGTGTTGAACCTTTGAACGGGGTGGTGGCAAAGATCATTTCATAGATCAAAATACCAAGTGTCCACCAATCGACAGCAGAAGTGTGACCGCAACCTTTGATGACTTCAGGTGCGATGTACTCTTCGGTACCGACGAAGGAGTTGGTTCGGAGATCGGCGATACAGCTTCTTGTGTCGACAAGAGGAACGCTGTTGGGTGTAGCTTGACGGATCATAGCAGGTGCACCACCTCGTTGGGTTGCTCGTGCGGAAAGATCGAAATCGGAAAGCATGACGTGTCCGCTCTGGTGCAAAAGAATGTTTTCGGGCTTGAGGTCACGGTAGATGAAACCCATCAGATGCAAGTACTCCAAGGCTGCAATCACCTCTGCAGCATAGAACTTGGCATCTTCCTCCGGCAGACATTTACCGGGACGTGTCTGAAGAGCACGGAAGAACTCGCCTCCCATACAGTACTCCATACAAAGATAAAGGTAGTCTTCCGACTGGAAGGAATGGTAAAGCGTCACAATGAACGGATGGTTGGAAGCAGCCAAGATCTCCTGTTCGGCCATGACGCGCTTGATCTTGTTACGCTTGATCATCTCCTTCTTGGACAAGACCTTCATGGCGAAAAGCTTATCGGTCTTCTTCTCGCGCACGAGATAGACTTTGCCTACATCGCCTTTACCGAGCATTTTGACCTTACTAAAGCTGTTAGGACCCACTTCGACTTCTTTGACCTTGATGCTGTTGCTCGAGTAGGTGCGTCGGAAGCTGCCTGGGCCTCGGTTGGGGCCGTTGCTGCCAGCCAGAGCAGCAAGGTTGGCAGAGCTGCTGGGAGGTGGAAGCTGCGACTTTTTGTCTTTGCCATTGGAGCTCTTGGATCGAGCGGAACCGGGGAAGGTGATACGACCGGACTTGGGCGTGGAAGAGCCCTTAGCACTGACGCTTCGGCCCTTCTCAAAGTCCTTGTAGCTGAAGGAAGTGGCGGTGCTGTCCATGCGAACGGGTGAGTTAGAGAAATAGGTCGAATTGGCCTGGTCCTTGGAAGGTGGGGCTGGTGCACCACCTTCCGAGGCAAACTGGCCGTGCTTGGCGCCGGAAGCATCAGGTGAAAGGTAGCCGTTCTTGGTGTTAGCTGGAGGATCGTTGTGCTTGGGGCCGCCAGCGTTCTGGCCATTCTTGTAGAATCTGTTGTTGTCGGGAGCGCTGGAAACACGTCTCATGAGACGGGAAGCAAAGCCCTGATGAGAGGAGTCATTATCGCTAATGTCAGCTGGAGGCTGGAGCTTGCCAGAAGCAGAAGCAGTCATAGCGTCGCCGATGGAGGCAGAAGGATTACGGTCTTCGGAAGAGTAGCTATCGTTGGAGAAGGAGCTTGGGTCTGTAACGACGGTGCTGCCGTTCATAGGCTGGAAGTTGGACGAGCCAGGAAGGTGGTGATGCTCAAAGTAGTCACCGTTTCTGTTGATGCTGGACTCGGTGGAATCGGTGTGCCAGCTACGGTCATGGGAGCCGTTGCCAGTGTGGTTGCCACCACTGGGCTTTCTGCCAATGGATCCAAACTTGAACATCTGCTTCCACTTCTTGTCCTTTCCTCCAGAGCTGCTGCCGCCGTTATTCTGGTGGGGATGCGAGGAGGAGTGATGGGGGCGGGAGCCATGGGCGGCGGGCGACTCGCCAATGCCAGAACTCTGGCCTGCGAGGCGGGAAAGGTGAGAAGGGGTGTTGGAACCGCTGGCAAAAATAGAGGTGGACAGAGTGGGAGGCGTGGCATAAGCGCTGCCGGATTCGTGAAGAGGTGTAGTCTGCATGGTGCTCATTCCTGAAGATGATGTGGCGACAACGGAGGGCATGCTGGACGCAGCGGTGGATAAAGCTGCGTTGCGACCAAGATGGATGAGTTGCTGATGTGTGCGAAAAGCGGCTTGTCGGCTGAGCAATGAAGTAGAGCTGCGAAGGTCAACTTAGGTTGTGATGCGTTCCTTGGACGAGCTGCACCGATCTACGAAGGCAGAAAGTATGCGAGAGAAACTCCTGGCAGGCGGAACAGTGGGTGTAGAAGAGAAGAGAGGATCGTTGTCGGCGAAAGCAATGTCCGCGAAGCAAGAGCAAAGGCTTGGAGTCCGTGGCGAAGGGTTGATGTAGACTGAATGCTACAAGTGCATCAGTGTTCAGCGAGCGAGCCTTGTCGTGTGTGGCGTTGCAAGTATCTGCGCTCTCTCTCTCTCTCTCTCTCTCTCTCTCTCTCTCTCTCGTTTGGTATAGAGAGGTAGCCACTGAGGAAAGGGTGACGATGATGTTGACAATGCTAGCAGTGGGGAAGGGAATTGCGAAGGACAGTCCGGATAGTTGGCGCTGTATCTAGCGAGGGGAGTTGCGGGATGGCGGGGAAGGTTCAAGTCAAGTCCGGTCAGGTCAAGTCAGATCAGGTCAGGTCAGGCCAGTCGAGTCCAGCTCATGGATTGGTTGCATCTCACGGCGACGGGCGGACTGATTTGACTGTCTGAGAGAGAAAAGAAAAAAAAAAAAAAAAAAAAAAAGAAAAAGAGAAAAAGAAAAAGAAAAAAAAAAAAGCGGCAGCAAATAGTCAGCCTCGGTTTCAAGCAGTCTCACTGTGCTTCTGCTGCTGCCGCCATTTTAGAGGACGCGGAGGATGCGGAGCCACAAATTCAAAAATCACAGAAAAAGGGCAAAAGAACAGCCAACGAGACGACCAGCAGCCAAAAGTGGGGGGGGGAAGGAAGCTCACGGTTCACCGATTTGCCATCAAACAAGCAGAGAGAGAGAGAGAGAGAGAGAGAGAGAGAGAGAGAGAGAGAGAGAGAGAGCTGATGCCTTTGCTGAAATTCGAAATTGCTCCAGACTCGTTACCCAGCTGATCGCGTTGCCTTGCAAGATCACTTCTCCTTGCTACCAGTCTCAACTGCACCGCATACCAACAGTTGGCAACTGCGACAACACAAGTAGAAATCCCAGGGCGCCTGAGAATTTTCGGGCCACCACTCAACAACGGACAACAGAACAAAGGTCCGCTTGCCAAGCCATCTACATCATGATCAACTTTTGGCGACCTAGGTGCTTCTTCAAGGCTGATCATGTCCCGCACGCGCACAAGTGCAAGGGCCATCTGCTCAGACTTGTTCTGCTCCACGTTTTCTCATGCACTTACTAGCCTTCTACTCTCTTGGCCGCTTCTTGCAAATCTCCAAACGCACAGCCGGACGCGCAAAATTAGATCGGGTGGTAGCTGAGCGAGGTCTAACACCACAGATCGTAGCCCCTCGCTATCCTTGCTCCTAAGGATTCCCACGCCGAAGGCTGTCAAGAACAGGCTACGACTTGGAGTCTGCTGCTTCTAGGCCATGCGGCAAAGAAGGTCGACTGAGCCGGTTGGTGCGAGCCGTCTCACTGAGTCAACGCGTCTTCATCTCAGATCCAAGTTGTCAACAGATCTCAGATGCGAACCGAACATTGGACGAGGTAGAATACAATTGGAAGCAAGCGGTTCGTTTCAGGTCAATCAGCTATCTTCGCAAGATGAGCGGAAGCAGCTCTCTTGCGGAGCGCAGTTACTCTCGAGGACTCAGAAAGCGCATGCTTCAAATGGAGCCTTAGCTGATCACCTTGAGCTAAGAGTTGGGTCGAGCTACAGTCGGGCAACGCAATGGCCTGCGAACCTGCATTGGGTATCTGTCCTAGAGACCATTTCTACGACCGTGTGCGCTGATTAGATCTAGCGCACTCGCTCAAACCAGCTCGATCGACCAAGAATGACAACGGAGAAGTCCATGATCTATTCAAGAAAACGTGTTAGAGGCAGCGTCGGATTGGTTTAGTCAGCAACGATATGATCGGAAAGAGGAACCTACTCGAAGACGAGCTCTACATACCCATTCTCCTGCTTCCAGGTAGATGCGCATCAGGTTACGAAGATCCTTGTTTGGCATCCGAATTACCGCTGGTGTGAGACCGGTGCTGCGCTTGATTCCAGACAGCGCCACGCTCACCAGCATGGCGTCCACAAGGAGATGAAAGATACGCCCGAACATGAAGTTGACTGCGTGTGCAGGTGTGGAGCGTTTGAGTGCTCGGTTGAAGGATTGCTCGAGCGAGTGTCGATGTGCGAGGATGCGGGACGATTTCGTTCGATAGAGCTCTTTTTGTCGGGACGGACTTGTTGTTTGATCAAACAAGGAGGTTGATTCGGCCGAATGCGATGCTTCAGATAATTATGAAAGGGTGCTAGTTGTGATGCGGATGCGACAGTCGAACACGATGCGATGGAGGTGACAATGAGGAGCCCAGTGGCAATGATGAGCGCTTGACAAGTGTCGATAAGCTTGGCCCAAACGCAGGGTTCAACTGCCTCAAAAAAAAGAGCTCCAATGTCCCCCGCGCGCTCATGCACACTCTAGCTGGGCTGAGCAAGCTCATCGGCTGTCTCTCACAAACCACAAAGGTTCAGAGATATCCTAGAAAATTCTGGCACTATTTGATACACACCCTACAGAGCTCTGGAGAACCAGGACTCACTTCCCCAACCTTGATAGTGGCTGCCGCTCCAATAAGCACTGTTGTTGAAGCCTGTATCTATCTCCTTGGAGTAACAAAGTTCTTGTCTCACCTTCCCCCCATTTGGTCTCTCCCCTGACAGTTTCCCAACCGATTCTGTCCTCTGACCCTTGACCCCCACTGACACTGTCCTTGCTTTGCTGGACCTTGCCAGTTCAAAGCTCATCGTCATGGCCAAGCTCTAGCCTGCGACATCATCCTCAACAAGACCTGTAGCTCTTGGTTTCACACAGACATGTGCTCCGATCTGGTACTGAAGCAGTATATCAGTCTCGGGATTGTAGAATCGAGCACTGCTGCGGAGCAGCGCATGTTTTTGTCAACAGAAGGGGAAATTGCAACCAAAATGTTAGATCATAAGATTGCAACATCAGGCAAAGTTGTCAGGGTTCCCCAGCTTCCACATCCCCTCAACTAGGAACTCCTGAGGTTGGTGGGGAGGGAGTGCTGAGGTTGACAGAAGTTCAGGGGAGATTCAAAAAGGTTCAAACAGGTCCACAGAGGTTCAAAGGAGTTCAAAGAGGTTGAAATGAGGTTGCATTGAGGTTGCATTGAGGTTGAGCTGAAGTTGAGGTGGCTTGCCCAACTTTGACTGCGCAATTTTCGCCAGAGACCCTAGCGCAAGCGGAGTGTCAGCCTTATTTAAGTGATAGGTGGCTGGAAGACTGCACTTTGAGTGCTGATTGGTCAGAAAAGCGAGGCAGTAGAGCAGTGTGAAAGTTGAAAATTCGCTTTTTTCCGCTTTTCAGGGGTTGTTGCTTTGAGATGGGACCCACTTTGAAGAGACAACCTCTTTCACACAAAAGTCAGCTCCTTCCAACCAAGCCCCTTCCTTCCTCCTCCTCTTTCAACTTCACTTGCCTCTTCCCCTTTTCATCTCTCCTGCCTCCTCTCCTTTCCTCTTTCCTTTACCCACATCTTGAGCATTGCCCTTGGCTTTGAGCTTGAGTCTCTCTTGCCAAGTTTCGTAGTCTCGAACCTCTTTCCCTTCCCACCTCCTTCTTGCGATTTTTTTCTTCTTTTTCTTTTTTGGTTGCGATCTCACATCTTTCATCGCTCAATACCAGCACTTAGCGCGTCCGCCCGCGTTGGTTTCATATCAACGCGTGGTAAAGCTCCATTCTTCTCCGCTTTCACTCGGCAACGTCGAAAGCTTCTTCTCAACAAAGCCTCCGTCAGGTACCGGAGCACCGCTTCGATCCGTACTTCGTCGTCTACCACGCCGACGATTACGATCACAACCACTTGGGTGCTGTCGGATCATCGAAGCTCATCCTAGCCAGAGGGTTCGCACAGAACATCGACATTAAGGTGTGCTCGCAATCTCGTTCAACCTTTCGCATAAGAGCTAGCAGCTTTGATACTCGGTCTCGAAGTCACCCCTGACACGAAAGCAACCATGCCCGTCAAACCAGAAAATGGTAAGTACATCTTTGCCTTCTCCTTTTTCGAGCTTGCCTCGTCCATACGTCACACAAGCGAATGATCTCTTACTGACAATCACACTCACACCTCTCTATATCTCATGCTATCACACTGTTCTTTCAAATATTCTTTCTATGATCACGTCCAACCTTGACCTTCTTCTCGCCATGGCTTCCGCTCCCGCACGTCCTGTTCCGTACATGACTACGCCCACTCGACCGCATGCTATATAACCACCACCGTTGATCCCTCCACTCCTTAACCCTTCCCCCTTCCCCCTTCCCCCTTCCCCCTTCCCCCTTCCGCCGTTTCGGAACCATCTTTGCTCCACACACGACCAACATAACACTCGAAACCTTCTCGGACGACAAAACCGCACGATCGCGAACACATCAAACGATCTATCATACGACGTGTACCAGCAGGCGACGAGCTGGACGAGCTCTTCGACTACCAGCCGAACTTGAGTTCAGAGTCCGACTTGAGCGAGGACGACACTACATACAAGAGTCCGGCCTCGGGCTCGAGATCCAAGATCAAGAAGGCGTCGACCCGGATTCTCGATCTGGGAACCATTCTCAAAGCTCCTCGAGCGACCCAGTACTCAACCCGCACGATCTACACCATGGTCAAAGACGACATTGTCGACCTCGAGCCCGAGTACCAGCGAGGTGTTGTCTGGACGGTGGATAAGCAATCCGCTGTGATCGAATCCATCATGCGCCACTACTACGTTCCACCCGTCCTGCTATCGGTTCAGAATCAAGTATCCACAGAAGATGAATTGACTTACGTCTGCATTGACGGCAAGCAGCGTATCTCGTCGATCTGTGCCTTCTTGGACAACAAGATTCCCGTCCGCGAGCCTTCCACAAGCCGCAGGTTCTGGTACAAGGAGGACCTGATTGCGGGCAAGACGCCCGCTCTCAATGCCGCTCAGCGTCGCAAGTTTGACAACGAGCAACTCACTGTCGTCGAGTTTGAAGGTCTCTCGGACGAGGTCGAGCGCGATATGTTCAGTCGTGTCCAGATGGGTGTCACACTATCCCCCGCAGAGAAGCTCGGAGCGCACTTAGGCCCTTGGCCTGACTTTATCCGACAGATGGTCAAGCGTTTCATCGACCCCACTCCATCGCTCGTGCACGACGACGAAGGCAAGAGCATGCTCATTGTCAATCGAGGCAGGGACTATCTGTTCACGGCACAAATGGCGTTGCTCATCATGAACCACAAAATCGAGAATTTCGTGCCCTCGGCTTCTGCGATCGACACGTTCCTCAAGCAACATGCCAAGGATGAACCAAGTCGTCCTCTGCGTCTAACTTTGCAACGTACCTTGGAGCGATACGTCGCACTTGCCAACCACCCAAGGTACGGCAAGTGTATCAAACCCGAGACCAAGCTCAATCGAACTGGTCGAGCCATGAGCAAGCCACTCTCTCCCGCCGAGTTTGTCTATATCGCTTTCTTGATCTTCAAGTTCCCCAACGCCTCGGTCTCGCAGCTGTACGAGCTAGTTCAAGGACTAAAAGCAGATGTTCGATCGCAGTTCAAGGATGTCTTGATGAACACCAACATTGCTAGTGTTATGCGTCGGTACATCGGCACAGCTACATTGACACCCGATGCGGAGGGCAGTTCGGGTCAAAACGGTACGTCTCAACACAAGCGCAATCGTGCGGCGCTCGCGGTTGGTAGCGATGAAAATGATGATCTTCCGCTATCCGCTCGTCGTAGAACGTCGAATGGCTTGGATGTTAATCCCGATGCGGGGCTGTTTAGGAGCGTTGGGGATAGTCCTAATCGTAACCCGTTGACAAACTTCTCGTCTGCTCCAGCTCGTCGTTGAAGGAGCATTATCACAGCACTGCACTGTTTTGGCTCAAAAAATTTCTCTGTTACCGCTCAGTCTCTAGATCATCGCTTCCTGTTCCACTCAATTTGTACTTTTATACCACGACCCGACCATTCGTTCATACGCAATACCACGATCCGGCAATCTCAATCATACGCAATTGCTTTCATCACATCTACCAATCAGCTCAATCATGGCAGATGGTGAGATTACGACTCTAAACCACAATGATGATCATCACGAAAACAAACAACAAGACGCACAAAAAATCGAAGAAAAAGGATCGAAAAGAATGTCCATTGGATGCCGCCGAGCAACGGAAAGCCGCTCGAGGACAAAGTTGATGTTACAGAACAAACAGATGGTGGGGTGAGGCCTACAATAGTCAGTACATGGCGAGGTCTTTGTATTAAGCTTAAGAAGATGCGAGGAAGATGCGATGGGTGAGGATTGGGCATGTAGGATGCCGGTAAAATTTTGATGGGGAAAAATGCAAGAAGGACGAAATCCAAGAGAGGGTGGGGCAAAGACTTAGTTCTCGCCATTACGGACGGCCAATCGACGACCATAATCCTGATCATCCCTAAGACTGACCGCAGACCCGGCCTCGTGGGCGGTCATGTCGATACGACCGTCGGTCTCGTTACTGCTGCTGCTGGGGTCGGCGAAGACGTTATCCTGACCTGCCTGATGCTGGCCTGCATGATCGGCGTAAACATCCGAGTCGAGGGGAGGCGAAGCACCAGGAGCCCAGTTAAGCTGAGGTGCACCGCTGTGCGTGTACCCGCTTCCAGCGCCGTAGGGGTCATCATGAGCGCTCTGGCCGTATTCGTTGTCGTGACCCGTCGAGCCCATTCCACCATAAGCACTGTCGTTGAGTCCAGTGGGAACACTCTCGTAGTAGTGCGAGCCATCAGTACCGTTAGCATTGGCATAGTAAGCAGCAGCGCCACCGGCAGCAGCTCCACCAGCAGCCATAGGGCCGTATGCTCCCATACCAGCATAGCCGGGTGCAGTACCGCCAGACATGTGGCTAGGTTCGTAGCCTTCGCTGGCAGCAGGACCGTAGTTCTGGTAGTATTGCTGCATCATCGAGTTGGACGCGCCATAAGCTCCTGCGCCTGCAGCAGCTCCACCGACAGTACCGGTACCGTAGCTAGGGTGCTCGATCATCTCGGGGTCATCATCGTCAAAGGGAGTACGTTTGGTAGCAGCAGCAGCCGAGGCGGCGGCAACAACATCAGCGTCCATCTTCTGTGCCTTTCGTCGCCTCCACAACATGTAGAAAAGGGCAGCAACGAGAGCGGCTACGACAAGCCCAACGACAGCAAAGGTACCACCAACGGCACCAGAGTTAGAGAAGAAACCGGATGAACCACCACCGTTGCCCGAGCTACCGGAGAGTTGGCCGTTGGCGGTGGTGACTGCATATGCGGTGGAGGTGGAAGTCTGACCATTGGGAAGGGTGATAGTTGTGAGCGAGGTCTGGGTGGTGATTACCGAAGGTGTACGGGAGGTTGAGGTGGAAACAGCGGCTTCACTACTTATTGGACGTTCGGGTTCGCGGGTTGAGAACGCAGAATCAGTAGTCGAAGGTGGTGGTATATAGCGAGAAGATGACGGCGAGGGATCATTAGGCGAAGAGGTAGAAGATGTCAGAACGGCTGAGCGAGATGTCGATCTGCGAGCGGCGAGCGAGACCGAGACGAGGTAGGTCGATGGAACCAACATTGGCAGCGTACAAAAGCACAACCATTAATAGATTAGAACAATATGGCCTCGCAACTTGGCGACGACTACTGGAGGAGGAGGGGTGCAAAGGGACCGGACTATCTATATGGCAATTTGTACGCCGCCAAGCACGTGGTTTCTGAATGCATGCGAACGCACGTTGTGTATCTCAAGGTGAAAGTGTGACGGGAACAACGGTCTGTGTACTTACGTTGAAGTTGGTGTTGAGATTGTGCTGGAAGTGGTGGGAGACTCGGAAGTACTCGTCGAAGTGGTGGTGGGAATGGAAGATGACGATGTTGTACTGGATGAGGTTGTGCTTGAGATCGTGGAAGTTGAGCTTGTTGAGCTTGTTGAGCTTGTCGAGCTTGTCGAGCTTGTCGAGCTCGTGCTGGTTGTGGTTGGTGTTGTCGACGACTGTGGACCCGAATGGTAAGAACGCAAGTGAGCATGGTGTTGAGTCAGCAACAGCTCGCTGGGAAGTTGGACCTTGCTACCCTCTCAACGAGGCTGAGTTTGCGCAGAAAGAAAGCTCATTGGACCATTTGCATCTGACCCTGCATTCGGTCAAAAGGCCGGCAGAGCAAAGGCCATGCTGATGCAAGGATGGAGCGTAGAGCTTACACTTGAGGTAGTGACGGGGGCAGAGGAGCTCGACGTTGTTGTCGGTGGCGCCTCTGTTGAAGTCGAACTTACGCTAGTCGACGTTGGGGTTGTCGAACTGTTATTACGTAGAGGAGAGGCAGAAGGAGGATGAGTTCAAATATTGGTGTCAATGTTCTGGTGTGAGAATGGCTATCGAGTCTGAGCGGGATCACACTTACGTTGACATAGTGGTGGGAGCATCTGTTGTCCGCGTCGAAGTACCGATTGTGATGGTTTCTGAGGACGCAGAAGTAGATGTGGGAGAGGTGATAGGAATGTCGGAGGTCGAGGATGGGATGGATATAGAGGTGGAAGACGAGTCAGACATGGTTGCCGTGTTTTGTGTGGAAGAAGGAACAAAGGAGGAGGAGGAGGAGGAGGAGGAGGAGTAGGAGGAGGATGAAGAGTCGAAAGTGGAAGAGGAGGGTGATTCTCGGGAGGAAGAAGGTGCCTGCCCCGAAGCCGTCGCTGTGGCGTCCGAAGACAGGCCTGAACCCGAAGCGTTGGTCGAGCTCACACTGACGATTAAAGCTGGACTCTTGCCAGCCAATGACTATGCTGGAAGGATTGCTTTAGCGATGCTGATGATGATGGCGACGAGGCAGTCCAGCTGACGCAGTAGAGGCTTGGTTGACAGCGGCGACTAGGGTCAAGGCAACCTCTTTCGACCGAGATGTGGTTGCGAACGAGCAAACAGCGTCAAAACAGAAGAGTGTGGAAGATGAAGGTGACAAGGCAAGTGATAATGTCGATGAGAAGGATAGGCAATGATGGAAGGGAGCGGAAGAGTGGATTGGAAAATGTGACAACCAGAAGCCGCGCAGTGGATGGCGTCGGAAATGGATAAATTGTGACACAGGAGAGGGGAACAGGGAAGCGAGCCGATGACGGTGGCGGTGGAGGAGGGAGCTAAGAAAAGAAAGGAAGAGCGCACAATGCTGGACAATCGAGGGAGGCAACGGCATATACTCACGGGTAGAGCCATCCGGAAGAAGGATGGAAGAGAGGATTGGAATCAAATCGCCAATGATGCCCGCTGCAAGTGTCAGTCACAACGCAGAAACAAAGTGAAACACCAGCGTCCATATATATATATATATATATATATTTGGCGCAAGTGCAAAAGAACCGGCCAATTGAACACGCCATCGAACCAGATCCGCAGATAAGGATTCGATTCCGTTTTCAGGTACAGAAACACCACCGAACGAAACAAAGGGGAGCCAATCCAAGCCATTTGCGTTAACGTTGAGTGAACGAAAACAGCGAAAGAAAGGCAGGGGCCAGGAGAGGTAGCGGAAAGTAAGGGGACGTGCAAGAAAGAGAGAAAGGCGAACAAGCGTCTTTGTCAATATCTGCTGTCCGTCTTGGATTCGAAGACGAACCCGAGATGATCTCCCACTAGAAGCAACAGCGAGAGGCTTCGAGCAAGAAATCATCTACGAGCCCTCTATATGGCCCGCCGTGGTGTCTTGCAGCTGATCTCTCCATTTAGACTCAACCGCAAAGACGGAAAGGACGGAAGAGTGAGGGAAACGAAGCAGCTTCCAACCAGCGAAGCACAACAGACAACATCATCCAGATTCCCAGCATCATTGCTACACTACCCATCGTCGACGGTGGTCGCGATGCATCAAGAACAGCTGGTCTCCAGAATTAATGCTGCGACTGCCAACTGTCACGAGTTCGATCGTGCCTGTATCAAGAGGGAAGCGCATGATGGTCTCGACAAGGGGTCACGCCGTGTTGACCAACATGGTCGAGCAGGTGATGGTAGCCGAACACTGAGTTCCACACCTGAGCTGCCGACGGTGTCCATCGGCCCATGAGAATGCGTATAGCAATCTTGACTCAAGGAGAGGCGAGAGCAAGATGTCGAATCGCCGGCAAGGCATGAAGCGAGAGAATGCCAAGACCACATAGTCCCCCCGCTATGGATTGCTTGCGCTTGGTGTAAAGCGCTCTCTTTGGAGAGAAAGGTGGTAACAACTTACCCATATTGTAAAGGCTGTTGTCCAGTTGGATCAAGGGTCGAAGGGTCGAAGGGTCGAAGGGTCGAATCAAGGCAAAGGCAAAGGCAAAGGCAGAAGAGCAGAGGGAGAGCAAGAGGCCTAGAAGGAGGAGAAGCGAAGGGTCGAGGCCAGCAACCTTGTTTGTGTGGATGATTAAGCGCAAGGATGTGATGCCGAGAAAAAAAAAAAAAAAAAAAAAGCTGTGCCTGATCGGATTAGAAGCCGATTGGCGCTTATGCAGCAACTCCAAAAGGGTGGGAAAGGGGAGAGATAGAAGATCAAGTATGATGTGAAGAAGAATGTGGTGTGCGCAACGCGGTGTGATGATGGAGGGTGGGAAAGGAACAGTAAGCTCTGCTTGTCACACCTTGTCGTCGTCGAGATGCCGCGCAAAACTCAAATCCTGCGCGGATCACGGCGGAAATCCCACATATAAATTTCACATTGCAACCACACAACAACACGCAAAAGCATATCTATGCTCAAAGGGCTTCAAGTTGATAAAAAAAATAAAATTGCGCTCACTCTTCGTCAGTGCTCCCTCCTGCTTCCGCCTTGCACCGCTCCAGTCTTCTTCTTGTTCTTCTCAAGAGGTGGCTGCTCTGCATCGGATAAGCCGCCTTCGATCCTTGGCGGGTCTATGCTTCTTCGCAAACGGCAGAGCTGCATCCTTCTGTCAGCACCACATCTCCTCATCAACGCCAACACGTTGCTAGAAAGCTCATCACACATTTTCCCTTTTATTTTTATTTTTATTTTTTCTCTCTCGATCGAAAGAATTCATGCAAGCCGTTGGTTGCAATCGAGCATCAGCCGGCATCCAGCCATTTTCCTTTTCTCTGCCCTCACGGCTTCTTCTCGTGGACCCTCAAGATCACAACGGCCTAAGCGGAGTATCGAATGTTTGGAAAGACTAGACTAGGCCATAGCATGACTGCTAGGTCCATCTTCACACATTTGATATCTGCTCGATATCCTCGACAGCTTGACATCCCGTCAAGAGTAGGAGCCTGGGCTTCTGGCGGCAACCGTTAAGATCGGATCGCCCGACAAAAGCCTTGGAGACGATGTCGGCAAGCGTCCGAATTTTACTCCAGCTCGCTAAGCCGATAATCTTCTCACGCTCTCTTGTCTGATGGTGCCATCAGCAGTCATCCACTGCCGCGATTGCCACCAGCCTTCTGATCAGGAAGAGCAAACAAAGTCGAACAACTCCAGCTTCTTCCTCTTTTGGCCTCGCTTGAACGGGCAAGGCCACGGAAGACCGTGGAGCCCCCGGTGCTCTTGCGAGGATTTCGAATCTTTCAGCTGCCTAAGAAAGCAGCGCCTTGGCACCGTTTCTCTTCTTTCCTCGCAACATCGCCGATTCGTAACGCGAGCTGCTCCCGATGCTTGCGATCCTTTCTCAAAGCTCGCTTGAACCCGATGTTACAAGACACTTAGTAGATAGCACTATGATACTCATTGTTATTGATCATCGATACGTGGCTCCAAGACGAGCACGAAGGTACTGACCTCCCGTGAGCTCCGACACATTAGCAACGCCCTTGGCTACACATCTCCTTTGAAATTCCTCTCTGTCCATCACCTGGGCCTGAACCTTCTCTCTTACCTTGTCCGAGATCTCTAGAGGAACCAGACGAGCGTCTTCATCCGGCTGACAGAAGTAGGCTACCGAAAACCTTGATCCGCTCTCCGACTCGTTACGCGGAAGAACAACCCGATGCTGAGTCGAGCGAAACAGTCCTCCGCTCCAAAACTCCATAGCATCGCCGACATTGACCACGATACATCCTTTCTGCGGCGGAATATCGACCCATTTGCCTGGTTCCATCTCTACTTGGAGTCCACCGACGTCTTTTTGAAAGAGCAGAGTGCACGAGCCATAGTCTGAATGAGAGCCTGCTCGGATGCTCAAGTTCGAGCCTGCTTCTCCATTGCTGTTTGAGACTGGCGCTGGAGGATAGTGTATCAGCCGTAGTCGATCATGTTGCCCATGATGTGAGTCTAGAAAGTATCGTGAGGGCAAGCCGATTGCTTCCGCAAAGCCTGACAGCACCGTGTCGCAGAGGCCTTTACACTTCTCGATGAAGCCTGCAATCTCTTCTTGACGCGCTGCTAATGTAGGCGGCAAGTTTTGCGCTGGTGGTCGATCTTGCTCCTCAACTTGCTTAGAACCACGCTCTGCTCGAGCGAGGCCAGCTAGGTAGAAAGATTCCTTCAGGTCGCCATCCGACATGCTGTTCGGGTCCAGACTCTCCTGCTTCATCGGTGTGTAGCCCGTATTGTTTATTCGGTCTTGACTTTGCAGTCGCTCTTCTAGCTGCTCCTTAAGGAAGAAATCAGAGCTGCGTTGGAAAAGCGCATCGATCTCTGCTTGAGTGATCCCATGATCCGAGAGATAGAAGAAGCCGGTCTTGGCCACTGCCTCCAGGATTTGCGAGCCGAGTGCGGTAGAGTTGCTGCTATCGTTGCGGAGCGAGACGATTGGAATCGGTGTCGAGTTGGACATCCTGAGGTTGGTGCTCCGTCACAAGACCGAGGAATCCTAGCCTGAACGCATGTTGAACAACGTCGTGATTGATGAAAGAGGAGAGGCATCGCACACAAAAGCGAGGTACAGTAAGACGCTCAACTTTGGCGCTTCGAGCCTTAATTCTTAATTCCGCTCAATTTCCCGGCAGAAAGGTCGGGCATCTCCAAGAAGAACGCGCAGCTGTTTGCTGCTCACCGAGTCACATGGCAACTCACCTTCGTCGACCCCGCATTATCCTTATCAATCCTTCACTTGATCATTTGCTCCCATCGACACCCGCTTCGACATGGAACGCTTTGTCGCGCAGTTTCTGTACACATGATCTCACGATGAGCGCAAACACCCACATCGTCGTGCTTGGAGCTGGAGGTAAGAGCAGCCGTGATCAAGGCAGCGACGATATCGACCTAGTCGACGCTGACATTTGTTCGTTTCTGTCACTTTCTTTGATCCAGTTCTTGGACTCACCAACGCTTTCGAGCTCCGCGAACGAGGCTACAAGGTCACCATCCTCGCACGAGACTTGCCACAGGACTCCTTCTCACAAACTTTTGCAAGTCCATGGGCCGTAAGTAGTCTACTCTCTGACAGCCAGTCTTGCCACCTACACGAGCATCTCAACTGACTCTACATGTCTCATTCATTCTCAACCCATGCAGGGCGCCAACTGGTGTTCCTTCGCCACTCTTCAAGACAAGCCCAGCCAACGTCGAGACGCAATCACCTTCCAGAAATGGCTTCAGCTTCACAAGCAACTCCCACCCGAAATCATGGCTATGGTCGACTTCACCGATATCACTCCCTACAAGCGAGAAGCACAAGACGTATGGTACAGCAAACTTGTCCCTGACTTTGCAGTCCTACCGAATCGTGACGGTCAAGGCTGGCACGCGATCAAGTACAAGTCCTTCACCATTAGTGTTCCTCTTTACACAAAGTTACTTGTCTCCGAGCTAACCTCTCCGAAACCTAGTTTGATGGACGCAACACGAGCTGGACCGTCAGTAGAGATCCGACGATGCTCGACCTTATCCTCTTTGTCGGCGGTACGGGCGTTGATTCCTAGCTGCGACCTTATTGTTAACGCTACTGGAGTTGGTGCTGGTGATCTAGCCGAAGTCAAAGATCCGAAAGTGTACCCCATCCGTGGTCAGACAGTGCTTGTCTCAGTGCCTTGCTTCCGAGCTCCATCTCAAGGTGCTAGGTGTGTGATGAAGCTCGGCAGTCCAGCACACTACGTTATTCCGCGTGCTCGATCAGGTCAAGTCATCCTCGGTGGCTCATTCGATATTCGTCAGTCCAGTACAACACCAGACAAAGTGCTAGCAGAGAAGATCCTGCAGGAGTGCGCAAAGTTGGTACCAGAAATCGTACCCGAGGGTAAGACGTGGAAGGAGATCGACGTTATTTCTCACAATGTTGGGTTGAGGCCGGCGAGAGAGAATGGAGTGAGGGTGGAGTTGGAGACATTAGCAAGTGGAGCAGCAAGCAGAGGCTTGACTGTAGTTCACTCATATGGCATTGGTCCGGCTGGATATCAAGCTTCGTTTGGCATTGCGAACGAGGTCGCAGACCTCGTGGACGGTCATGTCGCCACATCCGGAGGCAAGGCTCAGGCGAAATTGTAGGTGCTCACTCCGTGTTCATTCTCAATACTGTCGCTTTGTCACCTAATGTCAATGCAGTCGTACGCGGCCGCTGTGCTACTTGGGTGTGTCTCCGTGAACAAGCGGAGGTGTTCCGTGAACGAGCGGAGTGGCGTGTATGTTTATCGAGACAGTGAGATACCGAATGTGGTGTCTCTCTTTGTCGCATCAAGCCCAGCTCGGCGAACAGACGGAGCGTCGCATAACGGTCCCGCTCCAGCACGGAAGCTCTACAGGAATGATACTCGAGACCTGATTCAAAGCTTCGATGGCCTCTGCGTCGAATGTATCACCACGCATCGGCATTTGTCCTGATCAAGAGACTTCGAGCACAGACGACGGCACTGATCATGTGTGGGAGAGGTGAGGGCCGCCCAGCAGCCCTGCGACCTTGTTTGACTTTGAGACACGACAAATGATGAAACAAGACGAGACAAGAGAGCAAAAAGCGTCAACCCGTTCTGTGAGAAAGCGGAGGCTCATCCCTCGGTGAGCAGACAACGGAAGAGAGGAAGAAGTAGACGAAAGCAGTGGTGCCAAGCGGTACCGGACCGCGGTTACAGCAAAAAAAAAAAAAAAAAAAAAAAAAAAAAAAAAAAAAGAAAAGAAAAGAAAAGAAAAACCACCAAAAGCCTGAGAGACGAGATCAAGACACGGGGAAATATGATAAGGGGGCAATACTCGCGTTCCATCGACCATGAGCAGCTCTATATGATCGGCTCTGCTTAGTTAGCGTAAGCGTAGGTGCGGAAGAGCTGAGTAGGGTTGTTTCCATTGCTCAACCTCTGTGTTTCCGAGACTCCCTGCAAGTTCTGGATGACGGCGAATGGAGCGAAGCCCTTGACCCAATCTTGCGCGTTCATGAAGGTGGCGATGCCATTAGCAAAAGCAGTGCTCTCCTCCTTGCTACACTGGTTGTTTTTGCCTGAAAAGTCCTGGCAGGCGACTTCAGTAACCCAGATATCCTTGCCGAAAGTCTGATGCCAGTCCTGGAGGTACTGCTTGAAATCATCGCTCGAAGTGCCGTAGTAGTGAATCGCGATTGAGTCGAGCTTGTTGAACGTGTCGGGGCAAGCCTTTTTGAAGTTCTGATACCAAACCTTGCCATCGGGAGCGTTGGTAGTGGAAGGACCCATAAGGTACCAGCCCTTCTGCTTGAGAGGCAGGAGGTATTCTTCGATGAGCTTGCAACCGTCCTGAGGGCTCATGGCGGACTGGCCTTTCTGGTTGACCTCGTTCATAGCCATGGCGCACTTGTGCTGGTTGAACTTGGAAGTGAGATTGTCGTTGACGTTATTCTTGAAAGACTCGGCATTCTTCCAGCCCCAGAGCATGGGACAGTACATTAGCTTGTCAACCGGAGCATCGTCCCATCCGGGAACCGAGTCCCAAGAGTAGAACCAGGAGACAGAACCAAAATCAAAGTTGTTGATGGGCATGCCGTTGGAGTTTGCCCAGCAAAGACCCATTTTGTTCTTTGAGGAAAGACCGTTGGGGGAACTGCTGCTCGAAGATGACGACGAGGATGAGGATGAGGATGAGGATGATGACGAATCATCAGACTGAGAGCTAGACTCAGATGAGGAGTTGGACTTGGAGTGGGAGTTGGCCTTGGAGTGAGCGTTGGCCTTGGAGTGAGAGTTGGCCTTGGGGACCTTAAGATGGCTTTCGACCTTCTTGGGCTTGTGCTTGGAAGAGCAGCTTTTGTTGTGAGCCCGACGATGGTGGCTGTGTCGGCGAACAATGTCAGGCACGTTGGGCTGCTCCATGGTCGATGCGGAGACCATGGTGGTGCTGATGACGATTACGGCAAGCGCTAGGGTGGCGACGAAGGACTTCATCATGTGTTAGAGGTAGTTGGTAAAGGATACAAGGAAATAAGTCGTATCAGGTCGAGAAGAGACAGGTGAAAGCTTGGGTAGAGAGAATGTTATATCTTTTGCAATCGTTAGAGAAAGAGAGAGATGCTTAGACGTTGGATGAGGAGGGAACCCCTAAATTACAAGACCAGCTTGTTCTTCGAGTTGTCGATGTTTGTAGGATGGGGAAGGGGTATATGGAGAGAAGGTGAGAGTTGGGATGAGGGTATGAGGCAACAAGGGAGGAGAGGTAGAAGATGGCTCAAAGGAAAGGATATGTAGACAAGGCTTCGAGGGTTGAGTGCTTGCAACAACGGGAGACTTAGCAGAGCAATGATCCTTTCCGCTGATCCACAACTGGCATAATCAACAGATGATCTCAAGGTTTGTGTGTTTCACTTCTTGCTGAAGCGTGTCTGCGCCGCTGTGGATCTTGAGCTTATCGGTCACATTGGCGCAGCTTATGATGGCGAAACTGCATGACACTGCACAGACGACGCCGGCGAGCACAGTGGGAAAGAGTGCGCAGAAAGACGCCGTACTGTGGTGTTGTTTCCTGTCGGAACAGCTTAGGAGGGCGTATCGGCAAGGTTCGGTTGGCCTCGGCTCCCGTTGTCATCGCAGCTTGCGCAAATCTCTCGGCTGTAGAAGGATCTTATGGCCGTGTCTCTTTCCTTTGATTGACAGACAGCGAGCGCAGACGCACGTCTTTCAATGACAGGCAGGATTGCAAGAAACCAACTCGGACAACCGAGATGCGCAAATGGGACCCCAGTATTCACACTGAACCCAACACCAATTCGGCCCTCTTGAACGATTCCCTGAAAGGCTTCTTCTCTCGAGCCAGCCGCAGGGAGCTTTCTTGCTCACTCGGGGAGGAACAAGGCAAACAGGAGGTGGCTTTGTCGATCATGTTGATCTCCTGGCATGTTGACTGCGCTGTGACAATCCAAGCCGGCGGCATCCATGAGCGCGACACGAGCAAGGCATCTCTCGGCAAGAATGACAATCGCCAGGGCGCAGCACGGCACGCAAACGCAGAACTGTGATCATCACGTGATAAAGGTCACCTGATGTCATCCGTGGTCAGAGATTCTGCCAAGTCACCGCGCAGCTGCAGAATGCTTCTCTCTAATCACCGCCAGGCACAAGCGACTCGTGTGGTTGACTGCGATACTTCTGCTCCCATTCTACAGCTACTCCCGCCTTTCCCGACAGACAGGCAGATAGAGTAGTAGGCAAAAGAGAAAAATAAATGTCTTGTGGTGCGCCGGCCTGTGAAAACAATGGAGAGATTTCTGATTGACTTGGCCAGGCTCTCTCTCTCACCCTCGCTTGATGCTGCACCTCGCTTGACCGCTTCGAAGCGAACAATTCACAACTTGTAATTCCGAATTTGACGCTTTGGATTGTTAACCTTCCGGGTCACTTGTATTCGTGTATTCGTGTATTCGTGTATTCGTGTATTCGTGTATTCGTGTATTCGTGTATTCGTGTATTCCTGTAATCCTGTATTCCAGTATTCCTAAAGAAAAGGACCTAGACTTGGTCGAATCTTGCCGAGGGCCAAGTGCCAGGCTGCAAGTTGGTTCCTGTTGTCCACTTGGACTGCATGTCGCTCTCCCACGCTCGCGTGCTTGATGTGCGGCCTACGAAGCATGCCCTGCACTCGTTCCCCGCACTGTGGCCCATTCCTCCCTTGAGAAAGAGAGCTTGGAGAAAATAGACTCTGGGGCCTGTTGCTTCCCCGGCCAACTTCTGTGTGTGTGTGAGAGAGAGAGGGATGCCATTGGTCGAGTCGCCGCGCCGGAGATTCATCTTTTGAAGGCGGCTTGCAGGCGGATACCGTCCTCGCAATCTCTACCGAACGAGTAACGAGCCAAGCCCTGTTGTGGACCATCCATTGTTGAATGTCTTGTTCAGTTGCTTTTGCCTCCATGCACAGTGCAACAGCAGCAGGCACCAGCGCAGAAGCATTGCGGTTGCAACAGCAGCACAAGTAGTAGGCAGTTGCAAGCACAGCTAGCCGCTCGAACCCCACAACGATATATACGATAGGCTCTCTCTCCATTCATGCTCTCCGCACCTTATCATCCATCTTCTATCTTCTGTCCCATCATCGCTTGTCGTAGCATCACCTCCCGATAGCCCTTCAGGATCTCCTTCACCAGGGTGTACACTGATACCCCTCTATCTCAATAAAAGATGCAGGATCGAGAATTCACCATGGCCAAGTCGCTGCTCACAGTGCTCTCCGGTCGATCTCGCAGCACCAAGGCCGCCAAGGCACCTAGTAGCAGCAGCAGCAAGAAAGCATCGAACAGCTCCAAATCCACATTTACACATGCTTATCGTTCGAGCCGCCTCCATCGCTTCGATGACAAGTCCGGTCCACCGCCACCACGTGGATCGCTCACCAGCGAAAAGCTCTCGTACCTTGACTGGCGTCTGAAGCGTATCAATCACGTTCGCCAAGAGTCGGAAGGCTCGCCGCTTTGCTGGATCGATGGCCGCGACACCATCGGTCGCACCTCGTTCGATGTACGAGTTGAACAAGAGCTTGAAGAGCGCACCGCAGCCGTCACTGTCGCCCCTGCACCAAAAGTGCCACAGGCAGCACCTATGATGCCCAGCCGTATGGCACCCATCTATGAGGACGAGAAAGCAGCAGGCATCAAGGCACTCGAACACGCATTTGCTCGAGACAGCGTTTTGGCATCGATGCCGTATCTGGCCAAGCGAGACTCGAGCTCGGGTTCGGAAATGTCGGGTTCGTCAGATCAGCAAGCCTCGCATGCTTCTGGAGTGCTTCACGCAACCGCAGACAAGGATGTCGGCGGCGTCTACTTTAGCAAGCCTCGCAAGTCATTCTTGACACGTGCTGGCACTCGTTTCAACAAGAAGAAGACCGAGACAGTTGGCCAAGACGCTGCCGAGTCAAGACCAGCTTCTCGAGGCAGCCGTTCTCTCTCTCGCATGTGGAAGCGCCAGACATCTGTTGCTTAAAACCTCCATCTGTCGTCTTCACTCCTCAGCCGTGACACAACGGTCGGAGATTAGCATACAGTCTCTCATCACTTGATACCCCCCTTCTTCTTTCATGGAATGTTCTTGGTCACAGTTTTCTCTTCTCACGATCTCGCCGCGTAGTTTGCCGATTCTTGATGAATTCAGCAGCTGCTGCCATGCCTCGTTCTGATGCTCCTCACTTGGTGTTCTCGGGATCGACTGTGATGATCCTATCGACCTCGACGACTGGATCGTTAAGTATTTGTACTTTTTTCGTCCTGGGAGCAATACCAGAAGTCTCTTGTTAACATCCTTGATTGCGTCTGTGCTTCTATGAAAACTTTCTTAGAATGTTCGAGCCAAGTCAACAGCTGCTTGAAGGTCGTTGTCGTCGGCCAGAACCGGGATAATGACTCCAAGACAGGGAAGGAAGGGGCAATGTTGCAATTTCACACTATGTTAGGCTGCCTTTTTTCCACAGCACTCGAGTATTTGCCGAAATTTTCAACTTTTACAGTGCTTCACCCCACAGTAGTCTGCTTTTGAGCGCGAGGTAGATCGCAAATGATCACCAGCAGATGTGCTCATTCACATGGTGAGGAGGAAAAAAAAAAAAAAAAAAAAAAAAAAAGAGAGAGAGAGAGAGAGGGGAAGGGCAACAGTTGAAGATGCGTCGGCATCTCAAGTAAGATGCACATGTTACGGCCGAGACATTGAGACACGGGAGGCTCACGTAAGCGAGAAGTACAATGAGGTACATAATTGTTGTCATGGTGACAGCACAGTGGCACTTGGTATCATAGCAACACAGGAGTACAAATGAAGAGACACATCCTGCCTCGAATAGGACCAGAGCAGTGAATGGAGTATATATATGTGTTTGTCATTCAGTCTCACACCATGAAAACTAAGCATTACATAGAACATACGGCTGTGGTAAAGGGAGTCTGATCGTGACCCCGATAACGCTGTATATTAATTGTTATCTTCATTTGATTAAGAGTCTGAAGAAGCTATCACCGAGCTAACCGAAACTCGCCGACAACCATGGTAGAAGACACCAAAACGAGGACCAAAGGAAGCAGAAAAGGCAAGAACACCCAGGTTCGGGTTGACAATAATGCCACGAGCGAGAACGAGCCGGAGGCCATCAATGATGAAGCCGACGAAGACACCGATTCCGACTCCGACTTTGATGATGGCGACAAGCGATATAACTTTCGCACCCTAGCAAAGCTCCTCGAACCCGTGCCAAAGCTCACGTCACGAAACTATCATAGCTGGAGCGCTCACATGAAATCTTTCCTCTGATCCGTGCCTCATGCGATGAAACATCTCGAGGGAACGTACGACAAGAAACACCCGAAATGGAGCCGCTCCCTCGACGATGCTTTAATCAACGCCCTGCGTGGAACAATCGACACTACCGGAGAACACAATGTAAATTACCTCGTTCTAGATGTAATCAAGGAGTACCTTACTTTCAACCAAGTGTGGAGAAAGATCGAAAACGGTCTCACGAATGAAGCCACCAAGACGTCTCACAGACTTGCGCTTATCTCGCAACTCAACGATACAAAGATGTTTAACTCGGACACCAGAAAGCTAATTCAAGAGATCCGGTCCATACAAACCGAAAGCAGCCTCCTTGGCAAACCATTCGCCGATGATACATTGTTCTCGGCTCTGCAGAAATGCACGATCCGGCATCCGGTGTACAAGGAGACGGTTGCCACCGTCCATCAAATCGATTTCAACGCCCTTGCCACTGCACTAAGCATCCGGCAGACCGCTGTCGAGAGCGTCCCCGCACAAAGGATCGACCCTCGACAAGCCAGTGCTAGAACCGCCGGCAACGACGATCAAAACGAACGGGCCAGAGAGACCGAAGCCGAAGCCGACAACAGCCACGCGAGCTCGAGGAATGCAAGCAAATCACGCCGAATCCGATGCTGGGTCTGCAAGCGACCGGGACATGGTATCAGTCAATGCGACGCCTTGGTTACCATTCCCAAGGACTCCCCCCTCGCTGAACCTAAATAGGAAGTGTGGTGCTCCCTCACCCTCCCAATGAAATGGCAGGACCCCTCGAACACAAAAGAAACAGCTCATTGGATCTTGGACTCGGGGGCAAGTTACCATATGGTGAACGACTACAGCATGCTCATCCACCCGAGAACTTGCCGAAAGCGGATAATTACCGCCGGAAGCGAGGTCTTGGAAGCGGCAGCTATAGGAGATGCAAGCATATCAACAGATTACGGGGAAATCTCTCTGCAAAATGTATTGTATGTAAAGCACCTTAATGTTAACCTTCTGTCAACAAATTCATTAACGGATGAAGGAGCACGAGTGATATTGGACACAACCGGCAGCCAAATTTTTCTAACAAACGGCATGACACTTAAGATTGCAAAGAATCGCGAGCGAGGACTTCTGGAGTTCCGAGGCGACACATGGCAAGAAAGCGCGATGGCCACATCAGCACCATTGTTTGAAGGTGTTGATGAGGAGTTCGAGCATATTGAGAATGAGCCGAAAGTTTCAAAGCAACAACTATGGCATGAGCATCTTGGGCACCCAGGAAGAGATAAAGCTAAGGCGATCACAACCAAGTTAAAGGATAAGCATACCATGAAATTGGATCCAAACACCGCTCTGACATGTGAGCAGTGCATACGATCCAAGAGCACAAGTGCTCGGATGGGGAAAGGTAGCGGCGAAAGAGCCGTAGGGCCCCTGGATCTTATCCACGTCGATCTAATAATAGACTCGTCCCACGTGACGGAGTACACATGCACGTTGGTGCTGGTCGACGATCATAGCAAGTATGTGTATGCACAGCCATTGACACGAAAGAGTCATGCCTTTATGCAACTTAAAAGGATTGTTTCGTTCCTGGAGACACAGATGGATCGGAAGCTAAAAGCGATCCGATCCAATCAAGGAACGGAATGGAAAAGCAATGATGCATTAGAATGGTCGTTAGAAAAGGGCATAGAGTGGCAAACCACCGTAGGGTACAACAGCAAATAAAATGGACGGGTAGAAAGAATGAACAGGACCCTTGGAGAGAAGATGAGAACATTGCTAATGCAGAGGAGACTACCGAAGAAGTTCTGGCCATATGCGATCAGAGCTGCGGCGTTCAAAATAAACCTCACTCCGAGCGTTGATAATGAATTCCCTTATCAAGCAATGTTTGGCAAGTCGCCGGAACGAGCTTTAAAGCTCCTACGAGTGTTTGGTTGTCTGGCATGGGTAAACGTACCCAAAGTTAAACGGGACAACAAGAAACTGGACCAGCGAGCTGTCGCATCCATTTTCTTAGGGTACAGTCTAGAAAGGAAGGGCTGGCTCTTCTACAGCCCGGACTACAATCCAAACATCTTCTGGAGCAACTCAGCAAAATTCATGGAATCAAAGTGCTGGTCAGACAGAACAGAGTGGCGACTGGTTGACACAAAGGCACCCCCAATGATGATGACAGAGGAAAATTTCGAAGATCTAGGATACAATAAAGAAAATATATTCGACGAAACAGATGAAGAGCCACTACGAGAATACATGGATATGGAGACAGACTCGGAAGAAAGATTAAGCGAAGGAACAGCGGAGGTGATGGAACAAGGACCAATCGCCGAAACTCAAATTGACAGCGAATTCTATGGACTCGTAGCGACGCGACCGGAATGGAGAAAGAACCTGGACCCAACCATACATGAAGCAATGAGTGGAAAGGACAGAAAGCACTGGGAGGAGGCCATGCGAAAGGAGCTGGATGGATTGGAGGCGATGGGCACATGGGAGATAGTCGACCTCCCAAAGGGTGCAAATACTGTCGACACATGTTGGGTACTCAAGATCAAAACCGATGCAAACCTCGTGCTGACAAAGTTCAAAGCCTGGCTCGTGGCACGAGGTTTCACTCAACGCGAGGGCATCGACTATACAGAGGTCTTCGCACCAGTAGCACCCATCCAATCCATTCGAGGGGTGATCGCTGTTGCAGCAGTACGAGATTGGGAAATGGATTCTATTGACGTAAAGCAAGCGTACCTGAACTCCACTATACACCATGATGTATACCTCAAGCCCCCAGTAGGAATCGAAATACCACCCGGAAAAGTGTTGAAGGTAGTGAAAGGACTGTACGGTCTGAAACAATCGGGCCGAGAATGGAACATTGAGTTAGACTCACATCTCCGGACGATCGGATTCCATTGCATGCCGAGCGCACCATGCCTATACTCAAGAGGGACAGGCGACAAGATCACGATCATCACAGCATACGTGGACGACATGCTAATAACATCACCCAGTCGTGATGAAGTAGATCGCACAAAGCGAGAGATCATGGACAAATGGGAGATGCAAGACAATGGAAGGGTCAAAGAATTTCTGGGTATCAAGATCACACGTGATAGAAGACGGAGGAGGATATCTCTGGGTCTAACGGCATACATCAAGGAAATGGTGAACAAATGGTTAGGAGGAGCAAACGAGAAATCTTGGGTACCCATGCTGAGTGTAGCGAACGTCGCCGGAGGCGAGCGATGTGAACCTCAGCGAGCAAAGAAGTATCAAGAATTGGTCGGCCAACTATTATGGGTCTCCAACACAGCCCGACCAGATATTGCCTTTGCCGTCGGCGTATTGGCGCGATATATGTCGATCCCGATCGACAGTGCATGGAAGGCAGCCATCCACATGGTAAAGTACCTGAACCAAACGAACGAATATCAGTTGCACCTAGGAGGGGAGACAAACGAGCACTCGGATACACCGGTAACGACGTATACCGACGCAAACTGGGCATCCGACCCCACAAATGGACGAAGAAGCACCTCGGGGTCGATAACATATGTATATGGGTGTCCAGTGAGTTGGAAATCACACGTTCAGAAGTGTGTGGCATTGTCGGCAGTCGAAGCAGAGTTTGTCGCCGCTTCCGAAGCGGTGCGAGAAACCTTATTCTTCTCATATTTGCTCCGGGATTTGGAGACCACGGACGTTCGGCCCGTACTATACACAGATAGCCAGGGGTGCATACAGGTGAGTAAAGATCCAGCCAAACATTGGAAGTTAAAGCACATCGACACATGGTATCATTTCGTTCGCGATCACGTGCAAGAGGGTGATGTGGAAATCAAATATGTCGGAACGGCAAATAACGTTGCAGATGTCTTGACAAAACCCTTACAGGGTCTTAACACCTCACGATTGGCTAGGATGATAGGACTGGAGATCCCGCCGAAGGGGGGAGTTGAAGATGCGTCGGCATCTCAAGTAAGATGCACATGTTACGGCCGAGACATTGAGACACGGGAGGCTCACGTAAGCGAGAAGTACAATGAGGTACGTAATTGTTGTCATGGTGACAGCACAGTGGCACTCGGTATCATAGCAACACAGGAGTACAAATGAAGAGACACATCCTGCCTCGAATAGGACCAGAGCAGTGAATGGAGTATATATATGTGTTTGTCATTCAGTCTCACACCATGAAAACTAAGCATTACATAGAACATACAGCTGTGGTAAAGGGAGTCTGATCGTGACCCCGATAACGCCGTATATTAATTGTTATCTTCATTTGCAACAGGCGCGTCCCGTCGATCCATCTGCAAGCCAAGGAGCCATCAAACAATTAAAAAAAAGGTTGAAATTCACGAGGAATTCTCTTTCTCTGCCAAACGAGCTGGTTTCAGTTGCACGTCTTGTCAACGTCACTAGGCAGCTGCAGAATCGAATTGAGTCTTTCTTTTTCCCAAGGTGCTGCTGCGTGTTTTGCGTTGCAGTCACAAGTGTTCCGCATCTGAAATCTTCTCATCGTTGATAGGATCGCCAAGATTCCTTTGTCAATCGTGTCCCTCAAAGGCTCATGGTCCGAACAGAAGAGGTTTGCCTGGCATTTGGCGACCGACGGAAGAAAGGATGTTGAGGTAAAAGTCTCAAGGGTTGCCGTCGATCAAGAAAGGGTCCTTCGCTTATCCAATACAGTATGTTGATTTGCTTGTCTTTGCTGCCTTGACATCTTTATATCAACCACGAGCAGGACTCAAGTGTTGATAATTGCGACGGCTGCCGTAGATGTAAGGGCAGCAACAGCGAGGAAGGCCGGAATGAGAGCGGAGACTTGAGAGCGGTACATCCGATGCGCAGTCGTTCCTGTTTGTCGGCTTCTCCGTCTGCCCTTTTGATCAAGATGGATCGACCCAAGCTTCTCATCAACGCAGGCTATCTCTCGCTCTTCTGCCGCTTTCCACCAACTCCCTGTGTATCGGCTGAGCCGTCGAAGAACTTTCGGCGGTGATTCAATAGCAATGAAGAACGTCGAATAAGGTTGCTACTGTGCCGACTTGGCTGACAAAAGGCAGGATAGTAGCGGCTCTGCTCCTTTAATGGCTGCACTTAATCCTGCTCTTCAACACTGCCACATCCGTCCTGCTTGCTCAAAGTGCAGGTCTAGAAGCCATCTTGAGCTTGGACACTACCGAACCTGCATGTCTACTTGCGGGCCTTGAATTTATATTTCCCCTTTCGGCATACACCCGTTATGGCGGCGGCCAATTTCACACCGTTGCAGTTCCACAGTCTGTGTCGCCGCTCCCATCGATCCACACGATCCGCTGAAACCATCAAGTCCGCCTCTCGCTTTCCCTTTCAAACCAAAGTGGCTCGATCGATGACCTCTGCAATCCTGCCTTTCCTCACTGGTGCTTCCTTCTCGAGTGTCAGCCTTCATCCTTTCATCCTTCCTTCTTTTCATCCTTCCTTCCTTCCTTCCTTTCCTTCCTTCCTTCCTTCCGTCCAATCCAACCATCTCCATCCTCTCGTGATACGCCACCCCTCAGAGCGTCTCCATCCACCAGAGATACCCTCCAGTTCAAGGTCTATCCGGTTCAGCCTGACCGCTCTCTGCGACACCCCTCCCTGACCAGACCTTCCACCATCACATTACAGCTAGCTGCCAGCAGCTCCTTTACGGACACAGTGACGATACCCTCTCCCAGATACCCACTTCAATTTTTTGGCCATTTCAACCATCTCGGACACATCACAGTGTAAAGAGCGCTAGGTTATCATCTGTTGCAGCCGTCATACAGCTACCACAAGCAACCCAGCTCCCAGCATCCATCCATTCAGGATGCGTAGACCCTACGTAGAGCCAGGCCATCGCTCTGCCCGCCCAGGCATCAGGCATCGATCTCGATCCAATGGTCCTGACCGCAAAGGTCGTGACCCCAATACTCTTGCCTCCTCTGCCCGCGATGGCGACACTCGTCGCCCTGGACGACTTGCTAGCGAAGGCGAGACCGATCAGGACGACTTTTACAGCGACAACGATGACCAAGGCTTTGTCACTCAGACAGACGACAACGCCGTCACAGCAAATGAAGATATCGACGGCGAGCAAGACGACCTTGAAGACGATGACCTCCTTGACCATAACAAGGTCGAAGATGCTCGTTCTGCCCACTCTGGCCGTTCGGCTCCTCGAGCCGCCCCAGCACTCCGTCACGCCCGCATCAACGAGCAGGACGACGATGAAGATGCCGACTGCGATGATGAGGACCGTGGTATGCGTACACCTCGCAACCAGAGCAGAAGCAACCTCGCTGCTACTCCCCGCAGCAGCGGTCGCCCTCGGGCCCACTCCCGCTCTAGCAAGCTTGCTCCAGAGGAAGAGGATTGGGCCGTCAAGGATGAGGCCAAGCGTCGTAAAGGCGGCGTCTTTGGCAGACTGAAGCGTCTCGGACGCAAGCCAAAAGAATCCAACCAAGATTCCGGCAGAATTCGCGAGGGCGCCAACGCTGATGTCGTCCTTGGACGATCCTACGGCGCCGTACGAGAGCTACGCAGCCGTAAGAGCTCTCTTCAACAACCCCGACCCGAGTCGATCCCATCCTATCGCACACGTGATCGCGCTTCCTTCCGAAGAGGCGCTGCCAGTGCTGCTGTGTCTTCGGGTGTTGCCGCTAGCGCAACTCGTTCCTCCGGACGTGGAAGCACACTCGGCAACTCAGGCCGTGGCAGTGGCTTCGACGATGACTTTGACAGCGAGCTCGGCACCGCCCGCCAGAGCTCTCGTCTGCCTGCGCGCCAGCCTCCATCCGTCATTGCTAGCGACGATGGCTCTGACCTTGGTCAAGCGAAAGACGGAACTCTCCCCATCGCTGACGAGCCTCCTCGTATCCCTGTTCCCATCGCTCTTCGCGAGGCTGAGAACGCCCGCTCGCCTCAGCTTGTGCACCCTTACGCTGAGCCCGTGACCACAGAGCCGCATGGCCGCTCCAAGTCGCTTGCCCAGAGTGTCCAACCAAGCGTCCTCGATGCCAGCGATGCTGCTTCCGTTATCCCGCCCTCCTCCCCACTCATCCCACTCTCTGGCCCCCTCAGCCACAACGACGCTGTCGTGCCCAGCCAGCGTGCCTCCATGCAGTCTATGCGCGACAACGAGATTGACGAGGAGACCATGTCACGATCTCGCAAACCGAGCATGGGCCTTCGTGCCGCCGCCGGTGGTGCTCTTGGCGGCCTTGCTGCTATGATCGGCTTCGATGCCTTGCGTGAGAGAAAAAACGGTCTCCCTCCTAAGGATGAACCCATATCCACAGCGCTCGGCCTCACTACCGACAGCCAATCTACCGCTCGCGATCCAGCCGCATCGACCACTTCGCTCAACACTGCTGTTCAGGCAGCTCCAACTCAAGACGTGGCTGCTACCAAATCGGATGTCACGCTCCTGCCGCGAAAGAACCGAAGACAGAGCAGCAGAGTCTCTGTCTTGTTTGGCGCCGCCGACGCGGAAGCAGCCTCTCCCACGGCTGGTGTTACACGCGATGGCCCCTCTGAGTTGCCATACGTCGTCGATGACGATGCTGCTGAGCGCAAGTCTTCGCTTGCTCCAGCTCTTCCAGTGTCTGCAGCTCTTGGAGGCGGTCTTGGAGGTATTGCTGCTGCCAACCTCGCCACTGGCCTTACTTCTCATGATGTCGAGGAAGCACTGGCCGACGGCAAGAAGAAGAGGAAGAAGAGCAAAAAGAACAAGAGCAAAAGTCAAGCCTTGGATGACGAGAAGTCTGTACTCGTCGCATCCAATGTCGAGCCACAAGCTAGTCGCGCTAAGATGGTCGAAGTCGACTCGGCTCCCATGTCCAGGGCGGCAGTTGTGCCAGTCGCAAATGGCGACGCTGTTCAAGCTAGGGGCTTCGCCACCACAGGCTCGGCGACCGAAGCTTCGGAGCTCGCCGATGACGAAGCTGGTGGTCCTCCCTCGACCGTGGCACCGATTGGCGAGAAAAATGGATACAGCCAGCTTGGTATGGCTGCCTCCGCTGCACCCATTGCTGCTGCTACTGTTGCGGGCGGTCGCAAGTCTAGGGCTGCCAAACCAGCCAAGGGCAGCCGCGGCGTCGAGAAGCTTCTTGATGTTGATGAAGATGATGCCGGTCTCCGACGCAACATCCCTGCTCCTGACAAGGGTGGCTACCTCCTTACGCCCAGTATCGCTCCCAGTGTCGCTGACCCTCTTGATGCAGGCCGCAACCGTCTCACCAGCTCGAAGGGCAACTGGCTCACCAAAGACCTTTCGCCTCAGCAGACGCACTACTTCCTGCGTGAGCTCTCAATGCGTGAGCTCAAGTGGGAACTCGACCGTGCTTGGTTGATCAGCAGCTTCGAGAAGCCCCAGCGTCCTACTCGACGTGTCCGCAAAGACTTTTCTAATGTCGAGGACGATTCGCGAATCAACGACTTTGACGAATCGTCCGACGAAGAATTGCTCGCCATGGATGAGGACGAGGACGAAGAGGCAGTCTTCCGACGTGGACCGCAGCAGCTCGGTGCATTGTACAGCCAGGCTAGCATCCCTGATCTGCCGCTGTTGCGCTTTCTCTTCAAGAACGCTTTCTGCACCTTCCCTCTCTTCGTTGCTCCCGAGGACAAGATCGATCAGTATGTCGGCGGTCCTCCTGACAAGGCGACACTCGCCCGCACCTACTTCTTCATTGGTATCCTGCCACTGCTCCGTGCCGTACAAACGCGCTGGTTGAGCGAGTGGGTCGACCGTCACGGTGAAGGCGACGGCACTCCCTTCAGTGCTGTCTCGACTGTTGGCTCAGTTCGATCCTTGCTCACCAAATGGGCTTCTCGATACATCACCGCCATTCTTCGCGTCGGTCCCGGTGATCCCTACTTTGAGGACGACGAGGCGATTGGAAAGGAATCTTGGCCATGGCCAGCTTCCAACCTTCTGCCTCCTGAGGCCTACTATGCCTTCCGCAAGCCTCTCGACCGCCTCAAGTACGGAGGCTACGAAGTCGATCTCATTGGCATCCGAAGGCACAGCGCAACTGAGCGAGACTACATCATCCGTCTTCGCCGCCCCAACGCACCTGATCAGTATGTCGTGCGTAACGACAACGACTTCGAAGAGTTCCGCCGCAATCTCTCCAAGGATCTTAGCCCCTTCGCTTTTGTAAAGCCTCTTCCTCGAACACGTGGTCGCCCTGATGAGGGAGAGAGCGATGTTGAGGACGGAAGCCCTTATGGCTCGGTTCGTTCCGAAAACTTCAATGCAGCCGGTCTGGGCTCGGGAGCGCTGTACAAGTCGTCGCCATCGGTTACTCCGGTTCGCAGCGGCAGTATCGACAGCAGCCGTCGTCTACGTGGAGGTGGACGTGACGGTCGCAGACGTTACAGCTCTGCAGTTCGCGACGGTCGGCCCATTCTTAGCCGAGACGCGCCTTCTGAGCAAGACAGCGAAGCTTTCGAGGACACCGCCGATGAGCTTGCGGATGACGACGACCGATCAGAGGCTACCTTGCAGCCTCGACGCGGTGCCTCTCGTCGTGGCCCCGTCCAGGATGAGAAGAAGGGCCCATCACTGCTGTCTCGAGGCAAAGGCTCTTTGCGTCGCCTCACTGGCATGGACACGTCTCCCAAAAGCCGAAGCAATTCTCTGCGACGAAAGGAAGGAAGCAGTGGATTGCAGCGTCGACGTCCCCTTCCTGCTCCTTCCCCTCCCGCCGCCGCAGCAGGCAACCTCGAGCGTGGAGGGGGTTCTGTTCGACGACCCCCTCCTGCCGGAGCCATGGACTTTGACGCCCGTCGCAACAAGCTCCGCACCTGGCTGCGCGACACTCTCTCCATTCGTGAATCAAGCCACGCTGCCGAGACCCAGAACTTCCTCACCATCGGTGGCTTCCCCGAACGCGCTCTCCGCCGCACCGACTTGGATGACATCCAGGAGCGTCGTCGAGAAGACCGTCACCGTCGTCAAGAGCATGGACGAGATGCTGCTGAAGCAGGTGACGATGTCCATGACCTGCGTGAAGTGCGCGACGAGATCTGGCTCGACTGTGTCGACGGCGACGGTTTCCTCAAAATGTACGATGCTCTTCGTGAGACTTCCGACTACGCCCGTCTGCCGCTTGGATATCAGAAGATGGTATCGTGGGGCAACCTGCAGATGGCACGCTGGCTCTACGGAGTCTTTGTGGCCGGTGACGAGTCCCGCGCCAATTTGGCCAGGGTGCAGGATGTCTACGAGTCGATTCCATGGAAGAAGCTTGCCTTTGCGATGAAGTCGCCTGTTGCTCAAATGATGCGAGCTTGGAGGGATCAGTTCCTGCGACGTGGCTTCTTGCAAGCTATGCTGCATGTCATGCTGGAAGACGAGCCCGAGACAATCGAAGAGGATCTGGTCGAGCTTCGAAGAGCCATTGGCTCCGAGGTCATGTTCCAGAAGCTTCGTATCTTTGTTGAATCACCAGGCGATCTCAAGCGTCTCATCCGACAGCATGCTGAGAAGGCAGAGGTGCCTCTTGTCGCTGCTATCGTCCGTGGCTCGGAACAGCCTAAGCTGAACAAGGCCGAAGTGCAGCGTGTTATGGATGCAACGCAGGCTTACCAGGACTTCATGAAGACGGTCCCTTCGACCACCAAGAAGAACAACCACAAGGAACCAGGCTACCTTCTCATCACCAACTTGCAGCGAGCCCTCCGTCTGCTTTCGCTCCAACGCGACGGTACTCAGGTCCGAGGCATGCTTCAGGATCCCATCATCGCCGATGCACTCGCTACCGTCTTTGAGCCTCTAATGGAAGAAATCCGACGTCTACACAAGATCAAGGGTATCGGAGGATCGATCATGGAGCTTCAATCTTTCCTTGGGCGACTCATGGACCACCTCACTGGGCTGCGCGCACGTATCATGGACCCTTTGCACGCAGTGAACGGCATTGCAGAGATTTTGGATGATGCTGCTCCTCACTGGTATCGATTCTTGCGTGCTGCTGCGGACGCAACTCCGACGGTGTTCAGCTTCTTCGCTTGGTTCCGACACTTAGCGATGACTGTTGGTGCAGGGTCGGAAGACTTGGCACAAATTTGGACCAACCCTCCCGCTGCACCGGCCGGTGAGGATGAGACTGGTTCAGAGGGAGATCGTCAATCGGTCAAGCCTGACACCATGCCTGCTTACGACGGTGCTCTGGATCCTGCTACGATGCGCGACATCAACTCGCTGGCGGAACACGGTAGACGCAAGCGTAACAGACAGATGGAGATCGCCTGTCGATGGGCTGCGGGCGATACAGAGGAGCATCATCCAGTTCAAGTGCAGGGTGATGGCAAGGGTAGGACGAGGACGGATCCTTACTTGCCTCGTGAGCCTCGACCGGCTAGGAAGGCACCCGGTCTGGACAGGTTCAGGAAGTCGTTCCGCGAGGCTGTTTCCAGCGCTCTTACCCGTTGAAAGCCATGCACCACACCACATAGACATACTCTCTTTCCCCAACCATAACACATTCGTTACATCCTCACTTCCTTTCGACCGACTTTTTCACAAATCAACAACGGACTCTTGATCACGTATACCTTTCTTCTCTCTTTCGGAATCATGTACATACTCGTCTCGTCAGAACAATACCTTTTGAATATACATACGGATCACCTCGTCTTTGCTCTGGTTGTCTGGCCAACTGTGATGTCCGTCTTACGCTCGACGCCCTCTTAGCTTAAGCATGACGATCTGCCATGATTGAGGGCAAGCGCGGACATCAAAGGTAGGATTTTAGCCCATCAAAATTTGTTAGACCAGTACGATCAAACAAATCTTGTGTGCGGCATGCAATTTTAAAGCCTCCTTTCTCCATGCCATTTTCACACCGTTTCTCAGTTGAGCTGAAAACCCCTTGCCGTACGACCGGAGCAAAGTGACACGCCATCGCCCGATTCCCATCTCTCACCTCTTTAAGCTCGATGCTCACAATTACCTGCCGAACAGCCGTTACAGAATTGGCTAAGGTCAGCAGTGATCTAGTGACATAAGTGGCGTCCAACATTCCAGAGCTGGTTTTGACCAATTGCAAAAACAAGGTTTGTGATGAGTCGGTGAGACATAGACCGATACGCGGGCTATATTCGCGGGGTTGTGAGGAAGCGCGTTGTCGGGAAAGGAAATCGGCGCAATCGGGCTTGTCCAGTTCGGCAATCTCAACATCGTCGCTTTGTACTCTCGCATAGTCACTCTTGGCCATAACAATCTTCGGACATTGTCGACCGTCCGACATGCGCAATTACACCTTTAGCAGCGGCTCCTTCTCGAGGCCATTCGAGCATCCAGGTTGCAACAGTGTGTCAAGGTCGGAAGATGAAATTGAAGACGAAATGTCAAAAGGAAGCTAATGCCATGTTTGCATCGTCTGAGTTGCAAATTCTGTCTTGCACTTGCACACGAGATGGGAAATCAGATGGCGATTCCTTTTTTGGATACTCAGCCAAAAGTCAATCGGATGATACCTTTCACTCGCCTGAACCTATCTCACCGACTTGTCTTGGAGATGCATGTGTTGACCATATTAACTTGCATTGTCAGAGACCATCCGGCGCTGAGTGGTCGATGCTTTCCTTTATCTCATGGACTGTTGCAAATAGAGTCAAGACCGAGGAGAAGAGCTAGGCAACTCTGAGCGTTCTAGCTCAAGATTCGTCCTGAGCTTGAGCCTTCATCCGACTTTTAGCTCTGATCGTTAACACCAAGATTGCGAACGATGATAATCAGGCTGGAATGAATGGAGCCAACGTCATGGACGATGCAAAGCACGAGTGAGGCCAAGATGGAGCGAGCGTGGTGTTACAGATTGTTCGAAGCCGACGCAGCCTGCAAGAAGAATTACAGAGAGAACGAATGAGCAATCAGCAAGGCTGATTGCGACTCCCTGGATCACTCGTATACGACCGACGGAAGAACCTCGCTTGCTCCTTGTTCTGAGACCGAAGAGGTCCCGTCGCGGTTCTGGCGCTACTGCAGCTTCGCGCAGCAAACATACATGATCGCAGAGCCAAGCTAACGAGAAGTGTCTTTTGTCAAACCTATACATTTGCTTCCGGATTTGGCATCATGAAACGATTCTCGCACGCTGATTCTGATGGATCGAAGAGGCTTTGCAATTGAGATGATGAGTTGGTACGGGATGGAGAGACAACCAAATCGGACAACCGGATACCAAAGTTCAGCCTCCTTCTCGGACTTGTCCCCACGCGCGACCTCAACTCCGATCCAACTCACGTGTGGCAACACAGCGTATGCCGGCAGTCTCACAATCAGCATGACTCGCTTTCAATCTGTTCGACGTCGTCTCTAGACGGAAGAGAGAAAGGCGGGAATGATGTGATTGGGCTTCAAGATGCGTTAATTGGCAGGCGAACTCGATGTCCAAAGATTGAGGTTGCAATTCGGGTTACACAACAGCGCCTATCCGCTTCTAGAAGCGCGGTTTCTACGAGAGACTTTTTTTTATAAAAAAAAAAAAAAAAAAAAAAAAAAAACAAAAAAAAAACAAAAAAAAAACAAAAAAAAAACAAAAAAAAAAAAAGGCTCCAAGCTTGTGACCGAGTCGCGGGAAGAGGAAGAATAGGCTCAGGAACTGACGCTAGAATCCAGGCAAGGCTACGTGCTCCTAAGTGTGGAGTCGCGTTTGGTACAGACGCGAATTTCAATGATCGGAGCACAGGGCACGTGACCTGCGCGCGCTCGCGCAAGTCGCTGCGCAGCAAGTGAGCAAGCTTATCACTCACTTGTTCATCTCACCTCTCCTCCCTTCTCACCATCATCTCGCTCTCGCGCTGGCTCTGTGCAGCGCTTCTTCAAGCTCACCCGGGAACTCGCCAGCGACTCTCCCACGAGTTAGGCAATCTCACATTTCTCATGTTCCAGTCCCGCGTGTGGTGCGTGCACCTGGAAGCCAGACACTGATGACTGAAAAATGCAGCACCGGCTTCACACGCTCACACGCGCGAACCAATTTGATTGGGATATTGCCGATGTCGTCTAACATAGCTCGCCAAAGAGCCTAGCGTAGAAGCCACACAATCTTGCTGCTGCTGCCCTCGCCTGCCTATCTTCCTTCTGACCTTAGCTTACTTTCTGGCTTTGACGCTAAAAGAAAGCGTCTTGATTCGAGTAGACAAAGGAACGCCGCTTTCCAAAAGACCCCGACAATGCGATATTTTCTCAACCTTATGCTCGCTTCTGCGTTCAATGAGATTTTCGGCTTCGACCAGAAGAGAGTGTCGAAGATGTCCCGGCTAGAGCGTTCCGCCGTGCAACCCCTCTATAGAATCAGCTCTTGGGTGTGTTCCAAACCCTCGCTTATGCCTTGTTCCTTGCGCTAATGGCCTTGAATGCCGGCCACAAGAGTCTAGCTCAGGGAATGCTTTTGAGATGACGCTGGTGGACATGAGATAGCAAGCCGGCAATGCACACGTGACAAAAGTTCTGAGGCAGCCTCCTTCGCTCGGCATGCTTCGATGCCTTGACACCGCCTGCTTAAGCGCCCTCGAATTTGACTCCATGTCTCAATCCGAAAGCAACATGACCAATGCGCAAGACTCGGTGACCATTCCCAACTCGATGAGACAAGCGCTTCATTCAACGGCCGCAGATGCATACGGAGCATGTGGCGCTGTGCGAATCGCGTCCCCGGCCAAGCGCCAGAGACAAAGGGAGGGACAAGACAATGAATAGAGAAGCTGCATCGGGATCCCAGAGCCGTCAACATTGAGTAAAAGTAACAACGGCTGGCATTCCTAGCTTCGATAGCATTGCAAGACTAAAGAAAGGCGAACGGTCCGGCCATGAAAAGAACAACCAAAAAGAACTAGCGAAAGAGCCAAGGCAATTAGTGTCAAGCGGAGTCTAACTGACTGTGTGTGTGTGTGTGTGTGTGTGTAAGTGTGTGTAAGTGTGTGTAGGAGTGAGGGAGAAGCGGAGAGGAGGTATGGTACCGCTTGTTCAAACTCCTATCTCACTTGCTTCTGTCTTTGATACTATGTTGCTTCTGTATTGTGGGTAGACAAAAGAGTTTGGCCTCCGACCTTTTCTTATCGTATTGAAAGTCCGCCTGCTTTAGCCTTGTTTTCCTGCATGCTGTATGTGGATTGCAACTCCGATGCTATCTTTGATTGAGATTGAGGCAGCGGCAGAAGAGCGAGAAGCTTCAATCAATCGTGTATGCAACAGCTGGCAGCTACGGCAAACATCGATGCCTGTTCAAGGAGAGAAAAAGAGTGAGCGACCTCCTTGCCTGAGCCTGGACGGGATCAGCTCTCCTTTTCCTAGGCTTCCTTTGTCCCATCTCGTGCAATCCTTCGCTCCTTCGCTCCTTCGCTGCCTTCTCTCACACTTCGATGATTGGAGCATGATGTGCAGAATGAGATGCAGGTTGTGGGCGTCTGTCAAATCCCAGCTCCGCTCACCTCGTGTCACATCATGTGCTCCTTCTCTTTCGACTACCCCGAAATCGGCTTCCTTCCTTTGTCACGTTGGCTTCCCCCCCCCCCCCCCCCCCCCCTCGTAGCATAATTGACTGCGACATACGCAATAATGACATGCCGATCATCGGTTGTTGCTATGCTGTTGCTATGCTGTTGCTATGCTGTTGCTATGCTGTTGCTATGCTGTTGCTATGCTGTTGCTATGCTGTTGCTATGCTGTTGCTATGCTGTTGCTATGCTGTTGCTATGCTGTTGCTATGCTGTTGCTATGCTGTTGCTATGCTGTTGCTATGCTGTTGCTATGCTGTTGCTATGCTGTTGCTATGCTGTTGCTATGCTGTTGCTATGCTGTTGCTATGCTGTTGCTATGCTGTTGCTATGCTGTTGCTATGCTGTTGCTATGCTGTTGCTATGCTGTTGCTATGCTGTTGCTATGCTGTTGCTATGCTGTTGCTATGCTGTTGCTATGCTGTTGCTATGCTGTTGCTATGCTGTTGCTATGCTGTTGCTATGCTGTTGCTATGCTGTTGCTATGCTGTTGCTATGCTGTTGCTTCTCCGCTCACTCGCTTCGAGGCGGAGCTCCAAGTGACCAACCATGTCGATCTTGTCATTGATTGTGATTCTTTATGGAGTGCACGTTCTTTGCTCGTCACGACACGCTTCCATCCCTCTTTCTTGACTGTGAGCAAGCACGTGCGAAGCGTAGCTGCTAAGGCTCTTGAGTTGAGTGTCTGCTTCGCTTTGGCGACGCGGCTATTCCTATCTTCTCTTGGCTTTGGCTTTGGCTCATTCTCATTCCTAGACACTTCTCACGCTAATTTTCTGTCTCGCTCTCTCCCACGACCGGCACACTTTTACGCCTGAGCCACAGTGCGTTCAATTTGGCCGTGACGGTGGAATTTCTTGCGATATTAGCCGAGGTGCAAGCGTGCTTCAACACAGATGAAACGCCTTTACGGGTGAAAAGGCGTCAAATCCAACTCTCCGGCATTCTCCATCCGATTCCCCTCCATCTTAGGTGATCTTTATTTTTAATATATTTTCTTATATCTTTTTTTTTTCTTTTTTTTTTTTTTCTTTTTTTTTTTTACACAACCACGGCACGACGGCATGCTCAAAAATGTGAAACGCAGCAAATGCAACAGGTCACTTGCCACCTCGAGGCATCTTTCCAGTCTTTAGTCTCATCCGTCGGATGTGGCCCCCTGCCGTCGTCAAGTGCCGCCTCTACTCAGCTCCGCCCCCTCGTCGCCTGTCACTGACATCACTTCTTTTGTCAAGAATTCGAAGCCTCTGTCCCAGTCCGCTTTGTTTCTCCCATGTCCCTCCTTTTTCTTTTTCTTATTCCTAAATCTCCTCCACGATGTGCTCGTTGGCTGGCAGTTGGGCGCTCATGCCCCTTGCGTGCCTCTTCAACCGCTTTCGATGCGCCCGCGAGGAACGGTTGCTTGCTTAGCATGCTATCCGAACCATACACAGCACGCTCTGCCACTTTGCTCGTCTCTTCCCTCTGGTGGCCAAGTCCTGCAGGCTTTTAGCGAGCAAGCAAAGGAAAGCAACTCACAATCCAGGCGGATGGTCACTCCCTGGACTGCTAGGTTGGCGCCTTAATGGTTGTGCCCTCTGTGTTGGCTTCCCCTTACTTCGGCGATCCCGACCTGAGCCTTAGCCTGCCTGAGTGCTTGAGTGCCTGAGTGCCTGAGTGCCTGAGTGCCTGAGTGCCTTAATGCCGTTTTCCTTTTGGTCGTCCACACTGGCCGGCAAACGACCGCCACAATTGCGTTGCCCTTTGCTGAGCAAGCATCGAAAGCATCTTGACTATCCTGTACCATAAGCCTATTCTCTCCTCTTAGCCCGCTCGTGCTGCTCTTCTTCCTGCGCTAGACGCGCTCCTCCCGTCATCTGCCCTTCTACCCCTTGCGTCTTTTGATGTGCACTTGACCCGTCTTGTCTTTGTGTCTCGGGTGGTTGTTGCCTGCCGTTCCCATGCCCATGTCCATCAGCAAAGGCAAAGAGGAACTGCTGGATTGATGCAGCTCGCTTCTCTCGCTTCTTCAACAGGCTTCCATTTTCGAGGTTACCAGGGCAGCCGACTGTTCGCATTGCAGTTGTCTCCTCTTACGACCCTCCTAGTCTCGGCTCCAGATTCCTTTAAAGACCACAAGGTCCAAGTTCCATTTTCAGCCTTGCAATCTCCTTACTCATCCGTCGATCCAAGTCATTCCTCCCGCTCTACCTTTGTGTACGGATTGACTTCACTCTCCCTTCATCTCTACCTTTCTCACCACCATCATCCTCATCACCACCTTGACCTGATCGTTGTATCTGCCATTTTCTTTCACCATGCAGCTTAAAGCCTCTATTCTCCTGATGGGCGCCGTCGCCGCTGGCTTTGCCTTCGCCGCCCCTGCCGCCGTTGAGCGCTCAGAGCCCGCCGTCGCCGCCATCACCAACGTTGAGCGCGATAATGCTGCCCCCGCTGCCGACTACGGTTACGACCCTCGTCAGTGGGTCTACAAGCGTGACAACGGCGCACCTGCCGCTGACTACGGCTATGACCCCAGACAGTGGGTCTACAAGCGCGACAACGGCGCACCTGCTGCTGACTATGGATACGACCCTCGTCAGTGGGTCTACAAGCGCGACAATGGTGCCCCTGCTGCTGATTACGGCTATGACCCTCGCCAGTGGGCCTACAAGAAGCGTGCTGACGCTCCTGCTGCCGACTATGGTTACGACCCCCGTCAGTGGGCCTACAAGAAGCGCGAGTCCAAGCCCGTTGAGGAGACGAAGTGAGAACCTCCTTGCTTCTTTTTTTCCTCTCATGTAGTTAGTTCTTGTCCATCATCGCATGTCTTGCTCGCATTACTTACTCCATCATAGACACGCACACTCTCTCTTCTCCATAGTCTCTCATACTGTCACGGGCATTCTATACACAAGCATGTCTCTGTAGATGCACGTGTACACCTTCGCTTGTATCACGGGCTTGAAGCCCATGGCACCCCTCACACTTTTTTTTATCCCCTTTTTTTCCGCTCCGGTTCTTGTCTTGTATTTTGCACTTTGTCGGGTTGAACGCTTGAAAGAAAAGAGATTCGATCCCCCCCAGAAATCTCAATTCGCAGTCAATGTTGTAGCCTGCTTTGAGTGTTGAGCATGAACTGAGATCCGAGGGAAAGGAAGGCGGGGGTGGAGATTTCTTGCATGAAGGTGGGAGTGACGAAAAGGAGGACAGCGTTGGCGCAGCTGCTGATGGTGACAGGCGCCGAATGAATTATTAGAGTGTAGGGTTCATGGACGCCTCTCAAGCTGAAAGTCTGGGGCAAGGCGAACACTTTCACACAGCGATCACGAGTGGAGTTGTAAGTTGCTGTCATCGTTTCGTGACAGGGCGACGAGCTTAAGATTGACTTTTCTGACTTATTCCAAAAGCATTCTATACTGAAAGGTGGGGAGAACAAAGATGTGAAACTGGTCTGTGTAAAGTCGAACTAGAGTGAACGAGATGGTGTAGGCGCTGCTTTTCATGGTGTTCAGGAGGACGAGACGAGATACTGGCTCTGCTATTGCATTTTTCCAAGCAACAAGCAGCGCGGTGAGATGCTCGGAATTCGGACAATGCTGCGCGCGATCTTCTCTCGACACCAACACTTTCGCAGTTCAGGGTTCTTGCGTCTCTTAATCCAACCAACACCTTCTCAGAGCCCTTGCATCACAATTATTCCACATGTCAAGCGCAGCTGGCTGGCACATGATCTCATAGTAAGTCTTCTCTCCTTTAGCTGAAAGCAATCGCACAGCGAGAGAAAGCTTCAAGATGACGGCCGCCACAACCGTAGAAAAAACCACCACAATCACAGAGAAGAAGACCACCACCACCACAACCACAACTACACGGCGTTGCACCTCAACAACGCCCACAACCACATCACCACGACGGAAAATCCTCCGCCTACTCCTTCTCCCACTTTCCATCCTCCTCCTTGCGGTTTGCGCCCCATTAATATACCCTGACCTATTCCTTACACAATCACAAATAGCACAAGTAACACAATTTTTCGACTCCACACCCCTCTCCTCCTTTGTACAATTTTCCACTAGCACCCCTCTTTCCAGCACCCTCAACAGTACCTCCAATGCGGTTCGAGGTGGACATACGAACAACTGGGCGGTCCTAGTCTGCACCTCCAAATTTTGGTTCAACTATCGACACATAGCCAACACTCTCGGCATGTATCGCACAGTCAAGCGTCTTGGAATCCCTGACTCGAACATCATTTTGATGCTTGCAGACGATGCCGCTTGTAACCCACGCAACAAGTTTCCTGGCAATGTATGGGCTTCCACAGCCAACCGACTCGACCTGTACGGACACAACATAGAAGTTGACTATCGTGGATACCAAGTTTCGGTCGAAAACCTCATACGACTTCTCACAGGACGCCTCCCACCGACCACTCCAAAGAGCAAGAGGTTGAATAGCGATGCCCGATCCAACGTCTTCTTATATATGACTGGACACGGAGGGGACGAATTTCTCAAGTTCCAAGACTATGAAGAAATCTCTGCGGTGGATATCGCCGACGCGATCGAACAAATGTGGCAAAAAAAACGATACCACGAACTATTCTTCATGGTAGATACCTGCCAAGCTAACACCCTGTATACTAAGATCTATTCCCCGAACGTGCTTGCGACAGGTTCCAGCGGGAAAGGTCAGAACAGTTACAGTCACGGAGCCGACTACGATCTGGGTGTAGCTATGATTGATAGATTTACGAATTTTGTACTGGAGTGGATGGAAGGGAAGGATAAGACGACTGATGCAACGATGAAGGATTTGTTCGAGAGTTATGATTCTAGTGTGATAGAGTCAGATCCGGGGTTGAGGACGGATCTGTTTGGGAGAGAGGTGGGGGATGTCAAGGTGACAGATTTCTTTGGGGGAGTGAGTCAGGTTGATTTAACACCAGCAGTGGGGAGTGAAGAGGGGAGGAAGGGGGAGCCGTTTCTCATGTGATCGACTCTGGGTAGATTGACAGAAATAGAAATCATGGATTCAAAGCAGACACGAGTGGGGTATGTGGTGATGGTGAGCGATTTTGCATTGCAGTTTGAGTGCGGTTGCACATGAACCACCGTTATACATCAAGGAGCGATACAGCTTCAAAGTGTCTTGAAAAGTTCATGTTGCGTCGCATCGTCTGACGATCCCAGCTATCGTATGCGACGGGGCGTTTCAGAACGAGCACCGATCTACAGGAAGTGCCATCTGACGACACCGGAAGGATAGAAGGGATGCGTTTACGGTACAGACTTACCGTCCAAGACTTACACTTGCTTGTGACCAGCCGCTGTCGGGATGTCGCACTTCTCGAACCATTGTGGTGTTTGTGCTGGAAGGAGAGAGCTCAGATGAGGTATTCTGCGACTGCGACCGTGCGACACGGCGTCTTCAGTCACTTAGGCTGTCATTTGGAAATGAGCGGCGAGCGTGACTTGGTTCTTGTTCAGATAAATAGCGCAGGTCAACTTCTGGTGTTGCAAAAGTTGTATCTGGTCGCCCTCAAAAAATTGATCGGGAGTAAATACGGTACTGTAGCTGGGTCTCTGAACATGGAGCTTATGCGGCTGCAGTCCCGAGAGCGCACCAACAACGGTCAAGAGGGAATACAACGTCAGTAGGGCTTGATGTATTTGAGCGATCGGAGCAGCTGCTCCACATGCATCGATCATAGAAAGGCACAGAATTCTCACACCAATACCTGGTCTGTGCACGACACAACACCTTGTGTCTGGAGACCTGTCTAGTTTGCCGTGACGAATGGCCGAAAGGGTGATGATGGACGTTCCATCCGATCGCCTCTGCTCAGTGTGCATGTGTAGGTGGGGTGGTCGATGTAGTAAGGGATCGCCAAAGGATAACGAGAGAGACCAGCGAGTGAGCGAAGGGAAGGAGAGGATCGCTGCCAAACCATTGGTTTTCACGCAGGGAGATTGCTTCGTGGAGGAGGATCGCGAAGGGTCGGAGTGAGTCCGGAGTAGGTCAGTGGGTTTGAGTGCAGCCAGGAGGTTCGATCGACCAGTACGAAGAGGAGAGTTCACAGATTTCGAGGAATGACATTGCTTGGATCGGATGTGGAAAGCATCGTTATGCAGAGGAGTAGAGAGAAAGAAGTGGACCCAAGACCTTGGAGGAGAAGCAGGAGCTTGCGCAGTAGAACCATTGGACCAGTTGATGCCAAAGATTTGAGGAACCAGAGTCGGGATGATGAACAGAAGCTAGAGAATACATTGGAGTGCGGAAGAGGAAGGCGAGATAGCATGCGTGCTACTCGCTTTCGATAGAGCTCGAAACTTAGTCATCTCGGGGACGGGGAACATCGTCATCGTCACGAGGAGGGAGAGGGCTTCGGCTGTCCCGGTCGAATCGACCGTTGCGCTCGGGAACAGGCTCGCGGCTGTCCTCGCGATCACGGCTGTCATCACGTCGACGAGGAGGAGGGCTGTCATCGCGACGGCGGGGAGGGCTTCGGTCACGGTCATCACGGGGAGGGCGAGCAGGGTCGATGCGAAGCTTGAAACCACGAAGCTCGGTGCCCTCGATCTTGTCAAGGGCACGCTCGTAGTCGTCACGGTTGTCATACTCGATGACACCCTCGTCAGGACGAGCGGCATCAACATCGGCGAACGAGACGGAACCGTGCTCGCGACCAATATCCTTGAGGTCCTGCCAGCTGGTGTTGGGAGGAAGGTTGGAGACGATGCAGCGGAACTGGCCACGACGGAGGCGAGGCTCACGGCGAGGAGGAGGGGCGACAGAGGAGCCGTAGCGAGAAGGAGGTTCTCTTCCACCACCACCGCGGCGGTCGTAAGGGTCAGAGCCGTAGCCAGCAGGCTCAGGACGACGGCGCTCGCTCTGCTTGGCGTGCTGGACTACGATGCGCTCGCCCATGAAGTTCTTACCATCAAAATCCTTGACGGCATCCTCAGCATCACGATGATGCTCGAACTCGACAAAGCCAAATGTGCCCATGATGCGGACATCGTAGAGGCGCTGTGAGCGAACCATGTAATCACAGCAGAAGCAGAGGAGAGTCAGTAAAGGTCCGGCAAGAGTTGGTTGCAGCAAGGGTGAGACTTACGCCATAGTCGCGGAAGAGGTCCTCGATGTCGCCGCGACGGACGTCAGCGGGAAGCTTACCGACGTATACACGAGTGGACATGATGATGACGATGGTCCGAGGGCAAAAGTTGGTGGAGAGCGGGAAGGAAGCAAGGAAGCATTGCGGAAAGTGCGACAAGAAGAAAGGCAAAGCGGCCTTGCCAACCATCTTGGCGCACAGTTGCGGATGCGAAGAAGAATTGCGGGGATTAATCTGAATTTGTGGGAAGCTAACGATCTCACAATTTTTTAATAAAAAAAATTTAAATAAGAAATTATATAAAATAAAATAAAATAAAATAAAATCAAAATCAAACAAACAAACAAACAGGATCCAGGGTCTTGTTGTTGGCCCCTTGAATCGGGTTGAACCCGACGATGCAGATCCGGTTCGAAGCGGAGTTGTTTGTTGGAGGCTGCCGATCATGGCTGCTTCATTCCATCTCACATGGCTTTCAAGCAACAACGGCGGGTCAAGAAGCAAGGAAAGAAAGAGTAACATAGACTCACAAAGAGCGGCAATTACCAAGATGAGCAGCAACTTCTACAATGCGTCAGTCTTGCATAACATCGCGTCAAATTTCATCTCTTTCTCGAGATCGCAATCATTCTCAGACTTTTAGAGCTCGTCTGGCAAGCTGTGCCTTTTTGCCTTTTTCTTTTGCTGTTTTTGCCCGTGCGTGTTTGCATGGGTGAAGAGAGTTGTTGATGAGCAGCAGATCTGGTCCTGCATCTCCCCCGCTACGTCTGCGGTTCGGCTCAGCTCAGCTCTCTCACGCCATGTTGTTGATTTGATATGATTTCTTTTCCTTTTTCTTTTTTCTTTTTCTTTTTTCTTTTTCTTTTTTCTTTTTCTTTTTTCTTTTTCTTTTTTTTTTTCTTTTTCTTTTTTCTTTTTCTTTTTTTTTTTTTCGCGTTTGTGGGTGCGTCTCTCTCGCGTTAAGTTGCAGCGTCGGCAGTTCAGGTAAGCTCTCCACCTTGCCAACACAGCGCTCTATCAGCTGCCGCCGCGCCCCGCCCGCTTCCGTATCTCTCTCACACCTTTTTCCCGCTCATGTCGACGCAATTTCATCCCTTTCCCCATCCATCACCTAAAGCTCATTCAGCAACACCATCATCCACATTGCTCATTGCAACGCCCTCAACTAAGCCTTGACCCGGATCACCGCTCCCCTAGTCGACACCCACGGCAACGCGCCGCTCGCGAACCAAACTCCACTTTTACGACTCTCACGACCCTCTCCACGACTCGCTCCGACGTCACGCGTAGGATCACCGTGTTAGCCGCACTTCTCTCCATTTCTGCGCTGAATAGCCAAGCTGCCGTCCCGCACATTGCCATCATGAAGGGTCTTAAGGACTTTCGGCGGTCCCTCAACAAGGACCGTCACTCGGGAGGCAAACCCTTGGCCGCCAACGTCGCTCCTGGCACCTTCACCAACGTCAAGGACGCTGTCACAATTCAGCCACCTAGACTTGTCATCCGCGCCATCCGTGACTATCGCTCCTCCTCTCCACACGAGCTCAGCTTCCACAAGGGCGACTTCTTCCATGTCATCACCGACCCTGCTCCCAACGCAGAATGGTTTCAAGCTAGCAATCCTATGACCAACGCACGTGGTCTCGTCCCCGCCAACCACTTTGATGTCCTCTCCAAGAGCAATCGTGCCAACCCGGCCACCGCTGCAGGCCCTGGCGCTACCTCTCCACAAATCGGCAGCATGTCACCTCCTTCATCCATTCCCTCCACATCTGCAGCAGGTGCAGGCGCTTCCTCCAAAGCCTACGGTGGCCGTGCTGCCGGTGCTGCTATGGCCGCAAAGGGTGGAGGAGGTCTCTACGCCGTTGTCAAGTACGACTTCCTTGCAGAACGCGCAGACGAGCTTGAAGCCAAAGCAGGCGAATCTATCATTGTCATTGCCCAGTCCAACTTCGAGTGGTTCGTTGCCAAGCCTATTGGAAGGCTCGGTGGTCCAGGTCTGATTCCAGTCGCTTTCGTGGAAATTCGCGACCTCGTCACGGGCAGACCCATCGAAGATGTTCAGGAGCTCATCGAGAGCGGCGTTGTCCCCAAGGTGGAGGAGTGGAAAAAGATGACGGCAGAGTACAAGAAGAACACCATCCCGCTCGGACGCTTCGACTTCACACAATCATCCCCGCCGGGCCTCAACTCGCCCTATGCAAACATGGCAGCAGCGGCATCCGGGAGCAGCGGCAACAATGTCGGTACCCCACGCTCGGGAATGCACGCCAACAACCCCTCTATCTTCTCCGTTCCTGTACCAACACCACCACCAAAAGACGACCTCTACAACCACCTCGGCGGTCCATTGGGCGCTGCTGGCGCTGTGCAGCCATATGACGAGAATGCCATCAACCCTCTGACGCAGCTTCCGCCCGGCATGTCACCGGGCGAGCCCCTGCCGACAGGTCTCATCACTTCGGCAACCGTCGACTCCTTCCACTACGAGCAGGGCGATTACTGGTTCCGAATTCAAGCTACACACCTTGCTGGTCCCTCGGCCTCTGCGCCAACCAACGCACCAGTCGCGCCAGAAGGTGAGGAACGCGATCTTATCCTCTACCGCCTCTACGAAGACTTTTACGAGTTCCAGATCGCACTTCTTGATCACTTCCCGGCTGAAGCTGGTCGCGAGACCGACGCTAACGGTCACGCAAGCGAACGTATCCTTCCCCTCATGCCTGGCCCTCTCGATGTCGTAGACGATCTCATCACATCACAGCGTCGTGTCGACCTCGATCAGTACATCATTGAGCTTTGCTCGTTGCCCGAGTACATCATGCGTTCTGAGCTCGTCCGTCTCTTCTTCGAGCCACGACCAGGAGACCACTGCACCTCGCACCCAGCAAGAGGACCCGCCGACGAGCAGGAGAACAACTTGCAGTACAAAGATTACGGCTACCTTGCAGGTGGAGTCGATGGAGGCAGTCAGCGATCCAGTCAGCAGCGTCTTCAGCAACAGCAACAGCAATTGCGAAGTAACGGGATCAACAAGTATGCTGAGGATCAACCCGTGGTCCGAAGCAGTACATCGTCCAAAGTGGAGGATGAGCTCAGTGCCAAGATGCGTGGTGCCACGCTGGTTTCGGGATCAGGAGGAGCTTCTTCTGGCGCACGAGACTCTTCCCGCAGCAGTGCAGCATACGGCGCTGGAGCAGCAAGCACCGGTCGAACATCCCAAGCTTCCAGCGGACACCGTAAACAGAACTCATCAGGACCCTCCACGCAACCTCAACACGCCTCTTCTGGGTCTGCAGCTAATGTTCCTTACCATCGAATCAAAGTCGCGAGGCGGAACGATCTGGACAGTGTCATCGCGCTACGTATGCCACCAAGTCCAACTTTCGCACAGCTGTTGGAGAAAGTGAGGGAAAGGTTGGGTGGAGATATTAGTGTGTTTAGCTGTAATGATAAGTCGGAGTTGATCGAAGATGATGCTAGTTTGACGAGGTGGTTGGATGAAGCTACGGACAGGGGATGGAAGTTGATGTTGCATGCCTCCTAGTGCTCAGAAGGGCAGGAATAGTTTGCTTTGTCTTGTCAAGTACGCATTTGAAGATCATATGTCACCGCGATACCTTTTTGGCTCTCTTGTTGTAATCTCATTTCTTCTCATCTTCACAGCTGCTTTGACTTATTTATGAGGCTGTGAATGTGTTCCATCGTGTCATTGCAGGGTATGAGAACGACGGATGCTATGTTAACGTCAAGTGACTTTCTTTAGACTCGGTACACGATCTTCCCGCGAGAAATCGCTCTTACACCCTTGAACGGCCTATACCCGTGCGTATTCGTATTAGTCACATTAATCGAATCCACCTTCAAACCCGAATAACTTTCCGCCGGATTACTCCAGCTGACCGTGATTCCAGAGGAATGGCTTGGTTGCGCTCGCGTATCGCTTGTTGTCCAAGTGACCTTCATCAGGCTCGGCCTGGACTGGTGAGCGGGTGAAAGCTTAGGAATGGTCCAACGAACGATTTTTGTGTTTGGGTCGTACATGTAGTTCCCGTATACATCTCCTGCTGACGGAGTGATTCCGGAGTGTAGTGGAGTTGAGGCAATGGAGGATGTGGCAACGGTTCCACCACCGATAGTTACCTCGAAAGAGGCAACGCCAGGTCCGAGTCCAAAGGCGATTACTACGTCTTCTAGTGTTCCTGCAGGGTCGGGGCCGGATTTGGATCGAGAACCGAGCCCGCTAGTGGTAGTGTTGGTGAGAGAGGTAGAGGAGATTCCGGATGATGAGACTGTTGCTGATGCCTGGATTTGGATGAGGGCTGTTCCGGAGCCTTTTTCCACTTCGATACAGTGCGAAAGTTGAACTGGTAGTGCCTTTTCCCATCCATTAGTGGGACCTTTTCCGACCTTCTTCTCTTCTACTGTGCTGGGTGCGAGGAACGGCTCTCCGACTCGGAAAGCGACCAGCTCGAAGTTGCCATCTGGCGGAACGAACGACAGCCTTTTCTCTTTGCGCCAGACACGGTATCGAACGCATGGATGGAAGCTTTCATCTTGCACCAAGTTAGAGTGGTTGAAAGTAAGCGAGAGATCCGGTGTTCCCGACAAACGGGCATTGCACTGGACACTAGCCCATACATCCAGCGCCACCGGTTGACCAGTGCGCGAGATAGTCCCCTCTAACGACTCCACAAGATCAACGTAAAGCTCGTTGTTGGTGTACTTTGAGTTGGGTCTCCTCCACGGAATCGTCGAGATCAGAGGTGGTGGTGCGGCAGAGGCAAGTCCTGATGCGCCAACTGCTTTGACCAGTTTCCCAACCCAATTTGGCGGCAGGACTAGACTCTTGAGCATATTGACTTCGGTAGTGAGAATGTTGCCATCGGTATCAACGATTTCTTCGAAGAGCTGATAGACGATGTCGAAGTTATCGCGGAGGGTGTCTTCTGTGAGCAGTGCTGGGTCGGTGGATTGCGTGAGGTATTCTTGGAGGATAGCGATAAAGGAGCGTAGGAAAGTGAGGGGGACAAGAGGGTCGACTTCGCGCGAGACTGGGCAGAGGAACCGCAGTGGACCCGAAACGACATGGACGAGGGCAGCACCTTGTTCTGCCAGCGCTTCGGCTGCTTGTTGCACTACTTGATTTCCCCAAGTCTCCGCTGCTGCAGCCACTTGGCTTGTTGAGATGGCCAATGTTGCTGAGGACTGCGGTATTGTAGGCGGCTGGGAAGAAGTAGAGGCTCGACGACCATCCTCATCCCACACATTGACGTCCTCGATAGCAGCTGCAGGAGCGGTTGGACGGTTGCTTGCCGAGATGCGCGCACTCAGCTGACTTGCCAATGAAAGCTCTCCAAGGTTTGCTGTTACATCTGCAGCGTCTTCGTCTTCGTCATCCTCCTCATCCTCATCCTCGTCTTCATCTTCCTCGTTCTGCAGATCGAATGGATTGACGTCCAGAACACCAGGAACCCAGATGACGGGTTTGATATCTTTTGTAAAGTAGATACGGTTCGATGATGGACCTGCTACTGTTGAAGAGCCATCGGAGGAGGAAGTGGAAGAGATTTGAGCGTTGGCCGAATTGACACCAGCTAGGAGAGTTGCAAAGTAGTCCGAGTGGAGGAGCGGGTAGGAAGGGATACGGTTGGCAAAGTGCGAATGAACAACCGGCCGACCGTCGGCACTGAGGACAATGATGCCCTCCAATGGACCCGACATTGATATATCCTGGCTTGTCGCGAGTAGTGATGGTGAAACCAGAAGGAAAAGGATGTCCGTGCAGAGAGAGGAGAGAGCAACACCAACTTCAGGAGCAGCGTTCCGGGTCACGTGCAGCGGCTTGGGATTTGCAGGGTCTCGGAAGTCAGTGCGAAAATTTCGCGGCATTTCTCCACTTTCCCACATCATCTCAATCCTTCTGATTCAACATCTTCCTACTGACATTCTCTCCTTCGCAAACGTCGCTAAGGAGCACACACACGATGTCATACCAGGCAAGGCCAGCAGGTTCGGCATCCAGCGGTGGCGCTGGCATGGGTAGCATGGCAACAAGAAACCCTGTGATGGAGTACATCTGCGCCGACTGCGCCGCTTCCAACGAGATTCGACCAAGGGAGCCCATCCGTTGCAGAGAATGTGGTCATCGTGTTATGTACAAGAAGAGGACGAAGCGTATGGTATGTTCAAAGCTCTACTGGGAAGATGCCGACTCGGTCTCAACGAAGGGCGTTCTTTTGACTTGGTGTTTTACAAAGCATGATGAGTTGCTGACCGCTTTCTTTTCCTCATTCTCCGATGATCTACAGTTGCACTTCGAGGCTCGTTAAACGTATGGGCATAAAATCTGGTCAGCTTGACTGTCAGAGCACGTCTCAGAGGTTCATGAACTCCGACCCGTCGAATCTTGCATGGTCAGCTTGTCGATTGTTTCCACGGCCACACCAAAAGCACATTCTTCAATCCAGCGCGATGTCATTCTACCCCTGTCCCGTGGCTTGACTTGTATACACATTCATCCTCTCGATTCCACCCTGCACGCATGTTCGATCGACGCAAGACATGCTGTCGTCTTCTTACTGCCATCCTCAACACACACAATCCTTCTCTTCTCACCTGGTCTCTTCTCCTTGTAATGTTCACTTCTTGTACTCTTAGCATTCCTCTCAGTTTCTCAAGCCAGACTCTTCAAAAGCATCTCGAGGACGACGGCATGCCTTACAACAGTGTGCAAGATTGCGTTGTTTGACACAGAACACAGACACTTGTCGACGGTGTCGTATGCCGCAACGCGGACGCAACCCGAACACATCGCATGCCTCGGTGGAACTACCTTGAACACGCCGATGGACAGTCATTATGGATGTATGGGTCTAGACAGCTGCATGCTTCTGAGAGAACGTAGCAGCGACGGCTGGAAGGTGGCTATATAGCCAGAATAGAGAGCATAGCTGAAGCAAAAATTGTCGGGGCAAAAAAATAAAATCTAACAAAGCTTTCATTTTGGCCACGCGTGGCTTGTCGAGAGTGGAATGCGGTGTGTGTTGGTGTTACGTTGTGCGCAAGCTGTATGCGCGGTGTAATGGTGTAACTAGATGGATTGCAGGAAGGAAGGAGGAGATCTAAGGAGAAGCTAGTTTAAGTACTAGCTTCCGTACAAGCAAAGATTTGCACGATGATATCTTTTGTGCGGCTAGTATTCGCACGAGAGAGTAACCCAGGCGTGACAGTTGGTGTGGAGAATTGATGCGCGATGCTGTCACATTCAGCAACCCTTTCTTTCCACCTTGTGACAGGTGAGCTTTCCCTCATCGCGTTCAGCACCTTCTTCCATCTTCTCTTCCACCCAACTCGTTCCCCTGACCTCGACTTCTAGACACATAATAAGAAGAGCACAGTTCGTGACAATGGCAGCAGAAACGCTAGCCGTCCCAGACCCGGACGTTATGGTTGCTACCATCGTCGACTCCAACGACAGCAATGGTGGTGGTGGTGGTGGTGGTGCAGCAATGCGACGCACCTCATCAACCTCCTCTACCTACTCTCACATCTCCGATGCCTCATCATCCGGACTAGCTACCGAAAGCAGACCCACCTTATCGCGCGCATCGAGCATCGGATACTCGGATGATGGTTCCATGACCTCTTCTTTCCGCACCCATCACTCGTGCGCTTCTGCTTCCATGGAAGGAATTGACCTTCTCGGTGCACCCTCATCTTCCACCGGCGCACTACCTCTGAGCGGTAAGCGACCCTTCCTGCCTCCCATCCGGCTCTACTGATCGGCTCTTACTGACCCACTCTTGCTGTTGGTTGTTGTGTTCGCGTTTCCAGACCTATACGAAACTTACGTCTCCTCTCGCATAGACCTCGCAGGACGACAATGGTCCGCCTTCTCCGGCAACATGAGATCGCGCGCCCGTAGACGTCGCGAACAACTCGTCAAAAAAGCCAAGTCCAAACGCGAGCTCCAACAAATGGACGACGAACTCCGCAAAATGCGTCTCAAAGTCTCCAAACGTATCGAAAATCTCCAACAGAAATGGATGGATGCCAAAGTCGTACGACTCCGAGACAAGATCTCCTTCGTTGTTGGGGTGCTGAATCTGGTGGTCAGCTCGCTGGTATTTGCGCTGAGACCGGAGTATATCCCGATGGTGTATTCGGCATTGGCGTTGTACTTCTTGCCGTTGAGGGTTTGGTCGTACACGAGCAAGAAGTGGCATTACTTTTTGTTTGACTTTTGTTACTTTTTGAATGTAGCCAACTTGTTGTTCTTGTGGGTGTTTCCGGGGTCGGAGTTCTTGTTCACTGTGTAAGTTCCCCCTCCTAACCCCTTTGCTCATACGGAGAACCGAAAACTGACAACCAAAGAGGACGTTGCTTCGTGATGGGGCGATGTAGGTGCTACTGCGCTGCGCATGGTCCGTTAGCATTCAGCGTTGCTACCTGGAGGAATAGCTTGGTCTTCCACTCGCTCGAAAAAATGACTTCGCTGTTCATCCATCTGTACCCGCCATTCGTCTTTACAACCATCACCCACTTCATCCCTGAGGATGTTGCAGTGGAACGATATCCCGCGCTGAAGAATCTCAAGACGCTAAATGGTTACACTGCGTTTTGGTTCGTAAGTATCTCCTCCCCTCCTCTCCCTCTTCCCCCTTTTCGCCTCGTTTACTGACAACCCCAATCTCTGATCCATGGATATGGATGTGTAGAACGTAACCATATACCTGTTCTGGCAGCTGGTATACTACGAACTCATCGTGATCCGCAAAAAATCCAAAATCGAAACCGGCGAACGCATCAACTCCTACTCCACCATGAGCAAAGGCAAGGGCCCAGTCGCCAACTTGCTCGGAAAAGCACCCGAAAAGCGAAGAGAACCTGCATTTATGCTCCTCCAATTTGTCTACACCATCATAACAACCTTACCTGCGCCGCTGATTCTATATCCTAGTCGAACAGCTTCAGCGGTTTTCTTCGCGGGGATTTTCACCATTAGTGTTTGGAACGGCGCTTCGTACTATGTCGAAGTATTCGGACGGAGATTTGAGAAGGAATTGTTACAGCTAAAGCGGGAATTGGAAGCTATGCAGAGGACCGAGTCAGTGCTTAATAACAGTGGGTCTCCGCCGGCTGTTACGCCAGGGATTGGGGAGGAGGGGAAGCAGTTGGGCGAGGAAGAAGGGGAGGTGGAGGTAAAAGAAAGTGAAGCTGCGGCCGCGGCTAGTGGGATGCCTGAAGTCAGTGGTTTGGACGACGACAAGAAGGACAAATAAGACCTCCATTCGTGATGATGCACGAAATCACAATACAATCCCATGACTTCAGATCAACAGATGTGTGCGAGGAATGCAATTGACAAGGACAGAGTGAGAGAAGATACAAACACAGAAAAGCGATGATAATCAGGTTGTCCACAAGACGGCATTTCCATCAGCACCAGCACTAAACAACCAAGGCTGATTAGGATGCCATTTGACATCCAACACTCCTAATCCTCCCTTGACTTCATGGCCCCTCAGCACCTTCAGAGGCACCAGAACCAGGTTCTCGCCCAAATCAGCGCTCACCTTGGCGTAGAACAACTGCAATGTCCCGTCGTCACTTGCATCCGCAACCAAGTTCCATGCTGTGCTGAAATGGACTGCCCTTACTGCCTTTGCGTGGTACTTCAACACTTTGTAAGGTCTGTTGGAAAGATCCAAGTCGAACCAAGCTAGCTTTTTGTCATAAGATCCAACCATAAGATGGTCACCGGTTGGGTGAACGTCAAGAGACGAAATCCACCTGAAACCAGTCTGCAATGTCTTCACCAGCGATTGGGCCATAAGGTCGTAGATGCGAATATAACGCTGGGTAGCAACGAAGATCCAAGGTTTGCTAGGGTGGAAGACAAGTTTCTGCACCGAAGACCCCTTCGAAGCTTTTCGGAAGGGAGACTGGGAGCGGTGTTTGGAAAGTTGATGAATGAGCAACCCAGCTGATCCGGCGGTGGGGTCGGAGCAGATGGTTGCGAAGTAGTCTCCTTTAGAGTGCCAGACGACGGTTTTAAGGTTGGAGGCGTTGGTGGAGGTGATGTTGAGATGCATAGCTACACCTGTACGGCGTTCGGGTTCGGTAGGGCGGGTCCAGGAGACGGGAGAACGAGCGTCGGGTTTGGTTGGCATCGAGGTGGCGGCTGCCGCTGTAGCGTACAAGAAGGAAGCGGTGCTGGTTGCTGTTGCGCTACTACCGGCCGACGTTGTCGATGCTTTGGAGGAGACAAGCGAAGAACTGGTCTTGGAAAAGTTCTGCGTCTGAGGAGGAGCAATGATCGTCACTCTTCCATTCACCGTAGCCGCGAAGAGCGAGTAGTTCTTTGTTGGACACCAAGCGATCGAGTGCACCGGCGAACGATCCGCCTTGGGCAATCCCTCGCACACATCCCACGATGCTGTACATCTTCCAATCGCAACATCCCACAACCTTGCTCGACCATCATCGCCACCCGTAACCAACCAGTTACCCGTTGGGTCAACCGACAAGCATCGGACCCTCCCACCATCTGGGTGTGTGTAAACGACACTTGTAGTGGTGGGGAATGGTCGGAGTTCTTTGGGCGAGGGGAGTTTAGGGAGGAGGTTCTCTGGGTTGTGAATGTCGATCTTCTTCCTCATCATACGAGGAGCGAGGTAGAGATCGAGACAACGTTCGAAACGTTCCTGAACGAAGTTCTGGTATGCTCCGACATGACGCAAAGAATCGTGCTTGGATGGAAGGTAGTTCTGTTTACGATCTTCTGGGTCTGCTTCATTCCATTCCTTTTGCTCTCGTTCGTTGAAGAGGTATTCGGCGGGGGGATTGTACGATTCGGCATGACCAGGAAGGGGAAGCTTGGGTGCGGTCATGCTAGCCCATGGGCTACGAGTGTTTTCTTCATCTGCGTCAGCCCAGATATTGTAAAATTTGGGCTTTGTGTCTTTCTTCGCCGCGGCACCGGGAACAATACGACCTTGGCGAATGGCACGGACGATCTTCATGACCTTCTTGTGCTCCCATTTACTTGGAACGAAACGAGACTTGGGTTCGGGTCGACCACTGAGAGCAGTCTGCATGACCTTATCTTCACCTGTGAACCAATCGACATAGTCCTCGTATGGATCGTACGAGTCGTCTGGGATCTCTGAGTTTTGGAGCTTGCGAATGATGGCAAGTTCCTCGTCCGAAAGACGCACGTCTTTGCCTGTGGAGTTGTCGCGAGCAGAGAACCAAGCTTCACCATCGCCATCGACGGTGTCGAGAAACTTCTCAAGCTCGTCCTTGGTGGCGGGCTTCATGACCTTGCGCCCGTTAATGTCGTAGCCGATGTGAGGGAGGTCGTCGTACCATTCGAGAGGGACATTGCCAATGCGGTTCTTCGGGTCTTCTGTGCTGCTGTCGGAATCGTAAGCTGGATCGATCTCGGGGTAGACACGCTTCATCTCGCCAGTGATCTCACTGTGCTTGAAGACACCTTTGGCGGAGCCATCTGCATTGCGAACACGAGGGTCGAAGGCTTGTGCTGCTTGGCTGCGGGGAACACCGAGTTTGTTGGTGGCAGACAGAGAGCCAGAGTCCTCGTCGGGTTTAGAAGAGTAGCGAGACATCATGCGGGAGAGCTCTTCGTCGATGCTGGTTTGCGAAGCGTCGCTGCGAGCTGCGAAAGCGGAGGCACGCTCGTCTTCGTCTGCCGAATCGTAGAGGCCACCCTCGTCTGCGTCGTCTGCGAAATCAGAGTTGTCGATGTCGGAAGAGTTGTAGCCTTCCTCTGATTCCTCCTCTGCTTGACTGTCCTGAAGCTCTATCGACTCGTCATCTGCCTCATCCTCTTTCTCTGCTCCATCGTCATCGCCATTTTGGTTCTCATCGTCGTCATCATCATCACTGGCCTCGACGTCGATCTCGGGGAACTCGTCCTGCTCTTCGTCATCGTCAGAGGCATCGCTTGCCTCCTTCTCCTCCTCATCAGACTCCAAATGTAGCCCTCCTGCATATTCGGCAAGCTCGAGCGCCTTCGCCTGAGACTTGCCCTTGGCTGTGGTTGGCTTTGTTGTTGAAGGTGTGGTGCTGGTTGTGGTGGCCGTAGGGAGGTTGCGTTTCCTCTTTGCGTTGCCGCTACGTGCGGCCGAAGCCGATGTGGAAGCGGTGGAACGCGCCATGCCGTTGTAGCGCTGCCCTAGCTTTGTGCGGTAAGCTCGTCGTGGCGAAGCAACAGGAGCGATAAGAGGAGAGCTAGGCCGTTGTTGGTTGGTGAGAAGAAGCTTCGTTAGAGCACAAAGCTGTCTGACGGCTTGGATGGAGTAAGAGTTGGGTTTCAAGGGTTCAGATTTTCGAGAAGAAAGCAACTTTTTTGAAATTTTTGCAGAGCGCTTTCTTGAAGCAAAATTGTGTGGAGTGACAGCTTCGTCTTTTTCGGCCGGATGGAAGAAGCATCGCGTCGCGTGAGAGATCAAAAAAGCGCTGTTCGAGCCATCTCGCAGAAGCAAACCCTTGAAGAGCTTCCATCATCTCAACTAATTATCCTGCATCCACCACCAGTCATTCAGCTCAAGCAGCTCTCCAACACGCAGAACATTTCACGACTATCGACTGTCCTTACGGCAACCGAACAGCCCCCGATTCCAATCTGATCAGCACCCTGTCTTCTAGTCAAATTTGACCACCATGCCAGGCGTCTACGGAGGAGACGAGATCAATGCGCTCGTCATCGATGCCGGTCACTCTACCAGCCGTGTAGGTTGGGCAGGTGAGGACGCACCTCGTGTAGTTCTTCCATCCTACTACGGTCACACATCCATCACCGACGAGGACCTTGCCGAACTCGAATCGCAAGCTGCTTTCCTCCAATCCGCATCTTCATCCTCTACTCAACCACCCGCTGATGGTGATGAGACCATGGGCGATGGCGAAAACGGCACTGCATCTAACACATCCAATGGCACCCTTAATGCTCCTACAGAGGAAGGCTCTGACAACCGTCTCAAGCAAGCACGTGCAAAATCTGCTTCCAAGACACTCCGCTTCGCCGTCGACCACGAAAAGAAACGACGTCGCTACGTCGGCGACAACGACCTTAACCTGTTCCGACGCAACTTTGACATCTCTCCCATCTTTGACGACGATGGTATCCTCGCCGACAATGCAGCTTTTGCTCAACTCTGCTCTTTCGGTCTCGACTCGCTGTCTTGCGATGCAAGGGAGCATCCGCTGTTATTGACCGAACCAGCGTGGAATGCTCGCGAATCGCGCGAAAAGCTCACCGAATTGGCATTCGAAACTCTCGGAAGCCCTGCTTTCTACCTTGCCAACCGATCAGTCTTGAGCTCTTTTGCAGCGGGCAAGCCTTCGAGCTTGGTCATTGATGTAGGCAGCACAAGTGCTTCCACCATCCCCATCGTCGATGGCTTCATCCTACGCAAGGGTATTCAAAGGCACAACAACGGTGGAGACGCCATCAACCGCGCTCTCCTTTACAGCTTGCACCACTCAAGAGGAACAAACTTTGGAGGCGTAACACCGCAGTACTTGATCAAGAGTCGGAATGCCGTTGACCCAGGAGCAGCAGCGAATGCAGTTTTGAGGCAAGATAGGTTGGAATATGTCGCTTCCTCATACAAGAACTACCACGTTAACCGCGTAGTCAACGACTTTAAGGAAAGTGTAGCACAAGTATTGGAAGTGCCTTGGGACGAACAACAGGCACAGTTCAGGAGCGGAAGGATGTACGAGTTCCCCGATGGATACAATGACGCTTTTGGTATCGAGCGACTCAAGGCTCCCGAGGTTCTCTTCACACCTTCGCTTTGGAACGGTGTTTCATCAACAGAAAGCTTCGGTCCTGTCCTTCACCCCTCTTCAACCCCTTCCAACGATACTTCTACCAACGGCAACGATGGAGTCACTGTTCCAGTCGCAGGCGGAAAAGCATCCGTTGGGCTGGCAGACATGGTTCTTTCCTCGATCAATGCCGTCGATGTCGACTCCCGCCCCTCGCTGTTCGGCAACATCGTTCTCGTTGGCGGCTCTTCGCTTATCCCAGGCCTTACCGATCGCCTCAGCTACGAGTTGGGCGTCAAAGCTCCCAATCAAAAAGTCAAAATTCACTCGCCAGGAAACACCACCGAACGTCGACACTCTTCTTGGCTCGGTGGAAGCATCCTTGCTAGCTTGGGTACTTTCCATCAGCTTTGGATCTCCAAGCAGGAATACGAGGAGCACGGTGCTGCAATTGTTCACGCCAGGTGCAAGTGATCCCACGCCTCCGAAGGTAAATCTTGAGAGCGAACCCTGACCGAGACTCGGCAACCTGCCCCTTTTTCCTTGTCTTGTGCCACAACCGCTTGCCAATTTTTTTGTTTTTGTTTTGTTTTCTGCGACCTGCTTATCGATGCATAGAGGTTCGTCCGCAGATCTTCCTACAAGTTTTTCTGTGACAGTTCCATCAGCGACAACCAGAACCGACCGCGTCAGATACAATTCGAGCTCGATCTAATTGACCGACGGACGCCGATCCGCAGCCTTGCCTCGTGGAACATCGCCGTTCAACACACACAACGGCGACTTGTTTGCAATGTTCATTCGGTCTTGACTTGCTTCTCAAAGCTCACGCTGCAAACGCAAGTGATTGCCCGTCGGTCGTTACAGAGAGGTGAGAGATTTCTATTGTGCAGCCTTGCACAAATCTCTCCCTTTCACCCTCACGAACCTCATAAATCTCACGTGGTGAAGCCTTGACATGAATGCAGGAAAGCAATGATACTATTGCTACAAATGTTGAATACTTCAGAAGCTAGTGTAGGCCGTTCGCTTTGACTAAAAGGCAGGACGTCTCCCTCGCGGGAAAATGACATTGTCCACCTTGCCTACCTTGTCCACCTCCTCCACTTCCTCCACCTCCTCCACCTCGGCCAGAACATACGTCGTCCCATGGCCAGCCCAGATATTCACTGGATGGTGCCGAGCGCCACGACGAATGCATTTCTGCTTTGGCGCAAGTAGAAGCATAGGTTCATCATGTACCGGGCGCGATTCTTTGATACCCTGTGCCAGATTGCCATGCTCGTTCCATCCCCACCCCCATACCTGCTTCTCGCCCTTCTCCGCTTTTACTTCGGATGAGTCCCAGTGCCATTTACCCAAGATGAGTGAATGTTCGCTCCCTGACACCAACTTTTCCACCTTGGAGAAAGCTGTAGTTAAGTAAAAGTCGCCTCCGTTCGTGGCGGCAGGCACCAGCGCTTTCTCGCTCGAAGTCGATTGCCTCGAGGCATTGCCGATCTGACCCTGATCATTGCTACCGCAACTGAGGATCAGTGGGCGTGTGCGAGCGTCTCCTTTCTGCCTCGACACGAGAAAGTGCGTTGTGGTCCAGTTGCAAGTGACATCGGCGATATGGTCGGGTGTGACTCCATACTTGAGCAACGCGGCGGAAGCGTCGTCGTCGCCGGTGCCAGCGCATTGCCCATGCTTGTTCGATCCAATACAGCGTAAGATTGAGGTCTTGCCGTCGACGTCTCCTTGAACGAGCACCACAGTATGCTCTTTACCGGCGCGCACCTTGCATCGGATCGAGGCAGGATCTGGTGTCTTCCAATCCCAGATGAGCCGAGGTTTCAAAACCACCGCCGGAGCCGGTCCTGGTCTTTTGAATGTTGCCGAAGGTGGTGGAGCCACTTCTGGCACTTTGCCGATCTGACCATGGCGTGCAGAGCCCCACCCAGCGATTATCACTCGTCCTTCCGTGCCGGTTCTGACGAGAAGCCCCACCACGGCATGTCGAAGCCCCGCTGCAATGTCCAAGATCTCGACTTGTGCGTTGGCATCTAGCCCTGCTTCGGTCAAGACACCAGCGAAGGAGATCAGATGCTTACATGGATCACCGCCTTCTCTCGGTTCTGCACTGCTCGCTTCGGGCGGTGGGCATCCCAGCTCCCCAAAAGTGTTGTCTCGATGGAAGCCAAGCGAGACGAGTACATCATTCGCTGGCAGCTCTGACGGATCGTTTTCGTCCTTCTCCGTAAAAACAATGTAACTGCAATACCAACCACAGGCGACCTTTTTGTACGCGGCATGTTCCTCTTTAAATGGCAGTCTGGCGGGGTCAGGAACAAGCTTGTCGATAATACTAAATTCAGTTGGAACGATCTCAGACCAAGAAGGACAGTTGGGGCCGAGCTGGCCTTCTATTCCGGTTCCAGCAGCATAGATCAGCTTGCGGCACAGAGGGTGATTTCTATACCTGACCCTGGGATGTTTATTCTGGGCAGAATTGAGCTCGATCAGGGCAAGCGTATGTTTCGCGCCGCAGGCAATCTCGACAACCGTGTAGTACTCTGGCGGGAATTCTTGTCCCTCGAAGATACTAGCGACCTTTAATAAGTGCTCCAGGTCGAAGCCGTGATGACCTAGCTGGCGGGACGAGTTGTTGCCGGCGACTAGCAGTTCGAGCGGCATGATGGCGACAGTCTTGATATTTCTCCCTTGCGAGAGCTGAGCTCCTGGACCTTCCGATGCGTTGGAGAGTGATGGGAGTGATGTGAGAGTGGCTACTAAACTTTTCGCGTTTTTTAAAAACGCGGGTATTTCGAAGGGCGCGTTTTTCAAAAGATAGCAAAAGCTTACATAAGCTGCGCCAAGTGATAAAAACGCGGTCAAAAGGCGCGTTTGTGAAAACGCGGAAGGGAGTTTACTCCACAACATTGAAAATATGTGAGCTTTAGTTCGATCTCACACCTTGCCACCTTCGCTCACTCGGATCCGTAGCATGTTGTCGAGGCCTGTGCTGCGTATCAGCTTGCGTCAGGCTCGATCATCGCGCTAGACATCAGCTTACCGGCTAACCGATACCCGAGGAGGAGAAGATAGATGTCCCCCTCATGTTTCTTATGCTTACTGTTAGGTTACGTTTCTTATCGGCCGTATGAGTTTTTCGCGTTTTTGGAAACTTGCGTTTGCTTGGGGGAGGCGTTCAAATTTCCTCCAAAAACGCGCCCTTCGAAAAACCCGTGTTCTTAGAAATGGAAAAAAAAAAGCTTGATATCCCCTTTGGTTCGCTATGCAAATGAAGATGATTTTAACAGGTTGCCCGATCTGAATTCACGTTCATTGTAGTCTGGTGCATCCCCGCGCTGCTGCTCTTTAGTCGAATCTGTCTCTGTCTGTGTCGTAAGAAATGGTATTTTTTGTTTCACAATGACATGCTGTTCGGAAGTCCAACAAGGGAATCTATCCATCTAAGCTACAAGAGTGAGAAAGCGAGAATGTAAATTACCAGATGGTAAAACCACCGTCGGGGCGAATAACGCTACCAGTCAAGTACGAAGCCTTGTCCGAAAGCAGGAGAACGGCGGGGTCAGCCTGCTCGTGAGGCTCCGAGAAGCGGCCCATGGGGATACTGGAAGCCTGGAAGTCGCGGATCTTGGCGTCCATTCCACTGGTCTGCTCGGTGTTGCAGAAACCGGGCTCGAGAATGTTGACACGGATACCGTGCTGGGCCCACTCGGCAGCGAGACACTTGCCAAGGTTGGTGACAGCACCCTTGGACGAGTTGTAGAAAACCTGGGTCAAAGGCTTGTTAAGACCCTCCTGGTTGTAAATCTCGGAAGACATGGAAGAGGTGATGACGATGGAACCCTTCTTGAAGCCAGACTCGATCCAGAGCTGAGCGACAGCCTTGGCAGAGTTGAAAACACCGAGGACGTTGGTGTCGTAAACGTAACGGAAGTCATCGGAGGTGAGTTCGACAGCGGGCTTGACGACCGAAACACCGGCGTTGGCGAGGAGACCAGTAACCTGTCCGAGTTCGTCCTGAGCCTGCTTGAGCGTCTTCTTGACGAGCTCGGCGTCACCGACATCGCACTGATAAGCCCTGCACTGAACACCGAACTCCTTGGCAACCTCGGCGGCAGCCTCCTGAGCCTTGGGATGGGATCGGTAGAAGATGGCGACGTTGGCACCGGCGTTGGCAACAGCCTTGGACATGGCGAGACCTGCGAGCGATTCGTAAGAGGAAAGATGGAAGTCATTGTGGTCAATGTTCGATGCTCTGGCGGTGAGGATTGCGTTTATAGTGTTCTGCTGCTGCCCTCATGGTTGGCGCTCTTTCAGTCGTCTGATTACTCGACGTCCTTGGCTTTCTTCCGAAGCCTTCCTTCGAGCTTTGCGCAGAGTCACAGGCCCGCCAACCCAAAGGTTGCTCCAAACCAAGCTCGATTCGTGAGCTTATTGATCAGAAGGCCCTTCCTTCGATCCGGAGGCAACAGAAGTCAAAACAACACAGAGAGCGTCCAGGAGGAGGAGGAGGAGGAGGAGGAGCAGCAGCAGCAGAAGCAGAAGCATGTACAATGATGCTGCGAGTACTTACCAATACCACGATTACCGCCGGTAACGACGATGGTCTGTCCCTTGAGGTCGATGACAAAAGGCATTTTGTGTAGGTGTTAGAGGGTGTGGAGGAGTGATGATCTGGAGTAGCTGTTGATGGTGAAGAGAGAGAGCAAGCAGATGAGCGAAGATGCAAAGCAGAAGCAGGGATGCTTTTATTTGAGTTTGGGCGATGGTAGAATCTCAGACTCTTAGGGCGCAATACAGGGCTCAAGGGATCGAAAACAGAAGCTAGAACAACCGAGAGAAGAGAGGGCACAATGCGAGAGGCAAGGGGCGGGGGGAACAACGTTGAACTCAGCTGAGAATCGGAAGTTGCGAATCCACTGATTCAAGTTGGTCTGAGCGCTCACTATGGCAATGGTGAAAGCAGCTTTTGTGACAGTAGAAAGGCTAGAAAGCAAGGGAGACAAGAGCCGTCACACACTTGAGCTACCTTGCTCACAAAAAAGGCTGAGTGAGGCGGGCAACCTTGATCCGATCCTCATCTCTGCTTAACCTTCTCTCTCCAGCTCATCCAGCCTGCAAGAATGCACTCAAGTTTCGTGACACAGGCGAAGAGAAGCATCTAGCATGGTTCGAGCAGCACCAAAAGGACTTGCTGTATTGGCTTGGCCTCGATTCTTCGGCCAAGAGAATAGATGAGCTTGTCTGTGGGGGAGCATCAAGAAGACATGTTTAGAGGCGCGGGTGGAGGACATGCCTGTGATGGCAGACAGCGCATGTGCATAATGACGCACCGCGCAGCAAAGAAAACCCACGAGATTCGCAGCCACAGAAGATTTGCTCTCCGATCGACACCACACAGCATCTTCAGACTTGCCCTTCTCTTTGTCGCTGTTGATGACTGAGAGAAGGCGCGACGTCTAAATTGTGGCCCGTTCGCGAGACACCTCCCTGGCTACGATCGGGTAAACGCATCTTTTTCTCTTACTGGCCTGGAAGTCCCGTTGCCTTCCCTGCAAAGCACACACGCTCAGGCTCCATCGGCTTGGAGCTCCATCATCGGGATGCTGACATGGCCTATCGGCGATGGCACATATGGTCAGGCATTGCACAGAACTTTGATTTCGTCAGCATTACCCGCCTCTTGACGACCGTGACGCTGATGGTATACATGTCATCAAATCAATAAGCACATCGAAGCTTCTCAGTGCCTCAGATCATATCGACGTCCCGTCCCCTCGGCCTGTCCCTTGTCTCGGCAGCTCGATCGTCCGGGCAGCGTGGCAAGGTTCAGATCTGGTTATGTGCTTGGTTCGCCCCCGAGTGTGATGGCGTAAGCCATCTTCAGAAGAGTTGCCAAACAGTCGAATGCCAAGCCCTAGCGAGACAAAGTAAAATTGATAGCCGCTGTTTACGAGCAAAGGGCGGCAGACCAGTCGTCCGGCATTCTGGACATCCTAAGCGAGCGCTGTGCGCCTTCTTGCCGTTTCTTCGCAGTCAGACAGAGTCTTGTTTGATAATGCACGAGCTTGTTTGCTGCTGCATGGCAGTGTTGCGCCCTCCTGCAATTGGGTGTGACAATTTTAGATGATGGCCGCTCAGTGAGAACCCTTGCTGTTCTCAACTGTAGCCGACCTCCAACCCAAGAGCCTTGGCGTGCTCATCGCTCCCCTTCCCACTTGTCACCCGTCATAGCAAACGGGGAGTTGAGAAACCCCAAGCTCCGTTTCACTTTACAACGATCATTGCTCATCGCTTTCACCTTACCACCACGTCCCCCGCACCACACACCGCTCCTTAACTCGGAAGCTCACTATCCATCACCACACAAGATTGATTTGCGTCCGACTGGCTCCGAACTCCACTTAAAGATCTAATCTTGCAACGTCGAATGTATACTGGCTACCTTGTCTCATCTTTCCACCCTAGCCTCACTTTCGATATCGCCTATACCCAGCACTGACGGGCATCGAACGACACCCTCACACGATACATCAGCAACAACACACTTTCGACGCCTAATCATAGTTGAGTCGTCAAAGTCGGCTCATCATTGCATCTTCTACACATCTCGCCAACGTCATACCTTTGCAGCCATGGGATACCAAGCATCAGACACAAGCTCAACTGAAGAGCCCCTTGTTCTCGCACCTCAGAAGAAGCCCCTCTACCGTCGTGGAGGTTTCTGGTGTATTGTCATCTTCCTCTGCGTCCTAGCAGCTCTCATCCCACCACTTGTCGTCTTCCGCGACCGTCTTGGAACGAAACCATATTCTCCCTTCTCCGACCCACCCTTCTGGAACGGCACTGGGCCCAACGACAACCCGTTCGGCACATGCTTCACTATCCAAGCCACCGCCTTCCAACCCAACTGGAAAGAGCAACAAACAACAACATGGTGTGGAGCACAATTCAATCGCACCAGCCCCATCTTTGCTTTGCCACTTATCAACATGTCTCGTGCAGTAGGGTCTGACGAACCAGTGACACACGATGTCAACAGGACCCTTTGGGAGAGCATGACGAGGAATTGGTGTGGTGCAGAGGCAATGATCAGGGGACCAGATGGAAGAGAATACAGAGCAACCTATGGTGATGCCAATACCTGGACCACTGTTGATTTGAATATAGGTCTATTTGAGACGGTCAAAGGCGTGCCTATTGGGACCTACGCCAATCCGGATGAGGCTAGATGGATGGATAACGTCAGAGTCTGCTTTACTGGTAACAGGACTGATGTGTTCAATGGCTATCCTTACTCGTATCCTTAGTACGCCACTTTCGAATCGCTCTAGCATAGTATTTAGCATCATGCATCTCCCGCTTGTTTCATAGATATTGTGACGCTGTATTATAGATGGTCCTCCCGATGATGCAAAAACATGTTGATAGAGATAAATGCTGCGTGGTTGAGGCAAACAAGTGCTTTATTCGAGACCGTACCTCTGCAAGCGATGGAGAAGAACATGTCAAAAGATACGTGGTCAGTGTGTGCTGAGGAGACAATTGCATGGGTGCTATGCAGAATCTCAGACTTACCTTGATATGCAACACATCAGTAGGCAACATAGATGGAGGGTTCAGCACCTTCCACATTGGGTTGAGCAACTCTCCGCTCAACTGAGCCATCTCCAACTTGTAGCTTGAAACGCCATAGTGCGAGTCGATGCTGACCGCGGGAGGGTCGTACAAGTAGACCTGATTGTAACTGGCCACGGGTGCTGCTGTGTTGTTGCTGGTTGCTGAGGAGGTAGCGTCGCAGCCAATCCATTGAGTTTGAAAGCCATCGCCCCAGAAAGGATCCATGCGAAGAGTGCCGTTGATGGGGTTGAAGGAGTAGTTGCCGTGCTGCCAAAGGAGGGTGGCTGATACGCATTCGGGCAAGGTTGCTGTTGATGTCGATCAAGTGTAAGATGTTACGATTTGGTTGAGTATACATGCTAGATAGTCAGACCAGCGTTTGAGGGATGAAACTTACGATCATTGGACCACTGGAACATGGCTTCTTCCCAGAAACCATCTTTTGTGAAGCTGAAAGAGCGGCCCGCTGTTGGTGGGACTGTGAATTGCTGTGTGCGGGGATTCCAGAAGCCCTGTTGATTCAGAAGTCATTGGATATGTCAATAGGATATCTTGATCACATGAAAGGGATTGTGATGAGACTTACAGGACCAGTGCGGACGGCACCGCTACCAGTGGACCATGTTCCCTGGAGGTCGTTGATTAAGTCAGCGAATTGACCGGAGGACTGTGCTGCTGCCAAGCCAACAAGCGTGACGAAGAGTGCTATCGTGTACAACATGCTAGCTTCTGGTCGAGATGGGCGAGATGGTGATGGTGATGAAAATAGAGGCAAGGTGTTGACCTACGAGCCGGAGCGAACTTCTTCCGAGCAAGTGAGTGGAGCAACACTCACGCTGACAGAAAGGGCTCACAAAGTCGGGAACCGTATCGCAGAAGTGTTACACTCGCAATCAGACAGACATCCTTTGGGTGACTCCCTGTTGCTGTGCGCTGATTGAGACTGGCTTCTTCGGTGACTTAGGCCGCGGAAGAAGATGCGAGGGCTGATCGCTGCACTTATAGGGAGCGTGTGAGGCAGCTGTGCCTTCTCGAACCTCAGCCACATTGAACGCATGAATGCAAACTTGGCAGTTGGAGCACAGCACAGTGTGATGGCCAACGATATGCCTTGGCAGCTCTTCAGCCACTGAAATCTTTGGTCCCGCTAGCTTGCTTGCTTGCTTCAGCTGTGATTGTGTGCATACCACCGGTCATCCCACGCACATCTTCTCATCGAGGGCAGAGCAGTGTTTTTGGAATCCGCTCCGTGTTCTGTCCAAAGCAAAACTGATCTTAGTGTCGATTCCGAGCCCGAGCCCGAGCCCGAGCCCGAGCCCGAGACGGCAAAGGAAGGGACGAACCAAGTGGCTCGCCAAAGTTTTCCGTACCTGCAGTAAAGAAGGGTAGGACAAAACTTTACCGCTGGCAGAGCAGTAAAGCCGAGCATGTTGGGTATCGAGTGTTGTTTTGGATTTTGAAGCGCCGATCGTTTTTCTTTTGTCTTTCTTCGCTTACGTTCTTGGCATGCAGAAGCTCGCATGTCCAATACGGCAGCTGGCAAACACTTGTTAACGTCGACAAAACAGTGCACACGCCCGAATGCATGCTCAACCAATCATTCATTCACTGATACCCTTCGCTTCTGCTCGGCTACGGCAATCCGAAGTTCTGCACTTGTGCAAGCCCCTCAATACAGCTTTGTGGCTGCACAACAACGATAGCAAGAGAGGGAATCTGCCAAGAAGTCCGCAACCGGTGGTCTCAGCTCACCACACCGCGGCGCGGTACGGTCACCGAAGACATGCCCGGCTCGCCGTTTGCTTTCCCTGCGGCTGGGTTTTTATACACAGCGATGCAGATTCGCCAGCATGAAGCAATCGATCGTTTCAAGTCACTTGCCCCTTTCAGATATACACAGTCAATCAATCAATCAATCAATCACCAGCAGCACTGTGTTCTGTCGCTCAATTCTTGAGCTTTGGAGAGAGAGGCGTGGGTGCGACTTTTGTGATTGCGAGTGTAGCACCGATGAACCTTCTTGAAGTGTGACAGCACGACCTCCTTCCGATACCTCCAAGTCCGAGTCCAACACTTTCTGTCCCTCTTCCTTCCTTCTCTCCATCCATCATTACTGCCCACCCCGTCCTCCTCGAGAAGCTTGGTCTTGACGATGCCCAAGCCCACACGATCAACAGATAGCGCAGTCTACCAATCTCTCCCCACCCCTTCATCACAACCCCAACCACAATCCAGAGGTTCCAGCATCATGGATCCTCGCAGCGGCGACGCAGACCGATCAGCGTTGCTCAGCCCTGCCTCTGACACCGATTCCAACGTTGGAAGCTACTCTCGACCTTTCCGTCAGCCATCACCCAACGTCTCACACTCCAACATCGTTCAGCCTGGCAAAGGCACGAGCACCATGCATTCATACTCTACCGCTTCGCAATCCACCAACAGTAATGGTGGGCCAGCACCTCGCTTTATGGGTTCCGTTAGAGGAACCTCTGCATCCGATATCAGCGTTCATTCGTCCTCACAATTCAGTTCTGCAAGCAGTGGCGAGAAGGCTGCCTTTGCTCGACGTGCTGCCATGATCGGGCCTGCAGACTACGAACCAGAAGAAGATGACTGGCTTCACGAACCCGGATCCAAGCACAACAACCGCAGTCAGCAAGCAGCAAACTCAGCAGCATCCATGCGGGGTATCTTGAACGTCGGCACCTTGCTCCTCATCCTTGCTTGTCTCCTCATGCTTTTCTTGGGATACCCTGTCATCATCGAGATCCGCAAACAGCACGCCGATGGCACAGCCTCCACATCTCTCTCTACCACTAACACGTACACCACCTTCCCCATGGAGATGAAGCGTGGTCTTATCGACCAGCAAACCCCTGCCGCTGCCTACAACCGCGCTTCCCCCGTCGACGACTCCAAATGGCACCTTGTCTTCTCTGATGAATTCAACATCCCCGGTCGTACCTTCTGGCCTGGCGAGGACCCCTACTGGCAAGGTTTCAACGGCTGGTACTCCGGTACAAACGATTACGAATACTACACCCCTGAAGCCATCAATACCACCGACGACGGTTACCTCCAAATCAGCTTTGAAGAGCGTCTCACACACAACCTCAACTTCCGTTCCGGTATGCTTCAGAGCTGGAACAAGGCTTGCTTTACGGGAGGATACATGGAAATCCGAGCACAGCTTCCAGGTAGTTCTCATGTTGCTGGTTACTGGCCTGGTCTTTGGTTGATGGGTAACCTCGGTCGACCGGGTTACAACGGTGCAAACGAAGGTATCTGGCCTTACTCGTACGCTGGATGCGATACCGGCTCACTTCCTAACCAGACATGGGTCAATGGTACTGGTCCCGCTCACGCTACCTACGCAAACGGTGCGTTCAGTTATCAAGTCAACCATAAGCTGTCCTACCTTCCTGGTCTTCGTTTCCCAGCCTGCACTTGCCCCGGTGAGGACCACCCTGGCCCGAACAACAACGTCGCTCGTAGCAGTCCGGAGCTGGACATGCTCGAAGCAACTATTGGCGGTACAGGTGGTATGAGTTCGCAGTCTTTGCAGGTCGCACCTTTTGACATCGACTATTTCTACAACAACCGATCGGGAACCGACTACATCATTCACGATGCAGACACAACCGAGATCAACACTTACCACGGAAACGAGCTTCAAGAGTCCGTCTCGGCGCTTTCGCAGATTCCTAGCCGTGGCTACCAGAGATCACCCAATGCTGACTTTGTTAACTTTGCTGTCGAGTGGGAACCGGATATGACCGGAAATGGGTTGGGAATCAACGGTGAACCAGCGTACATCACATGGTACATAGACGATAAGCCCACCTGGACGTTACATGCCAGCGCTCTCACTGGCGTACCAGAGCTCGACATCTCGAGGCGATTGATTCCAAGAGAACCAATGTCGATCATCCTCAATGTGGGAATGGCTTATAACTTCCAGCCCCCTATGTGGAGCGATCTCGAGTTCCCCGGAACAATGAAGGTCGACTATGTTCGCATGTACCAGCGAGACGGACGACCCGACAGAGTCAGTTGCTCGCCTAAAGAATTCCCCACCCGCGAGTATATCGAGAGACATGCTGATGTCTACCAGAACAACAACATCTCCAGGTTTCCTAAGGATCGTATACCGAAGAATAGGATGACTCACCCAGGTTGCTAGATAGCCCAGCATACACCCGCCAGCATAGTCACATCTTACGCCGAGGCAGCCGATCGCATACATATGTGAATATCAAACAACATCGGGACAATTCTTCCTCCCAGCGACACTATGGAAACATGGTCGTTGTTGGTCTCTACATTGCATGGTGTGGCCTAAGACGACCATTGCAGTGACGAAGCATGATTCCGTGAGAGTACATGAGCGCTGATCATCCTCCGTTGGAAAGCGGAGAGCACCAAATCGACCGGCAACGGAAACGTTTTTGTCCCGAAGCCGGAGACAGTCAGGACGGGCGACGTCGATGACGTTAACAGCGGTTTTGAAGGACGGGAAGCAAAACCGGCCCGAAAGACGAACGACGAGCGTCTCTCCTTTGCGAGACGGAAAAATAGCGACGAAGCGACGAGGCTTGTTCGAAGCCTCCGGCTTTTGCATTGGACTGGGCAGGGTCCAAGCAGACAAACTTTTGGCCATCTCAAATGACGCGTGTTGACAAATCGCGATCGGGCTTCGAAGATGAATGTTCTCATGAAGGCTTTGACCCGAACTCGAAGACGACCATTGCTAAGGCGTCGAGCTAAGGTTCCAAGACGTCACCGGACTGAGGTCGGTATGAGAAGTCCAACGGCACAAATTGCGCTGTGAACTGGACGAAAGGAGAATGACAATCTCATTGCGTAGGAAATGTCTATGGTCCCACGACTAGACAACATGCAGAGGCGACACGAAGTGAGAATTCTTGCAAGACAGTGTACAAATTATGTATCTATACAAGCTTACGAAACGGCGGGCTTGGACCGGTGCCGTTGTAGATAATCCCCTGAACATTAGGGTTCTTTGTCGGCTCAGGATATCCAATCGCTTGCTTGATCAACTGTTCCTTATCCTTGGGCCTATTCGGGTATGCATCGATGAGACCTTCCCACCAGACCACATTCTTGAACTCTACTTGCATTTCCTCCCCTCCGTTTCCTCCCATAGAGCCATGTGGCACCTGGTAAACTAACCCAATTCTGTTCGAGTCTTCATACCAATAATAGGCCCTGGTAGTCAACACAAATACATCATTGATGTAAACTTCCACTGCGCTACCGTCGACAAAGACCCTCATTTTGAGTTCCTCCACTGTGCCGTTAGCAAACTGCCACAAGCGAAGTTTGCCAATCTCAGGGGTAGTAAGAACTGACTGAGGACCAAGAGCAGTGCGGCGTTGGACAATGACTGATTCGTTGGCCGGGCGGTAGACTGTAGCGATATCCTCATTGTCTGAGGTGGATGTGATGTTGGAACGACGCAGAATGGAGATACCAGCAGCAAAGTCGAACGAGGTGTTGCGGAGTGAGGATGAGCGGAAGGATAGGGTTGCTGAGAGTTCGTAGTGGTTGGAAGAAGGATGACGAGGGAGAGGAACGAAGAGTTCATCTACAAGAGTGTCATTGCTGCCTGAACGAATGCCCTTTCGCACCTCGACTTCCATACTAGAGGAGAAGTTGGCAGGGGAGAGCACAGTGGTAAATATGTGGGAGTATGAGTCGTTTGCCTTGCACCTGAACTCTGCTAATTCTCGAGCAGGGGTGATACCAAGCATGACCAGATCAACCGTGTCGTGCTTGCTAGCATTCGAAGCTTTGAACTGTTCCACTGGGATCGTTTGAATCTTCTTTCCGCAGGAAGAGGTGCTGTCGAGGATAGCCCAAGAAGCGTTCTGCAGCACCAATTCATTGTTGATCACCTCAGTGATCTCTTTGACATAGACCTCTCTCGGTAGGGTAAGGGAAGAGATCCACTGGGTGACGAACTTTGTCTGATCCTGACTTGCGAACGCTTCTTTGATCCAGCAATACACGATCCTTCTTTTGGTTTCCTCATCCCTCAGACCAGTACAGGCATAGGCTAGACCCCAGTCTAGGAGCCCTTCTAGTGCGGTGTCCATCTCTACACCTGTCTCCGACCCAGAAACGCCTGGAGCAAGGGTAGCGTTGGGCATAGGGGATGTATTGATACCTTCGCTTGCTCGCCAGTGTCCCAACCGGTACAGCATGAGAGTTTTGTTACTCTCCGCGCCGAAAGACATGAAAGCCAACCCATTGCCCTCCAGTCCAGCATCACCATTGTAGTCAAGATTGGTAACTTGGGAAGTTTCGTAATTGTTCCCATCGCTATAATCCGTGCTCGCCCAGCCGGAACCAGGAGTAGTGAAGGTGGTGTTGATAGCCGACTGCAGGAGGGGACCGCAGAATGTCCAGTTCAGCCAGTTTCCTGGTATGGTCTGACGGTAGAGCCATACTCTTGGACCCGCAGCGTTGAACTCCACCCCCGGCAGGCCAGGCTGGGCGGGGTGTAAACCTGAAGACATTGAGACGTAGTGCATTGGCTCTCCATCCTTAGGAGTGACATTGAGAATTCCATCGAATTGGGCGTTCTTGAAGATGAACGGGTCTCTGAACCCTGTAACCACTGATCCATTGTACGGAGGCCTTGGAATAACAGGAACGTTGGCACCACCATCAAGCTTCTTCCACGTAACACCACTGTCTTCGGAGTATGCTAGCGCTTGCGATTCGTATCCGTCTTTGTACGGAATCGTCCAGCTAATGGGTAATCCTTTGACTGCAGTCCAGATCAAGGTGGGTAAGCCTTTGTAGCCTTTCGCGACTACACCACCGTCAAAGTCTGCGATATAGTCTACTTCGTCACCTGGGCCCATCTGGACTGGGTTCTGCCAGCCAGAAAGGTCTTCATACCGAAGGAAATCTTTCGTGGTGGAGCCGGAGAAACTGTATGTGGAGAGTGAGGAGTTGCCTGTTCCTCGGAGGTAAGAGTAAAGAGCTGTGATGTGGGAAGTGCCGTCGGGGGCCTGCCAGAAGGCTGTAGGATCGCCCAGCTGGTTGGACGGGTGAATGAAGTGCGCTTTTGGTCGCCATTGGTAGAAGAGCGAACCGTTGGGGTAGAGGGAGATGTTCGTGATTGGGGGTTGGCTGAAGTCTGGGCTGCCTGGGAATATGGTGTTGGATTCGTCCGCAAAGAGGGCCTGGTGAGAGAAGGGTGATACAGAGACCATAAGGGCTAGGATTAGCACGCCCAAGGGCAATGCTGCGTTGGTGGATCGCATGGCTGCTAGGACGCTGCGACAATGTAGAATGGTTGACAATTACGACGATGAGGAGGGAAACAAAGTGACTATCTCACATATATATGGATCAGCGGACCTCACTCTTGCCAGAGAGTGCCTATGCTCTACCACGAGGCAAGGAGCGGACGGCAGTTTCGGAAAGCAAGTCCAGATCGGAGCGAGGTCGGAAGGGGACCTTCCCAATCCATAAATGGACAACCTCGTTCTAGGGCTAGGTTTGTGCTAAGCGATCCATGCCCAAGGCACAAGGAGACGCCGAGCAAACAAGAACAAGGAACATCGGCCCGCCGGCCGGCGAACCTTCATTCTAGACTTCAGAATGGAGGGTGTCACCATGCAGATCGCGACAACGAACGGATTTTTGAACTCTGTTGTGTCGATGCTTCCCTCCACGACATCCTTCATAGCCATTCTCGCAGCATTTGTATCGTCATGTGACACGGACACAGACTTAAGATCACAAGGTAATTAATGCTAAGCAGGTCAAGAGGTAGTCCAAGCCCGCTCCGTCCCTCGATGAGCAAAGAGGGGTAATACGGAGAAAAAGACGGGTCGAGAGGGTTCGCTTGTTCGGAGTTGCTTCGGTGGCTTATTATTGTCCAGGGGCTAAGCGAAGGCTAAAGTTTTGCGGGTTTGAGATTAGATCGTTCTCAGCAACACGAGATGGTTTGGGCTTTCGAGACATGCACGGTGTTCATTAATCCAGCAGCATGCAGAAAGGATGGAGCTTAAGATGGTCGTGAGCACAAATTGTTCAGTGTGGTGCAAGCCGACAATGTACTGAAGGTACACTGAGCGGACGATGACCTTGGATGCGTGCCTCACAGTTGAAAGCTCAGCCGGCGATAAAGTAGTTGAGAATGGGGCAGTGGCCAGCTCCGTTCGGTCAGCGGAGGTCTTGCTCAACATCCGGGCCTTTTGAAGCCAAGTAGTCCGCAATGACTCCGCGACTTCATGGCCGCACGTCAGGAAAGACGATTCGAGGGATGCAAACCCGAACGTCTCGATCCCGTTGCTCGACGGACATCGTTTCCTTTGCTCAAACACAGACCTCACGACAAACCAAGAAGAACAGATGTAATGAAAAACGATTCGAAACCCCGTGAGAAAGAGACCAATGACAAAAGCTACGAGGGTACGGGGAGAAGAGAGAGTGTCCATACGAGACCTCGACCACCGACTCGATGGCCAAGGCCCCGAAGATGGTGTATGCGTTTTCTGAATCGTCTAGGCTTTTCGCAACTTGGCCTCTGCCGCAGCTGACGTTGCCAGATGAAGGCTGTCGAGTCGATTGGACAGAGCCCTGTTCTCGAGGTCGTTGTCTCGACGGCCTCGTGCTGTGGTGTACGCTCCGCTGCCGGCGTTGAAATTGGCGACCTGACTGCCGCTTGTAGACCTGACCCCAGCAGCACCCAGTCGAGGGCTAGCAGCAGCGCTCGTACTGACCGACCTTGACATGCCTGCTCCTCCCAGTTGCTGCATGATGGACGGCTGCGATGAGAAAGCCTCGTATTCTTGTTGAGCGTGAGCCTGAGGGTGGAAAATCCCATGCTGCTGCTCGTCTCTCTCCGCGGCGTGGCGTACAACTCCCTGCAGATCCATGACCTCGCCCTTGTTCTCGTTGAGGATGTCGGCATAGGAGAAGAAGGAGAGACGGCGCTTATCAGCTGATGGAGATGGCGAGCCTGAAGCTAGTGCTTGAAAGAGCGATTCTCCAGTGTTGAAGACACCAAGACCGCTAGTGTTGGTAGGCAATCTGAGAGTACCGGGAGGTGCAGCTCTGTTCGTTCCTGTAGCAATAGCTCCCACGCCGGGATGTTGTTGAGGCTGTCGAATAGCAGAGCCAGCAGCACTGCGACTCCGGTCGACAAAAGGGCTGCTCGCGCCCGAGACTGAAGGTGGGGCAGGGGATCGCGGAACGTAAGGGCTTGCTGCTTGTTCAGCGTCGTGAGCAGCAAGCGCGTCTGCGATGGTATCGAGGCTGTGGTCCAGAGTGGCGACCTCCGTTCCAGAGATGATGGCGCCGTCGATGCTGACGCTCGATGTGGCGGGGCGTCCGGCATCAGCTGTAGCAAGGGATGGGAGAGCCATGGCGGAGAGATTGGGTGAGCTGGATCGATAAGGGTTGGGTAGAGGCAGCGATGGGAAGGCAGTGGCTGTCGGCATGGGAGAGTGAGCGCTCAACGATGCCCCTGATATGGGCGAGGTAGCTTGAGCCTGAGAGACGGCTGCTACGAGGGAGACAGGCGGCATGCCAGGAGCTGGGGAAGCAGAAGCCCGCGAACGGACAGGGCTCCCGCCGTCGGCAAGGTCTTGCATTCTGCCTGCCTGAGGTGAGCGTGAACGCATCGAGGCACCTGCACTGTCGACATCAGAGCCGGGATGACGTGGACCGCCGGTCGAGCGTCGTGAAGGGTTGGCGGCATCGTCGTTGCCACGCGATCCGAGCTTCTCAGCAATCTGAGCAGCCATGGAGCCAGGAGGTGCTTCGAGACCGCCGGAAGCAGACAGGGGAGGCGAAGGCGAAGAGGCAAGACCAGGCGAGGGTGAGCTGGCACCGCTGTGAACAGAGAGAGCAGCAGATGTGAGTGGCAAAGGCGGGGCTGGATTTTGAGGAGCGACCACTTCAATCTCGGCGTCGTCCTCAATGATGGCCTCGACTGCATCATCGAGTACATTTGGAATAGCAACATCCATCGCCTCCTGCTTGGTCATGATGTGGCTGGCATCGCGGTGCTCGATGTCACGTTCAAAGATGCTGGGGGTTTGAGGTGTATGGGGTGTATGGGGTGTATGAGGAGTGTTGGGAGCATGGAGTTCAGAGTGATGCTGGTGCCATGCGCTAGGTGGAGAAGTGCCAGCAAGAGCGAGGGGAGAGGCAGCACCATGCTGTCGAGTCCGAACAGGCGAACGGAAGCCGCTGCCGCTGGGAATAGCGTCAGAAGAGCCAGCGAACTGGTGCTGTTGGTTCTGTTGGTTCTGTTGGTGCTGTTGGTGCTGTTGGTGCTGTTGGTGCTGTTGGTGCTGTTGGTGCTGTTGGTGGAGGCTATGTACCAGATGTGATGGGTGGACTCCTTGAGACATGGGATTACCGCGCTCAGATGCCGGCGATGCGAGCAGCGAAGAGGGTGACACAGCTGAACGGAGGCTCGCGGCAGCAGCAGGCGTTCGTGGTGGTGAGGTCGGATGAGGCGAAACAGGCACAGAGCCAGATGCTAAGGATGCTGCAGCTGGTTCAGGAGCTGGTGGATGAGGGAAAAGGCTCGAGATGGCCGACGCATCCGCCGGATCATCGGGGAGTCCATTGGCAGCCGGCAAGGCACCTGCTGTAGCAGCAGCGGTGACTGCATCCATTGCAGCGCTCGGCGAGTGTGCGCTAACGACATGCCGAGATGCTGCGGATGGCGATGTAGCAGCTTGATTTGTGCCGAGAGCAGCCTGATCCACGACGATAGGCTCGAGTTGAGCCGATCTTGTCATGGTTGCTGAGATTTTTCTGACCGATGAGGGACTTGGTTGAATGCGGAATTGTGACTAGTTACTGAACACAGCGCGTCAATTCGAGATCTTGTCCCAATAGTATCTGTGTCATCGGCTTGCGTGTGTATGGATGAGTACTCCTGGGAGTTGCAGAAGAATGTTCAGTGGATGCCTGAATGATCGAGAGGAAGCCAGGGCAAGGTTATGTAGTACAGGGCTACGCAGAGAGAAGCGAGCGAGTTGAACAGAAAGTGGAGGCAATCGTGGTTGCGGTGTGGTTGTCGAGAAGGGAGCAAGGGGGAGCGAGGGGGAGCGAGGGGGAGCGAGGGGATTCAACGAGGGTAGGTGTGTATCGTGAGTGGAAGGGAGTGAAGGCGATCGTGGAGTCAATTCAAGACAAGTGAAGGAAAGGAAATGGTAAGCCAACTCCGAGTTTGGTCGTTGGTGAAAGCGTTCTGCGCTAAACCAGATTGGATGGGGGCACGGGAGCGCTTGAGACAAGCGAGTAACGCAGCTTAAATTTAATGCTGCGTTGCGCTGTCACTTGGCCTGTTCCAATTCTTGTGTGCAGTACACCGCTTCATCCACTAAATTGACCCACGATCCTTGAGCACACACTTCCAGCTGGGCTAGCTTCGGTATCGACGCTTCAAGAAAGACGAGATACGACCGCTGGCTTCTTGTCGGGCGAAGAGACGCCGTGTCGATTCGGTCAGCGTCGGCCGTCGTGTTCATTCACAAGGTTGAGGCGGTGCCTTTGGGAAATTAAGCTCCTGAGTTACACACACAGTCCTCACCATGTGCACTGGCATACGGCTGGCGGCGTCTACAACATCAGACAGAGCTGTGCCAGGGGGAAGGACGTTTTGTTCGACGTCGAGAGGCCCGGCGTTTGCTGCATTTTCTTGTGCCGTTCCTGAGAAGCGTGGTTGCTGACAGCTTGGTTTGCTGTGCTGTGTTCAGGGTCCTTTGTAATGTGTGTAACGTTGGCGTGCGAAGGTCGTGTGGCCATGGCCGAAGCCTCCCCTCACGGCACGCATTGGCCGGTTGTCGGTGGCCCATGTATCGAGCTCGTCTTTCTCCTCTCAGCTTCGCGAAGAGTGCTGCTAAGCTACTCGACTAGCAATGATAGCACTTGTTCCGCAGGGCAATATCTTCCAGTACCAACGTCTTCCAGTAGCAGCCGAGTGGTGCTTTAGCTCAGCTTTGCCGTTGCTTGGCGCTCGGACATTCGATGCAGCGCGGCCGATCCATGTTCTCTCTAAAATTTCCAACGACGGTCGGATTTTATGCTTCATAACTCGATGCCGTCTCTGGCCTTTCTCCGTACGCATGACCTCAACTTGCTTCCTATGACAGCCAAGTGCGGACCTCTTTCCCCGAAACACAGCCCATGGTTTGCAGGGGTCAGTTTATTCCGGACCATGTCTCTCTACAAAATTGCAATGCTCTGATCCCTTTTATAAAAGCATTGATAGTGTAGGGGTATCATGAGTCGTTGCCAGTCTCATACATCTGTGTTAAGGTGTGTTAAATCCACTCGATTCGACTCGACCGGGGTTCGAGTCCCCGTCAATGCAAATTCTTTTGATTCTTTTTTGTTTTTTTTAAATATTAAACCCTCAAAACTCTCTTGGACCCTGAATTGGCCGTTTTTGAACTTTCGCATCTTCCAATCTCATCTCCATGACAGCCATCGTCACTTCCTCCTCCTTGTTGGATCTGGGGGCGATCTGTACGGGATGTCTTCTAAAGGCGCACAACGGCCGAAAGGCAAATCAGTAGTCAAACCTGCTCCTCCAGCCAAAGCAGGTCCGACCTGGACAGCACCAAAAACCATCACCCACCCCGAACACCACCACACGCTCAACCACCTTAACCAGGTCGCAGCTTACTATGCAGTCTTGTCCTCCACCTTCGACTTTTCTTCATCCTCATATGCTTCAACTTCCGCACTGCACCTGCAAAGCGAGATCACAAGATCAGCAAAGACACTGTCACGAAAATCGGTGATCAGACTAGATACATCGGTGAAAAGACGTGCCTGTGGAAGATGCGAGGCGGTAATGATCGAAGGTCTTACGATGAGTATTAGGAATAAAGCCAGTGGACCACACGACCATGTGTCGAAGAAAAAATGTGGGGTCTGTGGGGCGGTGGTAAGACTACCTGCTCCTGACCTTGTGCCTGAAATTGGAGTTGGAAAGGGGCCAAGGGATGGGCAGAAGGAGCAGGAAGAGGGAACATCAGAGGCAGCAAAGGGGAAGCAGAAAGTGTCGCAGAGACAGAGACGAAGAACGGGGTCGATCAAGCGACATCTACTTGGTAAAATTAAGGCAAAAGATGATGGCGAAGAAGAGGGTTCTTCGTCAGTGCAGTCAGCACAGGAGCCATCGAAGCCGAAGCTATCGAGAAGGCAAAGACAACACGCAAGGTCAGACAAGTCATCGATACGGCTTTCATCACGCAGATTGGATAGGTTCATGGAACCTTCTCATAGTACCAAGGAGCGACGTCGGAACGGAGAACTGAAGCCTGCCGCAACCGAACCGCCGAAAGGCCCACCTGAGCTTGCGACCACTGCTGTCTCGTTGTCTGGCGCATCGATCGAGTCGCAGCCGACTCCGCACCGCAAAGGAAGAATTCGGCGACCTCAGCTTGAACACTTTAACGACCGCGTCCAGGGCTCGTGTTGGGACGAGGCCTTCATCAAGCTCTCCTCACATCTATTAGAACCGGTAGAAACTCTGGATGGCTCGGAGCGTGGCGCAGAGACATCGGCGATGGAGAACGAAGAGAGACAGGTTTCAACTCAAGCACTGGAATACTGGGAGAAGGCAGCGCGATCTAGAGGTGATCATTTGCTCGTCACTGGTGTTGGGAAGAACGGCTCCTTGGGCGCCGGCGTTCGGTAAGCTTAGTCGGCTTCAATTCAGCAGCCGATGTATCACACAGTCACGCCCATTCTAGCGACTTTGCAATCTCCATACCCCTTTCCCGCAAGGTAGTCCAAAGTGTGTCTGTGTGCATGAGCATGGAATTAGGCAAAGTAGTAGAAAAGTGGAAACAGAACAGATCCCGAAATCGAAAAGAGTGGAGCAGCGAAGTGAAGAACTATGTACGGGTGCGATGGGTACAAACGGAAAAGGGAGAGACAAAGCGGCGAATGGATGCAATCGTCTACATCACCAGACACTTGCTCGGTTGTGGCTCTGGCCCGCCCTCCTGTGTACCCTTATCCGTCTCGCCCAACATTGCCTCGAATGCCTTTGCGACGTTTGCGTTGTGTCTTGCGCTGACCTCGATCCACGCCGCCTTGAGCTGTTGTGCCAACTGCTTGCCCTCTGCCTCTGAGACCTGTCTTTGGACATGCAAATCGCTCTTCTGGCCAACAATGAGGCAAGGGACCGACTCGGTGCCTGTGTAATTAAGGATCTTGTCGTGTACGGTCTGGACCATGTCAAAGCTGTTACGGGATGCGATGCTGTAGACGAGCATGTAGCCGTGGATGCCAATGGCGTGTTTGGAGTTGAGGATCGAGTATTCGTCCTGACCAGCAGTGTCGATGATATCGCAGTCATATTCTTGACCCTTGTGAGTGATGGTCTTTTGGAAGATGTTCTCGATGGTGGGGTAGTAGGAGTCGACGAAGGCGTCTTCGACGTAGCGGACGATCAAGGATGATTTGCCGACGGATCGAGAGCCGAGAACGGCAATCTTTCTCTTCTTGCGGAGGGTGGAGCTTCCTGGGACCGACATTGTGAATGAGTGGGTAGGTATGTTATTTGAGCGGTAGTTTTGAGCGAGTGGGTAGGTATGCTATTTTTGAGCGGCAGTTTCGAGCGAGTGGGTAGGTATGCTATTTGAGAGGTAGGCTCGAAGCTCGAGAGCCAAGCTGTATAACGAGGCTAGTGCCGCGTCAGTGCGTTACGATGATACGATATGCGATCGTGTAGAGCCAATATCCGCTGAACTTGCAGATGTGGAGCGATACCGAGAAGTCATAAACGAGAGACGCGAACGAGAGGACGAGGCTAGACGAATTGGCTGCCTTTGAACGGACTGAACGAGATAGGATTAGTGTTGACGGAAAGGAAGGAGGGATGACGGTGATGGTCAAGGGATGACTGTAAAGCATCGTTTCGTCTCGTGTCCAAGACGGGAACGTGAACATGTGACTTGAGTAGCCTCGGGTAAGAGAAGCAAGCAGCCTTGGCCGGTCAAAAAAATTGGTAATTGTGCTCGAAATGAGCCGAATTCGCGCCGCGCCTTTTTTCTGCGTTCGTTGTGGGAGGATGCCCCTTTCCTGCCTGTGTTTCATTCACACCTTTTGGCAACTCCGGTCCGCACCAAAAGGAAAAAGAGAAAGAAAAGGTCGAAAAACACAAGAAAAAAGAGAGAGAGAGAGAGAGAGAGAGAGAGAGAGAGAGAGAGAGAGAGAGAGAGAGAGAGAGAGAGAGAGAGAGGATTTTCATGCCGTAAGGCTGTTCTGCAGTTCGGTGCATCCAAAGTCGAAGAGGGACAAGTGACAGACACACAGACAGACACAAAACAGTTGAGCCGAAGGAGTGGATATCGTGTAGCATGCTCCAAGAGTGCTACTATCGAGTTTCTCAGAGCATCTCGTTCCGCTGCGAGAGACATGGTGATGCTGTAGCACCCCACGGCCCGCCTGTTTTCGGGATTGCATTCTTGCAGGTGGCAGTCCGTGTCTGCCTTCATACGTTCCTCCCAGAGAAGTTCGCTGACAGAGTCGAGGTCAAGTCTTTTGTCGGAACTCGGAACGCCTTGAGCTGGACCCTGAGCTCTGTCGGGGTGCACGGACGTGACTCTGAGTTGCTCCATCACGCAGTTCAGACCTTGCGACACTCAATGCAGCTCATCACGATATAATCACCTGAGGACCTGTAGGAATGTACCAGAGCACACTACTGATCTGAAGGCTGCTCCGAATGCAGAGACGTCCGTCAGATCGGCACACAACCCACGCTTCGAGGCATTCCTTGCCTTTCCTTTCGTCACATCATCACTATGGCGCAGCGAACGGGCTCAGCTGAGAGCGCGACTGCCTCCTCAGCGCAACAGCGCCGAAAAGAGGCGAGCGGAAGCACCGACTCTGCTGAGAGCTTGAGAGCACGCAATGGCAGCCAGCAGCGAGCTAAGCGTCGACGTCGCCTTCTCCAGCAACAGTGCCTCCAGTCAGTCAGCCCCCTGACTAAGTCAACATCGCTCGAGTCTCTGGTGGCAGCATGGCTCTTCTTGCTCGATATAACCCAAGATCAAGTCTCCAACAAGGCCGAGCTTCTTTCAGAGAAACCTATCCGCGCAGATTCAGCCGAGTCTTCGGATGTCCCCAAAATCCTCAAGGAATCGCTTCCCTCTCCTATCCCTCTCAACAAGGACCGCTGGCAAGTGGCCAGCGACATTCTCGAGGTCGACGGCGTCAAAGATGATGCAAGCAGGAACTGCATATCCACCGGAGATGATGGATGGAAAGTGGTCAAGTCCAAGAAGAACAAGAGGAGGAAAGGTGCAGTTACAGAGTCGACTACCTCGCCACCTCATTCTTCCTCTCTTGGCGACTCAGTTACATCGGCCGTCACCTCTTCGACGCCGTCAATGTCACCCAATCCAGATGCGAACGCCACCCCGATCAAGCAAGGAGCTCTTGGACTGCAAGAAGATCCTCACCATACCAAGGTCACCGCTGTCACGGACCAAGAGCGGTATCCGGAATTGTCCCCCAGAGACATCGAGCAGGTAGCTAAGGATGTCGAACGCAGCTTCATCGGTCCTGCATTCAAGGGCCTCTTCACATCCCAAGCAGCCGTGAACAATAATGAACGGACCGCATCAATGTCGGGTCAAAAGCTTTTCCGCCGCAAGCAGCTCTCCCATCTCGTCCTTACGACGCTCAACAGACATCCAGCCTTGCACTACTTTCAAGGCTACCACGACATTCTTAGTGTTGTGCTGCTCACCTTAGCGCCTCAGCCTCCATCGCCGCTGCCCACAGAAACAGAGCAAGATCCCTCCATGCTCTTCGCGGACGCGACTCAGCAAGCACTCCTTGTGCTCGTTACTGAGCGAATCAGTCTCCACGTCATTAGAGACAGCCTGACGCGCGACCTCCTCCCCATCATGGGTCAGCTCAAGCTTCTCGGAAATCTAATCCGCCTCTGCGATCCGGCACTTGCAGAACTAGTGGACAGGGCGTCACCGCTACCCTTCTTTGCGCTGCCGTGGCTATTGACGCTGTTGACGCATGATGCGGGAGAAGTGGTGGTAATGCAGAAAGTGTTGGGCTTCGTGTTGGCGTTTGGACCAAGTGCTGCCATCTATCTGTGTGCAGCGGTACTTCTCCAGAGGAAAGAAGAGCTGATAACGATGGACCCGGACGAGTTGGAGGATCCGGCGATATTGCATACTATTTTGGGGCGGTTGCCGCATATCGTGGCTGACAGTGGGGAAGACGAGCAGACAGAAGCGAAAGGGGAGCCTGAGGTGAAAGATAAGCAGGAACGTGCACCCTCACGAGAATCAAGCAAAGAAGCAATATACGTCGACCCAGACGTTGAGCTTCCGAGCCTAGCATCTGATCGAGCGCTTGCCGCCTCAACAGCAGCAGGTGGTGCAAGTGACTCAGGAACCAGGCGCCAGAAGAAGGGGTTGCCGATCTCGACATTGCTCAAGAAGGCGGTCGACTTGATGGACAGATATCCGCTACAATCATCAGACATGGAAGCCGGCAAGATCATGGGTCCATCAAGTGTTCTATTCACCTGGTCGCGTGTCTTTGATCTGCCTGCCGACGACATGGACGCACCAGACCCAAGGGACATTGTCGACAGCGACAAGGGCCAGAACCCTGACGAAACTTCACCAAGCGACAGCATTGACTGGTCAGCACAAAACGATCTGGCAAGGAAAGCTCTCACCGGCCCCACAGACGCCATCGTTCGCGATCCTCACCCTCCACCTCCAACACCACCAACTTCAGACACGAACGAAAAGCACTCACACTCTCATCCTCACCACCATCACCTCGGTAAGAAACGAGGAGGCAAAGCAGAATGGGAGCAGCAAGCCAAGATGCTAGCGGTCGTCGGCATCTCAGGTTTACTTGTCGCAGCACTCATCCGCGCTTCACAAAATCCGAGCAACGCAGCCTCTTCGGCGGCAAATCTGGTGAGAGAGACAACAAGCGAAGAGACAAAACGGGTGTTGACGCTGATCGTGTCTTTGTTGAGTAACTGGGGGCGGGTTGTTGAAAGCGGCTGACTTGGATGCAATCTCAATTTGGTTCTGGCAGCACCCAGCTCCGCGTGCGTGTGCTTGAGTCAATCAGTGTTGGCTCTGTTCTTACAGCTCTCGTAACGCTACCAGCATCAACCGCGCTATGAAAGCTCATCGCTGTAACACATGCGGAGAAGCCTACACAACTCAAATGGCCATCTGTAGCGGCGCTATACACAGCCGACTCTCAACAAGGTCTTCACGGATCTGTTTCGAACGCTCCACGATTGCCTATGATATTTACTTTACAAAGCCAAATAGTCCTTAACCTCTGACTCGGTCAGCTTCCTGAACACTGGAATCGCATCACCATGGTCACCGTTCCCCAGCTTCTTCGTGTGGGTCTGGCTAATCACTCCAATCTCGATCGTCTTTTCTGTCATTTGACCTTCGAATCCTTCCTTCAATGTGAGCAGTGCTGTGTGAATAGCGTCTTCTTGGGAGATATCATCGTTGTATCGCTTCTCCAAAAAGGTTTTTGCGTTTTGCATGTTCTTTCCAATCGCACTTGCTTTCCACATGAAATAGCTTCCACTTGGGTCAACTTGGTAGAGACTTGCACCTCTAGCAGAATCAAAGCCGGCAACGAGAAGCGAAACGCCAAAAGGTCGAACACCACCACGTTGAGTAGCTTGTTGCATGAGTGTTGCGATTTCTTGAACGAGGACTCGGGTGGGCGGGTATTCGCCAAATGTCTTCCAGTATGTTTGGGCTGCTTTGCGGGCGGATGTGACGAGAATGCGGAAATCCGGACCCATACCAGAGTACACCATACCGATGTTAGGGCAAATGATCGAGATGCGTTCAAGTGCCGAGTCGTCGACGAGCGGAGATGGAGCTCGCTTTTCAGTGGCGATTACGATGGCATTGCATGCTTTGATGCCGAGAGAGGTGGCGCCTTGAGAGACGGCGGCGAGTGCGTGTTCGATCTGAACAAGCTTGCCGGAGGGGGAGAAAGTTGTCAATGAGAACCTTTTGTCGTTAAGAGGTGGATGGTCCAGCGTCGGCGTTCAAAGCAGGGTTAGGTTCCAGGGTTAGCTTCTACTTTCATGATGCGATGGTTCGGGTTGCCGTTAGAAGCCAAGCTAGCCTTAGGGGCAATCATTTCAATAGCTTGGGGTCAAGTTGGGATGCGACTTACGAATACGCTCTGTCTCCTGCACCAGCCGACATGATTGCAAATCTTTCGTGGTTGTGGTGAATGGACTTTGATGAGAGATGAGTTGGTGATTCGATGCTACGAGACTCCAACGAGAATTCGTGATGCTACTCCTGCTGCTTGTTGCTAAGGCTGAACGCAAGCTAGATGATGGATGAGGGGGTGAGGTTATGTCGTTTGGAGATTAGGAAGATTGGACGACGAAGGGAAGCAACACTTGAGAGGTAGCGTAAGTTGCTTAGTAGCTCTGTTTGAAAGGTGGTCAACGCGTCCAGCCGCTCATTTTTGAAAGCTTGAACCCTTACGCTGCGCTGCCTGTGCCTTCGATCACCAAATTTCCTCCACAACTGCGGTGTGCGGCAGATTTCTGTATTGTTGGTTTCGCAGTCTAACACTGCTAACGCTGTTCCACGCTTTGGCAAGCTTCGATACTGCTCTAACATCAAGCCGACACACAAACAAAGGACAGAAGTGGGGATCGTACCATTACATGCAAAGGGGCTGTGAAGTATGCTATACGTGGACAAGAATGCAACAGATGGGCTTGAGTATAGACTAGGTGCGTCGCATAATGACGTTCTTACTCGCAGACCTGTTGGGGTGTCGTCGCTTCTGGCGGCCAAACCTGGCCTCATCAGAGAGCCCTTCGACACCTTTGCCCTCCTGAGCGCCGGCGCCCTTGCTGAGACCATATCCGAATGTCTCGTCACCAGCACCCTTGCGAGCGCCACCACTCTTCCTCTTGCTGTCGTCATCATCGCGACGAGACGAGGACGAGGGGGTCCATGTGAAGCTCCTTGCACCAGCAGGGGCATCTCCGTCCCTATCCATAAAGTCGGATGCACGAGGGCGGCGTCCGCTTGCAGGACCACGCCCCTCTTTCGACTTGAGTCGGTCTTCGAAGCTGCGCTTCTTGTTACCTCTGTGTCCGCTGTCATCTTCATCATCGTCATCATCCACCAGGCGAGCACCGGAGGGGCGTCCTCCCGCGCCTCTTCGGCCATTACGAAGCTCGGCTGCCTGGTTGAGATTCTTGGGTCGCTTACCGGATGCATCTCGTGCACGCGGGTCATACTGACCCAAGTCACCTTCGTCTGATGAATCACCCGAATCACCGCCCTCATCATCTTCCGTGGCAGAGGAGCTCTCTTCGTCCTCCATGTCGGGATCGATTGATTCGCGGTCGCTCTCGTTCTCTTCGTCCTCGACAGCAGTAAGCTTCCTTGGCTCATCTCGTACCTGCTTGAGAGCGGTAGAGGGATTGAGCATGGCAAATTCTCGGCTCGATGTGTCGATCTGGAACTCGGGGTCCTGGAACAATGACGAGAAACGAGAGTCCGACAAAAGGTTGGCGGTGGCGCTTGGCTTATCTTCTTTGCTGACCGCAGCGTCAGTCTCGGCTGCTGGTGTCTCTGCGTCTCCTTCTGTAGCGGCGGTGGCGGCAGCAGCAGCAGCCTTGGCATCTCGCTTGGTTTGCTTCTTTGCTGCGATTTCTGCTGCTCGTGCAACCTTCTCGGCGAGCTCTTTGTTGACGCGCACGCCTGCATCGAGCTTGGGGTTCTTGACTGCGCGGATACGGCTCTCGGCTTGCTTCTCGAGCTTAGCCTTAATAGCTCGCTCCCTGGCGTCGGCGTATGCTGTTGGATTGTTGAGAAGACGTGCGCGCTCATACAAGGCGAGTGAGATGAAGTACCCGTGCATGTAAGGGCGGAGCAGCTGGGTACCAACAAGATGCGACATGCCGAGACGCTCCAATTCGGCGCGGTCGACGAACTTGAAGTCCTCGTAGACGCCCTTGCCGGCTCCTGTACCCGCTGAACCGACACCGTCCATCTCGTCGGTGAGCGTGTCGATGTACGAGCACCAGCGTGGTGCCGGTCCGAGCGCGGGAACGTACCATGCCGCCATTTGCGTGCCTTCGACTGCGGCCATAAGCAAACCTGTGCCTGGGTAGTGTGTAACGTCATTGATATCTGTGGCCGCAGATGGTGGAGTGACCGAAACGAGGTTGTCGCCTGAATCCTTGTCCCAGACCTTGATGACTTTTGCATCTGCACTGAGAACCTTGCCTTCGGCTTCAGATCTTGTGCGTGGTCCAACACTACCAGTGGTGGATGCGGCCTTGTCGCCGGGCCACATGACTTTCTTGATGGGTAGACCGAAACCTTGGTCCTTGGTCTGGTACGGTCGGTCCATGCGAAGATCGTAGAGAAGCACATGTCCCGTATTGGTACCGACAGCGAGGTTGAGACCGTCTTCAGCACCTGCAAGCGCGGAGACCGAGAGAGACGACAGGGCCTCTTTGGTAGCTGAGGCGTCATCGAAGTCGCCAATGACACCCGGAAGGTTGCGTCGGGCGATAAGCAGCGCTGCGTCTAGTACAGTCTCGGTAGCGACACTCAACACACCGGCTCTTTTGCGCATACGCGGGTCCCACATCTCGACGAGGCCTGTGCCTTCGGCGCCAAAGCAGAGAAGACCATGTGCTGGGTTAACGTCGATGGCGTTGCATCCTGTTGGCTCGCCGAGGTCACCACCTCCGAGAACAAAAGGCGCAAGGAAGCGACCCTGATCCAGGTTGAGACGGTAGACTTCACGACCTGCGGCAGCGACGATAGCGTCAGCTGAAGGGAAATGGTAGCCGAGTGCACGACCGAACTTGGGAATGCGGACGCGGGCATGTGCGCCACCTTGTGCTTGTAGTTGAACAGTGCGATCGGTTTGCAAGTGAAGCGACTTTGTCCAGTCGTCGGAAAGCATCTGTAAGCGTGTATAGGCAAAACAGAGAGTTGAAGCTAGAAGTCAATTCGCTGAATCCGAGTCTTTCTTTGTCTAGCAACGGCAGTTCCCAAAAAATCAGATTGCTTGTATCAACGTCGAGACGCCCTGGGAGAGCCCCGAACGCCTCTGCAGCTAATGTAGATAAGGTTGTATTTTATGGTATGATCATCATTTGGTTGGTGGGCCCGAGTTGCATCAAGTCGGCAAACGAAGGTTAATGATAATAACTTACCAAAAAGTCGACGTTCTCTGCATCTGTGTGGCGCTCGAACTTGAGACTAAGCTGTTCGCAGTCCCATACTCGAATCTGTGGCTTGTAGGTCCCTGTTGCTATGATGGACTGGCCATCTCTTGTTGCTGTGAGGCGATTGCTGGCTTCTGGAAACTCAAAGTCCTGGATGAGCTCGATACGCGAGAGGATCTCTTCATCTTTTAGGGCGGTCTTGCGTTTCTTTCGCTTGTTGGATGAACCCGACTTTCGCAATAGATCTGGAAGAGAGGACGAGTTGAAGGAGGTACCTGCTGCTCCCGAAGTGGCAGCACCACCACCCGAGACGGTGTAGACACGAGCTGGCTCTACTGCGGCGGGCATGTCGTGTAGCTCTATCCGAATTTGCTGATGTGTCCAGGGGTATAGGTGGATGAAGAGAGGAAGGAGCAAGAAACGCTACTAAGTCGGCAGTGTCAGCAGCTAGTGTGCCTTTAGAGCCTTGCAATCCTCGACGAGGACATGTAACGTTCTAAGGTCGTAGCTGGGCCTGTATGAAGGGAGGATGCGTCAACAGCAGGACGGGAATGTCGTGAGTGATAGGGAGAATGCAAGGACAAGAGGGTGGAGTGCTGTTCGTGCTGAGCAGCAAATCCAATCAAGCAGCTCCGGAAAAGAGAGGGTCTCGAGCTGGAAGAAGAAGAAAAGTTTAGAGGTGCAGCCCAAAAAAAAAAAAAAAAAAAAAAAAAAAAAAAAACACAAAATTCTAGCTGAGAAGTTCACTTCCGAGTTCCGCCATCTCGCACTTTCAAAGCTTTCTTCTGAGAATGGACACACGAGCATGTCCTCCTCCTGCTGTCCATACCTCATCTTTGCTTTCTCCTCTATCTCGACCACAACCTCTCCGCTTTTGCTGTAACAGCACTTCGTAGCGGACATCGTTGGCTCGATAGTGTGAAGACAGCTGCTCTGGGATTACATTCATAGGCATACGGACATCGCGAACAAGCAGAGCTTCAAGCAACATGTCAAAGAAAGGAGGGCAGGCAGCTGTAGCTGCTGCAGCGACATTCGTCAAGCTTCTCGTTCCCGCAGGCAAAGCATCAGCGCAGCCACCAGTGGGCCCTGCACTTGGTGCTAAGGGTGTTAAGGCGATGGACTTTGCCAAGGAGTTCAATGCAAAGACAGCACATCTCGAAGTTGGGCTTCCAACACCAGCAATCGTCAAGATCAACCCAGACCGCACATTCTCTTTTGAGATCAAGAGTAAGTGCAAACACTCTCGCTCACCAGCTCTAAAAAATTACCATGTGCGCGGGCAAGTATTGACTTGATCATTCTCCAACCATCACCTATGGAACCGCAACAGCACCACCAACATCATTACTGTTGAAGCGAGCAGCAGGAATCGAGACCGGGGCGGGCAAAGCTGGGTCTCAAGTAGCTGGAACTATCACGATGAAACACATCTACGAGATCGCCAAGATCAAGATGCAAGATGTTAAGGGTGTTGGAGAGGAGCAGGTAAGATTCACCTCCATTCTAAGCGTCAAGTTAGTGCCTCAAATTGGCCAATCATAGGCCTTAACACTGACCACCCTTTTGATCCTTTCACCCTGTTATTGACCTCTGCACGCCAAAACAGATGTGCAAGGTTATCGCTGGAAGCGCGCGCAGTATGGGACTCAGAATCCTTCGTTGACGAGGCCAAAAAGGTGATTGCAGTTCTTCCTGTGCATCGAGCATTTCTACCTCCTGTATTTATATTCCTCAACCTGACTCTCATGTTCCTCTCTTGTAGGCCCGCAAGCTCTGTCTGTGCCAACATCTCATGTGTCTGGCGTCGTGTTCTCGATGCCATCTACAAAGTTCTGGTTCGAGATCCGACTGAGTAGGTCAGATCCAAGACCACACTGAAACATGTAAAGCGAAAGTTCTTTCATTATCTTTCAATCAGCTAAGCTTCAAGATCGCTCCATGCTGGCAAGCTCTAGGGTTTCCAGCGATAAGAGTTGAGATTGGATCACAAACGAGCACTTACTTTCAAGAACGAACATAGCACACGCAATGAAAAGAGAAACGGATTTGCGATACCTGATGAATCGAAGAAGAGTGGATATAGTACACGAATGCTGACAGAAAAGGATATGCATGAAAGAAGCGACACGAGTCACGAAGTCTGTGAGCCAGGACAATCAAGTTGTCGAGTCGTAAGGAGCCCGAGGGCAGATGCGGTCACAAGATCCGTACACGATACAAAGGCATTTTCTGATTTTGATGGTTGGCTAGCCCGAAATCAAGCAGGGAGTTTGCGAAGCGGGTGCGAGGCGGGCGCGAAGCGGGTGCGAATGGAAAATGGAAGATGGCAATGATTGGTGCTACCTAGACAGTACCCGAGCCAACGTGAGCGGTGGCAGTGGTGTTTCCGGTAGCAACATCCTGAGTCACTTCGATGTGTCCCTGCTTCTTGTTGCCGGTGGCGTCACGCTTGGACTTGTAGTTCTTGATGGCCGACTTGATGGCGTCTTCTGCCAACATGGAGCAATGAAGCTTGACAGGTGGCAAGCAAAGCTCCTGTGCAATCTCAGTGTTCTTGATCTTGCCGGCCTCTTCGAGTGACATGCCCTTGACACGCTCGGTCATGTACGAAGAAGAAGCGATGGCAGAACCACAACCGAAAGTCTTGAAGCGAACATCCTCGATGATGCCGTCCTCGTTGACCTTGATCGAGAGCTTCATGACATCTCCACAAGCAGGAGCACCGACGAGACCGATACCGACATCCTTGTCAGTCTTGAGGAAGGAGCCGACGTTGCGTGGGTTCTCATAGTGGTCGATGACCTTTTCGTGGTAGCCTCGTCGCTGGACGGGTGTGCCAAAGACGTTGCTAGAAGCGGTGCGTGCAATTGCAACGGCTGCTGGTCGTGCAACAGTGGAGAAAGCGGCAGTGCGCGAGGACGAGGCAACAGCTTGCCTTGCGACGGGGGCGAGAGCGTTTCGAAGCATGATGGTTGTCGTCTGTGTGAATGTGTATCGGTATAAAAAAAAAAAAAGAAAGAAAAAAGAAGGATATGGTGGATGGGGATGGTTGTCAGGCACGAAGGTCGTAGCGATGATGCGATAAGACTAAGAACGACACTTGGCTTTGGAATCGGGTGGAAAGCCGATTATCGAATGGTGTGAAACTTGCTGAGCAATTCCTACCACCTTGGCCTCAGCAGCAGTCAGTCAAGAGAGCGGGATTTTTCCAATCCTTTCCTTTTCAACCCACGCTTGACCGCGCGCCACAACGGCATTTGACTTGATCTGATTAGGCGCGCAGTGGAATTTGAAGTCGTCTCCTGCCATACTAAATTCTTGCGCAGACTCAGTCCGTGAAAGCCCGCCAAGAACAGATTGAATGAAATGACAAGACACGCTTTCGCAAAGTGAGTGAGTCCCATTCAAAATAATTTGGCTTAAATGACTAATCTGTCACCTCCACCGTCAATTGTAAGACGCTAGATCGATCTCTCGTACGATATCGGGCATCGTGTTGATATCGGGAACAGGATCGGGAACGTGGACAGGTGAAAAGAGCTGTCTGATGGAGCGCGGGCCGGGTAAGAGCTTTTGATGCACCCGACCTGCAGCAAAAAAAAAAAAACAGGCCAAAACAGGAGTTGTGAAACTCAAGCTGCGCTGTTACCACGTCTCAAGACTGATTCGCCTTGGGTTTGATAGAAACAAGGGTGCGCAACGATTGTCTTCATCTGCAGCATCAAAACCTAAACCATGATACTTAAACCATGATACTTAAACCATGATACTGTACCCCTGTATGATCAAATCATTCGGTACAGCATGCGTCTTGGCAAGCAAGCGAATTTCATGGCAGTTTGGGGCGTAAGGGCAGTGAGGTCGGTGGTTTGGGAAAGCTTTCAAGCTCCGACATCACCTGCCGAAGTGACAAGACAATCGGCCCCAACTCTTGTTTTGCATCTTCTCGGTCACTTCTTCCTTGTTTCTTTCTTTTCCGTTCCGCTTGTTCACCCTCTGAACATCGCTTTTGCTACAGCAGCAAAGTCTCTTGCCAAGCTAGACCCCGAGAAGATGTTGTCGAGGATCGACGAGACTCCGGCTCACCTAAGATGCCAGTGTCGCTGTCTCCTCCTTGGCCCTTGCCCAAGATGCGGCACTTCTCGGTGTTCAAGCATGCCTTGTCTTTTCACTGCAACCCTTGGATGCCGTCTACTCTCTCTCCAGCCTCTCGCCGCGCCGCTTGAGAGCATGTGAACAGTAATCTATGCATACAGTCCACACTTTGAGTTAGAGAATCACTGCTCATGATGACCGTCCTCACACTTGCCGCAAATCACACGTTACCTCCATCTAGCATCCTTCTTCTTTTCTCTTTGATCCTTCCTTTACTCTGATCTATACCTTGAGCGCTCTTCCCATCCCCCCATACATGGTTCATCTTCCGGCACCCCGGCCGTAATGGCACCACGATTCCTCTCAGGCACACTCCAGGATTCGCTTCCCTATCTCATTCGCTCCGAGCCCCGCAGCTCCGATGATCATCACAAGAGCTGCTTCTCGATACGGACGATCAAAACAGTAGACCAGCTCACCTTTATACACCGCTCGTCCTAGACCGAGTGGCTTCGGAAGATCAATCTTGCCCCATCTAGCTTGAATCAGTACAAGGACCCTGCCTGGATCGACTCTGATATTCATCGACCAAGCATGTTTGCTATCTTCTCCAACACGCTGTGGCTGACCCTTTTGGCGCTGCAGCTCTTGACATGTGACCTTCAAGCCAGGTCCATTCCCGTCAGGTCCCCATCATTATCAGCATGGCAGCAACGAGATGCTTTTACAAACCAAGACCCGCAAAACAATGAGGGCGAAAATCATGGTAGACCTAATGTCCCAAATGGTGCCTCGCTCGTCTCCCTTCCCATTACCTCCTCAGCTTCGCTTGCAACCTACTGGACAGCGAACCCGAACAACGCGACTGCCACCAACGCCTACATAATGATGCACGGCAAACTACGCAATGGCGATGATTACTGGACCATCATGAACAAAGTCCTCCAAGAAGCTGCTACCAACAAGCATGCAGGCGCAGTAGCCACATCCATCGTCACCGCTCCTCAGTTTTACTCGGCACGCCTCAACTCGGGTCAATACACCTCAAAACAACTTGCTTTCGCCGACACGAATGTTTGGCAAGCGGGCGAGGCCGCGGTCCGTCCAGCTGGAACCAACGTAACAAGCCTTGATGCGCTTGATGCCTTGCTGACCGAGTTCAGCACCACGTCAAGATATCCCAAAATGAAGCAGATCACGTTTATCGGGCATGGTGGAGGAGGACAACTAATCTCGAGGTACGCAGTAGTTGGCGCTGGTTTGCCAAGCGGAAGCAAGATTCAGTTGCGCTACGTTGTTGGTGATCCATCTTCCAATCCATACTTCACCTTGGATCGCCCCCTGCAGGATGCCTCCGTTGCGAACAAGGCAAGCTGCCCGTTGTTCAACAGATGGAGGTATGGGTTTGATTGCTTCAACGGCACCACAGCTGCAGGTCCCTTGACACCACAGGAGTACTTTGCTCGACTCGCTTCGCGAGACGTTCGATGGGTTGTTGGATATCAAGACACCGACGGGGATGGTGACAACACTTGCATGGCTAAGCTCCAGGGGGGCGCAACACGTCGAGATCGCAATCTCAGCTGGTGGCGTTACATCAACACTCTCGCTGGCACCAATCAGGATCTCACTGGCTTCCCCGGTGCGCTCCCTGGGATGGTTTCGTGGAGCAACTTGACAAAAGGGTCGCTCAACCATCGACTCACGGTGGTGTACGACGCCGATCACAGCGCAGAAGAGGTCTACACGAGCATGGAGGGCACGTCGGCATTGTTCGACGACTCGGCCAACGTGCAATTGGGATGGAGGCCTCAAGGCTGGAGAAATGTTTCGAGCATCAATCATTCTACCAACGGATCCAGCACGGGATCTCCTCCTACATCTGCTGCATCCATTACTCTCATGCTTCCTGCGCAAGCAGCAACTCTTCTGGTCGCATGTTTGCTTGCGAGCGGCACATTGATGCTGCTCTGAACGCACAATCCTTCAGAATGAATTTGTGATGCCAGCTGGGCCATTTCATGAGGAGCCTCTCCTTCACTGCATACTCTTCCCTTTGTTCTGCTCGCATTAGACATATCAGTCTACCCTTTGTCATGTAATTTAACGATATACGCATAGTGACCATCTCACTCTGGGATGCGCACTCATTGTCAGAGTTGAGCGTCTGGACTTTAAGCTTCTTTGAACCATGATCTGAGTGGAATAATTTCTGATGAAGAAGCCAGCCACTGTCGGCCCTTCCGAATGGCTGCCTGCCAGATAAGGTTTAACTCCTGAGGTCGCAGGAGGTCCGAGCGCTCAGCTTCTCGCCCTATCGTCTCTCACTCCTTGTTCAAACGGAAGAGCCGTGATGCTGCTTATCTCTCTTCTCACTCTGCCTTCTTCTGGCCAGAGTCTTTAGCAGCGGGCGACTCAGCGACTCTTAGACGACGCTTTGAGATTGACGACAAAGAAAGCTTGGCCTATGACTTGATATCGCAGCTTACCAACACCACTATCGAGGGATATAGCAAAAGATCTTGACGCTCTACCCAGCACAGCATCTCATGTCTACCTTTCGACAGCATCGGTCACAAGAGCACCAAACCTTGTCCGCTTTGATGATGGTGTACCCGCCAAAAGACTTTGTCGACATGTTCCGCATGGCACTCCAGCACGAAGCCTTATAGTGAGTGCAGCGCGATGAACATGTCGAAACTCGACAGCAAGATTTTCGAAACAACAGAGGATCGGGCAGAGGGCGAGGGGGGCGGGGAGGACGAGGATGGCGAGCCGCTTGAACCATGGAGCGAGATCGACTCATAGTGGCTACACGAGATTCGCTAAGAGGACTATGATCTATGTGGGTTACGATCACCATCAATCACATACTCGCGGGCCTCAAACAACTATGGCAGCTCGACCATGACCGGTCGTTGGTTTTGAAGCGTAACTTTGTCGGATGACAGAAACGTCAAAGATACTCGTTGCAGAAGGGCAATCCTTCAAGCTCATCAATCTGCCATGGGAAGGTTGGGTTTACACAGCAAGTACATACTCCGGAGATGCAGCAAAGACTTGGTACTGTCTCTTTGCGCTCCCATTTGGTCACTAAGGAGGTGAAACCCTGAAGCTCTCTGTTTGTGAACACATGCTTATAACGCAATCCAATTGTCTCATCTCATCTCATCCCATCTCATCAATCAGTGTGATACCGGTCTTGTTGTTGGGAACCGTGCATGAAGTGATGCCGCCAATTTTGCAGGATCAATCTCCACGCTACCTGAATGTGGGGCTCCACACGTGCTTCAGGCAGTCAACCAGGTGAGAAGGTGTCAGGATCCGGGTAAGTAACATTCTCGAATAGCTGGCACGCTATCGGAAAAGTGCGGATCTGATCTCGAACAGTGCATTATCGGTCTGCGAGATGACCGGTGTTAGGCGTCTACAGATATCTCGGCAGAGTCGATCTCGATCTCGAACTCACCTCAGCCTTACCGTTACTCGTGGTCCAGCCATCCTGTCAGCAGTTGGCAGGGAGCGGGAGCGAGAGAAGCTCAACGCTCGGCTACCGGTTAGCGCGGCCGGCCCATAGAAGAAGCCGAGGGCTCAAGCGGGCAGTGTCGCACCGGCCAAACCCAACCATGCAAACCAAGCTCAGATGCAATTCATGGAAGCATGGGAATCGAACAGCGTAAAAACAGCCAAGGATTACGTCCAACGTAAGCGAGAGATGCAAGCACAAGGGAGCGTTGACTTGAAGGAAAGCTGAGCGACTGAGCAGCTTCGGTCGGAGATGTGCAAGGTGCGGAGAGCCAACAAATCAGGAGGAAAAAAAGAAAAAAAAAAAAAAAAAAAAAAAAAAAAAAAGAAAAAAAAGAAAAAAGAAAAGAATAGAGCACCTTGCTCCGCCCGACGCTAATCATATCGGACCTCGAAAGTTTCACCCTCATCCCCGCCATCCTGCCCCGCACGACCGCACTTACTGTGCCTGATTGAGATCATCGAACACAAATGCTAGGTCATGGATGCATCAGTATAAGCTGAGAAAGGGAGTGATCAGAGGTGGATTGCGAAGACTTGGCGATGGCGGGTGAAGAGTTATTCCGGGGCCAAGCTCGTACTTGAACACGTCTTGGCGAAACATGAGTTGATCATCGTGCTTGATCGCACTCTGACTGCCTGACGACTGCTATGAGTGATACAGAGTACCATATGGGAGGTCAAGAAGAGTCGAGATGAGCTGATTTGCGAGTCCGGCGCGGCAAGGCCAACCCGTCAAGTCCAAGGCGTGGGGCATTTGTGCAGGTCGACGTATTCAAAGGCATGTTTGCAAGTTTGGCAGCCTTGGCATAAAACTTGCGGGGTAGGTCTATAAGGTCTGGACATCAACACCGGACCAGTCGACCAATGAGAGTGTAGAGATCAATCAGCGCTGGCCTTCCGCTTAAGAGCCCTCGCTTTGTCGCCAACCCATATCCACCTGAGGCCTGCTCGATACTGTAGCCACGTACTCGATCCGAAATGCGTATAACGTGCACTGTACACGAGTTTGAGTTGAAGTTTGTGGTTTCATTCCTGGCAGCTTGTGCATTGTGATATTGAGTTGCAAGTGGCTTTGTTGGGAGCGACAAGCTGAGCAGAGAAGAGGAGGAAGAGGTCTACATGAACCCGAGAGTGGGCATGCCCTCGGATAAAGCAGTCCAGGGTCAGACAAGCGCTGTCCTCGGTGACTCGCCAAAGTGCTTACCCCGCACTGTACCACTTTACCTCCATCTTAACGACGACAAGACCAAGAGGGGCTACTCGCCTTGTCACTCAAGTGTATCACCTTTTCGTAGACCCGATCGAGCACTTGCAGTGCCACACTCCACCTCGAAGCAACGCTTCTGCCCAGAGCAAGATGCCCTTTTGCCTCCCTGCCCGACATGTGGGTTGCCAGAATCGTAACAGAGACAACGCAGCTTCACTTGGTCCAGACGGGCTGAGTCAAGACCGCCTCGCCGCTGTTCTCTTTCGAGACCGGACGGAACCTTTTCGCAAACATGTTGTGTCGATCAAGAATCGATTGACGACTTCAAACAGCGCTACACGACACTGCTCGAACATCGGAGCAGAGTCAGAAGCGGTGCTTAAACAGAGCTTCGAGCCCGATCGTTCTTTGGTGACAGGAAGAACCTTCTCATGAAGAGATGTTTGCCTGCCCTGAACGGGAGCTGCAAAGTTTTGCGGGGTATTTGGGAAATGTGTTCGACAATCGACCTACTTGAGCCCACTTGTTGGACTTCAAGGATGGGTGTATGTGCGCACGTCAGAGCCGAAACACAATTCCGAGGGACTGAGTGAGTTGCCGTTTTCGAATCTTGAGCTAGGGCTGTGTCTGTGTGATCGTTGAACGCGCAGTCTCGCTTCTGCTTTGTGGATTTGTGTAACAAGAGCAAGAGCTCTTGGCATTGTTCGAAAGGCGGCGACTGGGTTGGTGCCTGAACGAACGGAGTAACCACGATTTCCGTTCGGGCTCGGAAAATTGCCACGCGAGAGAATGAGTGGGGTAAACCGAGATAAGTGAATTGCGATGCCATGCAGCGCTTCAGCACTCTGCCTGAGGTTTCCCCACGTCTCTGCAACAAATTTCTTGGCAATGACAAGGTCAGCTTTCGAGCAAAGGTACAGCTACCAAAGTATCAAACTTCAAGGTTGCGCCACGACAGCGAACTTGTGGTATCCAACACTCATCTTGCGCCTGTCTGTTGTGGGTTCACATTCGAGGTCGAGACCCGCAGTTTCTTTGTTTGCCTCGACACTCCCGCTGGAGTTTGCCAGTGCATACGGTGTACGAGAGTTTGTGCGAGGGCTGTTCTCTTCCTTGCGATGTGATCCACCATTGTCTTGGTCGGCGCAGGGGAGCAACAACAAGGCTCTTCATCTCACATGACCTCGCTCATTGCTTTGCCTGTCCTGGCTATTGAGCCTTAACGAGGAAAGGGTACTGTATCCCTCTCGGTAGTGAACCAAGGTCTTGCCGGATCTGGACCAATCCACAAGAACAACACTCAGCTCGTTTGCAAGGTGAGAAGCACCGGCCCAACCAGATTCGATTTGCCGTCAAAGGACAAATTTTGCCAAGCTTCCCCGTCACATATGGCTCTCCACTCTTCCCCTCTTTGTGTGTGCCTGTGTTGGTCTTGAAGGTCAATCATTAAAGCTATCTCTGCTTTTCTAACATCAAGATTGATTGGCCTCTCAGTTCCTGCATTCGCCGTGCTGTTGCTGTTCAACTTGCGACGTCGCGACAGATCATGCACGTCGTTCCCGGCCACATTCGACTGCTGATTTGCCTCTAATCCGCTTGCGCCGGTACACTGGTGCCTGAAGATGTGGGGTTCGAAAGCAACAAGACTCGATACCTCAACCGTCGCGGCTCTGGACAGTGGTGGGTCGATCGTATGAGCACGCGTAAGCCTTGTCGGAGCAGCTACCAGGTCGTGCACCCCGCACAGAGCAGCCTGTTCAAGCTGATCAAGCATTGACTGTGTGTGAGCTCGTCCTGCTTCGTCGAGGTGCATCCCGCGGGCGGTTGTGTCACTGAACCTCAGGGAATGCTTGGCGTTGACCAGTTGTTACTGTTGGTGTCCTGATGGGTCGCTCGTCCCTGCATACGCCCTATTCTTGGCCTGGGACATATAAAGACGTCGTATCTTTCCGTTCCCTATCCTTCCATCAACTTCCCCCCATCCTCCCTCATTGGTCTGTTCACCAGAGAAGCCGACTTATTCAAGACCCTCCACCTTTGCTCAGTCTAGACCAAATCTTGTTCGATCACCGCGACCTCCTCCCCCTTCCTCTTCGTCACTTTTCTCCCCCAGAGACCAATAACGTCCAAGATGTCGGTCCCAACCCAAGAGCGTGACCACTCGGGCTCGCTTCACTCGGATGAGAAGGAGGCCATCGGCTACCCCATCCAGCCCAACACCCTCACCAAGGATACTCAAGTCTCCCACGATGCCGAGGCCAACCAGATTACGGAGGACATTAACTCTGGCTTCGATATCGCTGAGGTCAAGCGTGTCCGAAAAAAGATCGACCGACGCCTGCTCCCCATCCTGGGTGCGATCTACTCGATTGCTTTGATTGACCGAACCAACCTTTCGGCCGCTCGTATCGCTGGTGCAGGTGTTGATCTCAAGCTCACTGCTGGTACCAACTACAGTGTTCCCCTCCTCATGTTCTTCGTCCCCTACATCCTGTTCGAGATGCCCTCGAACTTGCTTCTGCGCAAGATCGGAGCTGCCAAGCAGCTTTCTTTCATCGCCTTCTGCTGGGGTATCGTCATGCTCGGTCAGGGTTTCGTCAAGTCATGGCAGACACTCACGGTCACCCGTGCGCTCATTGGTGCCTTCGAGGCCGGGTTCTTTCCCTCGGCCGTTTGGCTCATCTCGACTTGGTACGTGCGTAGGGAGTCGCAGGTGCGCATGTCTGCTTTCTACCTTATCTCAGTCGGCGTTTCTGGTTTCTCCAACATTATCGCTTATGCTATGTCGCTCATCAAAGTTTCTGACCGCACATTCCACGGATGGCGATGGATCTTCATCATCGAGGGTTTGCTTACCGTCGTCCTCGCTGTAATTGCTTACTGGGCCGTCCTCGACTTCCCCGACAAGGCTGTCGAGAAGGGTTTCCTCACCATCGCCGAGCGCGACATGATCCTCACCCGTATCCAACGTGACCGTGCCGATGCCAAGCCCGACGCCCTTACCTGGGCCAAGGCCGGCAAGTACGCGATGGACATCAAGGTGTGGCTCTACGGACTCATGTTCATGTGCACCACCATGCCTACCTACGCGTTTGCCTACTTCTTGCCCGTCATTCTCCGTGGATTGGGCTACTCCATCCGCGACTCTTTCTTGCTCGGTGCTGCTCCTTACGTCGTCGCCATGGTTGGTGCCTTTGCCACTGCCGTTGTTGCTGACCGATACTACATCCGAATGCCCCTCCTCATTGCTCAGTGCATCTTGACCATCGTTGGTCTCGGCATGCTATTCGCCGTCAAGGAGCGCAACGTCCAGCTCGCCGGCTGTTTCCTCGGTGTCTGGGGTTCCAACTCAAACATCCCCTTCGTCCTCAACTTCTCGCAGAACAACGTTGCCGGTCAGAGTAAGAAGTCGTTCACCTCGGTCATCGTCATCATGTTCGGTGGTATCGGTGGTATCTTTGCTTCGCTCGCCTACAACGAGGAGGATGCTCCCTTGTACCGCAAGGGTCTCTACGCCACCCTTGCTTGCCAGGCCTTCAACATCCTTTGCGGTATTGGCTTCACCGTCTACTTCTACGCTGCCAACAAGAAGATCCGTGCTGGCCGCAAGGTTGTTGATGACCGTCCCGGTTTCACCTACACCATCTAAAGTGAATCGTCGCTCGCCGTCGTCTGTCAATTCGTTCGTCCGTAATGCTCTTTTATACCAGGTTGTCTGTTCTTATGAACTTTTGCCGATCTGATGCTCGCCATTCTGCTTTTTTTTTCTTTTTTTTTTTTTTTTTTTTTTTTTGGGATGAAAGGCTGATTGTGCATACATGTAATTTTTCTCGCCATGGATATGGTTCTCTCTGGGGTTTTCTCTTTGCAATGTCATACGATGTTGTCAAAAAATCAAGTCTGACGATACACTTGATGTGGTATGGTGGTGTTGCCAAGACTGGGCCTGAGGCGTTCGTTGGTCGTCAGTTCAGATGAGCCAGGAAGGCTGAGTCAAGAGAGATCGGGCGTGCGATCGGCTTCCCGCATTGCCAGAATTCTCACCATTTAGTGTTGGAGATTGCGATCCAGTCCGCTCTCAAGGATGACGTAAGTCAGATCTGTGAGGGATCGAGAGCAGGTTTCGGTCGGCGATCAGACAAGATAGATCTGATCGGGTATCGGGCATGACAGATCTGTGAGGGATCAGGTGAGACTAATACTAATCGGGGATCGGGCTAAGCCGATACAAGATAGAGATCGGATACAACCATGTCCCACTCGTTGTTATATATTGTCATTAGGTAGGCTGCGCCCACAGTTGGGCATGTGCCACACGTTTGTATATAAATCAAGCAGGGAGCTCGAGGCTCCCGCCACATTCTTTTTGCATGTCAATTAGTATAGTGTTTTGCTCTTTAGCTCGAACACCGTACTTAGACTGATATCTCCCGATCTCTGTCGCCAAGTGTCACTCTTGTTTCAACGTTTAGGGGCTGTTTTGTCGATTTTCGAACGCCAAAACTTGCTGAAACAAGAATTTCAACCACCAAAACAAAACAAAAAAAACAAAAAAAAAAAAAAAAAGAAACAAAAAAAAAACGAAGCTGATCAACACGACTTGACTGCTCTACTGGCTCAGTCCTCCACTTTTGTCTCAAGCTTTGGTCTCAGGGAAAGGGGGATTTTCCAGCAGCGTTACCTGCGGCTGTGTGTCGTTGTGTCTGAAATTAGGCAGTAAATTTTTTTGGCAGCAGCAGTCAGGGTCTGTATTTGATTGCTGTTTGCTGCTGCAGCCCATGTGCCAAACATCGGGAATGCTTCATTGCTGGTTCTGCTGCTGCTCTACATCCCTTTTTGCATCCCTTTTTGCATCCTTCCTTCACAACCATACAATATCGTTTTGCTACGATCCGTTTCATATCCACGAACCAGCACATCCGACACTTTCAGCCTTGTTGTGCCCAGTCACGTATCACATCACCCGCCGCTAGGTAGCCAAACTCACGATATTCACGACAACAGCTTAGCAAAAATGATGAATGCCGACTCATAACATTAGCCATCCATAATTCATAGCGACTCGACCTGTCTGCTTATGGGAGGTAGAGCCAAAGCTTCAGCGTCAATGGCACCCGCCATAGCATCTACAGGCCAGTCACGGTCGCGACTTCCGCCGAAATGGATGCAGCAAGCGACTCTCAAATCAGCTGCTCCGGTAACAAGGCCGACAGATCGAGCTGCCTCTCTGCAGGAAAGTCCGATACGATGGTCTACTCACACTTTGACAGCCGGTCCAAATGACACAGTCCGCAGCCGCGCTGAATCCACAACCTCTACCTATGTTGATGCCTTTGCTCATCGACGCAAGAGCCGTATCAGCGACCTTACCTTCGTTGATCACCTCGAAGACCCTGGATCAACCCGTCTCACACCTTCGGAAAGCCTAACTTCCAGTATCAACGACCTCTCTCTTACTCTCAATAATGATGATGATGATCGCCCTTCTTCTGTGGACCTGCCACATCAAAAGCCACCTCAAGCGCTTCAACACGACCGTAACCAAGACCCAATCACTGATGGGCTTGATTCGGATCAGGACAACAGTGGCGATGACCAAGACATGAATGATGACATTGCAAGTAGGATTGACAGACTTATGGCAGCCACCATGGAAGCACTCGAAAACTCCAATCGCCTTGTGTTGGATACCCTCTCCTCCCGAGCCAAGCTGGCCCAACTTAACGCTATGGAAGCTGCTCTGGATTCTCATCTCGACGCAAGAGAAGCGCATCTGCATCGCCAGATTCAGGCCGTCACAGACATGACCGCATTTGTCTCCAAGACTACTGTAGAGCTTCAGAGATTGACGGCTCCAACAATTCGACTTCCTTCTGGTGGTGCTTCTACCAGTCAATTGACAACCCTCGCCGATCCAGCTGAGCTCGAGGTGCGTAGCGCTGCAGCTGCCGGCATTGTGCAAGCATTGGATCGAAATGCAACGATCGGCAAGACAGCCGTCAAACGTCTCGAACGCATGCTACAAACCCCTACTACGCCCACCTCTTCGCCTTCCTCCGCTGCCTCATCACAGCGCCGAAGAACCGACTCGACTAGACGCGTTTTCTCCATATCGAACTTTGCTTCAGTACAGGACAGTATTGCCGAGGAGGGTCAGGCTGAGCGGGACGACACGAATTCGACACCGAATGCCGATTCGAGCCAAGATCAGTCCGATCGAGCTGCAGCGCCAACAGCAACGCCAACAAGCGCTGCCAACATCTCGTCTGACAGCCACACATCCACACTACAGAAGAAGCGTTCAACCAGCTATGATAGCCGTGCTTCAGGAGGCATGAAGCCCATGACAAAGCTAGCGGGTCCTTCAGTAGCGTCAACATCCGGCTTTGCACCGAGTCAGTCAGTTTCCACGGCAGCGTCAATTGTTGCCGGTCCTGCTTCTCTTTCCACAGTTGACGATGATGTCTCGGCTTTGCCAGCAAAGACTGCTGTGTCAGACACCAAAGGATCGAGTAAGACCACCACCATACGACCTTCCCTCCTGGCTGCGCTTCGACAAGATACAGCTTCGACATCATCTCGTTCTTCGCTTTTATCCAACGCGACGCCGAGGCCAACGCAGATGCAAAGCATTTCCGGTCTTCCAAGCTACAGCGCAGGTATGGGCTTGAAAGCTACAGCCGATGTCGGAGCCACCCCGACGACCGCCGAGTTGACACTAGCAGCTCTGCTCGGCATGCCTTCTGCTGCTGCTTCCACATCGCCACGAACCGAGACGCCATCCGACTCGTCTTACTTTGACAGCGCCATGCAGGAGTCCTTCTCGTCTACTTCTCCTCCAACTCCAGGCAGCATTCATGTCATTCACGGTGTACTTGCCACACCTTGGAAGCCAACAGACAGCCCGGACATTCCATCTTCGCAGGAACGATTTGCCCGTCGTGGATCGATGCAGTACTCGAGTCTGGTCAGCCCTCGAGCCTCACTCTCGCTCTCTGATCGAGAACGAGCAAATCAGCTCTCATCTCAGTTGGCTGAGCTGCGTGCCGAACGTGTGACGTGGAATCCTAACTCTGTCGGAAGCGCCGAAGCAGGAGTAGCCGGTGCATCGACCTCAGCTTCAGGCGCTGGTGGTGGAGGAGCGCTGCGTGCGCTCCAAAAGCTCAATGAGATGTCGGCGGCCAAAATCGCTCGTCACAACGGCACAAGTGGCGAGGAGGAAGGCAGCGCATGGTATGGTGGCAGCAAGCGTGTCTCGCTCGGCTTGGGTCTGCCCAGCTTCTCTGCACTTCGACCTAGCGCTAGCCGATCCACCTCGACAGCGGCCGTCTCATCTGCCCCCTCGCCGGCACGACCTACACCTTCCACATCCAACGAAGCTGACCAGGACAGCGAAGCTGCGGATGCGTCTTCTTCTTCCTTGCTTGGAGGAGGCTGGCGATCGTGGGCATCATGGAACGCTGGCACACCGAACGGTGATAACTCCAGAAAGCAGAAGTAGCAGCTTAGATCTTGCTACCAAAATCTTCAATGCTTTTCCTACAAACTACCCACCTCTTTCTTTTTCCCGGATGCCTTCCCACATATCTATTTGTAAACAGCTTTTGTAGCGTATACCATGTTTGCGCCCCTTCTTGTATTTCTAGCCGCAATGAATAGCATATCATTCACCACAGATCATGCTTGCAGTGTGAGGCTAAGTTTCGCGGGTCTCGGAGATTGCCAGGCCTCAGTGGAAATTCAACTGAGAGTTGAGCATGACCGTGCGCTTGGCTGTAACAACTCCACTTTGAGAAATCAAGGGTCTGCTTCACTCTTCACAAGCATGCCTCTAGCTTGACCTGTACGACCATCCACGACATCCTCGACCCAACACCTCGGGCACCGTTCCAGCATGATCAGACTGCCATCGCGATAAGGCTGCAGACCGCCAGCGATACGAAACTTTGCTCGTGCGACTCTACACCCAACTTAAGACAGTCCGTTCATCGCCAATAGCCACCAGGCTCGGTTGCGGAGATGAGCTCGGCCACGGTTGAGGAATTCGTCGAGCTACTCAACGCGGAACAACATGTAGACCTTCAAAAGCTGCGAGACCTTGCTCGGCATGGAGTGCAGCCATCAGTGCGCGGCGAAGTCTGGCTCTATCTCCTCGGTGTGCTCAGTGACGATAAGGGTCAGGAGATGACTTCGGTGCGCAGCAAATACCTAGCCTACGAGGCGCTCGACAAACACAACCCCACACTCGAGAAACGTGTCCGCAGCGAATGTCAGCGATACTATCAGAAGCGTCTAGGCACGCGATCACCGCCAGGCCGAACATTGATGCGCAGCTCGAGAAGCGTGCTCTCGCGCAAACCAGGTGGATTCTCGGCTGCTGGGCTCGGATCTAGCTCGACTGGTGGACTTGCGCTAGGAAGAGACTATAGCTTGGATGCATCATCGTCTTCGCAGAAGAGCGTATTGATGAGGGGCTCGTCGATCGGCGAAGGGCCGCACTCGGTAGTGTCTGGGTCAAACGTGCCAGCATTGGCGACTTCGACGCTGATGGGTTCAGACAGAGGACCGAACAGAGTCAATGACGGTAGGATCCATGCTCTTGGCGGGATTATCGGTGAGAGCGGCGTCTCTGCAGCGATGGATGCCGACGATCCGGATGCAGCTGCCGCACTCGAGCTGAAGCGCTTCGGACGCAGTGTAGAGAACATCATCTGTGCGTTCATGAACAGGTGTGCTGCTGCCGAGAAAGAGAGAAGGCGCGCTGCTCTTGCAGGTGGTGAAGGTGCACTTGCAAATCAGTATCTGTGTTCGGCCACTCAACGTCACATCTCAGATCCGTCCAGTAGTGCATCGAATCCAAACCAGACTGGAGAAAGTCGACAAGCGGAGGGATCGAGAGGTGGGGCGCAACATCACCGAGATACCAAGGTTGAACAGTGGGAAGACGACCCCTTCAGGTCCAACAAGCTGGGAGAAGGCAGCAGCGGTACTGGCCTGTTCCAAGATAGTGATTGTGCAAGCTCGAGATTCGACGGCAATAGCCATCCTGATTCGTCACGCCAAGGACACAATCACACGCACAATAGCGGCACAACCTCACGGTCACGGTCACAGTCTCGAGCAGGGTCGATGAGCGGAACAAGCAACGGTATCAATCCAGGCGCTCTTGGACTCAACCCCAACTCTAGCCGTGGCACTGCAAGCGTGGAAGAAGCAGTGCGATCGCGTATGCCTCGCGAGTACGAATGGCAACCCCAAGTCAACGCTAGCAACGGCAGTGGTTCGGGCACAGCAGCTGAGTTCCATCCTGCACTGGTATACCTCTGTGCACCATTCGTGCAATGTGTCCGAGTCGAAGCGGGCATGTATTTTGCATTCGAGAAGCTGATGATGCTGATGGCGCGACATAGTGCACGCAATCCGCTGCCACGGCAAGTTGCGGCCTTTTTGACGCTTTTCAGGACAACGCTACCAGAACTGCATTCGTACTTTGAAGAGGAAGAAGTGGATATCATCGGATTCGCAACGAATTGGTTGCAGCATCTGCTGGCGGGGGAGCTGAGGATAGAGGATCTGATGCGATTATGGGATACCTACTTTGCACTGCCAGACTTTTTGGATCTGCATCTGTATGTGTGTATAGCGATCTTGACGAATTGCAAGGATTCGCTGGAGGAGCTGGACAGATCAGAGACGAGGAGCATGCTGGACAGTTTGCCACCTTTGGACATTGATCGGGTAAGTTCAGCAGCACGAGATTGTCTAGACCGGACTTCGTGCAAGCTTACTGACAACATTCCTCTCATCGTTGCTTGGAACAGATCATCAATGAGGCGATCAATATTCGGCTAAGTCATCAAAGGTCGCAGCGAACCGATGATCTCTAATCAATCTCAAACATTCGATAACAGCAGACGTCTCGGAGTGTGAGATTAGACGGATGTGTGAAGCTGAGGGCAACACCTGGCTATTCGGCACGAAGAAGCCAAGTTACGTGAATTCGAGGGTCCGGTCCATCAATTCATACCATAACAAAGACAATAGGAGAGCATAAAAGGGGGGGGGTTAAGATTGCGGGATGAGCGTGAGTGTGCTCACAGGCTCGAGAGGCTCCCGGACCGCCGTAAGGGCGGATGAGCGCAAGAGAGCGTGAAGCCGTTGCTGAAGCTGGGTTGGCGACGAGTCAAATGAGACCAGGGCCCCGAAGGCCGGTGCCTTCGCAGGGCAATATCAATTTGGCTTACAGAAGCGTTGATATTGCCAAGGGAACAGATGCAGAAGCTGCCCTGGAAAGAATCTCCACGGCAGCTACAGGGCTTGTGGAGTGTTTTGGCATCAACAACCACTCCGAAGAGAAGTCGAAGGAAGAGGCCTGCTTAGAGGCTCTTGAAGATTTTGCTGACGCAGTGATCAGTCAGTTACAATGGCATGCCAACTTTACCGTCCTTTTCGGTAAAGCTTCTTACCAATGCTCGTAGTAGTCCTTTCATCTATGTAGTTACGTGATTTCAAATATTAGCCTCCCGTCTGGACTCAATCGCACGAAACAAGAATCAGGAAAATACTAAGTGGATTGCAGACAAGGACCCATGAAGTCCTCGAAGCTTGACAAGGAGGCTCCCAGCCCACCACTAGCTGCAGTGTCACCTGCACAGCAGACAGCAGTCACAGCAGAGGGGCCAGAGGCTCCACCCAGCCTAGAGGACAGGGTCCCACCAAGAGGGGCCTGCAGGGACAAGGGGTCCCTGCTGGGTTGAGTAGAGGGCAGCAGCAACCATTGCACATCACTCAGCAGCTGAGCAGTCAATGTATCAGTGATAGCAGTCTGAGGTCCACTGACTGAGGAGCTTGATGGTGTCTGTGTCGACACCCTGCAATGCTGCCCAAGTGGCTGCTCCCTGACAAAAGGAGTGTCCCACATACTGAGATGTGTCCAGCCTGAGGTGAGAGAGTGCCAAGCAAAGGTGCTGGAGGAAGGTCACATGAGTGAGGAGTTTGTACCCATCATGCAGCCTGAAGAGGGGAGCATCGGGCCTATGGATGGTAGGACAGAGGAGGTGGAGCATGGCATATGGGCACTCCACCCTGCCAACTTTGGGGACCACAAGCAGGGTCCCAAGCCTGAAGGGGTCAGTCTTGGATGCTGGGAGGAGGAGTATGGCATAGTCCATTTGCCACATGACAGACCTGACCAGCAACTGAGTTGGTGATGGCTGGTTCCAGGCAACCTTGCCACATTGAAGGAAACAGGCAAAAGAGACAGCAAAGGCCACAGCAATGACCTGATGGTCCCAGCTGCTAAGGGGCATGGACTGGAGCTGCTTGAGGATGGCTTGGAGAAGGGGGAGGGTGATGGGGAGCTTGGATGCAGCTGGGTGAAGGCCATGTGTGCACTTGATGCCCCAGACTGCTCTTTCCAACTGGCCATGAGTGAAACCATCAAGGTTGAAACCAAGGTTGACATGCCAGGACTGCAGGGCATCAAGCTCATGCTTGATGCTGTGGAAAGGGCAGGACCATGCCATGTTGCAAGCCCACTTGGTGAGGAACAAGTCTGAGGCTGGAAAGGGGGGGGGGTTACTTGGACCAAAGTGGAGGTGGACAAAGGCCCAGTAGCAGGCAGGGACACCAGCACTTCACTTGCAGCTGGATTCAGCAAGTCCTTGCCAGATGAAGGAAGCTGCAAGTGCTGAGCAGCCAGTGGTGGTGGTGAAGGCTTGGGGTGCTTCATGAGGGTGAGGGAGAAGAGGAGCTGATGTGCCAGTGGGTAGCACTGCTGTAAAGCATGGAAACAGTGGCAAGAGAGAAGGTCAGCCAGGTGGTTGTCCCCCAAAGCCACATGAACCAGTCAGAGGGTGATATGCTGCAGGAAACAGAGGCCAAAGATCTTGTGGAGCAGTGTTTGAATGAGAGGGTCCCTTGAACAGCCAGTGCAAAGTCCTGACTCCACAATGGTGTTGTCAATGTGGAGGACCACAAGGTGTGGGCTGCTCCAAAGAGGGGAGAAGGCATGCAGTGCCTCCAGAATGGCGAGGGCTTCCAGGAAACAGATGTCCTTTGAGCAGTGGCAATGAGGTACCTCTTGGGAGAAGGCTGCAGTAGGGGTCTGCATGAGCCTGAGATGAGCCCCATAACCCTGTTTGGATGCATCAGTCCAGACATACTTAACTGTGAGTGGTGAGGGTTGTAGTAAGGAGTGACTGGGCCAAATGTGGAGGGTGGACCACCACCATCTGAGCTCCTATGCTGGCAGACAAGAGAGGTGACAAAGAGACAGGGGGTGGCAGTGAGCAGCCTTGGAGGTATTGTACAGTCTGCACAGGTACACTTTGCCATGGGGGACTATGAGGGATACAAACTGGAGAAGGCCGGCAATACACTACCAGTTGATGGGGCAGGCTGAGTGCTGGGCCAAGAGGTGGTTGATGGCATCCAGGATGTGGGAGTGGTGCTCAATGGTAATCCCAACACACTGTTGGACAGTGTTGACCTCAATGCCAAGGATCTCCAACTTGGTGCAGTCCCAGAAGGTTTTCTGGGGTTCCAGTTGGAGGCCAAGAGCTGAGCATGCTAAGGCAAGCACATGCAGGGGCTTGCCAGGGTGGTCAACTACCAGGACAGCTCCAAAGAAGTTGTCCAGATAATGGTCAACAGGATGTTGCATCATTGACTGCAGGATCCAGTGCAAGGCCTCTGCAAAGAGGTTGAAGATCCAGGGAGAGCTTCAGCCCCCAAAGGTGAGGCCCATCTCCATGTAGAACTGGCCATCAAAAGTAAAGCCAAGCAGGCAAGCATTGTCAAGAGTGGTGACCATGTGCCAGAACACATCAGTTAGGTTGCTCTTCCAGAGGCAACAGCCCTGATTGTCCTGCACAAACTCTAGGACTGTGGTGAGGGAGGCATAACAGATCATGGTGAAGTGAGTGGCAATGCCATCATTGACTGATGGCAGCTGGTGAGGGCAGGGAAGGTGGGGGTGAGAAAGATGGTGAATGGTCCAGAGTCTGGTGGAGCACAGTTTGGGAACAGTCCCAACTGGGGAACACACCAGGCAAAGCTGCTGAGGGTCCACCTCAAGGAGCCAGCCCTCCTTGACCCACAACACAACCTCAGAACAGATATGGGCATTGCCCTCATTGTCCATTGGGAGATTCTTGATGTTCCAGAAGCAGCTGTGGCTACAGAGGGGACCCAAGTAGCCAAGATGGACACTGTGGTCAATAGCTCCTAAAAGCTGATTGACAAAGGGGCAGTCCAGGTAGTTGAGGAGCACCTTGGCCCAGTAGCCTGAAGCAGCCTGCATGGTGCCATATCGAGAGGGGCAACCAACACTGGGGTGGAGGGGGGCTGCTAAGGTAGTGTTGGGCTGGGCGGGAGGCAGGAGGATCTGTAGCAATGACAGTGTAGCTGAGGCAAGGTCAGCTGACAGTACCTGCAGAGGACTGAGGAAGGGGAGGGTGTCACAGGGACGGCTGGCCTGCGCAAGAGAGTGCGCCAAATGATCAGCGGCAGTTATGATAATGTCGCGTAACGGAGCAGTATATGAAGGGTGCGCAGAAGATCAACATATGAAGGGTGCGCCAGATTGATCAGAGTCGACAACCATTGGGGATCAATGAGATTAATCGGGTTGGCAGTGCACATGATTTACGAGATTGATCGAACCCCAGGAATCCAGATCGATCTCATGGGAATGGTCGGAGTCAGCCAGACCATTATGCTTCAATGAATCGGCCGATCCAAACAAGTACTCAGAGCTATGCCGACGACGGAGGCAGTCGGATCAGCACGCCTCAACTAATCGGCCGATCTGAACAGGTATTTGGAGCTGTGCTGATGTCAGAATCAGTCAGATCAGCATGCTTCAACTAGTCGGCCGATCCGAGCAAGTATTCAGAGCTGTGCTGACAACGGAGTCAGTCAGATCAGCACGCCTCAACTAATCGGCCGATCCAAACAGGTATTTGGAGCTGTGCTGATGTCGGAGTCAGTCGAATCAGCACGCTTCAACTAGTCGGCTGATCTGAACAAGTCAAGACGGAACTGAGCCGATGTGACCACATAACCAGGGGGTATGGTCATGAGGTTCAAAAGGGGATTCACAAGATTAAGTTGAAAGGGGGCTGTGCCGGAAGGGGGCATCACACATCAGACAGAAGGAGAGCATGAAGGTGAGAGGGCAGTGTTGCATAACCCTTGTGCTGAGCAAAATGGTAGGAGCGCAGTATTGAAGGGGATGATGCCAGCAGGGCAAGGCAGTGCCTAACAGGGGACAAAGGCCCCTCAAGAGGAGCAGGATAGGTGTCGAGGGAAAACACCAATCGAACATATAAATACTCTCTTTCTACCATAGCATTCGAGTGGACCGGCATCCACTCTGAAAACTCTACTACTTACTCTATACTTACTAGGTTACGTATCTTCGCAATAGCAGTGCTCTTGCAATGACTCTCAATGTGTGTGTTGTAACACTGTTAGTCGACAACTGTAGGTGGTGTTCTTTACACTAGCAGTCCAGTTCATTACTGTAGGTGGTGTTCTTTACACTAGCGGTCCAGTTCATTACTGTAGGTGGTGTTCTTCACACTAGTGGTCCAGTTCCTTGCTGTAGGCAGTGTTGCTCAACACCAGCAGTCCAGTCGGTTATTGTAGGCGGTGTTTCACACCAGCAGTCCAGTAACTCACGTCCTCTGTAGGCAATTGGCATATCGTGGTCCAGACGACGTCCAAGAGCATATCAACAGTACTACAAACACTCGTACTGTAGGGGAGGGTGTATCACACACTCACCAACAAACAACATCCATGCCACGCAACCTCTGAACAGAGTGTTCAAGGCGGTCAGTTGAGACTTACTAGGCGACGATGCTTGGTTACGTTTAGGTGAATCATATCGAGTAGTCCTTACTCAATCAACCCCAGCTAGTCTCTGGCACGCGACCGCTTACATTAGAGTGGATCGTTCAAGTTGTGCCCCACGACAACATGACGGAGCTGTCAGGGGTCTCGCGCCTGAAACCCAGGTCGGTCTGTCGAGATACTCGGTGACTATCAAACTGTGCAACAGCTATTGTCTCGGTATCGGTGACTATCAAGTTGCGCAGTGACAGCAGGTGGCGTTCATTGTATATACTATCGTAGGTTTCGGCTGACCTCTGTGGACACTCCGTTCAGGGGTAGCTCGGCATGATCAATATCAATGTTATGATGACACCAAGGCCTGGTGTGAGTGTTGATGATGATGAGGTTGATGACATTGGTAATAAGGTTGGTGGGTGTTGATGATAATGAGGTTGATGGTGTTGGTGATAAGGTTGGTGGCGTCAACACAAGTGTCCAGTGTGTTGACTTGATGCTTGAAGTGATCCCTGGACCGCAGTGGACTACTGCCTTCGGTTCTATCTATATCCAGACCACTAACCTGCTATGGGCGCCTACAGATGTCAGGTAGTGGTGATACAACACACACACTATGATGAGGAGCAACCTTGATAGATTGCTGCTATGCTGACTGTAACTAATGAGTACTTGTGTTTCTAAAGTATTGACTAGTTGTATGGTGAGTAGAGTGGATGAGGATCCACTCGACCTATGATGATGAGAAAGCATGGTTATATACCTCTTCTCAGCATCGCCAGTGATGCTGCTCCTGCTCTCTCTCCAGAGAGTACCTTCTTCATTGAGTACTGCTCAGGGGCCTCTCCTGCTTGGCACCCCTGTGTCTCTTGAGTGGTGTCGACTCCTTCAACACTGCTCCTCCTCCTCATGACCTGGTGTCGACTCCTTCAACACTGCTCCTCTTCCTTTGACCAGTGACAGTTCCTTTGACTCTTGTCTCTCGAGCCCCTGAGTGGTAACCATCTGAGCTTGGTCCTCTTCATGGCTGTGCCTGCTCCTTGAGCTTGGTCCTCTTCGTGGCTGTGCCTGCTCCTTGAGCTTGGTCCTCCTCATGGCTGTGCCTGGCCCTCCTCACATATGGCTCGGTCCTCCTTTGCATGTGAGTCTGTAGGAGTCCATGGTCTCCATGGAGACTGCACTACGACCATGCTCTCTACTGGTGTTGACTAGATCTTCGATACCTGTGCTCCTTCCATATGAACCAGCGACCCTCCTGCTTCCTGAGCATTTAGGCCCATGACAACAACGAGCTAGTGATTGATCTCTTCAGAGGAAGTCTCACTCGCAGCATACAGGAGAAGTTCGAGAGGAATCCACCTGGGAAGAGATGGGAGTGGTACCGAGAGGTCAAGGAGATCGATCGACAGAGGATGCTACTACAGCAGTCCTCGGCTAGACACTTACCCCCAAATGCCACGTCACCTCCACTAAGAACTGGGTCTCGGCCAAATCAAAGTTCGATCCCCATCTGTCAACCCACTCAACCTTATCCAGCTCGATCACCAGCACAAGCAACTACACAAGCAACTACACAAAACCTAACCCGACCCCTTCCTCATCAACCCACCCAAACCTCGAAGCAAGGAAGCCCTGCTCCATCAGGTATCAACACCTGTCATGTATGCAA